ACAAATCCTACCTTCTAGGCTAGGATATACAAACTCCTGAAAGAAGGTATTAGTAGAATGTTTGTCCTATTACAGAGATGTAAGCTTGTTCTGTATATTATACTTCTTATTCAGATTAATAAAGGAAGTATAGAGCTGTCTTATAAATTCTGAATATAACTTATTATTTTAAAGTTGGATCAGGCTTCTAATCTAATAGTCTTCAATTCAGTTCTGAGCTTAGGTGGCTGTGTTGCCTTCCTTTATGAAGGAGAGGACAAATAGGATACAATTAAGATTTAAGGATAGATTAGTTAAAGTAGTAGTTATATATAGTTTAACTTAGTACTAAAAGTCCTTAAAGTGTTACTTATTAAAGTCTAAAGGGTAGACTATATACACTTTCTTTCTAGAATAAGTTGTAACTTCTGAAACAATTGAAACAGGTTTTAAAGGGGCTGAGAGTATATAGTTAGTAAAGGCCTCTTAGATAGAGGTTTACATATATTAAGTTAGTTCTACTTATAACTACTAATCTAGTAAGACAGTAAGGATAGTAGTTAGTGTAGAAGAGTCTATGTTTATACTATAAAGGAATTAGTACTAAACTAAAAAGGGTAATAAATAAAAGAAGGGTGGTAAAAGTTTAAAAGGGTTTAGAAAGTTTAAAATTTAAAAATGTAAAAGGGTTAGGATAAAGAAAAGAGATTAACATAATAGTAAGTACTAATACTCAAAATGTAAGAGAGTTGTAGAGTAGTAATAGAGAGTCTTAATCTAATGTTAGTAATAGTGTAGAAGGAACTTAAAGGCTTAGTAAGAGGACTCAGACTATAACTATCTTACATAATAGAAATACAGAATACAAGTATTAAAACATAGTTAGAACTTACAGACTAGGTAGAGAGAGAGAGTAAGACAAGAGTAGAGTATATAGAGTAAGCCTAAGAGTATAGGACTATCTAGAGTAAACAAGATTAAGACTACAGAACTAGTCTGATCTTGTATACCTATATATACTAAACTATACAAGAGTACTTAAGGAGTATAAGTTACTTAAGAATAATAAGCTATAAAGAATAAAAGAAAGGAATGTTAAAGATAAAGGTATAAAGAATAAAGGGATAGACAAAGGGTAAGAAACTATAGAATAAACAAAGAATAAAGAGATAGTTAAAGGAATAGAATAATAAAGTAAGAAAGGGTAGTAGTAAGAGTTAGTATACATATAGTTTATAGACAGTACTCCTAAGGGACAGAAGTCCTGAGTTCTAGTATGAAAGAGTGTAGAACCCTTAGAACTGAAGGTACAAGAGTAGAGAACTATAATAATAGTGTTCCTACACAAAGGCCTTATTAATACACAAACTAGTATATTTACTATTTACTAGAGTCATTATTCAGATCTAGGAGGATTCTAAGAAGAGAGCTAAGAGGACAAGGACTTAGAACTAGTACTTAGAACATTCTTAAATAAACTACTACTTGTTCTAAAGGGAATGTACAGCTTGTACAACCTTATTGTTTAAGAGAGTAAGTATATATACTAACATTTTCTTATTAACCTCTCTCTTTTAATAAGGACAGACTTATGTTCTTAGCTGTAGACTCAGTTAAGACTATCCCTACTTAATACTATAGACAAACTACTAAGTAGTAAACAGGGCTAAGTAGTATTCTAAATGTTCTAAGATTTTAGAATGTAAAAGTAGTAAGTCAGATTGTATAGATTTAGACTTAGATAAAGTGTAAAGAGAAGAATTAAAAGAATTAGAAGAAATAGGAGAACTATCTACTTTTGTTTTTGACTTTTTTCTTTCTAATAAATAATTTTGTTAATTTATTTTTTCTACTTTTTCTACTTTTTCTACTTTTCTTACTTTATTTACTTCTAATCCTACAGTGTCTATTAAATCAAAAGTAGTTATTAAAAAATCCAAGTTATAGCCCTTTAGTACTATATTTACTATTAAGCCTTTATAAAATCCTAAAGTATATAGTCAGAGTTTAAGAGTTTTAAAGTAACTTCTAGATTTGTAGAAAAGGCTTCTTACTACAAATTCTACTTATTACTTATTATTACTCTAATAACCTAACAAATATACTATTACTTCTATAGACAGTTCTTAATCTAGTACTCTGACTTTTTGTAAGTAAAGTATACTCCTTACTTTCAGGCTTCTCTAATGTTTATTAGAATAGATTGATTACAAATTACAGGTAGATTGATTTAAGGACTTAAAACTGTTAGAGCTAAACACATGTGTAAGTATTCTATACAGACTTAACACATTTGAGCTATAGTTTAGTTAAAGGAAATAGTGTGTATCTTCTACTTAGTGTAAGTAACTAGTTCTAGTATTATTCTAAGAATCTTATTAACTAGTTCTAAGTAAAGAGCTTTTTCAAGTATTCTAATAAGAACATTATTAAACCTAAGTATAAATCCTACTTTCTGAGCTAGGATATCAAACTCCTAAAAGAAGGTATTAGTAGAACATTTGTCCTGTTACAGAGATGTAAGCTTGTTCTACACATTATACTTTTTATTTAGATTAATAAAGGAAGTACAGAGCTGTCTTATAAATTCTAAATATAACTTATTATTTTAAAGTTGGATTAGGCTTCTAATCTAATATCCTTCAATCTAGTTCTAGGCCCAGGTGGCTGTGTTACCTTCCTTCATAAAGGAGAGGACAAATAGGATACAATTAAGATCTAAGAATAGATTAGTTAAAGTAGTAACTATGTATAGTTTAACTTAGTACTAGAAGTCCTTAAAGTACTATTTATTAAAGTCTGAAGGGTAGACTATATGTACTTTCTTTCTAGAACAGGTTACAACTTCTAGAACAATTAGAATAGGTTCTGAAGAGGTTAAAGGTATATAGTTAGTAAAGGTCTCTTAGATAGAGGTTTATACATATTAAGCTAGTTCTACTTGTAACTACTAATCTAGTAGGACAGTAGGGGTGATAGTTAGTGTAAGAGGGTTTATGTTTATACTACAAAGGAATCAGTACTAAACTAAAAGGGGTAATGAATAGAAGAAGGGTAGTAAAAGTTTAAAAGGGTTTAAAAAGTTTAAAATTTAAAAATGTAAAAGGGTTAGGACAAAGAAAAGAGATTGACACAATAGTAAGTACTAATACTCAAAATGTAGGAGAGTTGTAAGGTAGTAATAAGTAGTCTTAATCTAATGTTAGTAATAGTATAGAGAGGACCTAAAGACTTAGTAAGGGGACCTAAACTATAACTATTCTACACAACAGAAATATAGAACACAAGTACTAGAATGTAGTCAGAACTTACAAAATAGGAGGAGAGAGAGAGTAAGACAAGAGTAGAGTATATAGAGTAAGCCTAAGAGTACAGGACTACTTAGAGTAGACAAGATCAAAACTATAAGACTAGTCTAATCTTGTACACTTATATATACTAAACTATACAAGAGTACTCAGAGAGTATGAGTTACTAAGAATGATAAGTTATAAAGAATGAAAGAAAGGAATGTCAAAGATAAAGGTACAAAGAATGAAGGGATGGACAAAGGGTAAGAGACTATAGAATGAACAGAGAATGAAGGAGTAGTTAAAGGAATAGAATAACAAAGTAAGGAAGGGTAGTAGTAAGAGTCAGTATGTATATAGTTTATAGACAGTACTCTCAAAGGACAGAAGTCCTGAGTTCTGGTACAGAAGGGTGCAGAACCCTTGGAACTGAAGGTAAGAGAGTAGAGAACTGTAACACTCTCTACACTATTGCTAACAAGTGTATTTTCACTATAACTCAGTCAAATCTTGCTCAAATTTAATAATTAAAGTGTCTATTTGAAGCATATTTAAAAAACATGAATTTATGTCAAATAATCACTGAATTCTGTGCAGAATTGAGTGAGAAATAGCTATTTTTTTGTTTTGTTTACTTTTGTGACAAAAAATGATAAATCATCAAGTGTGACAATACTTATGAAAAAGGCAGTAAGCATGCTGTCTATATTTCCTGGTCATTCCATATTCAGCAGAAGAAACGAGTTCAAAACACACACACACACGGCTGTGATGGAGAACTACAGTATAATGGTACCACTCATCACAGCAGAAATGTATACAAGGGGTTCATTCTACCTATTGGCTATTGTCCGAGTTTCTTCCGTGTATGCACATTCGACCTCGGTCTCAAACATAATTACTTTCAAGCAAGAAGCAACTCTTAGCAAGTCGGGTATGAGATGGACTGGGTGATCTAACGGGCGTCGCAGAAAAACATAGTCGACTTGGTTCAATTACTGAAATAAGGAAATGAGGTCCAGAAGATGGTCACACTGCCCACGTAAGTATGCCAAAACGGGACCGGAGGCTAATCTTGTGTGGTCCAGAGCTGGTTAGACTTAGACTATGCTCGGAATGGATCCGAGCGAACTTGATTTGGGTCGGCGAGTTGATTTGGTTTCGGCGATGCACACGCTTACCGTCCGGTGAATGCAAGGGAACAATGATGATTATTTCGTGAAGTAAAGTACTTCATTATTTCACCTATGTCCGATATTTGAAATGCTCTACAGATAACCGAATGTTGATGTCTATTTGTAATTTACACGAAGCCGAGAGTGGCAGGACGGGCGTCTGTGGGGACAGCCATGTGAGGAGGGACGATGATGGGGGCGAACCCAAATGCAGGCGACAAGGCATTCAGGCATTCAATGCCCGTCCTCCCCGGTACTCCTTCTCGGTTCTCTTTCATTTGATCCCACCTCTCTTGTCCTCTCTCTGCCACCAACTCCGCTACCTGTTGACGCTGGGCCAACATTGAGCAGCGCGCGAGACCTGTCTGTCCGTTCCACTATCCAATACCGACATCAAGAATGAGCGCAATAATGAGGTCCCTGCCCATCCAGAGAGCAATCATTCCCTTCCTGTTGTTCTCTCAACTCCCCTATTCAGCAGCTCTGAATCTTGGACTTGAATCGCTCGAGGGCAGAGCAGTCCAATCCCAAGCAACATGTCTGAACTCCTTCGACTGGATGGACAACAGCCTCTCACAGAGTCCCTGTATCGTCGCTGCCTACCTCCTTTCTTCGTGTGCAGGTGGAGATTGGACGATCCAGGCGGTGACTGCTAACTCGCATTATACTCCACCAGGGAAGACGGATGCAAATGGGTGTAAGTGGTACGTAGCAATTTCGTCCTTTAGATCTGTTCGATCGGAGATCGTGTTGCTGATGAGGATCATTTGTCGATTTGCCCTTCCTTTTGCAATATGCTATGGTTTATTGGCATATTGGTGGAACGTAGTTCGTGGGTGGTGTACAACACGCTGCAAGCATGTGCAGACTGTCAAGGGCAGAACTTCGAGTCTGCTATGCTTTCGTGAGTCTCTACTTCAAGACGGGTCCCTTTATATTGATCTCCCTCTCAGGTGGTCGGGATACAATGGAAATTGTACTGGGTCATTACTCTCAACGAAGGAGTATGTCCATTTGCTTTATGTCCCCAATATCGATTGACAGTCTATATACGTACTCTTTCTGTAGTTATTATCCTCCCCAGACACCCATCCCGGCAGAAACTGCTGTCCCGTTCTGGGCAACTACAAATCGTTCGTCTTGCATTACCATGTCTGATCCTGTATGTTTTATACTGACTAATTTGTCTCTGTCGTTTGACGAAAATAGCCTCGACATGGCATGATGGGATATTTGACCCGTCGATGGCACAGAGTATCGCTAATCGAGGTGCGCAATCGTCGTCCCCTATCGACAACATCTCACTCGGGCAAAAATAAACTTAATTATTATCGGTTTACTTTCTCACAGGGAATTCCGACATCACCCAATCCACTCGGCCCGGTAATGCCAATGGGAAGAAGTCTAACAAGGGAGCAATAGCAGGAGGCGTCATCGGTGGTATAGTCTTCCTCGTTTTCGTCATCCTCGCCTTCCTCTTCATCCGCTCTCGTCGTAATCGCCGACAAGCTGGTACCAGTGTTCTTAATCACCAGCGCAAGGCGAGCACCGTGAAAGTGAGGTGGAGTCCGCTTTCGCATTTCAGGAGCCCGAGTGAAAATTATACGGGCAAGTACGGTAATCCGAATGTTGTCAATGGGCTGGGTTATGATAACTTGACGCCGAGTCCTGGTCCAACGATGATGTCAATGACGATGACGGGCGGCTCGACGGGCACGACCCCTTCCGGTCGACCGCCGTACCATACTATGCCTTCGTCGAGTAGCTTCACGTCCGCGCCGACAGCTTCTCCTCCACCGGGTGACTACATCACACACACCACGCCAGGAAAGGCTTACCTCTCTGTCCCTCCAGGCATTGGTGTCACTCCCGGAATGGGAATGGTGACAATGAACAACAACAGCAATAATCACTCTTCCGCACTGAGCATGACAGTCTCAAGCGCATACGCTACCGCCGGTGCGCCCTCTACAACCGCGGGCAGGGCGAGTCACGCACATACGCTTTCGAACGACAGTACCGCTGCCTTCAGTCTCAATTCGGGGTACAATTCCAATCTCGCTGGTATGGAAGGAAGGGGAGGTGTGGGAGGTGAACCTCCAGAAGGGACGATCACACCATTCGTCCTTCCACCGACCTTACCCGAGCCGATGGGTCCAGGCCATGATGTAGACAATAGTCCATCGTTCGACGCTGCTAATCCAGTATCACCCACACCGGGAACTAGCGGCAAGTCCGGACTCGGACACGGAAGAGGAGCGAGCGATAGCACGACAACTTCGAACGACGTTGTATATTCCAATCCCACACCTTCACCTCTCATCGGAAGTGGAATTGGAACTGGTACGCGTAGACTAGCGGTAGAGAGGAGGAATCCACCAGCGTATACGCTTTCCCCTCCTGATTTATCTTCGGAGCACGGTCATATCGTTGATACCGAAGACGCGCAGAGTGCGGTAGGTGACAGGATGTCGACGGACGCACAGCGGGCAGAGACAACACTAAGTGGGACGACACTCAGGAACCGGGAAGGGGACTCGAGCGTAAGGGCGCCGACGACTGTCGGTGAAGAGGTTGGTGCTTCTCAAGTCGACCATCATCAGAATGCGAATGCAGACTCGGAGAGAGACCAGCACGGATATCCTATTGATCGAAAAATCTAACATGACTCAAAGTTGGAGATGACGATGTGACGGTGGATAAGACCGTTTGTTATTTTGACGCAAAGTACGATGATACATGGAAGTTTGGTTTTATACGACGTATGCGCATGTATATCATTTTGTTGTTGTTGGTTGTTGTTGGGGTGGGATTATCTTGTTGCTCTGTTCAGTTATTCCGTTGGTTAACCAAAAATTGTTATGCTAGCTACTCGCCTACCTATCCATCTATATATACAAATGTATTTTGTAGTTGTAGCAAGCGCCTCGAGACCTCTTATTAAGAATGCCTCAGGCTTGTCAGGGCAATCTCAGAAGCCAGTAGCGGCACTTCAACTAATTACACCATATGCACGTTTTGCGCAAAGAAACCGACTGACAATTACAGTGCAGTGAACGGGTCATACAACTACAACAACAATTTTTCTCGGATTTGAGGAATCAAGATGGAGTAATGGCTGGCAATATTGCCAAGGTATGGACTCGGACGAGAAGTGTAAGTCCGTAGATGGCTCAGGTCTGTATTGAATTTATGCCACCGTTTGAACACCGTTACTGAAATAATAGGGCTGACATGCTTGAGACAGACGCGCAGGGTACGGCTCTTCTGATGCGGAGAATCAGGATTGAATGATGTATGTCATAACACATATGTCTCTAGGTAGAGGACAAAGGGACAAGTGTGGATTAATTTCTCGTTTCTGTTCAGATCCACCGCTTCAGATATGCACGAATTGAATGAAAGAATTTGCCTTGAGAACTGAATACGTGAGGGCTTGTGCACTTCTTCAATTTATTTGGCGGACAGCAGAGGCGCGGCGCACGCGAGACGCTTGTTGACTTGTCTTCGTTCCATCACCATCACACATCAACACCTCATCCGGCTAGTTGGCCAACACGAGTTTCTCTGACCTTTCATTATTAGGGGTTTTGTATTTTTATGCGTGCTTTCCGCGCCATCTTGGACCGGTTGGACTGCCATGTATAGACAGTATGCTTATCCGTGCTAGACCCATACGAGGGGTACTTAAGTTCTCCGCACCCGTGGCCGAGACCGATCACGGCGGCAGAAAGGACAAACTCTGGGTCAGATTACGACACGATAGACGACTGTGGACAGCACGGGGCAGGACCTGTGCGGGCATCTGCGTCTGCTGTGCTTTGTGCTCTTGCGATCTGTCCCTTCTCTCCTCATTACCACCTTGTCTGCGCGCTACGACTGACGAACTAACGACTGACGAGATAACGACGTGACATGCTGTGTGCGCGACGTGCACGGTGAAAGCGAATTGCGGACTCAGTCTTCAGCGTTAGACGCGCTCTGAACTTGGTAGTCGAACTTTACTCTGCAGCCTCGGGCTTCTTTTCGCTTTTGCTCCGTTTTACTCCATCCTGCTTCGCACTTTCACCTCATACTTAACACCTCGTTCCCATCCGGCTACTGCAAGGCTTGACAGAAGGAAAGAGTTGAATTGTTTACGTGGAACTAAGAGGCTCTAGGACTAGGACACACTGTACCCAGACCTGCGCTAGGACCAAGATGTCTTCTCAGCTAGCATCATGCAGTTCATCATTCGCCTGGATGAAAAATGGGATGGGCCAGGACCCGTGTACAGTTGCAGCTTGGCTGATTGCGCTGTGCTTGGATGCATCAACCAGTTCGTTGGACGTCTCTGTCTCTTTCGAAGCCCTATGTCCCCTCTGTGTAATAGTATAAACTATTGAAACGTTGATCTACACAGATCAGCCTGCTAGCATTGCACCTCTCTCAAGTTCCTCGGCGGGTTACACGAAACCGAATGGGACGAGCGCAAACGATTGCACTTGGTATGTCTTCATCTTGTTGGTGCTGGCGTGCTCTTCCTAACCGTCTGCACGTCATTATAGTTCATGGGCATTCTATAATACTATTGAAGCTTGTACTGTTTGTCAGAACTTTCAGCCAAACGACGGGTACGTATCCTCATGTTTTGATATGTTTAATCTGGGATGGCATTCTAAGTACAATTTCTCTCTAGATACTCCGACTGGTCGAGTTCATGTAATCTCCTGGGCCGGACATCTACATCAACGTGAGAGGCACATCACACGTCTCGCAATTCTCACCCACCACAACTTAATATAAAGATATTGGCAATCGAGCGTCTCGTTCTCAAGCCGGACAAAGCTTCCTCGATGGTCAATCGTCGACCGTGAGTCAACCCGATCCTCTGGTTTTTGCTTCTCCTGGTTAAGCAAGACTTCCATCCTCTAGCCTCAAGATGGGATGCCAGCACGTTCAATTCGAATCAAGCCGAACAAATCGCTAGCCAAAGTAACGTCGCGTTCTTTTGGTCTTGATGATAATCCACACAGTAATGCTCATGTGCTCTTTGTCGCCATTTCTATCTTCGACCTTCTCGACTCGGCCCGGAAAGACCTTCCCGATGCGACAGATAATTCGGCGAGTCAGCCTTCATTCTCATCTTCATCATCACCGGCCGCAGCTTCATCCGGTGCGAAGAAGGCCAACGTGGGTGCAATTGCCGGAGGAGTTGTCGCTGGCATTCTGGTTCTCATTGCACTTGTCGTCGGATTATGGTTCTTCGTGTTCAAAAGACGAGGTCTTGCTGCTGGCCGTGGACTGCGTAGGCATGTAGACCTCGATGGGGACGGTGATGGCATGACGGATGCAATGACCGGGAATCCTCTTGCGGGCCACCTACGGTCACATAGCCTCAGCGGGAGCGGATACTCAATAAGCCCGACATCATATCATCCGCCATTGCAGCAGACTACATTTCAGGGATATCCGGTCACAACTCAGCATGGTCGGAGTCAAAGTCTTCCAAATACTTTAACGCCGTATCCAAATCAGAATCCCAGACATACGAACGTGATACAGGGGATCCTAAGGAACGGGAATGGACGTACGTCGCGCGAGTCGACGATCCCTTCTGTCGCGGAGCAGCTTGATGAAAAAAAGCGTCTTCGGACGGGACGCCAGAGTTCCAGTGGTGGGCCGCCGCGATCGCGGAGTGCGTACGCAGGAATTGGAAGCAGATCGGTATCACGGACAGGCAGCAGCGGACAGCTAAGCAGGACGAGTGGGTGCCAGGACGAACTAAACACGAGAAGCAACACCGCCGTCATCAGCCATGCACGATCGCAATCGCAATCGCAGATCTCAGCTGTGCAAGGGTCAAACACGTCTTCTCTGACGACAGACATTCACGATGTCAACAATAACAATTCCAGTCCATCTAGTGTGGTGCCAGATTGCCGACCGTCCGCCGGAGGGATAAACAAACGCGCATCGCACTCGCGGCGCCTCTCGTTAAAGAACGCACCATGGAACAGGCGCCGAACAGTGATGAATCTCGGTTCGGATGCAAGTTCAGAAACAGACGCAGGACACCCTGTGAATTCAATCATACCCTCAAACGTGGATACACATGGCACGAGCGCCGTTGCACCGCTCCCACTGGGCGGAATGGTAGCCGCTGCTGGACATACGACGACTGTGGGCGACGTTATTGCTGCTGTACCTGGTGCACGATTGCCTACTGCCCGAGATCGAGAGAACCCGCCTCCGGAATACACGTCGGCCGCTTAGCGCTGATTTCGAATATATTGTACGTATGTTTGTGCATGAAGTATACGACATTCTCATTTAACCTCCAATCATAGGGAAGGAGATTAGAACGTAACCATTTTCAAATTCAAGTGACATCAATTTTCGATCATGAAATTGCTACGGATTTGTCTACTCATTTAGCCTCAGTATTCTTTCCATCAAGGATGGGTCTTCCTTGCCTTTCCCTTTCTTATCTGTAGCTTCGTTCCCGATCGTCTGTATTGGAAATTGCATCTGTGCTGGATTCCATATGTATATTTAACTCACTTGATTTGTAATTGCAGCTACTATCTGGCAGACTATGATTCTTTAGTCACTGTGCGTAAGGAAGGATAAACTGGAAGGTCGGAAGAAGTTGCTACGCTCACGTGCCCTCGCTTGCTAAAACCCAAACTTGTCCATATGGCAATAATAAAAATAGTTACTTAACATTTATACACTTTTTAATAGTATTTATTAGATTTTTTCTACTTTATATTTTTAAAAAACAATTAATCATAATAGTTATTTTTACAGTGTATATTCTTGTAAAATGTCTTTATATTGTAAGTGGAAAAGTAAGATTACTGAACAGTGTTAATCACTTGCCAAAAACAGAGGGGCTGAAGACTTTTGGGAACCACCTGTAGATCATTGCATTAGTGGTTACATAATTGGATATTGGTCAGCGTTTCCATATTCAGCCGCAATATAAATAACTCACCGTCTCAAGCGGGCACAGCATCGATTGTCATATTGGCGAAGCACATCTACTTTACTACATTCGCCCCCTACACATAATTTGGGAAAATAAAGAAAGAAATAGAAACAGGGGTATAAGAGGGAAATGTGCAAGAAAGGTAACTCGTATTGCATCAAGTCTAAGAGAACCCAGCCCAGGAAGGGGTACAGCCAGTCTGGTGCAGAATCGAGTCCCGTCTTGTTACCCACCAACTCCCAGCCTAACCTGAGGGTACATCTCAAAGTCTCTAGCCTATGAGTGCCTGACTGTACACAAGACAATCCTCCCGTCCTTAAGAAAGGCTGAAACACAAAGAGTATGCAAACCCTTGAAGAGAAAAAAAAAAAAAGGGTGCATGTCAGACATTAAGAGACATCAGCCACGATCGAAGTCGATCAGGCATCTGTCAAAGGGGTAGACTAGTACTGAAAGTCAGTACAGCCAGTGGGTGTGCTGCCTATGACTAGGCATTGCTGGGACTGTGTTGACCGACACATTGCGGGAAGATAACCCCCCTACTCCATACCGTGGGAAAAAATCCAAGGTCAAAGGAAAGGTCGATTGCTCTCTTTGAGTTGGCCACAGCTATGCACTCCTCTAACAGCAACGGCGACCACAATGGCAAAGAGACAATACGCTCCCCCACCTCATCCTCCGCCAAAGCCTCCTCTATTGAAACATTCGACAGCCCTACCTTATCCAATCGACTTAGAGCAGCTCGCTAGCCAGGGCTGGACGAATTTACCCATTCAGAACGCCCCCTCTGATCCTCTGTATTCGGGATTTTCGGAATTGTTTGAAGCCTCTGCCAAATTCTTTAATCTCCCGGAAGCAGAAAGGCTGAAATATCGAACCAGACCAACTGGCGACGCACAAATATCAGAAGAAGGTTACTCACGCGTGGAAGGAGAGAAATGTATGATCGCGCTGCGCAAGTCTTCTACCACACCGACCGAATTCGAACTGAGAGAGAAAGCTGCTCGGGCTTGGGCGGTCAGTGCAGGCGTAATGAAGGATGTAATCCGCGCGATCGAAGAGGCTCTGGATGTTAAGAACGGTGCGCTGGTTAGGGCGATTGAGAAACAACTCGAGCTTCCTGGGGAAGGAGAGCAGAACGTCGCAACGTTGATGAGGATGTTCCGTTATGACCGTCCATTGCCTCCCTCATCTGAACCGCCTGTGTCCTCAGATTTGAATACCGAAAACTCAACTACCGATACAAAAACATCGCTATTGTCTGACACCAAGTCACATTCAGGATCTCGGGTTGTAGCCGAACCACACAAGGATCTCGGATTGCTCACTATCGTCATTGGCCATTCCCCCGGACTAGAATGCTGGGATACGCGGCAGAACGGCTGGGTTTCGTGTGAAACTAGGGAAGGGCTGAATGCGACAATCCTAGCTGGCCAGATGCTTGCGAAATTCACGAACATGCGTTTCGTTGCCGGTAGACATCGAGTTTTCGTGCATCCAGCTTCGAGTCAGGTTGCGGCTGCTCTGGAGCACGCACCTGAAGATAAAGCAATTTCGAATTCCTCATATCGCTTTTCCCTAGTCCATGCTCTCCGTGGACATCTCCCACTGCTTGTCTCTTCTAACGACTTCGAGACAGCCATCACTGGCGCTTTCCCAGTGCCCCTACAATTCTTGAATGTACCAATACTGGAGATATACAAGGCAATTTGCAATGCACATTGGAATGTAAACATCAGTGTGGAGGAGAGAAGGAAGCAAGAGCAGAGATTGAAGGAGTTAGCTGAGAGGGCGAGGACTGGGTCTGCTGATAAGCTAGAGTTCAATCCTGCTCGGACCGAGGACAAACCGAATAGGGGAAGTCACAGGTTGTCGAGAATCTTTTCTGTCTTTCAACGTTCATCTCAGCAGCCGACTTCAGTAAGCTAGATACTCCAGTGTTGTGTTTACCAATGCACCTCCTACTTGGTCCATATTAGTGTTTAATGTGTTTTTCAAATTGGGATTTTGTATTCAAGCACAGACTATATCTAGTATTGGACAGATGAATAATCACGAGTAATTCCAAGAAAGGCCAGAACAACACAACAATTATATTTCAATACCATTCTCCTAATGATCCTAAAGCTTAGCATCCAAGCCTGCCTTTGTGCTAACAAGTGTTGCACCGCCATCCAGCACAATCTGGTTACCCGTGACATACGCTGAAGCAGGTGAACACAGGAAGAGCGTAATGCCTGCAATATCGCTTGGCATGCCAACTCGCCCTATTAAGAATTATATAAATGAGAAATCACTCGAATCTGAGTCAAAACATGGCAAAGTGTAGACTTGCCTGAAGGCTGCGAAGCATTCATCCTCTCCATACCTGTGAGCTTGAAACCGAACGCGGTCATCTTTGACGGGAAGATTCTGAATGTTAAAATCAAAATAAATGTAAGCCTCACCCCAGCCTTTTTGTTGGTAAACATTGCAACTTTACCCTGGTAAGATTGCATTTACACTGCGAAAGCGAACAGTATCAGAAAGGGATGTAAACAAATTAGAAGAATATAAGACGAGCCTAATGTGCCTTGGACTGAGCGTCACAGCAAGCTGAGAAGTCAAATGGTTGGCTGAAATGTATGCAAAGTCAAAAACAAATTTAACGAAACAAAGCACGATCTTCACCTGCTGCTTTACTTGTGTTATCTACAAACCCGCGTAGCCGCAACCGCGAAAATTCAATATTTTTACACTGGTAATAGGAGAAATTATCCACTTACAACTCCATAGTCCGTTCCCCTTATCAGCTAGGGCTCTGCTTTCTGCGTGCGGGCTGATGCCTGCGACGGAAGTGATGTTGATGACTCGCCCCGGGTCAAGGGAAGTTGCATCTTTTGCTAGAAGGTCCGTAAGACTACATATAATAAAGAGATCAGTTTCGCCCTATCTGTTCCACAATTTGAAGCAAGTTACCCTGAAGTCACTACAAAACGTCGAAAGTAATATTAAACCTATCAGCTACGCGACTCTCCAATGAACGAAATCAATTGTAAGCATACTGTAGAATATACTCTTCACATTAATATTCATCACCCTATCCCACCCTTCTTTCTCCGGGAAGTTGTCGAAAGGTGCACCCCACGTCACACCGGAGTTATTCACAAGGATATGTAGGTTTGATTCGCGGGATTTAAATTGCGAGATGAGTTGTTCGCAGCCCGCCTTGCTCTATGAGTAAATGAAATAATGTATATTCAAACGTAAGCGAAGATAGAATTGAAAGTGGAAAAGGAAGAGAAATACGCACACTAATATCAGCAACGATATATTCACATCTCCCTGGTCCCGCTGCGTTCAGTTCGTCCGCAGCCTAACCATAATATTTGAAATTCAAGTTGGAAGAACAGTCAGACCTAACGACTCAGAATACTGAAAGAAAGTGTTAACGCACCGCTTTGAGCTGCCCCTCTTTCCGCGCAGCGATGTATACCTTTGCACCATTTGCAACAAGCGCACTGGCAATCATCTTGCCTATCCCTGATCCACCGCCCGTCACCAAGGCTATACAACAGGCGATGCAGAATTTATTTCCAGAGTTAGCATACACGAGTCAGGTGCTGGACGGGAGCGAGGGGAGGAACGACCAACGAACCGATTTTGTTCTTAACCGCGAAGAGGTTTTGTGATGTGAGGTCTGTTATTCCAAGTTAGCCACGACAACTAAGAGGAGTCGACCATTTTACCCTGTAATGACATGGCTGAGGGTAGTTGTCTGATGAGCAAAGCAGCTGGAGAACACAGGCTGCAGGCATGGGAGCTCGCTCATACTTACATGACGATATTTGAAATGATCGTCTCCGGACCGGCTATGGCACATAGCCGATCATACACTCAGACTCAGAGGTGCAATATTGCTTAACGGATTATGTCGACGCGACGGGAACAACTGACCATTGTTGAATAGCAACCTTACAACGTCATTAACATTCCTGTTAGCTCACTCATAACTAAGTCTCAATTCACAGTAATTCGTTACAATATTTGATATACTCGAGCTGCCTCTTATTCTACAAAACCCAGATCAAATCATCAGAGAAATTCTACATCCTTCAAATCCCCAAGCCAAGAGATTAAAACCCCAATTCGCTTCTAATTCACCTGTCCAAAAGAAAGCACCTCCCTAACTCTCCACACGATCTCTCTCGCGATCCTCTTCCTCTCTTCCCTCGCTCCGCCCTCTCCACCAAGGACAGATTTGTTCTCAATCGCACGTCGGCTGAGGTATGGCATAACTTGTGTCAAGTTACCATAAGGAACGTACTTCAGGACGAATGGCTCAGACGAGGAGTCTTGTGAAGAACTGGAGGTACGCTGGGTGAGTGAGGTAGAAAGCGTGTCTGACATGCCTAGTATCGGGCGTAGAATAAACAGTTAGAGTCTCAGCTGACTTTAGACTGTAAAGGCGGGAACGTACCATAAAGCTGCCCAACACATACCCGTCCACGTACATCCTCACTAATCCTCACCAATTTATTTCCATCCTCCCCGCGAACTCGTACAGCAAGCCCCTCCTCAACAAGTGTATCTAGCACAAGCTCGCAGCTCCCCGCATTATGCGTACCAAACAACAACCCAAGTCTCGGAGGAGTAGACATCCCGCGCCGATTCTTCTCCTTGACATCATCTGCGAGTTGCTTTATAAGCACGCGAGCACAAGAATTGAAGCAAGCATCCGTTTCAGCTTTCGTTTGCCAAACTGGTGGAAGCTCATCCGGTGAGATGCTCGAAGATGACGAGGAAGAAGAAGATTGAGAGTCGCTGTAATTCCGAAACCGATTATGCGAAGAAGTCTCGAGTTGATGATATGCTCCGCGCACGAGCTTCACGCCGAGTGCATAACCACCTTCTTGTGCGTCCTGGATAGCTTGTTCGAGTTGTTGAGGTGTCCTAGGGTAAGAAAGCAAATATATCAGAAAGATGCAGGACCAATCGAGTATATCTTTATCTTACCTTCTTAAATATGCTTGAAAAGTTCCATAAACGAGGGGCTGCACCAACTCTACATCTTGGTTGCGGGATGATTTCGTCGGTAACCGATTAAATTCACGCATGAGTGCAAGTTGGAATGCTTCAATAGCAGGCTATTTGATTGGTCAGTTCCTTAAAACTATCCCTCATCCCAAGGAAGCAACATACTTGATACCAGCTGTACCAAAAAAACAGACTTTCGTCAGTTCCAAATACATGAAAAGAACAGGGAATACACCCACCTGTGTTCAGCATCAATTATAATCGTCACACCCCTTTCCTTTGCTTTCCGACAGATCCTGTACAGATCGTCTCTGAGTTCTCTTAACGTGACTATATCATCATTGTCTACTAGGAGAGGTGATGTGGGTATGTCTACTAGATTAGTATTAAGAACTTCTAAGTCTGTGGGTCGTGGGACGCCAGGAAAAGGAATGGGCCGAGAAGACTGTGGTCGGGCATTGTTTAGGTGCTTGGAGAAGTTGATGAACGTCTTCGCATCAGGAACAAGGGCGGTCTACAAGCAAGGACCCTCAATTTCTGAACGAGAAGATAAATAGCAGTAAATACCAGCTTTACAGCAACCCATGTCTTTCTCCCACTTTGCCTCCCTAGTTTCACTGCTCGCTGATCATCAAAATCCGCGGCAACGTCAATACATCGGATTATCTCTTCCACGATTTGCTTATGCGCGGGATTCTTGGTTTCTGAGTTTCGAGAAACTTCGTCTTCATCCACTTCAACACTGTAGTTCAAAATCGCGCCCTTGTTCTCCGCACGTAACTGTGTTAAAACCGGTACTGTCTCTAGAGCGGATTCTCCACCAACAAACTGCAATGACGCCAAATTATGAAATAAGTAGCCGATGATAATATAGACATAAGAGTGGCACAAATACATACCTGGGAGAAGAAAGTCACCCTCACAACAGCCTCAGTAATCATCTTCAGTCCCGGAACAGACGTTAAAGCCGACAAAATTGTTGGGGAGTAATCAACCAGCCAAGGAATTGAACACAAAGAATAGACGATACATGTCCGAATAAGAGACGTCAGCGGCGTTTGCTGTTGACGATCCCTGTGTATTTCTCTTTCGTCATCGAGATGTACATCTGAGGTGGAGACAGTTTGGGTGGGCTGCTGGAGGCAGAGATAGACAGAGCTACTGAGTGCACCAGTGAGTGCAAGAGCACCTAATCGAACGCGTCTTATACGAGGAACTATCGGCTTAGGTGTCGAGGTAGAATGCAGATAATGGGTAACATGTAAAGCAGGAGAACGCTGAGTCAATCTGGGACGAACACCAGACACTCTGAATGTAGCATATCTTGGGAGCATCGTCGCTGTGGGTCAAGAGTCAGCCTGAGAGCCCCGCGGTGTTGCGGTTATTTAAGTTCGGAGTATTGCAGGATTGCACTGCTATATTGTACGGGTGAGACCCGCCCGGAACGCGTCGGGCATAGCTCTTGCCATATGTGCAAGCCGAACGAATTGGTGAGAGTCTAAGGAGTCTAGAGAGGTACGCCAGGGTTCTAAGTTTCGGCACCGGGTCTGATGAATATCCTTGTTTATCCAGAAGATAACAGACATTATCCAGTTTTATCTCCGGCAGGGTTCGACAATTCTGGTGCAATAACAGCAGAGTCATGTTGCATTACATTAGCAATGAAGGGAGGAGCAAAGGGGACGTGGAAGCCTAGATCCGTCCGTATCCGTCGATCGGCGATGACGTCGCGGAGATTGAACACGAAATTTGCAGACGTCGATCATACAGACTACAGCATTCTCTGACAGCACTCTAGTCAGCATGTCGAAACGAAAGGAAAAGGAAGACGAAGGAGGCAGTGACAGTGAAGTCGTAAGTCATTATTCTCGTCCACTTACTGTAAAAAGAAAGAACTCGTCACTTGACCATACTATCAGTAGAGTCTTGTCAACGTCGACTTCGAGTTCTTCGACCCAAATCCGAATGTCGACTACCCAGCACTCAAGCGTCTCCTCTCCCAACTTTTCCAATCTGATTCAGAGCTATTCTCTCTGAATGAACTAGCGGACCTTATCTTGTCCCAGCCGCTCTTAGGCACGACAGTAAAGACAGATGGGATTGAGAGTGATCCATACGCTTATCTCAGTGTGTTGAATATGCATGTTCACCAGGTGAGTTTGGACTTCTGGGGTTGCTCTTGGCCTAATTCTTACTTATGTCGCGTGCAGGACCACCCTTCAATAAAAGCTCTCCGATCATACATCCTCCAAAAATCGGCTGGACATACTCTGCTACAAGCGACGCTTCAATCTCTTTTTGATACCGAGGGATTGAAGGCAGACAAGCACGTTGGCTTCATATTCAGTGAACGTCTAATAAACATGCCTGTACAAGTCGTCCCGCCAATGTATCGTATGCTCGCTGATGAGATTCGTATGGCAAATGAAGACGTACGTTGACCTCTTCCATATCGTCGTGACCGTTCTTGGGTTTTTATGCATTTCTATGCAGGCTGAGCCATACAAATTTACGCATTATCTAATCTTGACACGGACGTACCGCCTAACACCTCAACAAGCAGCCGAACTTGAAGACGAACGAAACGGGGATGCACGGCCTGCGAAGAAAGCAAGAAGCAAGACCAGGCTCCCACCATTAGCACCGCCAACATCTGATATCGGCACTGGAAGAGATGTACATACGTACTCGTTCCACCCAGAAGACGGATATATTCAAAAAGTACGTCGATTGTATTTTCACTAGTTTTTCTTGTTTCTGTCTCAACTTGTCGTTCTTTCTTATTTATTGATAGTACTCATCGCATACAATCGACTATTCTCTCACCTCGCATACTCCTCGTGAAGATGATTCTTTCGGACTCGACGTTGCAAGCAGGATGATGCTCGTACCTGGGGAGAACTTCCAACCCATGGTAGACGAGATGTGCTCTGTGTATGCTGTTCCACAGTAAAGTTCATATATACACGACGTGATCAGCAAATGTATCCAATGCAGTCGTAAACCGAACATTCGGGATCGACGTCAGGACAATCAACTCACAGCTCAGCTCATGATATGCCCTCCCGTGCTCATACGCATTTGGTTTGGTTAAACTTACGCGAGCTGAGACACTGCAATGTGCACGAACCAAAAATAGACGATCTGTGAAAATATTCGCGGATTCAATTGAGAACCACGAAGGCATCAAGCAACACCGATCAGGAAGCATGAAGACAAATAGTCCATTACGCCTCTTATCGCTGTCCCTTATTAAATAGACCTGTGATAGCCACATCATCCATACGCTCCTCTTACACACCTCAGTAGCCGTCCCCCTAGCCCAGAAGACCTGGTCAGTATCATAAAAGAAGTCATCTATGCCGGACCCGCATGCAGGTACTACTAATGCCGGCACTCCACCAAGGCTACACAAGGACGTCTATCCAGCTATAAGTCCACAAACACTCGCTTCAAGCATGCAAGGCCGGATTGTATTCGTCACCGGAGCAGGCCGTGGAATCGGACGAGCCATAGCTCTCTCCTTCGCAAAGGCAGGAGCATCAGGCCTCGCAATTCTCTCACGCACAGTCGGCGAACTCGAGTCTCTCGCGGCCGAAGTTGCCAGCAAGTATCCCGAAACACGGTCTCTCGTATGCGTAGCAGACGTCTCAGATCGTACTGCTGTCGAAGCTACAGTCAAGAAAATCGAGAATGATTTTGGACGTATAGATGTATTAGTTGCTAACGCCGGAGTGAATTTATTTCGCCCTTTCGCGTATACACCTGGAGAAGACTGGTGGCGTATTGTGGAAATCAACCTCAAGGGCCCTATGATGCTTACAGAGATGGTCCTACCTGGAATGCGCGCTCGGAATGAGGGGTCAATCATATATGTTGTGAGTCGTGCCGGTATTCTGAGTATACGTGAGTATTTCTGCGAATTTCTAATCCGCTGTGAATTAATTTCATTGCCGTCGTGCCGAACTGGCTGGGTGTAAAGCCGGAGCGTCATCGTACACTGTGTCGAAGTGAGCCACTCCTCCATAAGCTAAATATACATATTCTAAAATATATTGCTTCGATCAAGGGCGGCGCTCATCCGTGCTTGTGCTGTCCTTCAAGTTGAGCTCGATACAGAAGCAGGCGGGGAGTCAGGGATCCACACATATTCATTACATCCTGGTACGTCAATTCGGCCAACATTTCTAGGGAGCTTAGCTGGATCTTGTCAATTGACGATAATCCGTGAATGTCAAAGGTGGCGTGAAAACAGAATTGACGCTAAGTTCGCTCCATCCGGATGTCGATAAAATGCAGCCAGGGGTAAGCAACAGTAGGGCGGCATTAGAAGTCTTACTGAGCACTTTGGATTCTAGTTTTGTGATCGCATTCGAAATGTGTATGAAAACGTAATGGATCAGACGTACGTAGACTTGCTCCTTCTAGTTACTTATTCCTTTCGCCAACGTTTTCCTACCAGGCCAGAGCTTTGCGGTCAGACATGCGTGTATCTCGCAGCAGGTCGTGCTACTGCTCTTCGCGGGCGTTACCTCGATGTTGGAGACGACATTGAAGACATCGCCCGACAGGCGGATACAGTCCGTAAAATGAATATGTATGATCTTGGAGTAAAGATACTCGGGGGCCAAATGGCGGAAGGACTCCGACGCGAGCCTTGACCAAAGAGCACAGATTTGAAAGAATTAGGAAGTTCTGGAAAGAAATGTATCTGCGTTAAATAAATCGTACAACAAATACCTTAGTCCTCATCTACGGGCGGGAGTCAGCGGACAATTGACCTTTGAAGTGCTCTGAGCCTCTGACTCAAAGTTAACAACAGCATTCTAGTCACGTGCATTACCACAGATGATATCGGCTTTACTCAAATTACATACTGTAATATTGTTACTCGCTTATAATCAAAGATTTGTGTTAATTGTGAGCAAGGATCTATCACGGCGTAGAGTATTTTGCGTTCGTGGATTCACAATATTATGTACCGTAATCTTATTTTATCACTCCCCAAAGTAGGCTTAAGGACCCGTAGCTCAGCGGTAGAGCGTGTGATTCCAGAAATGGAATATAACCTTCCTAAAAAGGAGCTTCCACAAGGTCATCCGTTCAATCCGGGTCGGGTTCAGATACTTTTTTCTTTTTCGACGCCTATCTTCTAAACTGCAATTGGCTACTTTATGTCGGGTACTATGTAAATTGCTTTTTTTGAAAAGTAGGAGCTTTCACATCTCACAATTAGAGAAAGCCATCTCTGAAAACATAGGTGTGTTGTATACTCCACTTCTTTCAATTAGAAGAAGCACTCATGCTGTCGGATTATTCATTAGCAAACAAAGGCCCAACTTCCGAATTTCTTGATCTTTCAGCGATAACTTTGATCTAAGCTATCAATGATATGTTAATGAAAGGACAGCTCGCTTGAGGATTCGGATGTTACAGTGCTTGTAGATTCACAAGTGCGTACCACTACATTGAAGACATTGAAGAGAACCAATATTGTGGAGACATTCGTCTTAACACAAAAATAACCAGGAAAAATGCATGAATTTGACAAAAACAACAGATATCAGATGCCTGCGCCCCCTGCAACTTCGAGTGTATGGCCAGAAACGTAAGCCGCCAGGGGGGAGATTAAGCTAATGACGTGGTGAAACGTGGCAATCAGGATATCGGGTTGTCAGAGTTTTGTGGAAAACTTACAAGAGAACGCTGTTAGCTGCTTCATCCGTCGTCGCTGCTCGGCCGAGTGGGATGTGTGGTACGGGTCTATTCGGATCTGCCCCTGGGATCCCCAAAGCGACTGGCTTGCCGTCAATAATGATTGCTTCACCCTTCTCCTTCGCACCTGTTAACCTGGATTTCGTTTTTAGCATACATTTCAAATGCAGTAATAGCCTCCATATAGGGATTATACCTCGTCTGAACATATCCAAACGCAACGGTGTTGGCACGCACACCAAACGGTCCCCATTCCTTCGAAATTGTCTTCGACATACCAATGACGGCAGCCTTGGCGGCAGAATAGTTAACTTGACCGGTATTTCCATGTAATCCTGCCACGGAAGATACATTGACTATTGAGCGATTCTCTTTAGTACCTCCCTAAAAACACAATAAGTTCATGTCACCATTCAGAGTGAAGCATACTAGCGTATCGTGCATTGTACTCACCTTTACGCGGAAGAAAGGTGCAGCGGCGCGAATCAGCCGGAATGGTGCACGCACGTGAATCTTCATGATTACGTCGAACGCTTCGTCAGACATTGTATGCAGCATCTTATCATATGTAAAGCCAGCTGGATGCAACAACCATAATCATGAGACCAATCCGATTACATAGGACTGCGACGCTCAAAATTTTACCATTGTTAACAATGTGGTTGAGTTTTCCAAATTTACTATAAAGAGTTGCATCACGCCTATAGAATATTGTAAAATGGAAAGAAACATACTCGATTGTCGCTTTGAGGATTTTCTCTGGGAAATCGTCTGCTCCGACGTCCCCGCCGACTGCAAGTGCATCACCACCAGCAGATTTGATTTCTTCCACAACTTTTTGAGCTTTTGCCTCGTCAAGACTAAGTAGCACATCAGCAACCAGTTCAAAAGGGAAAGACGGGATACCGACTCGCTAACTACGACCTTTGCTCCCTCACGAGCGAAAAGCAGAGCGCAGCTCCGTCCAATTCCCTATGTATTTATCGGTATCAGACATTTATTAGTCTTAAACCTTCATTCAAACAACGGACCTGTGCGGCGCCTAACAATCCCAAATGCACGAAGTTTGTTAGCACCATAGTAAGACCAATAATCAACTCGCCCAGGAAGAATGCACCAGTTACAATCACAACTTCGCCGTTTAAAAGACCATTCGGGTATGAGGTTGTGAGGTGACTTGCAACTTGCTTCAGACGTTCTGTCATTTCTTCGCAAATTGTTAGCTTGTTGGGGTACGAATAGGTGTCAGTAAGCAAGAAGCTGTCGGTACGTACGAGTGAACAGACGCCGATCTTATACACAGTCATGTCCGGCCTCCGGATAATGTCAATAGCCGATGAGAGTACCACGTGAGATCTCCCACGTGACAATTCTTTCAATTTTTTGGCCTAAGTTACAAGTAGTCCAATCGTCTTGTTTGCAACATTGCGGGACAGATATGTTGTCCACCCTATTTAATCGCTGTGCTCGGCGACATCGTCTGTATCGGCCATTGAAATCGTTATCTAATCTAGGTGACTATCATTCAACGTCGTTACGTCTGAATATTTCACAAAATTACCTTGACAAGGTGCAGAAACGAGCTGAACAGTGAGTCTACAGTTGTCTTTGTATTCTCGTATTCGTACTTATTTCCTTTACAATCGGATATACTGGATAGACAGGGAGTTTCCGTGGACGAGTTGAAGCAGAGAATCAAGCAGAGTGCGAAGCCGAAGCCATTACCTGAAGCTCAAACACTTCAGGAGCAACGAGCAAAGAAGCTTGAAGCAGATAGGAAGAGCAACGGTCACAAACCTGCAGCATTTGCAAAGAGTGAGAGGAAAGATGAATCTCCTGTAAAGGTGTGCAAAATCTATTCATTTTTCATCCATGGTTAGTATCCTCATCATCAAACGAACACTAGCATCTGGCAGAAATTATGGATATCCACAAAATTCTGCGAACCCCGCACACGGCTGAGCAAATATCTGCTCTCTGGACAGCCTTTCATGCTTCTCGATCCGGAGGTACTGGGCGAGGTTACCTTTCAGCCTCTGTTCCATTGCAAACGTACGAGACACTGATCGAGTCGGGCAAGAAACACCCAACATTTATTATTCCTCTTATACGTGAAGCTTCCCAAGCGACTGAGTCTGCAGAAGGAACTACGGAGAAGCAAGAGCCTGCATACGAATTTTTCTTCATGCAGTGGGCCTTCCATCCTGCACCGTCCATACCAACGCCTAGTGTCCTCGATCTACCTCTCCCAGAAGATGCACTATCTTCTCCGCCAGTCCACCCTATCGCAACAGTTCTCTTCACACCTCTTCTGGAATACAAAACCCGGGCAACGTTTGCAACTCCCCATCTCGTGCTTACGCTATATCCCGAACTTGCACAGAGTCACCAACTCGTTTTGCTCCGTGGCGAGCTTACGCCTTCACCTTCTGATACCGGACGATATCTCTTAAGCCAGCAGGAAGCACAGCTGCTTGCTCTTGGGCTGCAGAGATTCTATCTAGCCAACAGGGAGGAGGAGAGGGCGGAGTTATTGAGGGTGTTTAGCGAGAGCCCGAGTGAGTTTCAGTGGGAAGAACTGCTGAAGCATGCAAACCCGACCTCGTAGGAGCATATTGCGGACTTATAGATGCTTTTTTTTAAACACATATAAATCGAACGCATTTAATACCTGTAGCCTTTTCCTTTCTGTTTTGCTTTTGGGAGGGAGGAATGAGCACGTGCACAATACGCGGCACCAGCACTTCAGCACGCGCGTCAAGGAATCTCACATTAAGCCGCCACCGCCTTCCTCCTCAGTCTCGACGAACTTGAGCACTTCAACGAGAGAACTATAACTAACTCGACAATAGTATTACAAAAGGGAAGATAAAAATGGCGCTTGATCTCTCAGCAAATACAGCATCCAAATTAGAACCGTTCTTGTTGATGTCAAAATCCGCCAAAGGCGCTGCGGCGGCGAAACTCATAATGGACGCGACGGCTGCACCTGGTGTTTTCGTATTCTCAGAGTTGTTGGAGATGCCGAATATACAGGAGGTTCGTATACATGCTGAATGAACCGGGATTCGTCACTAATGAATAAGTGTTGCATAAATGTGGCATATAGTTGTCGAAGTCCGAGCAGGCGCCATATCTGACACTCTTGCAAGTCTTCGCACACGGGACGCTTGAGGATTACAACAGTAAGCTGTATTTGCATTCTGTTCTGCTGTTACTACTAATAATAGTTTCGCAGATGTAAAACAGACTGCGACTCTACCGGATTTGAACGATGCTCAACGGACAAAGCTACGACTCCTGACCATCGTCTCACTTACTCTCGACCATCGGGTTCGTACCATTTCCTAGCATTCTTCCTGCATAATATTGCTTAACTTCCGTTTTATACGTCGCATCATAGATTCTTCCATACGAATTACTTTTACGAACATTACAAGTACCGACCATCCGTGAATTAGAGGACCTCATCATCGATGGCATTTATCTCGACATCATGCGCGGGAAACTCGATCAGAAAGAACAACAGTTTGAGGTAGAATGTACTATCGGGCGAGATCTTGGACCGGGAAAGTTAGAGATCCTACTGAACTCTTTACAAGATTGGTGAGTTAAACTTTCGTCTATGCCCAGACGAGTTTCTAATGCAGATTCATTCGATTTATTACTGGGCAGGGCACGTACGACCTCCGCTGTACTCTCCACGCTCGATGCACAACTCGCGCAGCTTGCATCTCAAGGGATGGCTAAGAGACTTGAACGAGAAGAACACGAGCGAGCCGTACAAGCTACACTTTCAGATGTACGGAAGGAGAGCAAAGCTTCGGGCCGTACGGCTCGGGGTAGCATGTATGATAGGGAGCGGGGCGATGGAGAGGCGATGGACGTTGATGAACCACGGGGCTCCTCAGGCTCGGTGGACGCTGCGAAGGGAAGGAAATTCAAGTAAGCTTCAAAATATACCTAGGTTTAGTAGAAAATGTTGGTATTCAACTGACTTGACGTTTATCATTCAGACTGCAAGACTATGGAAAGACTACCGCACGAAAGCGGAACCGGTTCTAGTTTAAGCATAAGCTGGTTACCTGCTGTGTTATTACCTTTCTGTTGTCGTCTTTTACTTGCCTCACACGCACATTTATCTGTATTCCTTATCATTACTCCAAGGGTCGAAATAACGTTGCTCTAAGCTGATTCGCTTCAAATGAACGAGGTGCACGACGATATATGGAATGAAGTATTTTGGATTGCGAGTTTCTACTGTAACTCGCTTGACTCATAATGACATTACAGCCTTGCAAATGTTTTAGTAAGGTACGCAGAACGATTATCGCTCTAAGTGAAAGGAGGTTACCGGCCCAGCGTCAGAACTTGCTCCCTCCAGTCTGCTTTCAGCAACTCATTTGCCTCGCACCGCTGCCCCTTCAGAGAAAAGAGATTTCGGAAATTCGGTATTCAACCCATTAACATGAAGTACCTGTACGTCTTTAGTGAACGTCTGCTTCCAGCGTCGAAAACGTGTGAACCCGAGGCATGTTGCAATGCCCATTCGGAGTACAATGGATACAATATTTCCGGGTAATGTTTGATCTCAAAGGAATGCTTCAGTAGATTACAGTCATTCTAAGAGAATAGTGTTAAAGAAAAGAGATCTGGTAGGATAATTTTTGAGAGTTGTTATATAATTGTATACATGTAAATAACTATCTAGTTTTATACTTATCTTGTATCTATAATTTTAACTCAACTTGCAGATTCGTCCAAACTGCTTAGAAACTGTGACTCAGTAAGATAAGATGTGCTTAGTTCTTAACTTGTGTATTTTATGATACTTGACAAATGTGTTTAGATTTATTTACATAAATAAATCACTACAATTATTCTAAACTAATATTGTTACCAGAAAACATAGTCTCTAGTCCATTCAAATTCAAATTATTACAATGACGGTTTCAGCTACTGTGAAGTGCAAAGAAATTTCAGAAAGTCAAATTAACATTGTGTACAAGTAAATAAAATTTAGTTTCCTACGTGTTTAAACTTTACTGTCAGGATTCAGTAGACACATTAGAATATGATATACCATATTCTGTCTGCTGTGATTGTATTAAAATTGTAACCTGCAGGTGATTGAAGAAGACCCAAATATAGTATCGGTATGACCTAATTGGTCACTCGCGCATCATGGCTCGAAACTGAACTTCAAACCACCATGACATCCATCGGTCCTCAAGTACCTGAACATTTACTCAAGAAACGACTCGCTGAAGAGGATGAGGGGGGTGAAGAGAATACAAATATTGAGACTGGGCCAGGGCCTGCGACAGCTCCTGGAGCAACTATACGCCCTGAAATTCCAAGAGACTTAACAAAACCGTCTGTGTCGCCTAGCGCACCTGAAGACGAGGATGACGATGACGACTATGGGCCAGCACTCCCTCCTGACCTACTCGCAAAGCGTTCTGGAGTAAACGCTGGTCCCGCAAGTAAAGTCTCGCCTGCTCGAACACCTTCAGAAGAACCGCCGCGTCGAGTCCTTGGGCCTTCTCTGCCTGGCCACGACCGGCAATCGCACAGCGATGCAGAAGACAGCGACAATGACGACTACGGACCAATGCCACTTCCTGCAGGAGTACAAACTACTGACAGTGTGAGTGAGGGTGTACGAGAATTTCTGGAGAAGGAGGAACGACGACGACGGGAAGTCGAGGTATGCTTAATTCACCACCAGGTTTCAATGGCACCGCAATACTAATATCGTGTTTATAGGAAGCAGCTAAACCAAAGAAACCAAAACGCGATGAGTGGATGCTTGTCCCACCTTCATCTTCTGACCTCCTCGGTCGTACGTATTCAGTGGTTTCTCCATCTCTAGAAACACTTCTGACATGGCGTATTATTCCTGTAGACCTTGGTGACCCAACGAAGCTAAAAGCACGGCAATTCTCCCGTGGAAGTGGATCAGCTTCACGTTCAGCACCAAACAACCTGTGGACGGAGACACCCCAAGAACGACAACAACGCATTGCAGATGAAGTTGCAGGGAAGAAGCGTCGAGCCGTGAACGTCGACGAAGATGCTTTGGATCCCCAAGAAGATCGCAGGAAGAGAAAGAGGGATGCGGAATTGAAGCAAGTCGTTGAGAAGCATAACGTACGTCTTTCCTCACCTCGTTCCCTATTTACTCTAACACTGTCTTGAATAATAGAAATCATCACGCGATAAGACTCTCCTTGAAATGCACGAATCAGAACGAAAGAAAGAGAAGAAGAGTAAAGCTGGCGATGAAGAACCAGCGGTCATATGGGACCATGCTCGAGACATGTCAGTCGGTGGGAAGCTCATGGACGAGAAGCAGCGTGGTAAACTCATTTCTGATGCTCGTTCTTTGGGAGATAGGTTTGGTAGTGGGAGGAGCGGTGGATACTTATAATGGCTTTGTTTTGTATTACAGTACGTGTGTTTGGTATTGCAGACTGAAGATAGCGGGTTTTGGTTGAGAAGGCAAATTGATCGTCCGTACCACTGCTCAGCACAGCATGGCTCCATCGTTCTGTGGCTTTTGCCCTTACGCAAAAAAGTGAAACGACTGCTAGACTTGTTTCCTTTCCTATTCACACGCAATACAGTGGGTCAAAGTATCGTACTGAGAGGACACCAGAATGCAACGGAGTTCAACACACCCAGAATAAGAATCCCTGTTACAAGATAGTGATACAGCCGACGAGTATTAATAATTTACACCCTTACAATAAACGACCGAATCAAAATACACGACAAGAAAGCAAGGCCATTCAAGCATACTATAAAATGCAAGTTAGTTCGAGCAAGGTGCAATTTTTGCGAACAAGCAACTCACTCTATTGAAAGTCCTAGTCATCCATGCAGCATCACCCTCCTTCACGGCAGACTTCTTGCTCTCATACAAACTCCGAACCGCATCACTCATACTCGCCTTGCGTTTTGCTTCCTCTTCTGCGAGACTGCTAGCTACCGCTCGACTGGCAGCAGCAATCGTCGGGTTCAAAGATGGCATAGGCATGGATTTCGCCTTTTTCGTTTCCGAAGGTGGCTGCTCGGAGTCAGCTTCGCCTCCCTCTGCAGCTTTCCTCTTCTTCGACTTGCTTTTCCCCTTTGTTGTTGCTTTTTCGCGTTGTCGGACCTCCATCGCTGCACGCATGCCCGTTTCTGTCTCGGGGTCTGGATTGAGCATGTGGACGTCCATGATGCGTTCGTACTTAGCACCACACTGAGGACAGAGATCAAGTTGCTTGGACCCAGCATCCTTCTTCTCCTTATCTTTCTCCTTCCCTCGATCTTCATCCGACGACGAAGGAGACGCGGAACCATTCGAACCTGACAGAGCTTTGAGACCAGCCTGCGAAAGAACGCAACCGCACGTGGCGAAGTACACGAAAGGTGCTCCACCATTCATCTCTCTCAGTGTTAGCGGACAGATAAATTGTGCACGATCGGTTGGTGAATCAGATACTGGTCGAGCGGGGTTCGGCGTTAACTTTAAAGTCTTGACGTCCTGGACAAGTAAGTCACATTTAGCATATTTGAGCCGTGCAAATGAAATACATCACGCACCTTTAATGACTTTATATGTCCACATATCTCATCTCCATCACCATAAGCCGACTTATCAAGTAGATACTCTAATATGGCATCTTTATTATACAGCTTGCCGAGCGCACAAGATACAATCGGCTCTTGCAAAGGTCGCTACAAAATCAGATACATCATTATTAGTAAAGTAAGCAAAACAGCGGGTGAGAATATATCTGGCATACCTTTGACAACGCACAGAAGAACCAGCGTGCTTTCACCTGATTAGCCTTGTCTGCTTGCTCTGCCTGTGCAGAAGAGGTCAGTCTCCTAGGCTAAAGCTGAATGGTCAAGTTGAATACGTACCTTGGCCTTCGTTTTTACCAAGTCGCGCCTATCCGGAATGCTTCCTCCATCATTACCCATGTTGACTGTGGATAATTCTGAATATAACGACGGAGTGGTGGAGGTACGAGGCAGAGGTAGATGAACAGTGGCAAGTGCGCACAGAGGAAAGTCTGGGATTCGCTTATAAATCATTCATGTGACTAATGTTACGTGATAAAGTTCCCTAATCGATTCGGTCAAGTCGATCATTATTTCAATCGGCGAATCAATTTATTGTAATGACTCATTCATGCATAAAATTATGCGCTTCTAGCTCGACCTTCTTCACACTTTTACTTCATCTCTTATCATGGTCGCCATTGCCAACGGGCATGTCAATACCCATATTGCGGAGGCTGGGACTCCGCGACATTCAGGTGTAGAAAAAAATGGAGTTGGCGTCGCACCGCTTGACGTTCGTAGATATTCTCATTCCTTGATTGGGGTTTTTATGCATTTATGCAGACCTTTTTTGTGTAGGCATCAAAATTGGTTATCAATCTGACCGATAAACCAAATTCGATTCCGGATCCGTCAACACTGAAGTTTGGGCAGGTCTGTTCATTCCATTGTATAAAAAAAAGAATATGTATTAAATACGAAGATGTTTTCAGACGTTCACAGATCATATGCTAGTCATGTCTTTCGACCCCAAATCAGGATGGTCTGCGCCTATTCTCCAACCATATCAACCATTAGCGATCGACCCGTCGGCGTCATGCTTTCAGTACTCCACGAATCTCTTTGAGGGTATGAAAGCATACCTTGGCCCTGACGGCGAAGCGCGACTATTCCGACCGAACTTGAACATGGAGCGTATGAGAACTTCTGCTGCTCGTGTTGCATTACCGGTTTGTACATCCAAGCGACCTTCAGGGCAGCATTATGGCTCATACATTGTGTAGACATTCGATCACGATACTTTGTTGACTCTGATAAGAAAACTTGTTGCAGTTGAAAGGCGTTGGATTCCGTCGTTACCTGGATACAGTCTGTATATCCGTCCTACCATGATTGGCACGCGACCGCGTAGGCATCTTCTTATATAGTATCGAACACTACCAGCTGAAAATTTTGCGCCGTGCAGACCTTGGTGTCGGACCATCGGACCATGCAATAATCTACGTAATTTGTTCTCCTACCGGTCCCTATTTTGGTGCTGGGGCAAAAAGCATATCGTTATATGCAGTATACGAGACCGTTCGTTCTTGGCCTGGTGGGACTGGCGGTCACAAACTAGGATTGAATTATTCGCCGGGTTTTGAGGCTCTGAAACTTGCTACACAAAGAGGGTATAACCAGGTGCTTTGGTTACTCGGCGACGGAGACGAGCATAAAATTACAGAAGCTGGCGCGATGAATTTCTTCATTGCCGTTCAGCGTACCGACGGTGATGTCGACCTAATTACCCCTCCACTTGACGGGACGATCTTGCCTGGCGTGACCCGTTCTTCGGTGATTGAGCTTGCGCATGCGCATTCGTCGGGGACACCATTGGATGGGATATCACCCAGTCAGCGAATGCATGTCCATGAGCGTACGTTGACGATGAATGACCTGAAGAAGTTCTCAGAAGAGGGTACGCTCCTTGAAGCATTTTGCGTCGGGACTGCTGTGATTGTTGCTTCTATAAACCGGATTGGTTACGAAGACAAGGACATTCTGCTCCCAGAAAAAACTCCAATATGCCACGCACTACACAGTAGGATTGAAGCTATTCAGGAAGGACGCTTTGAGTTCCAGGGATGGAGCGTGAAGTGCTAGGTAGAAATCTACGTCATTGGATATATAGATATTTTTGGTTTTTTCTTCATTTGGTATAACACAGCCTCCGTGCAGAGGCCCAAGGTCACATATTGTGATAATTTGTAATCTGCTCTTGTTTCTCGCCGTGAATGATGAAGCCATAGTGAGAAGTCAATAAGGCTGTTAGACAGAGTCGACATTAGCAGCGAGTCAAGGGTTAACACAGCTGGGCTGGGTTTAGTCAGCTACTACTTACGTAGGGTCGAGTCAAGCGCCAGCGGGAGCGAAAGGCTGTGACACGATGTTGTCACGGGGCGTCACGGCGTGTGGGTTGTGATTCGTGGTCACTCACTCGTGGGAGCTTGTTGCTCTTCTGCCTCGGACCACGACGTCGCTCGTCGTTTGTCATTCCCGCCCTCATCCACCACCTCAAGACTCGCTCCCGGTCTTGTCTTTGTTGGTGTCGACACGTCCTGCTCGTCGTTTTCTCTGTCGTGGGCGCACTTTCGTCTGGTCGAACTAGTCCCGCAGCCGCAGTTTTCCTGTGTCGCTGTGTCGTCCGGCGCCTCTTTGAAAACCAACAGCAGGCTCACGTTCCCGCTCGTGCTCTGCTTGTTTCTTTTATATTTCCCGAAAACCTATCCCGGCGGATCTTTTCTCGCTTGAACTTATATTATAAACTTTTTCTTTCAAAATTAGCTTTTGTTTTTTTCGTCCACCCCTAATTGCTTTGACGCCTTGACTGCTTTTTTGAGCCATCATCTCGTATTTTTGCCGCCATGGTTGGTCACCAGTTTGCGCATTCCGCCGCACCCATCCGCAAGGTCAAGGAGGTTCAGTTTGGGATCCTCTCGCCTGAAGAGATCGTGAGTCCTTTGTCCTCCACATCGCTCCTTTGTTCCAATCATTTCTCTCATAATACTCTTTTCGAATGCAGAAAGCGTACTCTGTCGCAAAGATCGAGCACCCTGAGGTCATCGATGAGGCGACTCACAAGCTCAAGGTCGGTGGTCTTAATGACCCTCGGATGGGGACGACGGATCGGAATTTCAAGTGCCAGACATGTGGTGAGGGGATGGCTGAGTGTCCAGGGCATTTCGGGCACATCGAACTTGCTCGACCGGTATTTCATCCAGGTGCGTGGCTTGAAATATCTGCATTAAATCCTTTCTGATGGCCATTCAGGCTTCATTGTAAAAGTGAAGAAAATTCTCGAATGCATTTGCGTGAACTGCGGGAAACTGAAGGCTGATACCGTAAGTGACTGTCCCAATATCCATTCATCGTTTTGCACCCTACATCCCAAATTTTCTGGGGGCTCTCTCCAAATGATGGAGAACCCCAAACTCGCATCGCTGTGTAGTCCTCGATAACGGGGCGTTCTTCCTCTCGGGCATGGGTCGTGCGCGTCATCGGTCGTTTGACCGCCGCATTGACCATTGCACATGCTTCGCAGGTGGTTGGGCCACAGCACGCGAGTGAAATGGGGGGCTGAACGAGGAGTGCGATAGAAGAAAAAAATAATATCGGACTCAGCCGTGAAACGCTGACTTCCGAGTTTGGATGGATGTTGTCAGATGGTCCTTGCACTGTGTCGCAGTTGCAGGATACGAGTCTGACCTACGCACTTTCTACTTGCATCTGCCCCCTGTCTTATACTTTCTATATTAACATGCATTTTTCCCCCGCGTGGAGCGGTCGTAAGAGAACATATGCTAACATCTTTACTCGTTATTTTGCCATTATTGGATACAAACTCTACGTCGTACGTCGTTCATACTTTATAGACTGATCCTGCGTTTGCGGATCGAATACGACTGGCTCGCGACCCGAAACGCCGTATGGCTGCCGTCTGGTCGTATTGTAAAGGCAAGATGACGTGTCAACCAGACGAAGATCAGGGAGATGCTGAGGGCATGGAGAATGTCGAACCATTAAAGAAAGGCCATGGTGGTTGTGGACACCAACAACCGCAAATCCGAAAAGAGGGACTCAAGCTACTCCTTCATTATAAAAAAAACAAAAATGAAGAGGAGGAAGAGTTCAAAGCGGCGCAGCCCGATAAGCGACCGTTCACGCCTGCTGAGGTATTCAACGTCTTGAGGAAAATCTCAGACGAAGACTTGGGCCTACTCGGCTTGTCGGAGGAGTACGCTCGTCCTGACTGGATGATACTGACTGTTTTACCTGTTCCCCCTCCCCCTGTGAGACCAAGCATATCTGCAGACGGTGGTGCACTACGAAGTGAAGATGACTTGACCTACAAGCTGGGTGATATCATCAAAGCGTCAGCAAACGTTCGTAGATGTGAGGAAGAAGGCGCACCGGCGCATGTCATTTCTGAGTTTGAGCAGCTGTTGCAGGTATGAACCGTGTGGTCTTGTAGTGACCCACCGTCTGACACATTTTACAGTTCCACGTCGCCACATACATGGATAACGACATTGCTGGGATACCGCAGGCTCTTCAGAAATCTGGTCGCCCTGTTAAAGCCATCCGTGCCCGCTTAAAAGGTAAAGAGGGTCGTCTACGTGGTAACCTTATGGGGAAGCGTGTCGATTTCTCGGCACGTACTGTCATTACGGGTGATCCGAATTTGGAGCTTGACGAAGTCGGTGTACCGAGGAGCATCGCCATGACGTTGACGTATCCGGAAAGAGGTTTGTCAATGTCGCGCGATATGCGTGTATTTGACTAAAGTCCTTGTGTAGTGACACCGTACAACATCGCCTACCTGCAGGGGCTGGTACGAAACGGTCCACGAGAGTATCCTGGAGCAAGGTATGTTATCCGGGATACGGGCGAGCGTATCGACTTGCGGTACAACAAGCGTGCGGATGCTTTCCTTCAATATGGATGGATTGTGGAGAGACACCTGAAGGACGGAGAGTACGTACTTTTGCCTCTATTGACTTCCGTGTTTCCTCTTACGACTATCTTCGCAGCTATGTTCTTTTCAACCGTCAACCGTCTCTGCACAAGATGTCGATGATGTGTCATCGTGTACGACTGATGCCCTATTCTAGTACGTACTATCTGTTCATAATTCAGTATGAATTTACTTACATTGTCCATTAGCCTTCCGTTTGAACCTTTCTGTCACTCCTCCCTACAATGCCGACTTCGATGGTGATGAGATGAACATGCAGTATGTAATATTTGAAGTCTCTTTCACTCCTCTTTCTCAGCTCCGTCTAGCGTTCCTCAGAGCGAAGAGACGCGAGCCGAGCTCAGTCAAATAGCCTGGGTGGCTAAGCAAATCATCTCGCCGCAGGCGAACAAACCTGTCATGGGTATCGTTCAGGATACGCTTTGTGGTATTCGCAAGTTTACTCTGCGGGACTGCTTTCTTGACTGGCAGCAAGTTCAAAACATCTTGCTTTGGGTACCGAATTGGGACGGTACTATTCCAACGCCAACGATCCTTAAGCCTAAACCTCTATGGTCGGGAAAGCAGATTCTCAGTTTGACCATACCACGCGGTATAAATATCTACCGTTCTCCTGACCCGAAGTCATCGAACCCAGTCTTTGATGATGGTATGTTAATTGAAAATGGCGAGATCATCTTTGGTGTCGTCGAGAAGAAGACGGTCGGTGCATCGCAAGGCGGTTTAATACACGTCTGTTTCCGCGAGAAGGGACCCGAAGCAACTCGTACGCTCTTTACGGGTCTGCAACAAGTGGTAAACTATTGGCTGTTCCATAATGGGTTCAGTATCGGTATCGGCGATACGGTTGCAGATAAGAAGACCATGGCGTACATCACGGAGCAGATTAAGATGCGGAAGCAGAATGTTGCGAAGGCCGTCGAGGATGCGTCGAGCGACCGTCTGAAAGCAGCACCGGGTATGACCATTCGAGAGTCTTTTGAAAGCAGAGTTGAACGTGAGCTAAACTTGGCTCGTGATCACTCTGGTCAATATGCGCAGAAGAACTTGAAAGAGGACAATAACGTCAAGCAGATGGTCGTTGCTGGTTCGAAGGGTTCTTTTATTAACATCTCGCAGATGTCCGTTTGTGTCGGACAACAGTCTGTGGAAGGAAAGCGCATACCTTTTGGCTTTAGGCATCGTACATTACCCCACTTTACGAAGGACGATTTCAGTCCAGAGGCGCGTGGGTTCGTCGAAAATTCGTACCTCCGTGGTTTAACCCCACAAGAATTCTTCTTCCATGCTATGGCTGGACGAGAAGGATTAATTGACACAGCTGTCAAGACAGCGGAGACCGGTTACATCCAGCGACGACTTGTGAAGGCGCTGGAAGACGTTACTGTTTGCTACGACGGCACTGTTAGGAATTCTCTCGGCGATCTCATTCAGTTTGTCTATGGTGAAGATGGCATGGATGGTGCTTTCATCGAGCGCCAGACTATACGAACATTCGGAATCAATGATCGCGAGTTCGAACATCGCTATCATGTCGACGTCACCGACCCGAAGGGTGGATTCCTGCCCGGAGTTCTACAAGTCGGTATTGACGACTCGTCCGTTGAGCTTCAGGAGAAGCTCGACACGGAGTACGAGCGTCTTCTTGAGGACCGGAGATTACTCCGCGAATTCATTTTCCCTGGTCGCGATAATTCGACAGCGCATTATCTTCCCGTCAATCTGAATCGAATCGTGCAGAATGCAACGCAGATCTTCCATATTGACCGGAGAAAACCGAGTGATCTGGAACCAGCGTATATCATCGACCAGATCCAGCAACTTGCGGACCGTCTTATCGTTGTACGCGGCGATGATCATCTCACTCGAGAGGCCGCCGAAAATGCGTCTCTAGCATTCAAAATGCACCTTCGCGCAACATTCGCTGCTCGACCGGTATTAGAAGAATTCCACCTTAACAGGGAGGCTTTCGACTGGGTTTTGGGTGAAGTGGAGACGAAGTTCAATCAATCGATGGCGCATCCGGGTGAAATGTGTGGTACGCTTGCTGCGCAGTCGATTGGTGAGCCGGCAACGCAGATGACGTTGAACACGTTCCACTATGCTGGTGTCTCGAGTAAAAACGTCACACTCGGTGTACCACGTCTTAAAGAGATCATCAACGTTGCCGAGAAGATTAAGACGCCATCACTCACGGTGTATCTGGAGCCGGAAATCGCTGCTGTTGACACGAGGGCCAAGTCCGTTCAGACTGAGCTAGCATACACGTCGCTGCGCACGGTGACTGCTGCGGTTGAAATCTGGTACGATCCCGACCAAGCGACGACTGTTATAGAAGAGGATAAGGAGTTCGTTGATGCATTCTTCGCTATTCCCGATGAGGAAATCGAGGCGAACATCCATTTCCAGTCGCCATGGTTGCTGCGTCTTGAGCTCGATCGGTCAAAGATGCTTGACCGAAAGCTCACGATGAACTACGTCGCCGGCCGCATCGCGGAAAGCTTCAAAACGGATTTGTTCGTCATTTGGAGTGAAGACAACGCGGAAAAGTTGATTATTCGTTGTCGTGTCATCAGTCAGGGTGACAAGGATGAAGAGGATGGGGACACGGTAGAAGAGGATATATTCTTGCGTCAGCTTGAGCATACGATGCTCAACTCCGTCAGTCTTCGTGGTGTGCCAGGCATCTCGCGAGTCTTCCTTCTAGCGCATGACAAGATTGTCGTCGCGGACGATGGTTCGATTCAGAAGGGTGACAAAGAGTGGGTTCTTGAGACAGACGGAGTTAACTTGAAGACTGTGATGTGTATCGATGGAGTTGATTGGAAGCGCACGTACTCGAATAGCTGTGTGGAAATCTTTGGTGTGCTGGGCATCGAAGCGGCTCGGGCGGCGATCATGAAAGAGATGAGAAACGTTATCGAGTTTGATGGTTCTTATGTGAACTATCGACACCTTGCCTTGCTTTGCGACCTTATGACACACCGCGGTTCATTGATGGCCATCACTCGTCACGGTATAAACCGTGCGGATACTGGAGCGCTTATGAGGTGTTCATTCGAGGAGACCGTTGAGATCCTCATGGAAGCTGCAGCTGTTGGCGAGAAAGATGACTGCCACGGTATTGCAGAAAATGTGATGTTTGGCCAAATGGCACCAATGGGTACTGGCGCATTTGATGTTGCGCTGGACATGGACATGCTTAAAGACGTGATTGTCGATCATCGATTACCTGTACAGAGCATGCTTGCGGCTCAAGCCGATGGAGGAATGACTCCCGGCCAGGTAGCGATGACACCATACGACAGCAACTCGCCAATGTGGTCGAGTGACATGGCATTCAAAGGAGAACAAGCCGCGTTCTCTCCGCTTGCCGGAACGGGTGGAGACGAGCCATCTGCCTTCGCAGCGTTCCCTTACGGCCGAAGCCCCATGGGTGCGGGCGGGATGTCTCCAGGACCGGGCTACAGCCCGAGTTCGCCCAACGCGTATTCCCCAACATCACCCTACGTTCCGCAGTCGCCCTATGCTGGCGCGACCTCACCGTTTGGGACATCGCCGTATGCGACGTCTCCCTTCTATAATCGTGGAGCTGCCACCTCGCCGACGTACTCACCCACGTCACCGGCGCTCAACTTGACGTCTCCAAATTATTCACCAACGAGCCCGAGATACTCGCCCACGTCACCATCATTTTCACCAACGTCGCCGCGGTACAGTCCGCAATCGCCTTCCTTCAGCCCTACCTCCCCTCGTTATTCTCCAACGAGTCCGTCGTTCAGTCCCGCGTCGCCAAGATGTAAGTTGATCTTTGAATTATTATGGATGGTCACTGATTATGCTGCCTGGTTCCAGATTCACCTAGTATGTGCATCCGACTCGGTATATACTGCAGTAACTAACTATCATACCTGCTTCAGCTTCTCCTGTTCATCAATCGCCCACCTCTCCTAAATATTCTCCCACCTCTCCTCAGTCTCCTGCGTCACCTAAATATTGTGAGTATTAGACCCTATACATGCTGGTAAGATGTTCTGATCTGTACCTCCCCAGCCCCAACCTCGCCTGCATACTCCCCTACCTCTCCGACATACTGTAAGTCCCGGAATGAATTTTGTCCTGCATATCGCTTTTGCTCACGCGTCCCTTTTCTTTCAGCTCCTGCGTCGCCAGCATATAGTACGTTTCATCAGTACTATCATAATAGCATGTAATTAATCTACTGCATCCGCAGGTCCCACTTCCCCGCAATGGTCACCATCAAGCCCAGCGCAGAATAGCAATATGCAGAACGGGACGACGCGACATTCGGCGTACAGTACGTCGCCATCATGGGACTGAACGGACACATGTGCATCCTGCTTGCGAGAAGTTAGGCGACCGGGAAGCTAGTCGTTTCGCTGTCAATTTTTTTCTTCCTTTTTCCCGTCAGGTTTCATGTCTAGCCAATGACCCTGATGACATTTTTTTCGTAGCGTAAAATCATCATGTCTGTTATGTAGACTTGCAATTGATTTCTTGGCTAGAGAGCTGTTGCTCGAACATCAGGATGCCTGATGCCCCAGGTGTGGTTTGACAGAACGTACTTTGGACGTGCAACACGGTTCCATATTCGTGCCGACATGCGCTTGAGGAACTGTTGAATACGATCTTTATTTCCGAGGAATCGTAGACGATTTATACTGAGGGATGCGTGTATTGAGTGATGGATGACAGACACTGTGATGACTCATCAATTATAACTGTGGCAAGGTCGCATAAACGTACGTAACTTCTATTTTTACTATACTATTGTCCTCCACCGCAGGCATCATCGGCTGCGGGGTTACTTACCAATACTATATCATCGCCATGGGGAATGTAATGCTCGACTTAATGTCACATTATGAGATCCCCTCCGATGCTCACACATGCATTCAAACGTTGGGAGTTTGCTTATAGTAATCGACTTGTCGACTATCAAATTACTCTTTACTTTTTCCCTCGCCAACTTACGGCGCTGGGACGTATGTATATTTACATCATCTACATCATCTAAAGGCTTCTTATGATGGCAGCAACGACAGTTGAAAACGTTGTTCTGCTCTGCCCTCTTCTTCAGACTGTCATCACTCTCACAGCTTCTGGGACTTGTACTTCTTTGGAGATGTCAGAAACTAAGAAGTCGGGTGGCTTTGCTACGCCGGTTGATGATGAAAAACCGGATTCTAGTCAAGTATCTGTGGCTAAACGGATGTCCCTGAAAGACATATACTACAATCCGTATACGCAGGTTATATTGCTTGGCTTCGTTTGCTTTATGGGTCCTGGAATGTTTAATGCGCTGAACGGACTGGGCGGTGCGGGTCAGTTGGATGCGACCACTAGCGCGAATGCGAATACTGCTGTTTATGCAACGTTTGCGGTCTCTGCTTTCTTCTCTGGGCAAGCAATTCATGCTTTGACTTGAAGTAAATTTATGAATTGACGATAAGCATTTCAGTTCGATTAATAACAAGCTCGGTTCTCGCACAACTCTGTTCCTTGGGACGATTGGCTACGCCCTGTATATTGCGGCATTCTTGTAAGACATGGAATTCTTTCGCTGTGCTGTACCGTACAAGAATAATAAACAAGCGGAGCAGAGCACTTAATAACAAACCAAATCTAACGAGTTTTGTCATTGCCGCGGGAGCAATCGATGGTCTTTGCGCTGGCCCTTTGTGGACTGCACAGGGATCACTGATGCTTGCATATCCAACCGGTGAGTGTTTCCTTGCTTCTTGGTTTGCAGACATGCTGATATGGAGAGTTGCAGAAAGCCAGAAAGGTCGATTCATTGGATTGTTTTGGACGGTGTATAATATCGGCGGAGTTCTCGGAGCTGCAGTATCTCTTGGACGTAACTTTCATTCCACAGTAAGTGCTCTTCCTCCTATATCGCCCATAGGCTAGAAGCTTAGTATTATTTAATCTGCCCGTTACAGGCAGGCTCAGGTAAAGTGATGAATCATACCAAAGATTGTGCAAAGTATTTACTTTGTTCCGTCCGCAGTCGATAACGGAACATACGTCAGTCCTCTTCTACATGAAAACTTTATGAACTAGCTCTTGCTCATACGAAATGAAGATCGGATTCCTCGTTCTCTCCTGTATAGGCGTCGTCATCCCTCTCCTAATGGCTAATCCGGCGAAGATGGTCCGATCCGACGGGTCAAGAGTCTCAACTCCCGTGCGCGCTTCGTGGAAGACAGTCCTTCTCGGGATATATGTCACACTGAAAGAAGATCCGGCGATATTCCTCTTATTTCCGATGTTCTTTGCGTCGAATTGGTTTTATACCTGGCGTGCGTGCTTCTTCTGATCTTCTTGTTTTCTTTGACCGAATAGATTCAGGTAATGATTGATGACAAACTTGTATAGAATTCAATGACTATAATGGTGCATTGTTCACCATCCGAGCGCGGTCGTTGAACAACCTTATGTATTGGCTGGTGCAGATGATTGGCTCGGTTGCGATTGGACGAGTCCTAGATACTAAACGATTGACGCGTCGTGTTCGTGCGTTCGCAGGTTGGATGATGCTTCTAGTAATCGTCTTCGTCGTGCACGTCTGGGGGTTCTTCTATCAAAGGTATTATTAACCTTACCTACTATTCGGAACAACAATGATATTGATATAAGGACGACTTCTTTCTAGGACATACACTCGGGAATCTGTAAAGACTACCAAAGCGATTGACATTCATGATAAAGAATATGCAGCGCATTTATGGCTGTACATTTTCTGCGCGTTGTTGAATGCTATGTGGCAGACGGCTACGTACTGGATGATGGGTGCCATGTCGAACGATCCTGCTAAATTGGCTTTCTTGACCGGATTCTGTGAGTAACTCTGCATCCTCGTAGCCAGAAGAACATCTCGAGCTCAGGTTTAACCTTGTTACGCAGATAAATCCATTCAGTCAGCCGGTGCAGCAGGCGTATGGAGAGCAGATGCAGTCGCGATTCCGTAACTCTTATTCTACTTCCGTTCGCAACATTATCTGAATATATCTCGTAGATACATGAACATATTCCTCTCAACATGGATACTCCTCGTCGCAGGCCTACTCTTCATGCTACCCATGCTATTCTTACGCGTCACCGATCATACTCCGGAAGATGCGGATGGTGTAACTGCGTAAGCAATCTCACCACACAAAAAGATATTTGTATGCTTACAGTCGATGTGTGCAGCGTGTCCACCATGGACGAGGAAGCCAAGATCTCTCCAAAGGCAGAGTAGACTGGAATAATACCTTTGCAAGATAGGCGTTATCGAGGACAAACAGTAGAGTTGGGGTTCATAAACTGGAACTGGCTCCGGCGAAGGGAAAGGAACATAAGTGACCATTGTACGAACGAAGAACAAGTATCATTACCATACATAGACAAAAGGAACAAAATCATGTACTCTCCATTCTCTGTACCAATAATCAACTGGCATACACAAGAACCTCCGAAGGGACTTCGATTTTTTCGAATTTTAATTATACCGGACCTTGAGTGGCAATACTAAAGCCAAGGGAAAAAAAGAATCAATAGTGTGGAATTCTTCCGTCCGCCCGTCCCGACGTAAGTATTTTTAATTTTAATGATATTGAATGATCGTCGGTGTTCCGAATTGAATGTGCTGTGTGAGCGTCACTGCTCGCACTAGCGCCGAGCCTTGGCGCGTCGTGTCTCCAAATACGCGTCGGGATCACGTGTCGTGTCAATACGTGGAGGAGAATCAGGACGAGACGAATGGGGCAATTGTTTCGAATTTATATTGACATTGGATTCTGACACTCGTTAGAGGATTGGATATTGATGGTGATGGACTAAGAGTTGGGAAGGATCATAATGAGATATATTTGCTAGTCCTAGTGATGTTGTCATTGATTGCAGTAACCATTGGGGGCGATATAGGAAACGAAGATGGGTTCACAAAGGCCAGAGGCACATATGAATATGTGTGTACCAGGAAGAGACAAAGGGAAGACAAAGACAAAGGAAGGTCATTTGCCATTGTAAAAGTATCCTTATGCATTTAGTCCTATTCACACCATATGAGACTGTAGGTCGATCTGCGAGGCGTGTTAATTGAGGGATAGAAATAGCGAACTACCGAATGGGGCGGAACGAAAGGACGAAAGAGCAAAAGGTTGATCATTAGTGTGTGTCTCTTATGTATGGCATGCTGATGTACTGGTTTTCAATGAGAAAACTTGCTGAACTGGAGATTCGTATTTGATGATCACGTCTGCGATTGCACTGCTAGCCATGTGTAGTTTATGATTGGGTAGGACGAGAGAGTATATCGGGTAAATAGCCTGTTAAGAACTTCGAACAGAGCGCGTACCCACGAAGAATGGGAGTTCTCGTACATGTGCATCGCGTATTTCTATACGACTCGACAAATGAGAGGATGTCGGTGATACCGGTATCTTCGGCCTACTAGAAGAATCGCACATGTTTTCAGTCACTTCCTGTCATCGTATGTATCCTGTTGCACAAAAAGTCAACAGGTATTTTCGTTTTTCCTAGCGGTTGTTGGCGCGAGGTGAATCCTTGCAGACCGGGGAGCCAGAGAAGTACGCGAAAACGGAGCGAGAGCTACAAGAATCACTGCCGATTACATAAATTACCAGACCAGCATGTCGTATCCAGAGTATAGTCCAAACAGCAAGGATATGCGACAGAGCAATGAAACGCAGGTAAATCTGCCGCCGGAGTCTAAGAGATAAGGCGGCATAGGTATACCGATGTGAGTGTCCTGTGCCTTTGTTGCAACGACTGGCCGAAGGACACCGAGCCGCTTGCTTACGCCGCGTAATTATGTTCGTGTCAGTTTCTCCCTTTGTAGCCTAATATGGAGTGGGATTGTGAATGGCAGGTGAAAGAGCCGCGTGTCGGTGGAGCTCCCAAGGCCTTGAATTGAGCGCATGGGTGTGTCAGGGGCTAGGCTAGGCGAGCTCCATGAGGGCTTTAACTGTGGGGAGATGGAAGGTGATAGAAAGTGTGGAATATGGAAAGAGGACAACGCAGAAATAATAAAATAATAAAATTAATGGGGATTCCGACTGTCACACTCACACACCAGCACAGTCACGAGACGGGTCCCGTTGGGCCTGATGGACAGCAAGCTCGTCGACAACGACAAGGTCCAAGGAGACCCTCCACTCCTGCTCTTTGCTCGCTGTCGACAGCGTCCGCCAGTCTGTCATCCACTCAGTCTCTACAAGGTATGCCCATTGCTTATCGGCCACCACGTGCCGTCGTCGTCCATGCAGCTAACACCACAGTCGTTATCGCAGGGCCGTTGCAGGCAGCCGCCGTTGTCCATCGCGTGCACTCAAAAAGCAGCGCGCCGTCGACGACGCCCATATAGTCGCCGACGTACCAGCCCTCGATGGCACTCGTTGCCGCCCACGACTGGTCGAAAGATATGGACAATAGGCAGCAGCGACCCCACAGCAACACTGATCCAGCCAACGCGACAGGTGCCGTCACACAACAAAGCCAGTCGCCCAACGCATACGCCCAACCACCCTACAGCTACGCCCACCCGCAGCAGCCCTCCCCGCCGTGGCATATGGCGGGCATGAACCAGATGAACGTCGCCCACGGCCAACCGGGCCCGGGCTACTTCCCACCGATGCAGTTCTATCCACAACATTACCCGCATCCACAGCAGCAACCACCACCACCACCGCAGATGCACGCCCAGCATCCGCACGCCCAGGGTAGTCCTTATGGACAACCCCCTCAGATGTTTGATCCCAATGCTCAGTTTGCGCAATGGGCATATCAACAGATGATGTTCAACGCGCAACAGTCGCACCAGTTGTCCATGTCTCCGCAACCCCAGTCTCCTCCACAACAACAACAGCACGGGCGCTCAGGCTCTCACTCAGGCTCAAATGCTGGGACACCCACAACTGAGTATTATCAGACCCCTTTCGGGCCCAACCGCTTCCAACAGCAGGCGAGTCCGCCGGCAAGTCAGCAATCCAGCAACAACGGATCGTATCAGGGCTTTCACCCATATCGTCGCCCAGAACGCGGGGAAAGGCGACAACACTCTGAAAATTCTGCGAGCGCGAGCGCAAGCAATGGCAACAGCGTGCCCTTCCAGCCGCCATATGCTCGGTCGGATGCAACCGGCAGCTCGACGTCTGTCAATTCCTCGTCAAGCACGTCACATCGTTCACGGACAAACTCTGGAACAAGTGCAAGCGGATCAGCGCGTCCTCAGCTCGGTCAGCAAAGTAATCCAAAGCACACGCCCCGCCAATCCTCCACGTCGTCAACGACCTCTGCTGCGCGTAGTGGTTCTTCGTCGTCAAGCACGGTATCGTCATCAACCTTATCAACCCCTGGTTCCACGCCTACTGCTCCACGCACTTCCCGCCCGTCACCATTGTCACAAGGGACTATTCTGTCTGCAGCTGAGCGACGCAAGTCCCGTGATGACAGCGATCTTGCCGCGATGCTCAACAGCACCAGCCTCGGTGATCCATCACCGGCAACTCCAGCGGCCCGGAGTGGACTCAAGGGTCGCCTCCGTCGTGCTCTTTCGTTCAATGCTGCTCAGACCTTGCGTGAAGAGGAAGAAGAAGCGGCAAAGATCAACGGCAAAAAGAAAGAAAAAGCTGACAACCTCGACACGGAAGGTGAGGGCGACGGTGCGAGCATGGCGACGAAGAAGACAAAGAAAAGCTTGCGCATGTTCAATTCACGTTTTAATGCATCAACGGACAACATATCGCTCTCCTCGACTGTATCATCTGCAAGTGTTATGATCCGAAAATTGGGTTCGATGGGGAAACTTGCACGGCGCAATTCATTGGCTGGTATTACTTCACTCTTCAAGGACAAGGATAAAGACAAGAATAAAGACGATGATGACGAAGTTACGGACCCGAAAGGGAAGAAATCAAAGGGTAAAAGTCGTAAGGCTGAGGCAAGCGTCTCGCATGCCACTGTTGAGGTTGATCGCTCAAGTGATTGGTCTGGGCCGGGCATGGAAGGTCTTTCCCCTGCTGCAAAACTTGCCCGTCAGCATACACTCAAGAGCAATGCAGAGGCTGCCGCTCGTGCCAAAGCGCAGCAGGAGGCGCAAGCCGCTGCTGCTGCTGCTGCCGCCGCCGCGGGGACTGCATCGGGAACAAACGGAGAGGTACTTCCGACAACTTGGGAACGCAATACTGCGACGAAGCACGGTGTCAATCTCGGTACGGTAAGGGAAGATGGTATGCGTGTAGTTGTGGAAGAGGACTCGGATGAAGAAGAGGGTGAGATGCGACGACAGTCAGATGACCTTGGGAGCGGGAGTGATGAGGATAGCACATGGCATGGACATGGACAAGAGGAAGACGAGGACGTTACTGTTCGTATGGGCGGAGCCGGGGTTGCCCAGGATGATGAGGGGAGCAATCTCGGTCATGCAGATGAGGATGATGAGCTGGATGAACCATGGGCTATGAACTGCAGGCGAAGTATTGAGAGAACTCGCCAACCTATGCGAGGTATTCTCAAAAGTATGCGTACGCATTGTGCAATTTGTTCAAAAGAATTTACTAACACTGATAAAAATTCCTAGACACGCAAGGTTACCAGCAGGACGAACAGGCGATTGGCCCAAATGCAGCATTCATGCAACGGAATCGCGCCAATTCGTACGATTCGGTGCCGTCGCACCAGACGGAGCGCGGACCTCTTGCACATATGCCACCGTCCGATCCCGATCATATTGATGGTCTGCATCGGCATAATTCTCACCGTTCGACTACTTCTACAGTGAAGGAGTCTGCAACCAACGGGCCACCGTTTCTCCCGCCGTTACATTTTGATTCGTCTCAGACCCTAGCGCCGTCATTATCTACGTCGTCATCATCTTCTGCGGCGGATGGTGCTAATAACCGGAATAGCGTGTTCAACCACGCAAACAATAGTGAGCCGACATTGTCAACGATGGTAGCGGCTCCGCCGACATTGAGCCATCGTTCGGCAACCACGCCTGCGAAAAGACTGGCATTCGCGGCGAACTTGAGTATTTACGACACATTCTCTTCGGCAACATACGATCGCCGCAGTGAGCCGGCGACATGGAGCAGGTTGACTCCTGCGTTAGCGCAGAGGATTAAGGAGGAACTTAATTCGTACAAGATGGAAGAAATGGAAGTTCATGCTTCAAGTCGAATACAGTACGTTCCTCCTCTGACCTTCTTTTGTGAAGCTGTCGTACTGAAGGATTTGTGTTGTGCCGTACAGCACACAGTTTTTTGTCTGATGCTGTGCATTACTTAGGCTGGAAACATCCATCAACATCTGACAGTTTTCTTCAATATCTGTTTGTCTGGTTACATTGTCCCATTCACTCATTTCCTTCCTCTCTTTCCACTGGCCCTCTTGGAGAGCAGGTCTTTTATTAAAAATGCGTACTAGCCGACGCTCATCCGCAATTGCATTTACACTGCCCCAGGTTTTGATCCCTCATATCCATCCATCCCCATTCCAGCCCACCCAATCGAACCAATCGACTGCTAGCTACGTTGCCAATTTATTATATTTCTACATTGTCGTTGCCTTGGCTTGCCTCCCACCATTCTCTCCCCTCTCTCTAGCCCCTCTTTATCTCAAGTTCTACGCTTGCGCCTACGCACGTACAACCGGAATTGTTTCTTTATCCCTTCAACTGTTGGCTGCTGCTTTTAACGTATACCCTAGTTTCTTTTTTAGCGTTTTATTGTTTTTACTTTCCTTTTCTACGTTCTTTTCCGTCTTTGCCTTGAAACGCTTTTTTGTAAACGCTTAATCAAAATAAGTTTCCTCTCTCACACGCACTCCTTTCCTTCAGCCAAGAACTAGAGCTTGTGAGGATTGCAGAAGTGACAAGCTGTGGTGGTGGGGAGAAGACCCATACACAAAAAAATACCACAATTTGCGTATTTAATTGTTTTTCCTTTTTCGACATTTTGTTAAATTTCCTTTTTGAGCTTCTATTTGTTTTTATTTTGGAGTTTGACCTGTTATTCGCTCGTTCACATTTTTACACCTGCTTTTTTTTCTGGCATCTTGTTTTCTATTCCGTTTTCTCTGCCTTCTTTTGTTGTCATTATATAGTGGACAGTTCCATTCCATTTTTTCACATTCATTACATCTTCACGCTCGTTTCATTTCATCTTCCTCGTCTTCCCTTTTCTCATGTTCATGATATCACGACATTCCGGATTTTCGATTTCCCTTTGAAAAACTCATGTGTTTTGTATGCCAGTGTCATTCACTTGGACAGCCATCCATTCATTTTATTTTATTTGGACAATCAGTCAGCCAATCGTACCAATCACCATTTACCATTTATTATTCCGTATACTCATATGTCCATAGCTCACTCAATTTGATATCATCTCAATCAATCAATTCAATGACTCTCGTCGCTTATTTACTTGACTATTTCGTTTGAAAATACAAATATGAATATTACTGCTAGTCTCCAAGATTGGAATCACATCTAGCAAACTAAGAGAGTTAGAAAGAATGTATGCGGTGCAGCCTGGGGGTTCGACCATATATATTCACTTATGCTCCAATATGCACAAGGTTAACCCATCTCTCGACCTTTATATCCACCTCTCTTCCCTCCGCATCCGACTCCGTTCGTGCCTTTAGATTCACGGCTGCATTGCGAACTGCTGCAGCAGATCGCTTGAATCCAACTGCTTCCTCTTCAAATTCATCCATGAGATATTTGTAAATATCTCTGGTGAGAATTGGTCCGTCCGTATCTAGCAACTCCCACATCGTACCAATCACACTTCTAAACCCGCAGAATTGCATCGCCGCGGCCAAATGAAGTACCTCATCCTGTGCAACCGCAGGGGACTGTTCTGCCGTATGGCAAGCAGAGAGGAAGGCGGACTCCGCGTTCGGCAGATGAGTCCGAGCGATGTCAAGCACCGTAAGTCCACCACTCGCAAGTTTAAATGACGAATTGAATGGTTCAGGATCTAGATGGCCATGACAAGCAAAGTGGACCCACTCCGCCTCTTGAAGCGCTTTTATTACTGCCTCACGCGAGGCTTTACCATCTCTTAGAAGTTTGTTGATCGGTTTACGAGCGTGTATGGCAATCATTTCTTTCTTGGTCGACGGGAGTCCTGTATCTCCGATCACAAGAAGCCTTGGATTTTCACGCCTGGTCCCCTGGCGAGCATTAATGAGTGATTTGAGTGTCGGCGTGTGGGACGAGATGTAATCATCGAGCAAATATTTCTTGTTCCCGTATTGGTCTTCATACGGCCCAGCGGCATGGAACGGGAACGCGGATAGCAATGATGTCGGACACCACCAAATTCGAGATCCTTCTGCGATTCCGATTTCCTTCAGTTTTTGAACAACTTTGGAAACGACCTTATCCCACAACATTGCCATGACTCGTCGAAGTTTCCTATCATACTCGACTGAGTGCACTCCATGATCACGTCGAGCTCTCAATAGCGCAACCAACAGCGTGTAAACACCAAAGTAGAAGTCAGGATCCAGTGGAATGGGGACACAAGGTTTGTCCTTATTGTTAAGAACAATAATTGCATGACTTATGTACTCCTTGCAAAGATTGACTACAACGACAGGTCCTTCCGAGGCCGCTTGCTGTAGTTTCTCAAATGGCGTAGCCTGGAGGAAGTCTTCGAATCCTTGTAATTGCCGTATCTCGGAGATGATCTCCCTTTGCTCTTCTGAAAGTTGTCGTACTGTCACTAACATTTCATCTATTGAACAGTGCACTTGCTTGTCTGGCACACTCTCGAGTAAATCGTTTGCCTCGGAATGCGTTGTTAGCGCTTCTAAACGACGACTAACGTCTCCGAATCTGTCCGCCAGTGGTTTGCTCGTTTCTGCCAGTCGATCTAGTGGTGTTCTGAAGTTACGCATCTGCGACCAAAGGATGGCTCGTCCTTGTTCAAGGAGTTCAATGGCTTGACAGAGGTCACCCTTCTCAATGGCATACGATGCGGCGTCCAAGGCAAGCGTTTGATAGCTAGATAGATTAGCAAGGAGAGAGTGCTGCATACGTGCCGTAGGATGGAGGGTGAGAGTACGCTGTAATAGGGATATAGCCTTTCTGTATGCTCTGAGCGTCGAAGGGTGATCGTGATCTCGTGCAAGTTCCACCCATTCGCTTGCCACCATCAAGCGAATCAGCGATCCCGAAAAAAGGTGGTCGGCAGCGCATTTAAACAGCTTAATAGCCTCTGTGATATCTTCCACTTGCTCAAGTTGGTCGAACCGGGCCTTCAAAGAACGCGCGAGAAGGGTGAGTACCTTTACATAATCGGGTCGGTCTTCTACTAAGAGAGCCAACGACGAACGATAATGCGTAATGGCCTCCTCTAAGTCCTCTAATCGCTTTACCCGATCAAATCGAGTGGATAGAGATCGTGAGAGATTACCCAGCACTGTGGGCCGAAGAATAGAGTCTCCAGGAGCAAGAGGCAAGACCTCGCGGAGCAAGGCAATTGATTCGTCCAAATCACCAAGCTCTCCAACATGTTCGAATCGGTGGCGCAGAGCATTAGCAAGGTTGACCAACGACGCGGGGCGAACGGGATTGCCTTCCGATCGAAGTTTCAACGCCTCGCGATGTAATTCGATGAATTCATTGAGAATCTCAACTTGGTTACTACGTGGGGATTGTGCTACGAGGGCATTTGCAAGGTTGTTTAATGTTTCGTGTCGATGAGGATGGCCTTGTGGAAGAAGTGACAAGGCGACGCGGTACATCGATATTGCTTCGTCCAGGTCTTCAATCCTTCCGACAAGCTCATATCGTCCGTTTAGACAATATGCAAGTTTATCCAATAGATTGGAACGGGATGGATCGTCATCTGTAACGAGGGCCAGTGCAGCTCGCAAAAGCGTGATTGATTCCTCGAGATCCTCGACCTTTCCACCACAGCTATATCTAAATCGATGTTGTAATGCGCCCGCCATATTGCCCAACAGCAGGAGTCGTTGAGGATGATCCTCAGCCATGAGTGAAAGTGTAGCACGGAGCACGCTAATGGCCTCTTCAAGAGCCGGGACATCCCCATATTGATCAAATTTTCTACACAAGGAATACCCAAGATCAATCGCCATAATCGGGCGGAAAGAATCACTCTCTGGAAGAGTGGCCAGAGCTTCTCGGTACAGTGTGATGGACTCTTCAAGATCTTCCTGTCTCTTCTTGCGTTCAAACCTTACTTGTAGAAATCGCCCAAGTCTATCCAATAGCTTGTGCCGATAAGAGAAATCTTGGTCTGAACAACAGCCCAGGGCAATGCGAAGCTTTTCGATCGCATCCTTGTAATCAGATTCTTGTCCCCAACGCTCATACCGGGCAAAATAGGATCGTCCGAGGCATTCGAACAAAAATGCACGAGTAGGATGAACCTCAGGAAGGAGGTCAATTGCAATACGGTTATGACCGATGGCTGAGTCGAGGTCTCGCCGTTCACCAGATTGTTCAAAGTGGCTAAATAGGGATCGTGCGAGGTTCCCGTGGTGTAGAACCACTGCTGCTCCCTTGAATAAGTACTTTTGTTGCTCATTTCTGAGGGAAACTATCGCGAATGGATATCAGTAGATGGCATAAAGAGTACTGCGTTGAACAGTATTGCTGACCAGACATCGTCCTTACAATCTACTCGTGGTAGTTACTTTATTGCTGGTTGATGTATTTCTGTCAGAAAAATAATCAGGATTCAGAACGTCGACTTTCCACCTCGATGAAGTTGGGAACCCACAGACTCTCCACGGAAGGGGTTGGAGGTTAAATTCGGCGAGCGTCTCCTGGTCATTCATGATCGATAGCAGGGCAGTGCTGATGCCTTGGGGTCTTTCGTTTTGTATTCCTTGTGAGAGGCGATAAACCTCTCACTTGAATCAACTGGAATGGACTAGTCGAAAAGATTACAAATTAACATTGATTTTGAACTCCGCCGAGAACCTCAATCAGTTCCATCAGTATTATTCGGTCACAGTAATTATATTTTGTAGATTCGTTTTGCGGTTGAGTATTGGAACAATCAGTACGATTATCACTTTATTGCAGACAACCAGCGCACATTATTCGTTCCATTTATGACGCGGTCAATTTTTCGCTTCTTGACTCAGCCGAAAATATATATCTTTGCCAGCTCAATGTTTTGATACGACACATCGTCCTTCTTCTGCATCCGTAGTAGCATAGCAAGGCTAAACGACGCTACAGAAAGTAGATGCTAATGTGTAATACTATAGACATCTTGAGGTATCCAGCTTTAACAGCTAGACAAATCTCGTTTGGTGCAAGTTGCAGGAGAGGGGAAAGTAGTCTGGCGTCTTCTGACCTAGTCGGTTTGACAGCAGTCATATTCGTGTAAAGAAGTGAAACATGCAGACTATCATTAATGTCAATGGATGGTTATACGTACAGGCAACAACACCAATCGCACTATGCACGAGGTACTAATACTACTCTACGCCACACAAACTATCAACGAGATGAAGTCCAGCCGAACCGATGAAGGCAATAGTCGAAAGAGCAAAAAGCACCTCCCTACACAACACGGATCCCAAGCATAAACCTCCAACCCAAATACACAGTCTACAAATCAATCAACAACGCCTCCTTCCTCTCAGTCTGTTCCAAACCCGGAGTTGGCCCGTACAGGGAAAACGTTTGAGGATTCGACGTCGGCACGACCGGGAACTGAGGTAGCTGGACTTGCGCTTGAGGCAGAGGAGGCTGGTAATGAGCTTGCGGTTGCGGTGGTGCCTGGGCCGGAGGCTGAGGTTGTTGAGGTTGTGGCTGAGTCTGCAAAGCCGGGGGCTGGTAATACTGCGCCTGTATTTGGGGCTGGGCCGGTTGATGCTGCTGAGCCTGCGCTTGAGGAGGTATATGCGCATGTCCCTGCGCATATACAGGCTGAGGTGTGGGTGGAACGTACGATAGCGTGTTCTGGCGCGAGAGAGGCTGAGGTTGTGGTGGTGGAGACTGGACATACTGGGCTTGAGGCTGCGGTTGTGAAGGAACGGGAGTGGGCGCGGTATAAGGAGCGGACGAGGACACTTGAGGCTGTAGAGGTGGAGACTGAGCTGACGATGCCATTGGAACGGGAGTTGGAAGTATGGGCTGTGCATAAGTAGCATACTGCGTCGTGGGAGCAGGCTGAGGCTGTTGCGGTAACTGCGTTGGCGCGGGAGGGGGAGACGAGTAATACTGAGCCGGGGCTGGAGTAGGCGAGTATTGTTGCGCAGGCTGAGAAACAGAACCGTACGAAGATTGCCGAACGGGCGCGTAGGGAACATTAACCGGTGGTGGAGACTGCGAGGCCTGCGGTAGACCATACGAGGGTTCGCCATATCGTTGCGTTGTTGCTGGACCTGGTTGTCTAGACACCCACTGGCCGTAAGACCCGTCCACAGTGTTGTACCTGGATGACTCTTGCTGCGACGAGGATCGCCAAGATGGTCGTGATAATTGCTCGGTAAGGAGCTTATCGTACAGCTTGACGGCTTGTGAGAGCTTGTCGTGCATGTCGCTTAGTGTCTCTGAACCGTATTGTTAATGGTCAGTTATTCTAGTAAACAGTGAAACACTCACTTTCTTTCCTATCTGTATCATCCAGCGAAAGAGCCAGTTTGGGTCGGAGCCCGTTTGCCTTGTCGTACAATTCGTTCACAGCAGGATAACGAGAAATGTCACGTCCTCCTCGCGCCTCGACTTCCTGCACTGTCTGACTAAACGTTAAGATCACGTCACTTTCAAGAGGTGCTAGTTCGTAGTTTGATTGAGGTGGCACAGCTGTACTGGAAGTTGCGGGGTATGACTGCGATTGCGATGGCACAAAAGATGGCGCTTCCGAGCGAGGAGTTTCGAGGGATATAGGCGCGCTTGGTTTGGGCGCATTGGCCTCCCGTAAAGACGCTTCAATTGCCGCTCGTAAGTCTGGATCACTCTCGTCATCATCTGCTGCCTGGGGACGTGTTTTACGATCAACTAAAGGTGGTTCTGATGTTTGCCACTTTCCAAAATTTGACGGTTCGGGCTGTGACGGAGTGTATCCAGGTCTTCTATTACGTCCATTCACGTTTGCCGCCCCGACTTCTTCAAGTGAAAGCTGGATCGCACGTTGGAGCTCCTCATCGGCGAGCTCGCGACCAGAACGATGTCGCGGCGTCGAGAAGCTTCGGCTGTGCTTTCTGTCCTCCTTCGGCAGCTTGCTCCTGGTCAGTTTCATATGACATGAATCACACACCCGGACTTCTTGTTGGATACCAAAGTGAGGAAGAGGAAGCGACTTTGACGAACATTGTTGGTCAAAGACCTGACCGCAGTTCCGGCAGTGATGCTTTCGGTTTGTGAACGAGAACGGTGTTCGACATCGCAAACAGACATCTGAGTCAATCCATTCAGGCGCAGTTTGCGTATCAACCATTGCTGAGCTAGTAACAGATATATCTTTCGGAGGGAACGTAAAACCTTTGTGGCACGAAGGAGTTAGCTTACGCATCAATCAACGATGACGATCATGGGCGGCACGCACCTTCGCTCTGCAAGGCTCGGTACACCTGGACAACGTACGATAGATTTGGCTTCCCTTCGAAAGCAACAGCCCAGTTCTGTATATATCTGAGTATCGCGTTCTTCACGTCGAGATTGAGTACGGGAATCTTGAGGATGGAGACAAGGTTGTCCATGAATTCGCGGGAAGCTACTTCCATCAGGAAATGGTCGCCACCATTCTTTACGCATGTATCTGTCAGCTGAAGATACGATGTCAGGTGCCATACGAAGAATAATTTAATTCCACATACACTCAGAGCAAGAAGCTGGACATTCGGGTTCTTATGATTGAGGCGTCGTTTGAGTGCACGCATGGCATCCTTGGGAGGCACGGCCTTGGAGCGTATCTGGTCGGATATCTCGAGATTTAGTGCAATGTCCTCTGTGCCCGTCGGAAGGAGTTCGGACGTCGCCTTGTCTGTGACGTTCGTAAGTTAACGGTGCACAAGTCTGTATCATAAGAAGCACACACCGATTGCTTCGTCGACCTGGCTTGTTCCCCACAGCCAACCGGTGAGAGACATGGTTACTAGTATTGAATATTATTCCTCTAGTTCGCTCGTACGAGAGCTTTACTTGCTACTGTGTTCGTGGACGTAGTGGTAGACACGCAAGCGGCAAGCTGCCTCAGCTGCGCGGGTAAGGCCTGTGTGACGTCGGTGATGCGCGGTCACATTGGAGTGACTTTAGTCACGGTGATCGACGGTCTAAATTGGATATATGCGCCATTGCGCCACGCTCAGAACGCGCCTCAATCCTTTTGACCACCATCTCCTCCCGTTTATCCCTCACGTCCGCTCTGCAAAATGACGAAACAGTATCTCATGAATAGTCTCATAGACAAGGTACCATAGTCGATCTTTGTAAATATTCTGAAATTTCTAAGTCCGCCTTTCAGATGCAATCGCCAGACCAGGACCACAGGTGCGCATATCTCCAGTTTACACGCGATGCAATTTCATTCAAAGGCGAACTAGGTTCATGGGTCTGCAGGATCTCATGTCGGAGATCAGGCAGGATTCTGCTAATTTCCTTGGCGACGAGGCGACGGAGTACAAGGTCTTGCAGCACGTTCTCAAGCTCGTCGAGGATAAGATCTCCGAGGTCAAGAACCAGGCTGTGAAATGGTGAATGCATCGCGTCCTTCCTGCTCTTCCGTACTAACTAGCATAAGCCTGGGTGTGCTCATCAAGATCGTGCGCGAAAGCCATATGGAATACATTATCGAAAAGTTAATCGACTTTTCGGGCAGTAAGGATGAGGAACTACGGGACATCGCGGGCCTCGGTACGTGATATATGCGTGTTTTTCCGTGCCCTTCTGACTCGATGCGGCACAGCCCTTAAGACGATTACCGCCGAACTCCCTCAGGATAGTAGCCTTGCCCCGAAGGCCTGTGCCAAGTTGACACCACGGCTTCTTATCCAAGTTCAGAATGTATGTCGGCTGTTTTGTTCTCAGTCAATCAAACCTAACATATCACTAGCCTTCCACTCCTCCAGAAACGCTCATTGAAATTCTATCAATCCTTTCCATTCTTATTACTCGATTTCCGGCACAACTCTCAAGTCCCGATCTCTCGCCACAGCCTGTGCCAGCGATTACCCCTTTACTCGGACATGCGCGTCCCGCTGTTCGCAAGCGCGCAATTCTGACTCTTGCGCAGTTCCTACCTTCGGCGCAGCAAGCACTTTTTGATGACCTCATTAATAGCACTATACTTCCCGGATTACGGAACGAAAGTAACTCAGATGCAGCGATTGAACAACAACGAACAAATGTGCAGTTGGTTGCCGCAATTGCGCGCCATTCTCCCGGTCGTATTGCGGTCATTATAGATTCGGTTGTTCCTGCTGTCCTCAAGGCGGCGGCGCGTGAGGATGATGAGCTTCGAGAATATGCGCTTCAGACACTTGAAGTCTTCGTGCTCCGCTGTCCGACCGAGATCACTCCTTTCCTTGGTCAGATCGTACAATCAGGAACGAAACTCATCAAGTATGATCCCAACTATGCTGGTGGAGACGATGAAGAGGATGCGGAAATGGCAGACGCTGACGAGGACGAGGAAGACGAAGATGATGACTTGGACTATTCTGATTATGAAGATACATCCTATAAAATCAGGCGTTCCGCAACAAAGCTTCTTGCGGGGCTGATTGAAACACGACCAGAAATGCTTACGTCACTCTATAAAGACGTATCCCCTGTGTTAATACAGCGATTCGGAGATCGCGAACAGACAGTGCGTTTGGAAGTCTGGGCAACGTACGGTTCACTTCTTGCACAGACAAAGGTTTATGGTGGCATACCACAGTCACCAACCTTTGTGGACTCGCCTGGGGTTGGTGGGAAACGTAAGCGTTCACCAAGCGGTGCGGATGGAATGGATATTGAGGCGCCTGAGTCCCCAGCTTTACTCCTTAGGTCACAAGTGCCGTCCCTCTCCAAGGCCTTACTCGGCCAACTGAGAAGCACGAAGACTCCACCAGCTGTTTTGCAGGCAGCATTCACGCTTCTTAAGCAGCTAATTGACGTTCTTCCTGGTAGTCTTGCAGCTCACTCGTTACCCATCGCTTCGGCGGCCCAAGCAGTCCTAAAGCAGAGCCCAACGACATCTAGCATCGTATTACATACAACCTGCCTTTCATTCCTTACTGCGTTCTTCTCTTCTCATTCGCCATCGGCACTTTCGAATACTCCAGATCTCACAACTCCATTACTTAAAGAACTTCAGGAGCGGCACCCTCGTCTTGTTGCGGAGACTTTCCGGACCTTCTCAGCGCTCCTTAATATGCTGCGACCTATTCAAGGCACAAGTCAACAATGGGTTGAAGCCGTATATGATTCTGCAGTGAAACGTCTGCGAAGTGCAGACACGGATGCCGAGGTCCGAGCACGTGCAGAAATATGCATGGGCGATTTGTGGGTCTGTGCGACCGACGTTGTACGCACGAAAGATGGCCGAGAATGGGATGCGATGTGCCGTACGACTGGTCGTACAGAAGGCGCTGTGCAGGTGGTTATGCGCGTCGCGAATGAGGTTGATGTTGGTGATGCCTGGGTCAATGGATCAATCGAATGGGTGCTTGGCGTTTTAAGAAGAGCTGGTAAGGCAGGCAAATCCGACGCGTTTACTTGTCTGGAGGTATTGCTTAAGAGGTACGCTGCTCAGTATTAGCTTGGTGTGCGTAGACTAATTTCTTTTTAAAGGTTCGTGAACGGAATTCCAGCACATCTTGTTACAGTTGTTGTTGAACAAATGAAGCCCTACATCTCTACGAACGATATCGCTCTCCTCTCTCATGCACTATCCATTCTTGCTCTTCTCCTGAGACTCGCGCCAAATGAAACATACCCAGCTGTCGAAGCTGAATACCTCAAAGATATCTATACTATTGCACATTCGTCCCTGTTGTCTGGAGTGTCGCTGGATGCACTGCTCCTCTTCCTTGCCAATCTCGTGGAAGCCGATACCGAGATTGCGACTCATGTCATTCCGAGCCTTACTATTCCTTTACAAAAAGAAAAGAAGGGTGATGCATCATATTCAAACATTGCAAAATGCATCGGTATTATCGTGCGCTGTCACCCTTCCTTGGCTGCTGGGACGATTGCAGAATTCTCGAAGGCATTGAAGGTAAGGTTATTGACTATTATGATGAAACGAAACTTAATAGTATTGCACTTGTATATAGAAGGGTCCGAAGGCCAGTAGCACTCAAATTGTGCTTGACCTGTTTGTCCTTGGTGAGGTCGGACGAACTATGTAAGTCGTTGACTATGAAACATCCTACTCCTGCTGATGGTCCTGCTCAATTAGCGACTTTGCCCAAATGAAAGACTTGTTCAATATTGCCATCGACCTTCTCGGCTCGACAGACGAAGAGATTAGAAGCGCTGCATCGTTTGCGACGGGTAAGCACAATTCACTTGATAAGTGGTTTGCAACAGATGTTAATGTCCCTGATAGGAAACATTGCCATTGGCAACCTACATCTGTTCTTACCTGCGATTGTCAAGCTGGTCCAGACGAATAAGGATAAGCGACTACTTGCCTTACATGCTCTCAAAGAGGTCAGTTAGCACACTGTTTGCATCCAAATGTTCGTGTCGTTGATGAAATACACCCTTATCTAGGTTGTCAGTAATTGCCCGTCAGGTCAGCTGGAGAGCGTGGCAGAGACGATTTGGGTTCCGTTGTTCCAGGACTCTGCTAGCTCGGAGGAGTCTACGAGGAATGTCGCAGCAGCATGCCTCGGAAAGTTGACGACGACAAATCCATCAAGATACTTGCCTCAGCTCCAGGTTCGTGTCTGCTGCTCTGCCGTTAGCGTTGAGACTCACTCTCTTCAAAGGACCGTATCCACGACGAAAATGTAGCCGCGCGAGCAACTGTCATTGCAGCCATTCGCTACACATTTGCAGACTCGCAGCATTCCTACGATGAGCTCCTTTCAGGGCTCATTCCAGACTTCTTGGCTGCTATGGTGGATGAAAACCTCGTGCGTATATCCGTCTTACCAGTATAAACTTTTCTGACCTTGACATCCATCGTAGACCGTGAGACGACTCGCAATATCTGCCCTTAACTCTGCAGCGAGGCATAAACCACGAATAATCCGCGATCATCTCAATACGCTTCTTCCCAATCTTTATAAAGAGACGTATGTGAAGCCAGAACTCATTCGAACAGTTCAGATGGGACCGTGGACACACAAGGTTGATGATGGCCTCGAGGCACGGAAGACTGCCTACGAGACGATGTATACTCTTGTACGTATAGCGATGATCCTTTCTCATTGCTCAATACGGACTGGACCTAACCTGAATTGTTTCTTGCCAGCTTGATTCATGTCTCTCAAAACTCGATCTGCACGAATTCCTCGGCCGCGTCGTAGCGGGTCTATCCGACGACGCAGACGAGATCAAAGTTCTCGCTCATATGATGCTCTTCCGCCTTTCAAGCGTCGCACCTACCGCAATCGCATTACGACTAGACGAAATAACACCTCCGCTCGAAAAGACAATGAAAGGCCCAGCAGTTACGAAAGATACTGTCAAGCAGGACTTAGAGCGCGCAATGGAGCTTCAGCGGAGTACGCTTCGTGCTGCTGCTGCGTTGCATAAGAACACGCCTAGTGGTGCGTCGGCGAGGTTTGATGCGTTTGTTGAGGAGATTCAGAAGGGCCAATTTGGTGGGGAGTTTAAGGAGTTGTCGAGTGGACATTGATTGGATTGACGGGACATTCGTGCGCTTGTATGGACGATTGTCAGGCGCAGTGTAATGTCTACGTACTCAAAAGCTTGTCATCACTATATCCCTGTAGTACAACTCATTTTCATTCTTGATCTTGATAGCATCATAACAATCGAATCCCCTCATTGACAATTACAAGCAGTATAACATACAATTTTCCAAACTGTTTAAGTACCTTTTCCCCTAATAAGCAGCCCTGCTCAAGACTCAACCAGTCACGAACATCTGCAAGGTGTGAAACAAAATTAAGTGATGTAATTATGGGAGTTCAAATCAACCTTTACTCTTGCAACTGCAGCGATTCAACCTTAATTTACATTGCCTCCCTCCACAAGGAATACAACTCATTATGAGTACTTCTGACAGTGCCACAAGGTATCAGCACTGCTTGCTAATCAATCATGGATAGTTGGTTGGAAGTTTTTGTCCACCCTCCAAGTCAAATAGTCCCTAACCTCAACAAACTCAAAGCCAAGATATAAGCTTTGCAATAACAATTTCAAGTCAGTGCAACAGCAAACTTTGTGGTCGACCTCAATAATAATTTTGTATCTACTCACGTTCATTCACCATGGATGTCCTTGAGGCTGCAATGAATGCTCTTCAAGAGGTGGAGTGGGTCCACTTTGCTTGTCATAGCCATCTGGATCCCGAACCATTCAACTCGCAGATGGCAGTCTTACAATACTTGACATTACTCGGACTCATCTCCTGAATGCGGAGTTTACCTTCCTGTCTGCTTGCCATACGTACGGCAGAACAGCCACCTACCGATGTACATGATGAAGTGCTTCATCTAGCCGCAGCGATGCAATTCTGCGGGTTTAGGAGTGTGGTAGGTACCATGTGGGAGTCGTTCGATACGGGCGGACGAATTCTCGCCAGAGACGTCTACACGTATCTTTAGGATGAATTTGAAGACGGAGAGGTTGGATACAAGCGATCTGCTGCAGCAATTTGAAATGCAGTGGTGAATCTAAAGGCACGGACGGAGTCGGATGAAGAGGGAAGAGATATAGGTATCAAGGTCGACAGATGGGTTAACCTTGTGCATATTGGAGCTTGAGTGGCCGTGGTGTTTCCCCGTAGTGATAACGCATGTGCTGCTTTTGATCTTCTTTCTCAAGGTTAGACTACTTGTGCTGGATTGATAAGGACCAATGACGCCGTTTCTCAACAACAAAAATACACGAATGCATGCATATGTCTAAGAAGCTATCAAGCCTTTGGCAATACAAAGAAAAATGGACAAAACTAGCCCAAAACCTAACTCATGCAAAAATACTACGGAAGCGCTTTGCGATTTCCGAACCGGCTCGTCGACGCTCTTCTCTAGCCACGTCGCTCCCCAGCACTGACTTGTTCTCGATCGCACGACGACCCAGATACGGCATGACTTCAGACAGTTTACCATACGGAACGTACCTAAAAAGTAAAATTTTATGTTACGTTAATCTAAGACTGGACAGGGAAAATGTGGAGCTTACTTGATGACGAACGGTTCGGTAGAGCGTGTCTTATCGACTAAATAGTTAGTCAAGGCATCACGCATGCCTAGTCGGCTAAATCAGATGTTACCTACTAGCGAACTTAACTGGGACGCACCATAAAGCTGACCAAGGGTAATTCGCTCCGCTGCATTATCTGCAATCCGTATAACTTCCGTATTGCCCTCGTATTTACGTACTGCAAGGCCTTCGCTCACGAGAGCCTCCAATATAAGTTCGCAACTTCCCCAGTTGTGTGTACCAAATAAGATACCCAATTTCGGTATTATACTGCTGGTGCCTCCAGCTAAGCTCTCGTCTCGACTGTCGGTGTTCCTATAGCCAACGTTCCTCGCATTAACCTCCGCGAGCTCCGCTGCAACACGCCCAATAAGCATACGTGCACATGCATTATAACACGCATCCGTCTCTTCTTTGTTCTCCCAAACGGGTGGAAGTGCCTCAGGAGAGATGCTAGGAGAGGATAAACCGGTATTAGAACTGACGACAGCCTTATCCTCTGAATTCACGAATTTCCGCGCCTTATGCGCGACCGCTTCGAAAGGATGATACGCTCCACGCACAAGCTTCACACCTAGTGCATAGTTACCCGCTTCTGCATCTGAGAGAGACTGGGCGAGATGCTCAGGTGTTCTGTATATACCATGATTAAGAGGATAAAACCAATAAACCCGGGTAATGGTCAAGACGAACCTTCTCAGATAGGCCTGGAATGTGCCATAGATCAGGGGTTGTACTGTTACTTCTTCTTGTCCAGTTCTGAGGGCGGGAAGTCGGAGTTTTTGCCCTAGTACGCTCGGGACTATTGAGGGAACTCTGCTCTGCGCCCCTGGAAGGCGGTTAAACTCAGCCATGAGAGCCCGCTGATACGCATCAATAGCAGGCTAATCAATGTGGTGAGTAATGCAACCGCCTGGTGTACCATGTGGGGCTCGAGATACTTACTTGATACCAACTAAAATAGAAAGAATTCACCTAGAGCTCGGGAACTCGATATATGAGAGGGACTAACCTGTGTTCAGCGTCAATGATAATTTTAACGCCTCTAGCCTTCGCCCTTTCGCAAACTCTAAACAAGTCCGATTTTAGTTCCCTTAAATCGTCCAAATTTTCCCTTGTCAACGGATTAGTTTCCGGAAGGTCAAGTGGGTCGAGGTCGAAAACCAGAAAGTCTGTAGGTCGAGGAGAGCCGGGAAAGCAGACTGGGCGGGCCGGAGGAGGACGCGTGTCAACTAAATGCTTAGAGAAATTGATAAGTGCCTGGGCGTCTGGAAGAAGCGCAGTCTTACGGCACGATCATTATAAAACGCATAATTAACTTTAGCGAGATCATCTAAAAATAAGAATGATAGAAACGTACCAACTTGACAGCGACCCATGTTCTTCTTCCAGTCAAGCTCGTTACGTTGTTCCTGTAGCGCTCTCGTTGGTCCTCAAAGTCGGCAGCGACGTCGATGCATCGGATAATCTCCTCTATGATGCGTTTATGCACGGGTTGAAGTTGAACCGATTCATGGCCGTGTGCCTTTGCTTTCCCGGCAGCTTCGTCTTCGTCGACCTCAACGCTGTAACCGAACAGTGCACCTTTGTTCTCTGCGCGAAGCCTCTCAAGGAGGGGAACCGTCTCGAGCGCAGTATCACCACCCACAAACTGTAAATGATCCCTCGGATCAGGTACACATACAGGAAAGAAATGGTGCCTACCTGAGAGAAAAAGGTCGCCCGCACGAAAGCCTCCGTGACGTGCTTGACTCCGGGAACGGACAACAGAGATGTTAGGATGGATGGAGAGTAGTCCACCAGAATCGGGATGGAACACATCGCGTACACTATGTACGACCGAAACAGTACTCCCAGAGGAGTCGGTCGTCGTTGAAACTCCTGCTCGACATCCTGGCGCATGTCACCGACGTCAGCGAGTACGGGAGCCTTGAAGTAGACGTAACCCGCGCTTCCCAGAGCGCCGGTCAGAGCAACCGCGCCAATTTGAGTCCGTCTAGAACGCACATGATTGCCGGGCCGCGAAACCGTCGAAGTTGTCGACACAAAACGCCGGACAGCATTCAACGAGAAAGACGAGCTATAGGAACTCGAGATGGCTTTCCTGCAAGCAAGCAAGATCATCGCGGTACAAGACAAGGGAGTCAAGGACAAGCAGAAGCCTCTAGTCGGAAGTCGAGTAGTTTATTCCAGCACTAAGTATTGACTGATAGTACACGCTTTTAATGGCAGGCATCGCGATGGGAAGCAAGATAACTTCCTCATTCTTTAAACCTGTTCCGAGTTCCGCTTGAGACGAGATGCGTGCCCCTGATTAATCATTTCGATCTCGTCACAGACAATGGTTGGCAAAAACTTGCGGGAAAAATCTGGCTTATGCAGCGTAAACAGCGGGAAATATACAGGAAAATGTCAATGACCCTAGGGCGATCCATTCCGCCAGGGAATAGGGGAGGTTCGAAGATTTTCTCTAGAGAAACGGTGCTTCGGTAGCAAAGGTAGTTCTTTGATACTGCAGAACATGAGGACATCAGGAGGCAAAGGAAAGAATGAGAAGGCAAGAAGACAGCTAGAAGTAGCTTACTAAGCTCTGATATATTTACATAATTTAATTTTTGTCAGTGTACCCAAAAAAGAAGAGTCACACCCACGTCATAAATGTAAAGCCACGTGCTACATAACTTTGTTTCACTGTTAGTGGACTTCGAACGGTCTCTACGAAATGCCACTGACTTGGGTTTAGAAGCTTATTAAATGCTGGCAGCTTTCTTAGATCCAGCTATCAACTTGTTGTACACTCATTGGCCCATTTATGATTTAGGTGATAAGGACAACAGTTTGAGCATTGAATATGGCATATCCTCATGGATGAACATATAGATCGTGCTCTCGAGAACTGGAACTGTTCTTGGTGAGAGCAGCGCTAAAGAGGATTATACGATTTAGTACTGATAACCTTGCCTAGGATGAGAAGTGAACATCAAATGTGATACGACAAGCGTGAGGAGATAAAGCAAACGATTGTACAATTCTTACTTCTTTTCCATATTCACAAAGCTACAATTAACAGATAATAGGACTTAAAGGCACTATAAGCGTCGAAAAACGAAGGTCGAGTGAGCTAACCAGGAAATGGCACAATTAAACCACCTCAGGTTTGTGCTCCATGCCTCGGCTTGCACGCCACGTCTCGGGGCCCTGATACCGAATCATTAGTATAACCTCTATCGGGACAAACAAAAAGATACTTACCGCTCTGTTCTTGATTCTTTGATTCCTAATTCTTCTCGCAAACCACTCAATCGCAGTGGTGTTCGGCTCATATTTCGCACGCTGCTCATCCGACATACGCGACACCACATCCCTAATCGTTCCGCTCTTATCTACTAGCGCACGCAGCTGCACATTACCGCCCGGCCGAGTGAAGAATACAAGTGACCAACGTGGATACGCAGCCTGTGCACCAGGAGGAGGTACAACACGGTGTAAGTTTGACCGGAGAATGCCCCCAGAAAACAGCGTGAGTGCATCTCCAATGTTACATATGGCATGCCCCGGAATTGGGCGAACGTATTGCCAGTCCGGGTTGTTTGGCGGCAGAACTTGTAATCCACCAAGACGATTGTGCAAAAATGAGAGAGAGCCAAAATCGGTATGTGCGCCTATCGCCGATGTCTCCTTTGCATTATTCGTAGAATCGATGCCAGGCTGTTTGGGCGGATTCTTAATGCAGCGAGCCTCAGATCCGCTCGGCTCCTCCCGTGAATGAAGCTCAAGGAGTGTCCCACTTGGAAGGCCGAGCTTCTTCTCGAACACGGAAAGCACCGTATTGTTTACGTGTAGCGACTTCTCCACAAAGGGCCGGATGGTCGACTCCATACGATTGTTAACGGTCGAAGGGTAAGTCCGATGTACGACTCTTGGGTACGCTAACACATCGTCCTTCGACACGTTGATGAACTCAACTGTGTCGAGGTTACCATACTCGTCTGTAGCATTTGCTCCGGCGGCCTTGTATCTATTACCGTTTTCCATTTATAACTTAGTCAAGTATCACCCCGTCGAGTGGAAAAGGCACAAACCCAAAGGAGCTTCCACCGTCACCTTGCTCATATTTCATCTTTTCATCAAGCGGGAGGTCCATAGTCTCAGCACCCATCTCAAACATAGCTTCTGCCTCGTTATCGGCATTGTGATTCTTGAGACTTTCCACGCAAGTTGTTCAGCACGTTCCCGTATCCATTAATTCATGAAATGATGAATTGCTACTTGACGAATCAGTACTTACTACCAAAATCCAAGCTCCGTCGCAGCCTTCCAAAGCTTATCAATCTCCTGAACGTCCCCACCCTTGATCAACTCAAAGTCCACGACCAACAAAGGATGTGTCGGTATGTCGTCCGGGAAAGGCGGAAGCTCAAGACCAGGCATATTTAGTGATCCAAGTCAGGTACAGCCTTCAAATCAAGGTAGATAAAGGAGGAGGAAGTGTTGTCGGTAAAGTTGATCAAAACCAAACACTGCGAGTGAGTGTATCTTCCTTATATATTCCAAGTGCATCGAAGTATCGCCAAAATAAGCCACCGTCCCGTCATCTTATTCAGTAGAGAGTAGCGCGCAGGGCCGAGTGCAGGCAGGACTCGTGATCGGTGTCAAAACTGTCGGAAAAGGTAAGACAGTCAGCCAGTACGAGTCGTGAGAGTTGAGTCTTCAATCTTGGTCGGATGATCTCTTGACGAGCTTACGATGATGATCCAATACCGAGGTCTGCGCGGGTCAATCATTCAATGTAATGGAAGGAAGTCTGTAGTAATTGACTCTCTGCTTTCGTCCGTTCGTTCCGAGTTACCACTTCAGAATCCTTAATGGCAGTGAGAACGTTCAAGTTGCAAGATTATCAGTGGTTGAATATTAGGACTTCGTCTTTTCCCCCCGACAAGTTGGTGCATGCATAATATTTCGGCATGTAAAGTGGGGACGTACATCGATACACGATACAACACGATGTAGGCTCTCCATTGAGGACTACTGTATGCACATTTGTCGCAACAACGGGGCTGTATGGTACTGCCTCCACCTCATCTGGGTTATGCTCAGAATCACCCTCCAGAACAAAGTCTACAAAGTGAGTACAGTTGATGCCCGACGAGAGAAAGAGGAAATATAGCAGAACAGAATATAGAGCTCTGGCATGCATTTGTTCATGTTAAGGCCTTAGAGTCAGGAGGATTATAGTACAGCTATACAACATGATTGGAACTGGGTTGTGTACTTCAATGAGGAGTTAGTTGAGCATGCAAAGCATATTACAGAGTCTTTGAAAGGTCGGAGAGATTACTCTTAGTCTTGCGTTGCAGTTCACACAATCCTAGAATTTTGAGGCTAGTAGCAGGGGAAAAATCGATTAGCACATCTGAGAAGTCTCAGAGTTCTGTCGATTTCAATATATCATTACACTTTTATGCGACGACAATAATAAAAGTCTTTCCAAACAAACTGTAGGAGTTGCAAATAACTGCACATGGTCCCATGGAGGTTAGCGAACTGGATCGACTTGAAGCTAGCGATGAAGGATGGAATTAGAATGCACGCTGTGCGCCACTATATCCATGAACAAGTAAAATTTGCGTTGGCCTTTGGTGTTGGAGGAGAGGAGGAATCGTTCAGGGATTTTGAATAATTTATATTCAGGGTTAAATTTCCCACGTGCACGTGCACGGTGGACTTGCAAAGCACAGTTGAGCGGTGAGCACTGCACCTGCTAAACGTCGTCGACGTCTATCTCACATACAAAATGGCGTTACCAGCACCAGTAGGCGACGAGGCGAAGATGCTGAGCGAGGCGGTCGGTGTCGTCAAAGTTCAAACGCAGCAGATGAGGAGGTTTCTGGCGAGTATCACCGAGTATCCTCTATTCCCCAGTTGAAGCTAACGGCTCAACTTCCAGGAAACCGACCAGCTCATGGATGCTTTAAAATCCGCGAGCACGATGCTGGCTGAGTTGCGCACATCTTCTCTTTCTCCGAAACAATATTACGAGCTTTGTGAGTGTGTTGCGCCCCGATCATGATACGCGTCATTGACCTGTTCGTTCCGAAGACATGGCTGTTTTCGACGCGTTAAGGCACCTCTCGACATATCTCTACGAGGCACATACGCAAGGGAGATCCCACCTCGCGGACCTGTATGAACTTGTGCAGTATGCAGGGAATATTGTGCCACGGCTGTACCTCATGATCACCGTTGGCTCTGTATACATGTCTATTCCGGATGCACCAGTGAAGGAAATTATGAAGGACATGATGGAAATGTCCAGAGGTGTACAACATCCAACAAGAGGTCTTTTCCTGCGCCACTATCTGAGTGGACAAACGAGAGACCACCTACCTGTAGGCAACGACAATGGGTGCGTCGTTTACTAGTTACTTTTCTTCTCATTCGTTAATGGTTATTCCAGGCCTGTTGGAAATCTACAAGACTCCATTGCCTTTGTTTTAACTAATTTCATCGAAATGAACAAATTATGGGTACGCTTGCAGCACCAGGGCCACTCTCGGGACCGTGAAAAACGCGAAATGGAGCGACGGGAGCTGCGGATACTTGTTGGAACGAACCTTGTCCGTCTCAGCTCTCTTGACGGTGTCGACCTTGATATGTATCAGCGAATCATACTTCCGCATATCCTTGAACAAATCGTCAACTGCAGAGACGTCATTGCGCAGGAGTACCTCATGGAGGTTGTCATCCAGGTGTTTACCGATGAATTTCACTTATACTCGCTTGGCCCCTTCCTGTCTGCAACTGCTCAGCTCCAGCCATCGGTGAACATCAAACAGATTGTCATTGCACTCATTGATCGGCTCGCTGCATACGCTGCGCGCGAAGCTGAGAACGAGAATCCAGAGGAGACGAAGCATCAGGAGGAAGCAGCCGCGCGACGACTTGCAGAGAAAGTTAAGGAACAGAAAGCTAAAGCACGTATAAATGGTGCAAGTATGGCCTCTCCACCGTCCGCAACGTCTGATGATGCAGGATGGGGTGCAACTAGCCCGACTGCTGATGCGGAGAAGTCATTTGAAGATATGACTCTGAATAATGGGGAGGCAGCAGAAGTCAACGGAGTGAAGTCTCCAACTGACGAGAAGGGAAAGGAGAAGGCAGAGCCTGAGGTTCCAATGAAGAAGTTTAGGGGCATCCCGGAGAACGTTAAACTATTTGAGGTCTTCTGGCATCAAATTGTTGAGCTCATCAAAGTGAGTATTCTGCAGCAGGGGGTCCCGATGCATTCTGATCCTTTACCGCAGGCAAGACCGGATTTATCGATACAAGATATCACAGCATTGCTTGTATCTCTCATGAACCTCTCTGTCAGCTGCTATCCAGATCGTCTAGAATATGTCGACCAAATCCTGGGCTTCGCCAGCGAAAAAATCAAAGAATTTTCGGACAGGTAAACAATTCGTCGCACGTTGATACTCCTTCTAAATAGTTCATTTCTCTAATTAGCCCCGACCTACATGCTATGCAAACGACCAACAATCTCGCCTCACTCCTCATTGCTCCAATCAACTCCTACCAATCTGTGCTCACTCTTCTAGCTCTCCCTCGTTATGCAAATCTCCTCGTTCTGCAACCGTTCTCGACTCGGAGGTCACTTTCACATGCTATCGTTGCGTCCGTACTGAAGAACGAGACGATCATCGAGACCCCAGAAGATGTTCGCGGTGTATTAGACCTTTGTCAAGTACTCATACGCGATCAACTGGATACTGTACCCGGGAAACAGGCAGCTCAACCTGTGAGGCGACCTCCATATGTTGCTGATCGGGAAGAGATGGCCGAGGAGCAAGGTTGGGTGGCAAGGATGATTCATCTATTCCGAACAGACTCTCTGGATGTACAATTCGAGGTATGTTGTCTCTGATGAAAATAATCTCGGTGATTCACGGACTATTGCAATAGCTCTTCCAAGAAGCTCGAAGACATTTCGAGGGTGGAGGAGAGAGGATACGATATACGTATCCGGCCCTAATTACAAATGCTATTAAACTATGTCGAAGGTACAAAGCGCGGGAACAAGAGGTGAGCCCGTACCATCATTATTTGCTTTTCCGTTCTGACCCGACTTGTAAAGGACGAAGACTGGCAATCGAAGGTCTCAACCATTATCAAGTTCGTACGACAATTAACCTCGATTCTTTTCACACAAATCGAAGCACCTGCTATTGCTCTGCGACTTTTCCTCCTTGCCGCTCAAGTCTCCGACGAATGTGGGTTCGAGGACCTTACGTACGACTTGTACGTTCAGGCATTTACAGTGTACGAAGAAAGCATCTCGGACAGTCGTGCACAACTAGAGGCCGTCACATTAATTATCGGCACGTTACAGAACGCCAAGGTGTTCAGCGTGGATAATTATGATACCCTAATCACGAAAGCGGCGTTGCACGGTGCGAAATTGCTCAAGAAGCCGCATCAGGCAACAGCGATCCACCTTGCGAGCCATATGTTCTGGCAGGAGGCACCAAACGGTGAAGTACCTGAGAGCCGACCTGAAGCAGGATCTGATGCTGAGGGGACTGATGGACCTAGAGCTGTATGCGGATTCAATTCTGGCTGTTTTCCGTCATGTTCACTTATGATGTTTTTACAGTACCCGCACCAGGACAGCAAACGTGTCCTCGAATGCTTGCAAAAGTCATTGCGCATCGCGAACTCCGCAACGGAGGAAATCGTAACCGTCCAGCTGTACTGCGATGCGCTGGACCAATATCTTTACTATCTCGACCATAAGGCCCCAGCTGTACGTCCTAGCCTCCTTACTCCAAGGAATATTCCGCGATACTGACATCTAACATTCGCAGGTAACGCCGAAGTTCGTCAACAGCTTAGTAGACCTAATCACATCAAGTATCGACAACGTCTCGTCGCCAGACGTGCACCCATCGCAACGAGCACCTCCAGCTCTCATCGAAGGCGTACAAACACCCGAAATGATCGTACGACACTTCCGTAACACCCTTGTATACGTTCAGACTCGCAAGAACGCTGCGGACGTAGACCCACGATGGGATGAAGTCGACGTCGTTGGTGCTGTGCTTAAAATGGGTTTAGGACAGGATGCAGTCGGTCGATAATTGATTCTATATGAGTTGTGCAGATGAGCGGGTGTAGAATTCGGCTATATGGCATTGTTTATGCGAGTGGTGGTGTTCGTTCTTCTGTTTGTTTAGTTCGGTCATTAATTGTTGTTTCTCGACATGTGTAGACATTGAGCGTGTCTGCTGTTGTGCTTAATTTTATTCGCGAATTCACACCTTTTTCCCTTTCAATGAACCCGGTGCGAATGGAGCTGTACTACACCAAGAAGAATTTATGAATAAATTATCGACGGGACTAACATATATAGGAGCACATGATTTATTGGGTAGCTGTGGCTTCGGATTGTACCACATGCCCTAGTTCCAGACCGGGAATATAGCCGAAGATTCAACATACAAAAGGTCAAGAAGGATTTATGGAGCGTAGTAGACTGGGAATCGTAAACGTCTGTACAAACATCTGTGCGTTGGAAGTCGTTCAACGTCCATTAAGCCTATGATCCTACACAGCCCGGCTAGCCTTCCTCTTGATCTGAGGTACAGAAATCGAGATAGGCATGTCGTAATAATCGACCTCACTAACGATAACCACGTCAGTTTCATCCTCCACGCACGGCTCGGACTTCGCAAGTGGTATAAGCGTGAAGCGCGCCTTGACAGCTTCGAGCGAGTCAGGCGTTAACTGCGGTGCGGAGATCTCGGGATACGCGCTACCCCCACTTTTCTTCTTCCCCTTCTTCGACTTGTCCTTTGAGGACGGAGAGGGCGTGGGAGAGGTGTTCTCTTTATCTTTGCCTCGTGTGCCACTCTTGAATAAGGACCGGGAAGAACCGGAAGTGGAGGGCGAGGAAGAAGTGAAGAGTGCGCCGATGGAAGAGGTGGAGCTTAGTGCGCTGAGGCTGAGCTTCGATGAGGCGCTCCGGAGGTAAGGGAGGATGTTTATGCTTTGTTTTGACGACGGGGATTTACGAAACACGGGCATGCTGTGATTATACGTTAGAACCAGATGCGTACGCATATGCCAGGCACCCTTTTAGTTATTCAAGATTACGACCACTAGGGACTTACGTTGGTGTATAGAAGAATGAACGTGTTCTCTGACTTTTTCTGTATATCGGAGATGGTTATGTGGTGATTAGGAGATGTGGTGGTGAGGTGGAGAGTGGCGATCGATCCTTGGACCCGCTTGAAAAGGACCGTAAACTGCCACTAGTCGAGATCAGAATGCAACAGAGATCAGACATTGTCAAAGTCAGACTCGATAAAGCATTCAAGCTAGAGTTGAGATTTTTAGTTTCCTGCTTTGATTCCATTTGGAGGCAACTACGAGTATCAAAGGTCAAAGGCGATATAAAGACAAAAAGAAGAAACTTGCGCACAAATATGAACAAATATTATGTGGACCCACGATCGGCATCGAGGCGGAGTCAATCTCAGGTAGATAAATTGCGCAGATCTGGTGGTAACTCTACATAAATAATAAGATATTTCTATGGTCATATAGGGCAAGCTTTAAAACAGCGTATCTGTACTTCTTCGCCGTGTTTTCCATCCTGTTCAAGCTTATTTTGCAAAGAAGACAAATAAAAATAAGAGATAAACACGTAAAGGGCTATTATTCTCTTCACAGACGTACTATCTCAGATACAGTGAAAGTTTGCTACGACGTAGGAAGAAGTCCTATTTATCACATCTCTTCAATCAGTCAGCTAAATGCCACAGGTGGATAATCCAGAACTGGAAATGCGAACAGATTCGACACGACCATCGTTTCATGGGTGCGTCTCTAGTGTTACATTCTTGTCAACCCTTGCCTGATCCTGGTGTTGACCACTCTCCGGCCTCTTCTCTTCTTCCTTCTTCTCTTCACCATCTTTCGTCGGCTCACCTTCCTGCTTTGTCTGCTCCTGCACCGGCTTCTGTTCCTCAACCGGTTGCAGTACTGCATGCATCTGCTTAGGTGGTTGTTGATCATGAGGGTTCATCGACTTCTTCTGCCAAGGGAATGACACGTCCCTGCAAGTCTTGAAGATGAAGAACGACGTGAACATAGCATCCATCACAGATGGATTTTGCGCAATCTCGGGACTGAACTTGAGATGTCCGAGTGGAGATGGGCTATTGGGTGGACGGAGTCCGGCCGGGTCGCGCTTGTACGTTACGGCTATGTTGCCTTTTGCGTCGTACAGCTGGAAATGAAGGAGGGATGTCCGTCAGAATGAGTAAGGACGTGACAAGATTGTAGACGTACCGTGGGCTCGAAACCGTATGAGCGCCAGGTGTAGGTCTCATTATTGATCGTGATGAAGGATTCAGTGCTCAGCGATCCGTGAGTACCCCATCACTCCAAAAAGTCAGAGAAACCAATACTCACTTCAAGAATCCCTCTCCACGTCCAAGGAACTGGTTAAACGAATACAAAAACCCACCATAATGAACATAACTCCTATCCTGCGACGGCCAATTCCAAATGATCTCCGCGACAACACACCAATTCTGCGATTCACCATCGCTATAGCGCATAATCGTAGTCTTATCAGGGAAGAATGCCCATGTACGTGAAGTTACAATTTGATAGACAGGCTTTGACGCGCCCGTGGCGTTGGCAGGGGTAGAGAACGTAGTGTTGAAGATACGACGACGAGGGAAGTCCAGTTCCATAGTCATACTAGGCGTATTATCAAACGTTGGTTGAGTGGATTCTTCTTCTTGAGTTGAAGGAACGGAAACAAAAAGGGAGTTGAAAAAAACGGGGAGGAGAGGTCAGTAGTGTGATTGTCCTTTTTGTGAAAATGCTGAACAAAGGTTTCAGCAAAGTGGAGTGGACGACAGTTTGCTTCGGCTTGTCTATGCAGAGGAACTAGATGGTTTCGAAATGACATTTATTGACCTTTGCCAGTCATGAAACCGTGCCGTTCATCGGCACAACCTAGAATAACTGCGAAATGACATTCCTGAAAAGTAATATCTAGAATATATGTTCACCGCTGCAAGGGTTGAAAGAAAAACTCTGAGTCGGGCGCGTTTAACGCATATGAGTCTCGGCGCAGGCTAGCATACACTAGTCTTCAGAGCTACGAAATCAGCGCGTAGCTCAAGTTCATATCAGATACTTCAGCGCTCTTTTCATATGGCCAGACACCGAGCCAGGATAGTTACCTACTGTTTCACAGCAGCAACAGTATTGTCGGCTGTCTGACATCCTTAACCCAAAGCAAAGAGAGAGAATGACATAAGCATGACGGCAAAGGGCGGTGGTGACGCGCTTGTGGCGATCGGCGCGCGCTATATTTGTGTGCTTATGCTTATGGTTCTGTGTTGTTCGAGTGCCGCCAAGCTAATCCATTGCAGTCTTCTTGTCTACAAACCACCACTATGACCAGAAGGTCCTCCTCCCATCTCATAATTTTCTCTCTGTTCAGAGCTTTACAGCGAATATGCACTGTAGTTGCGTCGCCAACTCTGCAAGTGTCCATGGTAAATACGTTTGCTGGTGGGGAGCCGGAAGAACGACCAGGTTCATCGGGTTTCTGGATGAAACTCTTGTTCAGTTGTATTCTAGTACTACTTGGAGGAATATTCGCTGGGTATGTCTGCTATACCATTTGACCTTTGGTCCGCTCAAACTGAGACATGTTCATCCCATACGCGCCAGCTTGACTATTGGTCTTATGGGTCTTGACGCACTTCATTTGCGCGTCTTGAATGTATCGTCTGACGATGAAGTAGAGAGAAATAACGCGGGGAAAGGTGCGTTGGAACCTTTACTTGCCGTGCAACTTGTCCTAACCGTATATCACTTTGCTACCAGTCCTCAATCTCCTAAAGAAAGGTCGACATTGGGTCCTTGTAGTGCGTAACCTCAATGGTAGTAATCTCGCTTCAAAAATTGAATGTGCAATTAGGTTCTACTCCTTGGCAATGTGGTAAGTAACTTGCACTACTCTATTGGCTTATCTTGGAAGTCTCATTTGCGGAGTTAGATCGTTAATGAAAGTTTGCCGATATTCTTGGACAGCGCGGTAAGTCTAATAGTCTGATAAATTCAGATTATTATCGGCCTTATATGAAATCTACGCTCTTAAGCTCGGCGGAGGTTTGGCTGCAATCGTCATTTCGACAGGACTAATCGGTACGTTGTATGAAAATGGCGCATCAACACGTCTGATATGTCCTTGTTCCGTCTTTCAGTTATCTTCGGGTAAGAGTAGATAACGCTGTATCGGAAACGTGATGTTCACTTATACATTACTTACATGCGTTTTCATTTTAGAGAGTAAGTGATTGCTTTAATCTTCTAAGTCTGTACCTACTCCTAACGATGTCAAAAGGATTATTCCACAAGCTGTTTGTGCCCGGTATGGGCTTACCATCGGTGCAAAATGTGCACCCTTTGTACTAGGACTCATGTACTTCTTCGGTAACTACATGACTACATCAAACAACCCATCATGCCATCTGACATGATCTATATTAGCTCCTGTCGCATGGCCAATAGCCAAACTACTCGACTACGTCCTTGGCGCAAACGAGGAACACACATACAAAAAAGCCGAACTACGCTCATTCTTACAATTCCACCGACAGGGTGAAGAACCACTCCGTGATGACGAGATTACGATTCTTAATGCCGTTCTTGAATTGAACACGAAGAGAGTCGTGGAGATTATGACTCCAATTAATGACGTGATTACATTCAGTGCGGATGAGGTGTTAGATCATAAGCTCGTGGATAAGATGTTCGTTCGCCTCCGATTACGTGGTGTACTACTGGCTTATGTTTCTCTGCAGTTTGGTGAGCGGATACTCGCGTTTCCCGGTATACGAACCAGGGAACCCGAAAGCATTCGTTGGGTTGCTCTTAATTAAGAAGGTACAATTTAAGTGTATTGACTTCTAATTGAACACCTAGTTGACGTATTCGTCATCACTAGTTACTCAAATACGACCCATCGGACAATAAGAAAATCTCAGACTTCTCGTTGTCCATCTTACCAGAAGCAGGCGTTGAGATTAATTGCTTCCAAGCTCTTGACTATTTGTGCGCGCTTTCATTCTTGCCTATTTACATTTGCTAATCTACGTATTATGCATTCCCGTTAGTCAAACAGGACGTGCGCATTTGCTCCTCGTTAGCAAGTCACCTGGTATACCAGGTGGCGCTCTCGGCGTGGTGACTCTAGAAGGTTCGTACCTTGTCCATGATCTCTATTTCTAGTACCAACACAGGCTGACGGCAATTATGCCATTATGTGTGTAGACATCATCGAAGAGATCATTGCAGAGGAAATCGTCGACGAATTCGACCGATACGAAGATAACCAATCAAAAAGAATGGCGAGACGGATGGGTACAGCAGACGTGATGAAAGGGTCCGTCTTGTTATTAATATCATTCTCCCTCTTCTCTTCATACCAATCTTCATACTAACTTCCGTGATTTTGTTTTCTAAACGGAAAATGTAGGATTGTGGAACACGTCAAACGCCGGACAACGAACCCAACGATCTTCCAAGCAGGTGTAACACCATGCGTAGCAGCGTCATCAACACCAGCACTCGAGACGGAATCACTACTCAGCAGAGTTGCTAGTCCCGCGCCTTATGGCACCTCAAACTCCAACATCAAACCAATGGAACCTGGTGAAGAGACAGCGTCGATACGACCGAAAGACATCGTAGAGGGTGAAGTGGGAGTGAGTAGGAGTGGAACGTCTACGCCGACGACGCGTAGTCACATACAGGTGAGGCGGGTGAAGGAGGAGGAAGGGCCGAAGTACGGGGATACATTAAGTACTTCTCCGAAGACGTGAGACTCTTAGTAAGGCTTGTGAGAGGATAGGGAAATGGTGGTGGAAGTTGCGTATAAAGAGCAGACGCATGAAGAATGCATTGGTGGATGAACGTTACGTGCATAAATCACACAACTTTTCTTAAGAGCAAATGGTGTTCAGTTCTCTCATCTTCACAAATCTTCGGCAAAAAAGGCTTTCTCTTCGTTTTCCCTTGCCTAATATTATGCTATGTTATGGAAAACATAATTTTGATAGTTTGGTTCCACACATTCAAGCATTTACAATCACTCTCATTTCCCAATTTCTAATATATATTCTAACTTATTGATAGGTGAGCAGTCAACAATATAAGTATCAACATCTAAGTATTCCTAATCCTGTCTACAGGTGGGAATCGCACATCAGTTTGCTATTGCCTTTTGTTGTTCTAACTCCCTATCCAATTCCCTGACCCGATCCTATTTCCGATACAATACATGAGCTCCTTTTGCATTGAAGTGGACTAGAATTGCTAAAATAGAAAATTACCTCTAGAGTGAACAGATACTTGTCGTAGCTTTCAGCAGTTAACTTCCGAACGGCTTCGGCAAGTTCGTATAGGTATACCTGACAACATTCATTAGCAATCCGTTTCATAACAAAAAAGAGAAAATCAATTTGGAAGCAAGGACAACGGTTTAACTTGCAAATACAACGTACCTTATTAGGACCCGACGGACCAACGGATACGAATATACGCTGGGCGAGGTCTTCTATTGGTTGCGAACCGACTATCACGTAGTTTTAGTTTGTTGATATTAGAACATGGTATGAAAAGTAGAAGTACTGAATGATGGGTTTTCGGGCTTCCCCACGTAAGTCTAGACAAATATAATCAGAGATGGATTGATTACTTTCAGTGTGTACGTACTATCACCTGCACAATTCCGTCAGATTCCACAGAATATACAACCAAGAAATGTTCAATCAAGTAGGAAAAGCTTACTCCAGAAAGGACGACTTTCTCATGCCCATCTGCGATGCCGTATACATCGACGTTTTCAATTGTATACCCATCCTTTTCTCGATAATCTAGTAAATGGTAATATACGAAAAAATAAAAATTGGGTAGTGAAATAGGTGTGATCGCGTCATTCACTAGTAAAATGATGAGATCTGCATCAAGGAGCACATACCGAGGTATTGCCGGACGACTTCGTCATGTTCGGGGTCTATGGTGTATGCAATTCCTGATCAAATGATGACTCAGATACGTCGTTCGAGGTATTAGGGAGAGATAAAGACGAACCCCAAACTGTGTCCTCTTCCGGGAATGCATCCTAGGTCACTCAACGCGTTGCAGTCCTCTTCCCAGTACTATGAGCGATAGACTTACAGAAGCAGAGAATTTATCCCAATCTTCCTTGTGTATTAACGTTACGACTCTCCCTGGATTCTTATTTGTAAGAATCCGGAATGAGTCACAAACCTGGTTCAAGATTGACGGTGAAGAACGATACCTCAGGCGTTCCGCGATGATCATGCGACTTCTGTGCGAATCGTCGTACGTATCCTTTCAAATATCCTGGGGCTTATCAAAGGATATTGATAGTCAAATAGATTAGCATCAACATGGGAAGTTGAGATACTTTGTTTGATTGTATGCGGTGGAGGCTATCACACAAATTAAGCTATTATACAAATAAAGTAGTTTGAGAGCGCTAGTTCTGACCTTCCAAATTAGAGATCCATACCCGAAGACGACATATGGACTTTTCTCTGCAGCTGAAGCCATTGAGAGGACGAGGACGAGGACGAGAGCAAGCCATAGAAGGCACACGACATCGGAAGCTTTGGGAAGGATCGACGTGCAGTTGCAGCTACGCGTGGCACGTGATAATGCTGCGCAGAATGGGCTGAACACAGAAAAAATGAAGGAAAAATCCTTAATGGTCCAATACCACAAATTAAGGCATTATATACTAGAATAAGTCAGAACGTTCTTTTAGAGTTGCCAGTTATCGAGGGAGTGAGCCCAGAGAGTGAGGCGAAGCGCAAAGCCCGACTTGCCGACTGAATACGTACTTTGCGGACTCGTGGCAGCGCGAGCCTGACAGTGAGGGCCCACCCCCGTCTTTGCATTACACCATCGATATACTAACCACGCCGTCGTGAGCCATGCTCCCCTATAAGCAGGGCTTTCTGCGGCGTACAACGTCGCACGTATACCGTGGTGGTAGACGTCACGTCAAGAAATACGTCGCTCACGCTATCTACGCTGGCCGCAAGTACAGCCAGTACAGAAAAGACAGCCAGCATGGATCATCTTTCGATTCATCGCAGCAGACTCCGTTACATCGTATGTCATCTCTCCATGCTACATTGTTGATCTTGCTAATGAATCTTGAGCAGAAAAGCTCGCAGATGCCTGGAGAAACACCCCCACTAAATGGTATCCTTTGCCCGTTCTAGTCGGTGCTTTACTACTTGTCGCACTCAATATTCGCAAGAGGCAACGGGAATATGCTTCCCAATCGAAAACCGAAGGGCATGGGATGATGGTCGATAGAGATGGTGATGAAGTTATTCGGCTGCATGGACCGTTCCATGTACGTTTCATACCACTTTTGACGCCACGGTGAAGCGCAGACGTTGATAATATCACACTTGTTTGTTAGGTTAATGTCCTTGGCGCTCTCCCGTTAAGAAATTTGTCGCGCTTATGGGGATACCTGAATTCTGTTGAATTACCCGTCTGGTTCCGTCCTACCGGCTTCACGATTTACTCAAAGATTTTCGGCGTTAACCTTGAGGAAGTTGAGCACGACCTTCCGTATTACAAGAGCCTGGGCGAATTCTTCTACCGAAGGTTGAAAGAGGGCGTAAGACCAATCGACGACGCTATTCTGGTAAGCCATATTTTCCTCCCTTCTCTGTTTCGTTTCCTTGACGTTCTTGACTCCGCGTAGGTTTCTCCCGCGGATGGTAAAATATTACACTTCGGGACCGTAGAAGGATCACGAGTAGAACAAGTCAAGGGCCTAACGTATTCTCTCAATGCACTTTTGGGAAAATCGACACCGTCGACTCCAACGTCCAAGAAAGTAGACTTCACCAATCGCGACCACGAAGTAATCATGGACCGAGAATTTGCAGACATCAACGGAATTGAATACAGTCTCGAACAACTGCTAGGGTCCTCAGATGCACCAAAAGTCAAGGAACCTGACGAAAAGGACAACGAAGCATCTGAATTACCGGATGGGGAGTTAAACGTGTTAAGGCAAATGGGAGAAGCGAAGGACGTGTCTGTTCCACCTTCAGGTTCCGAATCAAACCTCGCACACGACGCATCAGTCGCACTCGCAGTGGGTCGACCACCTCTCACACGTACACATTCCGAGCACCAACGAAACCCGCAAAACCGACTATACTTCACAGTAATCTATCTCGCACCAGGGGACTACCACCGATTCCACTCTCCCGCCGCCTGGGTCGTCGAACAACGACGGCATTTCGTCGGCGAACTCTTCAGCGTATCACCTTACATCGCCCGACGGCTACCAAACCTCTTCGTCCTGAACGAACGCGTCGCGCTCCTTGGACGCTGGGCACACGGGTTCTTCAGCATGACACCAGTAGGAGCAACCAACGTCGGTAGCATCCTACTCAACTTCGACCGGGAACTTCGAACAAACGTCCGCGGGCGACGTCCACCGCCAGGAACTTTCATGGAAGCAGTGTACAGCAACGCGAGCAAGATCTTGCGAGGCAAGCCGCTTCGACCTGGTGAGGAGATGGGTGGGTTCTGTCTTGGGAGTACGATCGTGCTTGTTTTTGAGGCGCCGAAGGACTTCGTGTTTGATTTGCATGCAGGACAGAAGGTGAAGGTCGGGCAGAGACTTGGAGATGTTAAAGCTTCACCTGAGAAGACTTGACGATGTTTTATCTTAACCTTGACCTTGACTATCGCTCCCCTCCGGCACTCCTTTTCCTGCGTTGCATGCTCTGTTTCTGCTTTCTTGCAGCTTGGATTCTTGACTCCGACATTTTCAACATGACCGCACCAGATGACGATTCGCAATAAAATCTTTCGTAAACTTAGATGAATTCTTTCCTCCCCTCTCATTTTGCAGATTATTCTTTTACATAGTAAATATTAGTAGTGATGAGATGTTGCAATACGTGTTTGCGAGAAGTTTTCTTATTTTTTTAATCCGCAATTATTGAATATGGACCCCAGAAGACCGGGTGAACAGATAGAGGAATTATGGTTGTTCCCAAAAATACAGTACATATGTCAGTAACTTGCCTTGCCAAGCTATCGATCAGCACGTGATAATTCTTTCCATAGCCTCGCGATCGCGTAAATTTGGGACGAACGGCAATTTAGTCCAATTTCAACTTCTAGTCCGCAGTTCACTGTCTCACACCACAAGGAATTCAACTAGTACTGAAAGACTGCAAGGCATGAGCACTGCCTACTTATCAATCATGAATGGCCAGGGATATCTCGTCGACTTTCAATTTCCCGCCAACCTGACCGCAACCAAACTCAAAGCCAATATTCCATCCTTCAAGGGACTTGGAAATGTCTGGTAATGAAACCGTCTTGTTCTACTCAGTGCTTGCTGGGCCATCTGCTGACGTTCATTCAGTATAGATGATGTCGGAAACATGTATACATTAAACATAGACAATGAAAACATTGTAGTACAGTACTACACTAACATTTTTCAATGGAACTGCTTCCAAAAATCCGGAAATCGACAAGACCTCGATTCGTCCATTGTTCACAACCGTGTTTTACTTGATCTCCTCCCAGAGGACCATCTGTCACGTCTACTTCTGTTCGATTTTCTTGGACAATCTCTATTTGCCTGGTATGGACAATGGCAACAAGAGGCTGATCTTGAAGAAGCAATCGAGATGATCTGTATTGCCCTTGGCTGCTGTCCGGAAGATTCTCCCGATCGGTTCAGGTTATTGTATAGACTCAGCAGTTATTTATCTGTGAGATTTGAACAACATGACAGTTAGGAAGACCTTGAAGGGTCCATCACACTCACCCAAGCTGTCTCCTATTGATGTGGATAGAGACATTTACATGGATGTTTACAAGCTCCTTGGTGACCTTTTTAATAGACGAGCTCATCCAGAGTATGGTGTGCATTTGACCGAGTATGACAGGAAACTCCAAGAAGTTATGGCTATGCTATGGGATAGGGCTGTCTTCAAAGTTGTTCATAAACTGAATGAAATTGGAATCTCAAAAGGATCGCGAATCTGGTGGTGCCCGACTTCCGTGCTATCCACGTTCGCGCTCCATGCTGCGGTGCCATATGATGACCAATACGGCAACAGGAAATATTTACTCGACAATTACATTTCATCTTACACTCCAACCCTCAAATCACTCATCAGCACTCGTCAGGGGACCAGGCGTGATAACCCGAGGCTTCTTGTGATCGGGGATACAGGACTTGCGTCGACAAAAAAGGAAATGGTTGCCATACAGAGTCGTAAACCGATCAGCAAACTTCTCAAGGACGGCAAGGCCTCCCGTAAGGCGGTAATAAAGGCGCTTCAAGAAACGGAGTGGGTTCATTTCGCTTGTCATGGTCATCTAGATCCCGAACCGTTCAATTCATCGTTCAAACTTGCGAATGGTAGCCTTACCCTGCTTGACATCACTCGGACTTACCTACCGAACGCGAAATTCGCCTTCCTTTCCGCTTGTCATACAGCAGAACAGGGTCCTATCGTTGGACACGATGAAGTCCTCCATCTGGCTGCAGCGATGCAGTTCTACGGGTTCAGGAGTGTAATTGGTACGATGTGGGAGTTGCTCGATACGGACGGCCCAATTCTTGCCAGAGACATCTATACGTAGCTGATGGATGAGTTTGAAGATGGAGACGTCGGATCCAAACGGTCTGCTGCGGCAGTTCGAACCGCGACGATCAATTTAAAAGCGCGAAAAGAGCCAGCCACAGAAGGAGGAGAGGTGGATATCAAGGCTGAGAGATGGGTCAACCTGGTGCATATTGGAGCTTGAGAAGCTATGCCCAATCCTCCGGATTGCAAGGTTGTATTGACGGAAATGGATGACACGGCTGCTTAGAGGGAGGAACATCGAAACGAATGCATGTGTCCGAATAGCTAAATTTTCTTCGGCGACCTGAAATGAGGCGAGACGGCCAAAACAGGTTCAGTATGTTCCCACGTTTATACTGAGAGTGGGGTTGTTTCCTCTATTTCGCTTGCTCTGACCTCAAATTTCACAATTGGAGTTCGCCTCGCTTCGGCTACCTTTTTTGCATCAAGACAGCTGTCGAAGCCTGGTGCACTGCAGTAAACATTGACAACTATCACCAGCTGTCACTAGTGCTAGCTATGTAAGTGCTGTTCCAGGCAGAAACCAGAAAGTAGGTTCGTGGGTCCTGGACAAGCCTGTTTCAAGACACATAGATATTACGCCCGGCACAGAGACGGAAACACTTTCAGTGCAAGATCTAGCTAACCACAGCCTTCCATACTGTATACCGCAAATGCTGGAGTCATCAAATCACCGAGGACGCAGTTTGCCATTTTCCTCTAAGAGTTGTATAAAATGCGGAACTCGAGCCTAACCTTCAATGTTCCTTTAAACTAGCAATGGACTCTGGCAGCCCTCTCGAAGCACTTTTAATTGGAGCTTTTGAAAGCGGTCAAGTAGTTGCTGTATGTTATGACCTTGCTCTGTGTTCTGTTTATCTCACTAACTTAGCAACTCAGTATGTTACAGGTGTGGAAAAATAACCTTTATCATCCTCTAAACTTACAGCACAATGTAGTGAGCATGATGACACTGACTGCTTTTGATATCTGTATAATGTTCAAAGAGTAGGTTTTGCCTCATGCTATAGTATCATGGTATCCTTTTTGCTAACAATCTGCTTGTGGTACATTTTCTCGACTCTCCTTCAAGTGAGGTATGAGACGATGTGTCAAAACTTATATTGCTAGTACCTTATTGCTTGTCTGAAATTTAGTTCAAATATGTCTGGGTGAGTCTATAGTCTGTGTTTAGTTACATTACTTGTTAGTGACGTTCATTCTTTTCTTCTGAAGGATGCAAGGTGGTCCTGGGGGAAGATAATTTACCTACATATGCGCTATGGAATGGTCTTTGTTCAAGCTATCACTTTCTACAGTGAGCACGCATGTCTATTGCCTCAGCTTTGGAACAAAATTAAAACAGCTTTTATCTAGCATTGCCTATTATAAATCATTCAACATTGGTAAGTATTATTGCCAACTCATTCCAGTGCTTTATCCTTACAAAGGTTAATATGTATGCAGGAGTGTGTTTTTCCGGTCGTGTTATAGTAACCTGACTCTAACACTCTACGATTAACCTGACAGATGTCGTATATGGACACAGTTTGCTCTTGGGTTAATATTTAAGGAAATCCATTCTGTATAATTACTCACTATGATTCGGGGACAGGTTTGCAAGCACAATAGACTTCTGTATCAAAGGTTCGATTTAGATATTACAAATATGCGCTCACATCCGCTAATATCTTACTTTTATTAAATCACAACAAAGTTACACAACTGCTGCGGACTGCTGCTCTTTTTAAGGAATCAAAAGCGAAGAAAAGGATTGTAATATTAACAAGTATTGTGAGTCACAGTTTTACTTCTCTCGGCGTATGCTCATGAATCTAATAGAGTCAAGGCATAGTATATGCTTTCATTGTTGTCAAGCTCATCATGTCAGCTCAACGTAAGATAGCCATCCGAAGTCTGGTACTATTCTGACTAATACCAATATACTAGCCATTGTTTTTCCTTTGTATGCCGTCACTGAGTGATATTATGCCTTGCATGGACACAGCTAATTGCTTCTAATAGCCGACGGTATTCGTGCGCAATTGCCATCTCATTCTCTACAAAGTATTACATAATTTTCTATGCCACATCCATTGTACCAGACCTTTTATTATCTGTGGCTTGTTTTGTCAAGATTTATCAATATTGTGCGTAACTACATTTATTTGTTGTTGAATTTCATTCATCGTCATCTTTTTTCAAGGGTCAGAGGGACGCTCGTCACTTGCGTGGATTATAGCACGCGATAGTAAGTGATGGGGAAATATTGCATTCGAGTCTACTTAGTAACGCCATCCCAATTTCCTAAGTTCTTGCATATCTGCACATAATAACACTGTATGTCCTCTTTCATGGAAAGTAATTGATGACGCAACAGGCTCACAGATAGGTCTGCAGAGCACTCATCCCTCAGGTGCTCATAACATTGTATCCACCTACCTTTAGCATCATTGTCATAGGCGGGTTCGGTTCTGCCGGAGTTTCTATTGCATCCATTGCATGCTGTCGAATGATTCTGAATATGCGTTCGTATCGACCTGATATAAGCTTGCAATCAATGGCCATGCCACTTAGCAGCACAGGGAGCATTTCCGAAATAGCATTCAATCATGATGGAGATCAGGACCATTCTCTCGAAAGTGGGAGTCTTAGTAGTTGAGTAAACTAAAGGTAATTAGAATTCTCTTATAAGGAACAGTAAGTTCCCTTACATATTGGATTGTCAGACATGTAACACAGCGATGGGAATTGTTTTATGTGTGTGATATTCGATTTACTGTAGTGTAAATTTCTACATAATGCACCTGTGCCAATCATAAATTGTGTGCCGATCATTCAGTGACGCGCGTCTTGGGTTTCCGTTTCTACACTATCTCTTGAACAGTGATCACGATGTCCGTTAAAGCTCCTCTGTCGGTTCAAACTAACAAACAATTAGACGTCTTTAATTTGCTCAAGTTTCCGTCGAACACAAAAGGTCTCTCAGAATATAAGCCGAGATTGCGTCTTTCGGATTTAACGACTGTGCAACCTGAGGTATCTCCGAGTACACGGAGCCCGCCGAGAAAGACGGCAAGATTGGAAGGTGATTTGGACTATACGTCGTCTAGTACTAGGTCGAATAACAAAGGAAAAGGAAAACAAAGGGCGGATGTCGCCAATTTATCAGTAGATGGTGTGAAGAGACTCACAATTAGTAACGCGACAGGTGAGAGGTCGATACATGATAACTCCACAGCTGCTTATGAATGGTACAGAGGATTCACTCTCTGACGATTATGTCAACTTCCTTCTACGCTCGATACAGGATGGAATGCAGGCCGTCTTAACTAGATCCCAGCCATACGTCTCCAAGGCCCCAAAGCAGTACCCGTTCGTCCACGAGGATATATTCAACGCTACTCGCACTGTCGTCATTATTGCTGGAAAGGGCCAATGGGTATATGATAAGCTGAAGTTTGAACTCAGGGAAGCTGTCAATGCCGTAAATAAACATTTGAACCCAACCCAAGACGTGGGGGTCATGGAGTGGCTGGAGGAACTTGTCTCCGCTACTGTCTGGTTCGATCAATGCGTGCGCTTATTAGAGGCACTCCTAACATATCTTGACCGCGTCTTTGTCCCTCAAAAGCTAGATACACTCCATATTAGGTAAGTGTATTCACGGTTGTGTTGTGGATGGAGCTGAATCGTGATCCAAGGCAACTTGCAGTGCAACTCTACAAAACGCATGTATTCTTTCAAGACAGGACTTCGTCTCGCATAAAGGAAGCTGTACAAGACTGGGCAACGTCTGAACGCCGAGACAGGTAGAGCTCATTTTGTTGTATTGTTTGGAATATACTAAGAGCATTCACAAGGTTGGTACATCCTCGGCGTCAGACAGTCGTCACACTTGTAGGCCTTCTCTCGGACTACGCGCTGTTCGGAGATCTCCTCCTAGAACCATATAATATGGCCACGCGTTCCTTCTACCTGAGGGAGTCCGAGCAACTGGCAGAATCGTTGAAGGACGATCAAAATGCCTTCCTTCTACATTGTGCGGAACGTCTGCAAGAAGAGCAGAATCGTAGTTCCGATGTACTTGCTTCATTTGAAGGAGACTGGCTTAAGATTCAGAAGACTACAGAGATATCACTATTGGAGAGTAGGTTGCAATGGCTAAGTGCTGGGATCGAAAGCTCGGTGAATGGAAGAAATATGGGAGGTTTGCATCGCATGTACAATCTTTTCGAGAGGGTCGAAGGGCTGGGAGTTCTATGCGATGCATTCAAAGAGCATGTGCAGAAGACCGTGGCGAGTATCGTGAGTGACAAAGAACGTGACGAGGAGTTGGTAGACCGGCTGCTGGACTTCAAGCGCTTCGTTGATTCTGCACTGGATGAGGCGTTTGCTGGAAACAAGCTGTTCAAGAACGCAGCATCGGATGCATATGCTACTGGATTCCGTGTGCGGAAAATTACGCCTGCAGAGATGATTGCGAAGTATCTAGATCGCGAAATGCGTCGCGGACAGAGGGAGGCGAGCGACGAAGAGTTCTCGCGAAAACTCGATGCTGTGCTCGCGTTGTACCGTTTCACCCGTGGTGAGCACCATTCATGCAACTCTGCTCAGTGTCGTGATTTATTGTATTTGATACAGACAAAGACGTGTTCCGAACATTCTATCATAAAGCACTCGCGAAGCGTCTTCTGTTACAACGCAGTGCATCAGACGACTTTGAGAAGTCAGTGTTGAAAACGCTCAAAGAACATTACGATCCGGAGTTCAGTATGGGTGACCATATGTTCCGTGACCTTGCGCTCTCGCGAGACCTCATACGAGAGTTTCAAGAGCGCGAATCTCGGAATGCATCAGAATCTGGCGCCGAACCGCCTTCACACCGACTAAACGTAATGGTGCTGGAGGCCGCGTTCTGGCCATTCTCGGCGAAACGCTCAGGCGAGGCTGTCCTGCCAAACGCGATGCAAACAGAGCTAGCGCGCTTTGAGACCTTCTATGCCAACAAACACAAGGGCCGCAAGCTCCACTTTGATCACTCGCTGGGCACTGCAGCGCTTCGTGCGCGGTTCAAGGCAGGTGAGAAGGAGCTTACTGTCAGCATGTATCAGACGCTCGTGTTGCTGTTGTTCAATGAATCGGATGAAGTTGGATTTTTGGACATCAAGGAGCAGACGCGAATTGGTGAGGCGATTCATGTTGATGAAGGCTTGTGTGATGCTGATGGGTTATCTGATAGATGACGCGGAACTCCGACGAACCCTTCAATCACTGGCCTGCGGGAAGAAGAAAGTTCTCAAGAAGAAACCGGTAGGCCGAGACGTGAATGACTCGGATGTCTTTGCCTTCAATGCGGACTTCACGGATGAGCGAGCTCGTGTCCACATTAACTCCATACAAGCGAAAGAAACGGTGCGTATTCTTATTTCAGATTGGACGTCTTACTGTCTCACAATACATGCTTATGTGTTAGCCCGAGGAGTCGAAACGCACTCAAGGCGCAATAGCGATGGAACGCAAGAGCTTACTTGACGCAGCCATTGTGCGAATTATGAAGGCGAAGAAAACAATGTCGCACCAGGCACTCATCAACGAGACTGTAGATGTGATGAAGAAGCATTTCCAGCCCGACGTTAGCATGATCAAAGTTCGCTTTGAACAGCTTATTGAGCAGGAATATATGAAGCGCGATGAAGACGAACCAAACAAGTACGTATACGTTGCATGATGGAAGATATGTGTATTAGCATGTGCAATATATAATTAAAATGGCGAATAGAATGCTCTGTAAAGTAGAGATTTCCTTCTCCTTGTGACTATGCCAGACTTTAAAAGTATGAATTTTAGTCAGTGTCAGAACTCTTTGCAGTGGGTAACTACGTTTTAATTTGCGATTCTGCCATTATGATTGGTTTCTAGCCATGCTTGAGTCCGATACATTGTGAGAACACTAGCTGACTATTGTGAATAACTTACACATGGCTTTAGAATGACTTATTTCTGATTTACTGAACTGCAAAACTATTTGCATATAATCACTATAGATACATCATTATATTTTAAAATTGTCCATTAGGACAATATGTGAATCTTCTATCTACAATAATGTTGTAATATATTTTCAAAGACACGTATCACAAACTTTATATATCACAAATTGCTATGAAATCTGCTCAAAATTTGCATGAATATCTAGGTTGCAAGAAGAAACTACCCAGTAGTTTTAGATTGTAACTGTACTATAGTAAGGGGTGTGCCTTTAAAAAAAATGGTTAGTATTATTATTGATCCAATTTCACATTTCTTCTCAACATGACTTGTGAATCGTCTGGCAGGCTTTTACATGCAGAGCATATAACTAAATAGTTGCTGAAAAGCACTTCTGTGTATAGGGTATTACAAGGCCTGACTTGTGACAGTGGTGCTCCCATACTTCGGTGGTTCGTCCGAATCGTCAGAAGTAGTGACGGCGAACAGGCTGTTTTGCGAAGATGAAGCGGATGTGGATGTGGTGGGCTCTGTTTTGCGTTTGGTGCAATGTACATTGGCTCCTGGAGGCAGATACAGTGGGAGGACGGAGATATCGACAATTTCATAGGTTGCCAACGAACGGATAACCCGTGGCCAAGCCATTGGTGCGATTCGAACTGATTGTAGAATCCCGTTTACGCGAACGTTCACAGAGAGAGCAATTCGAGAACGTGGTACGTTGGGAAGCCGTGGAAAGGCTGATTGTGCATAATTCAATGCTTCCTGTTAGACGAGTTAGATTTCTAAAATGATGCAGGGCAGAGATAGTTTATTTCTGTGATGTATTACCTCGAAGTCTCGTGTAGGCGCAACGTAAACCATTTCCGAATCAAATCGGTACGTGAGAATTTCGGCAGGTGCCTTCTTAGCAGGTGTCTTCCTTCCGATCCTTGTCAGTGCTTCGCGCATGAATTGCATGGTGGAGGAGTGGCACGTAAGGAAAGTAGAATGCCTCGACAGTTGAGTACAGTGAGTGGATTGCGAGTGTATGGGGCTAATCTGCCAGCGTATCACTCTCAGCAGATTGTGTCAGTAATATATATCTAGATCCTTTTCTAAATTTATATTACTGTGTTTCACCGGTTCGCGCTCAGTTACCAGTTAACGCTCAGTTGTACAATACCCCCCTCAATTCTTAGTAAATTTCTTGAAATTTTACATACAGGTAGCCTACAGTAGATATAACTTAAATACGAAATTTGAGCAAAAAACAATGAGTTGAAGCTGAGATATTAGTGTTGGAATGTTAGAATTTTGATGATCAGCACTGATTTAGTGAACAGAAAGTTTTCCCACACACAACACATTTAATATTAATTTAAGGAGACACTATTTGTAGCTGAAATTTTTAGAATGAGTACTATATTATATGTAGTCACTATATATTTTTTTATATAATTAATAGTTAAGTATTAAGCTACTTATTAAGAATACGATTTTAAGTCCAATTTTACTATTTTCTATAATACAGAATTTATAGTTATAACTTACGAAATTTTTATTACAATAATTACTATTATAACTATATATAAAAATTTGGTACTAGTATTCTTTACATATTTTCTATAATATTCTATAATTTTAAGAGAAAATACTAAGAATTAAAATTATCATAATTAAATCAAAACTATATATATATAAAGTACTATAACCTACTATATTACTTATTAGTACAATTTTTATAGTTAAAAAAATTGTAAAACATATGTATGTTAGAGGTTATATGTTTCAGTATTAAGTGATCACCATAGCAACTGACATAGTACAGAAAAAAAAGAAGAGAAGTTTTTTTCTTTTTCTTTACATTCATTATTATCTTCTCTTCCCTTCAAAATCCTTTATTCTTCTTTGCTTCTTATAGCTAGAAAGCTTTCTAAATCCTCTTCTATTACCAGTAGTAAAGCCCTCTCTGATATAGAGGAGGCTAAGCTAAGTCAAGCTGTTTAGGCAGTTTTAGTATCTGGTACTTATCTTAATTCTGCTAGATTTATTCTTTCTAAATCAGCTACTATAAAGCAATTTGGTGTTTCAAGATTTTCCATCAATAGAAGACTTAAAGGCATTTCTAATTGTTTTAATTCTCATTCGTCTCTTCAACTTTTATCTTCATCCTAAGAAACTATTTTAAAAGATTGGACCAAATCTCTTTCTTCTAGAGCTATTCCTTTAACTCATAAACTTTTTAAAGAAAAAGTTGGAATGATTATTAAAAAGTAAGTTACTTTATTATTCTTTAATAATTATAATAAGTGTAATGAATTCTGGAAGCAGAGGAGGAGGAAAACAAGAGGTAGAGGAGAGTAAGAGGCAGACATTAGAACATAGGTAAGAGACTCTAAGTCATCACAACAAGCCTGTTCCTGTATAAAGGACTATATATTCTATTAATTAATAGAGTGTATATGACTAATAGACTGTACTTACCTTTATTTCTGCCCAGACCAAAGTAAATTGGTCTGGATAGGATTGAAGTCGAGTCTGTGTACTGAGTGAATGCACGCGCGAATTTCTCTAAGTTTAGTTTCCCACGAGTGTGCGTTTCCTGGTGAATCACGTCGAACGCTCAGTTTTGAGTCCTTCACGCGCAAATTTAATAAAATATTTATTTTTAATTTTACAAAAAATTAAAACATATGTTTTGTAGCTAATATGAAGACCTTTCTAATAGTATTTTTTTTGTGAAATAATAATGAGTTTTAGTAATTATAGACTGCAAATACCCTTAAAGTGAGCGTTTCTGGGTGAAATACAGTAAATTGTGCTTCCTCTGACGTACGTACGTGTTTCTGGGAAAGAAGCAAGATGTGGGGCTATCTTATGACCTTTGTACAACATTACCAATATACCACAATGCATATAATGGCTTGTTCTAGCCGTACTGCCACTCCCACACCCTTTTTTGGCAATAGTAAAGTCCGCTTGTCCCTGTGCCTACAAACAACAACTTCTGATGGTGCATGAGTTCATCTAATTCCCTTTGGCATACCTTGATGTGAATGGACAAGTTTGCATAACTTGAGAAACTTCTGGAGCACTACAGCCACAAGTCCCTAGCCAGAATTTCTGCACTGGTGAATTCTACTAGTAGGAAGTCCTCTGTCTGGCTGAAGGATAGCTTCATGCATAATGCATAAACTGTATTCACTCCTATGGTCGGAAGAATGTTCAGGGACGAGTGCAGCATTACTCAAATTCGATTTCAATCCATGAACACATTAACAGACAAGATACTCATGCCTCTGAGAATCTACAATATTCAATTAATGCTTCGGAAAAAATGAAATTACAGTCCATGAAGTAATCAATCAGCTTTGGTCAGTTTATTTTCTTATCAGCTCCCGCCGTCATCAGCTGTAACTGGTAGCTCTGGCGCACTGAGCATTTCACGTAAGGCTTCGGACATTTGACCGTGAAGGTCCTCTACAGGAAGGGTTAAACGCAGATTACGGTGAGTAATGCATACTCACTAGCTCTGTTCAACGCAGTAATATATTCTTGGTTCGCCTCTTGCATCTCTTCCTCTAACTCCTGAAACCGTAAAGCCTTAATAGCGAGAAGAAGCATCAATTAGCCACAGCACTACCAGAAACACAGATTAGCAAACTTGTGATTCCTCGGATTCCGGGACTGGAAGCGACTTGATCAGTACTTCGACTTGCTTCGCTTTGGATACAATGTCCGCGACCAGTTCAGCCTTGTTCGCTACAAGCAATCAGTGACAGAAAGGACCGCATGGCTGTAGAAGTTGAACAATACCTTCAAACACATCAGGCGGATCCATCTTCTCAACATTACGCTGCTTCGTGATCGGTATCGCCGCGCTAACCTGCTCGAAGTTCGTCTTCGAGCTCAGGTACTGGATACTCGCGGCCATAATCGTCAACAACTAGAACGTAATATGTAGTACGTTAGAAGCTAGAGTTACAGCAGCGACACAATTGGATCAAACTAACTACAACTACTGACTTGTTCTATTTCATTTTGCAGCTGTGTGATGCGGTCCATATGCGATAGTTCCTGCAGCATTGCAGTGCTCGCCTCACGTCTGGCGAGGCAGGGTAACTCGTGGGAGTCGCTGTCGCTGATTTGAAGTAAGTTGTACAAATCAGTGAAGTGTACAAGACAAGAGAAATGTGGTTGTCGATCCCAGTCCATGATGTAAGCAGGTCTCGTGACAGTCTACGAAATAATTATGTAAACACGCTAATGTATTTGCTTATGTCATGTCAATGTTACAGTTTACTTGTACAGTGACGGTCAAAACGCAGTCCACCCATTATGTCAAGTGCCCTACATGCTGAATTATGCCAGCGAGGGCTTAAGCCTCCTGTAAGTGGGTACAGTGCAAATTATGTGTCAACCTGTTGGGAAGCTAATTACAAATCCAGGTCATTGAAGTGATTAAAGCTTAATATTGCCACCATTCGTCCATCCGATCTGTTACTGAGTGTTAGAGTTAGACATCTCAAGTCTCACTCATGCCGGTGCTGAGCTTCCGGTACCAAACTAACGTTTTCCTCTATATCCGACCTATCGAACCTGTGATTACAACCCCAAAATCCTGCTCTGGAACTTTCCTACGTGTCTCCAGCACCTCGATAGCTATACTGAGATGCGCTGCGAAACCCTCTTGCAAGTTCAACTCCGGAAATATCGAAATTACAGGAATTTGAAATCCATATCTTACTGATGACAAGCCAACTGGATATCAAGAGGAACATTTCATCTTGCACTACCGGTGCTGCTCGAAGGCATATATGAATGGTGGGCACTGGTCGTCTGTCCTTCTAACCCACAGCAATTGATAGTTTACTATGCCTAGGAATTGCTTCCGCCTACTAACTGAAACTCTGTTTCAGTGAACACCACCACGGGAAGTCAACGAACACCGTAGAACTTTCCGAATCGAAAATCAGTTCCGTATGAGACAATCGTACGTGGGCCATTTCCTAGGCCTCTAGCTATGGAGACCTGTAACCGTAACAAAGATATTTATTCTGTTAATGTATTATTCCCACCCATGGATCGTATATGAATCAGCTTTGGCCATCAAATCACTGAATTTATCATTAACAACACGTTTTTGTGACTATTCATTGTGGCTCAGCTCAGTGGCCGGGCATACGTATGTTTGGTATGTGTGGCCTGTGGATATATATAAAGAGCCTCCGACCTGTGCTCTGGATGTCTTTACTCAAACCACGTTGATTAGCACTTATTCTGTTCTTCAGGTATGTTGTTGACCACACTTAATCACGAACAGCCTCATCAACTCTTTTAGAGTTCCCTTGATTATTATTCAGCAATAGCATCTCCATCGCCTTCCGCTTGATTTATCTCGAGATCAACAATGCCGACAACACCAAATAAGAATTCACTGTCGCGACGAGCCCTACGTGCTACCCTGCGTTCGAACTCGAGCTCTACCTCGTTAGCTTCTCAGTCGACTGATCTGACTAAGATGGTCTCTGCGGATTATTCTTCTGCGTCTAGCTCATCACAGTCACACTCAGGGTATAATACTACCACTGAGTCCGATAGTGACGGCCGGGAGGATGAGGGACCAGATGATCTGGACGAGGAATGGGACTTCCATCCGAAGGTTAGTGGCTTTCTGTCTAATCCGATGGTACTTTATCAACCTAAATATTGTTCTGTATGTGCAGGCTGGTGAATCAGTATGGGTTAAGATGACAGTGTCTGATCGAGAAGTCTGGTATCAAGGACAAGTGCGAGGCAAACCACGTCCTGGCACTGTACGAGGTGTATGTCCAAAGTCTCTTTACTTACGTATTTCAAATAAGCGCTAATCTAATCTGATTTCCGGTAATCCTCATCCAGGGCAGACAGGGCGATTTCTACTCTGTCCGATACGGAACCAAGACGAGTAAACTCGGTTATTTTGCGCCGCTGCTCGGAGATATCAAGCCAGACACCCGGCAGGTCCGGAGATTGCTTGAAGAAGAGGGCCGGGACGTTGAGTTATGAACATGAAAAGTTGAATGGATCTCTGGGCCATCCGCCTATGGAGACGATGCATGAAAATGATAACCACGGTGCAGAAGGAAGGATCGAATGTATGGCATGGACGTCAGGCACGCTGTGGGATGTGTCGACGTAATTACGGTCACACGTTCATACTGTGGTCGGTGGCTGACGGCTAGCATGTTTCTTTTTTCCCCTCACTTTTCGGTCGTCTATTCGTTGCATCAATTTTTTGTTTGAAAAGTGAACTGTAAATAAAATTTCAAATTATTCTTTTATCCCGCACTGCAGCCTCGGAGCCGAAACATTCGTCTTATTTCCACAGTCAACGTCGATGTCAATACATCACTCTCCGCACATTTACGCCTTGCTGAGCTCCGGTGGCGGAAGAGCAAAGTAACTTAACCGCCTTGTCCACCGCTCATAAAATGCGATTAAATTCTTAATGGAATGGACGAGAAACGATTGTAGCGGGTGATTACCGAAAGGAGCCGCTTCTAACGTCGAAAGCGGTCTGGTGATCATCTCCCCACTCCGCTTAACTGTATATATATGACCTCCCCCTTGATGCACGCCTGAGCTCACTTTTGCCGCCGCATTCTAGCTTTTTTCCTTTGCTTTTACTCGTAGCAAAACGTAGCGTATGCGTTTTTGGATCCATCTACGTATTACTGTGGCAACCGGGAGAAGAGCATCCAAACGATACGGTCATGTCATCGACCAGCTCAGTCAGTACCGGCTTGCGGAGCCCCGCAGCGTCGACTAGCTCAGACCTCATGTCGGAGGGCGATAACGACACTAGCGCCGTTGTCCACGGTGTACGATTCGACGAGCGATGCGTGCTCATTCCACAATTCAATGGCAAGTTTGGTCGTGCAAGGCAGCCTCCACGAATTGGCACGTTCGAGTTACCTATCCCTGTTGTCGGCCTACCCTGGAGATCGCCCAGCACACCTCCCAGACAGAAAGAGTTCGCTCCAATCCAAGATGTGAATGGAGTTGCTGCTACCGCCACTAGTCCGCCAAACACTCCAGAGGCCCAGCGCGTTGTACTTAAGGTCCCTTACCCCATGTAAGTACCGTATCCTATGCTAATTTTTTTCTTATTTTCGATCTTTGCGGGTTTCCTGCTACAAAGCTTGAACAATGTTAAGACTTTGTTCTCTATCAAACTCATCTCTTTCCTCGCTGGGCTCGGCATCGTCTCTTTGTTCTAATTATATGCTATTCTTTCATTAAGCATCTTACATAAGGAGCATATCTAACACTACCCTTGTTTGTTTCAGTTTCCGCCGAAAATCTCATTCAGCTCTGCAAGCAGCAGCTAGCTGTCCTCCATCCTGTCTTCGTCAGTCGCCTTCCTTCAACTCTCCGGCCGGACCATCTGCTGCAAGCCCAAATGGGACTTCTCCAGGACCTCGAGGTCTGAAAAAACGATCGAATTCACTCCCTCCGCTTCTTCCGGATCCGAAAGCCGAGACGATCCCTTTGCGACCTTGTTGTGAAAGATGCCTAGCAGCATGTGAGACGCACTGGAAGCCGAAAAAGATATTACCCACGCTAGAAGAATCTTCTCGTGAGCATACACCCTCGCAGAGTCGCGTTGACCTTAACGAACGCGGGGGCACCAACGACGATGATGACGAGAATTGGTGCTCCGGATTGCATTTTACGAAAGGTGCAATGCGACTTTGGAGGAGTGCATCCGCAGACGACACGGGTCAGCGTTCAAGACATTCGCAAGAGGGATCTGGTTTACTTGGTTCGTTGGTCCGAGTAGACGAAGTTGATCGGAAACGAGGGACGAGCCCGAGTCCATCACCTCGTAATTCTTTGCACGCGTCTGCGTCTGCGCCTGCGCCCGCAGGGTCATTTCCACTAAAACCTCACCCGCTCATGTTGAATGTACGTGACATCGAACGTGTCAAGGGAATTCCGTCACCGAGTAGAAGTCCGTCAGGGAGTGACGAACCCGATGAAGACCTTTTCCCTCTACCATCACCGAAACGGTCTCCAGGCGCGAGCCCTTCGGACAGTGCGACGTGTTTGCCTGTACAAGTCCCACCAACCGAACCGCGTCGTCTTGAGGCAGCGATCAGAGCAAAGATAGCAGAACGTGAAAGAAAGACGAAGTCCACATCTTCTCTTTCCCCTACTTCCCCCTTGTCACCATCTCCATTAGGTTCATCTGTGCCCTCGTCACCAATCCCGATTCCAGATGCGAAGAAGAACCGTGGTAAAAAGGGTGCGGTGAGCCATTTTCGGTCGAACCTAGATGAGATCGAGGCAGAGTACGACCCAACACTACCTGACCCGGACGCACTTCCTCCAACGTCGACTATTCTGCTTGACTCACCTCCTAGTTCTCCTCCACTTGGGCCATCCAACTCTAATCTCAACCGTGTCCCACGCTTCTCTGCTTCTCTCCCTTCGTTACAGCTACACAAGAAAGAGCAACAATCCCAATCCACGTCTCCTCACGCAAATTCGAAACAGAGCTCAATGTCTACCTCTTCCGATACCAATACAGCACATACATCTAGAACAACTTCTCCTCGAGGCCGAGGCTTGTCGAAATCAGAAAGCGAGACAGGGACCTCCATGTCAACGACAACGACACCAACCACACCACGCCTAAAAAATCGCCGTTCAAGCATCTCGAACATCATGCGCGCGAGCGTGAGTGTATTGAAGGGTATGAGTCTTACTGTGCAGGCGACGGATCAAACGTCGAAATCATCATCGCCTCCGCCACCTGTACCACCGCTTCCGCCGACGGCTCAGCTTTCGAGGGGACTGCTTGCTTGAGGATGTCGTGTCATGTGATAGAGCTGCTCTGCTGCTTCTAGATGGTTGGTCATACTGCTATATACCTTGTAAATCCTGTGAAAGGTTACAAACAACCATACCATCAATTTTCTAAATTCACTTTCGCTTCCTCACCTCTTTTACTTATTCCTTTATTCACCATTGTTGTCCTGTCCTCCGTGTCGTCCTCTTCTTGCCTTCAACTCTTCTATTACACGCCCAGCTTCGTTTCTATACTTATAATTTTCGAAACGACCTTGTACAATATCTTGTTCTTGTGCCTTTGGAGAGGTACTCCGGTACATGCAAACATACGTATATACATACATAATTGATAGTCATTATAAAACTTTCTCTTTCTTTTTCTCTTTCGTTTCCCCTCTCTCTACATTGTTGCCTTCTTTTTTCCCATAATTATTGCGTTGTATTTCATTACACCGGCTTTTCTTTGAGCTTTGTATTAGTACTTTATATTGTAATTGACATTTTCTTGTTTTGACATGGAATTTTCAATTTGCATTGGGGACCATTGTCAAGGAAGCAGGAGAATATAACGGAGTGCCGTCTATAATAAGGTAAAAGTATCATGCAAAGTGAATATAGGAGAGAATATCTTGTTGCATAGTATGGGAGTAAGGCCATGTCCAAATGCATCACACTCTATGCGCTACAACAATCCATTTTGGCTGGGATGTTGAGCTTTGGCCTACGCAAAAGTCCAAGCAATATAATACATATGCATCATGATGAGAAGTAATAAGATATTTCCCTCTGTATTGTTCGGTACAGCACTGCTTGACGCTGATAAAAGAATTAGGACAAAGGTGGATCTCCATTGCCGCCCCATGAACAAAGGGGGAAACATAGCAAATCACCGTTCATAAGTTGAAAGTATCATGCAAACCAAATACCACTCAACACACTACTATCTGACACTGATGAGGAGAGTGGCAGTGATTCTCTATTACAAAACACAATACTACGTTCCTTCTCGGCTTCTTCCTTCAAATGAACGATAAGCCAGCTTCCAATTATACAGGGTAACGTCGCGCCGTGAAGTATATTCCCTATAATCGTCAAAGGGAGGCGGAACGAGCTCGTTGATTCGACAAACATTGACAAGATATGTGTGCCGAAACAAGAGCATATCCTTTATTAATAATGCAATTAGGAAAGCTCTGTGGAGAGGAAGTGCTTGACCCGACGTACCACGCAGAAAAAATGACTTGATCTTGTAGAAGGACCTTCATGAGTGAGAACCCTCCTACAAGTCCTTTGCTCGCCTTTCGGAATTGAAAGGATTTGTAAAGAATATGCGAGACGAGGATGAGTTCGAACACGAACGGACCCAGGCTGATCGAAAGTTATAAATACATTAGCCAGGAAAGCCCATTACTGGTCGGTTGAAGAGAGCGACTGACCAGCGGAAACTTGCGAAAAGCGGTGATAAAGCAAGCTCAATTTCACAGAACGTAAGACTAGTATTCTTGACTGTGTTAATTAGCAGTTAATTACAGCGTATATGGCTTTTCACAGTGGACATCAGACGTACTAAAATGATGATTACAAAAGGGATAAACGAGAGCAGCCAGCGTGAAGACACCCTGAGCCGCAAATAGGAACTTTAGTAGTATCGTTACTCTGCTGTCTTTGATATGTTGAAGAAGTATTTTATATTTTAGTCCACAGTAGTCATGTGGCTTCAAATTCTGAAAACTTACTTTGAGAAAATACTGCTATGACACGGAGTAATAGAATATCTTCAAGGTAAGAACATCTCTGCAGTTAGTTGACGTCCTGCTAGAGCGAAGTAGTGAGTAACGAACAATCTATCTCGAAAAGCACAAGCCCTTCTGGATTGGCAAGGGATAATGTCAGCTCGTAAAGCCGACTAGCGAAAAATTACCCTACCAGAGAAGAAGGAGCTTATTATCGAGAACGAGCCTAGGTTTCGCAAGGGAATATTTAGAAACCATTTCTTTGGTATAGCGGAATGGATGGTATTCACATCTAAGACAAGTATAAGTGATTTCCGTCATAAATACGTAAGATAATTGTTGCCCTACATGCTTTCTTTGACGTTGAAAAAATAGTCTAGGATATATCTGCATCAGCGTGAACCGGAAGGTATTTTTGATGGACCTGACTCACGCCACAGGGATATGACCATTGAGAAAATACCGAGATATTGGTTCTGTGAACATATACGTTAGTAGGCTAATATTAGCAGTTCGCACAAGACTAGAAGTCGTTAGCGTACCGAAAGGTAGATTAAACTGATAAAGGCGCATGGTTTACTCTTCGGAGATGAATGAGGCTGGAGTTGCATTAATTTACTAGGGTGACATACCCAAAAGTATTTAACCTGAATAAATAGTGATTCATGAGTATGCAGAATGGAAAGAGAGACAAGTAAATTTCATGTAACTTGCCTCTTTGTCAAACCGTACGACTATAAATCATAAACGTAATCAGTCGTTTAGTCTGTCAGTAATTGAGAAATACTTGCGTACTAGCATTGTACACTATAAGAGTAGTAAGTGCAACTTGACAGTACATGTCGATTTTCTGTGACTGTACAATGACGGCGTCGTTAGCAGATTCCCACATTTGAGGTTCCATTGCGGATGTCGAATGAAGTCCACTACAGAGTCATTAAGAACTGAGATGATTGATAAAATGTTGCATTGCTCTGTTATGCCATCCGGTCGGCTTGAGTCAGATGGACACGCTTTCCACCGCTGTATCTTCATCATCTAGGGACATGCTGCTTCCCGTGATTGTCGGATCTGCATCCGCAATCAAGTAACGTACAAGATGCGAGTGAAACAGATTTGATACACAACGTTGTTCACGAAAACTTTCTTACTTACGAAGTTGCTTGTTCGTCTTCTAAATCGTGGTAACACCGCAATAGTCTTGAGGGTATTAATAATAATAAACAGCAATGTTCTTTACAAATATGCACCGCACTTACGACCAGATCATTCTGCGGCATTGCATATTGGTGCATAATACGATGAACCCACCTCCCCAAAGGTAAATAATCTGAAACGTATCACAACAATCTTCTGTATTGACTGGTTCCGCACTTTTAGGGTAGGCCAGTTGCGGCGTTGCACGTTGGTAGATAGAACGATATGTCCACCTCCCCAAGGCAAATAATCCGAAACTTATTACATCACCATTGACGGTGAAATCTAAGAGCGGAATTTGGTCGCAGATGGTAAGCCCCTGCGGCCACCTCTACCAGTTCTGCGGCTGGTGAGACAGGTATTATTTCGGCTTCCGAATCGGAGGAGTAATTAGGCGGCTGGACATACCCGCTGCGACCGTAAATACCAGATTTGACGGATGCGTTCGGTTCGGTACTCAGAAAGGTCTCGCCCACCGCAAGTTGCATTTGAAAGCGAGCCATAGATTTGCAAAACAGAAAAGGATCACTCCGTATGTGTAGTGAAAGATGATATACATTCTTTTCGGTGCAGATGCAATGTAGGCAATTAGGATGCAGTGTCCACGGAAGCAATAAAAGTAAAAGTAGTATGAATGAATGCACACAGATCAAGGACAGAATAGAAAGCAAAAGGAACGTCCAGAACTAAAAAAATCAATTAGATAGCTCCCATAACCGGAAACAGCGGATACCGATGCAGCGTCAAGACGGAAAGTCTCACTACCAAACAATGACGTTCAATAGCCCCTTCCGCCATATTGTCCGCCATTGCCCCGCGGCCCATAAAGCTGTTGCCCGCTTACTCCGCCGACAAGGCTTGCCGGGGTAGCTCCACCAGCTGGGTAATAGCTGCTACTCGCGTCCTCTTCCGAATAGTCCGTGCCGGGTGCAAGAAGCGGGTCCTTCACTTCCCAGACTGCCTGTTTGCTGCCGACAGAGAACTCGAGATCCTCCTTGGTAATACTGTCCCAATATTTATACACCATCATAACACTCAGGAGCATGCAGAGTGTGTAGAAAAAGAGGCCATCAATGTAATGGGAAACAGCGTCGCAAATCTGTACTGAGAAAGCGAAAAGTAAGACTTGGGCAATGACGAAAAATGCAGTGCCGAAGACAATGTCGCCAATTGGCCACCGATCCTCTAATGTGCGGAAGACGAGGATAAGCTGCGAAACGACGTAGATCGTGGTGCAAATTAGCGGCCAAAGGATGTAAATTATCCAGAGTCCAATCGGATTTGTGAATTTGAACCCTGCGAACTGTTTGAAAGTCGCAATAGCAACGAAGAAACCGATAGCGAGTAGGACGAGGCAGGATATACGCATAAGCTGGTACACAATAGTTTCAGTACAACGAATATTTGCCGGCCCAAGAAAAGGAGCCATACCCAAAGAGACAGAGGCGTTCCATCCTCTGCAAACTGGAAGCCAACGAATCCATTTATCAACAAGCAGCAATATGCTGCTGCCACTAGCCCGGTGTAAGCCGCTGCAAACCACTTAATGACATTAAGTGAGCATTCATTGATCAATTATAAGGAATTGCCTGGACCACATACTGGGTATACCGAACTCGATGTGGGTATAATGCCGGAATCGAGGAAGATTGCGAGAAGCTCGACGACAGCGTAGAGATAAAAGAACATGAGAATTTCCTTTCGACCTGAATGTCACAGATATGGTTAGTTAGAAGGAATTAGTGGCTTGAGATTGGTCCATGACTGCTGGACTTCCTGGCCGCTTGGACACCAAGCTCCATATAGTGCAGTACGCAATGTACGAGGACCTTCCGGCCTCGCATGTTTGACGAAAGACAACTCACCGACCGCCGTATATTTGCTCCGAATGTGTAAGATCATTATAATTGTCATAATGATCGCAACGATATGGATGAAGCATGTTGCTGAAAGAGGTAGGTTGGGAAAAAGACTCGCTAAAACAGAGAAAATAGACGACGTACAAGGCTGGAAGATGAGCGTTCCGCCGACGTCAACATTACGACTATAGCATGTCGGTACCACGCCCTGAGCAGTCTGGACGAGCGGGCAGATGACTAGCGGTGCTGCCTGGCATATACCGTTGAATGAACCGAACTGGATCGTCATGTCGAGAGTGTTGGTGCTGGCTTCTCAGCACGTCGTGAAGGAACGAGGACAGGTCCCGCAGTGACGACAATTGGTGGCCCCTTTACTTGAACCCGAAACGGCGAGCAATGCCAGCTGGACAAGATGGTATTTTCCAAGTAGTACAATTTGACGGAGAAACGAGAGTTATGGGAGGTGGCTGACGGCGGCGGCGGGGAACGAGAGACAACAGAGAGGAGGCGAGCAGAACGTGCGTGCGATGGCTGACACGCCAAATGAGGAAATGCTTACATACTCAATATTGCTAAGCACTAAGCAACAAGAAAAGTGAAGATATTTTTGCTATGTACATGCGTTCGTGAAAATATGCAGCATTGAGTAGAAGTACTTCACCAATATGACATTGATAGGAAGGCCTCTGTTCGACGTGAAGATTTTTTTTTCACTAATGTACTCGTGCATATGGATCCGAGGCTAGGTAACGCTGTATCCGTCCCTGAACATTTTTAATACTCCACACACAGGTACGAATACACACTACACGCAAAGCTTATCGTTATCCCGGGTAGAAGAACTTCCTAGTAGTATTCATCGGCACCACCAGAACTTCTCGCTGGGGACGTGTGGCCATGCTGCGATGCTCCAGAAGACTCTCGGAGCGATGCAGACCCATTCAATGGAGAAGGATGTCCAGTTGTTACACCAGAGCCCCCCGAAGAATTTAGGTGATCAGATGCACTGCCTGAATTGCCTGTTCGCGAATCCCGGTGAGAGGGGAACGGACTTTATTACTGCGCGAAAGGATATGCGGGTGGCACTCCGGAACCTGTAGCCTCGAAGTATCAGCTTACAGAGGAAGCCGCTCCAGCACGTAAGCATTGGTTTGATCCAAATACCGGACCTCCTTCAGTTGGCGGGAAGACCGCGGCTATAACAAATTATTGAATGTATTCCAGGGGGAAAGCAGTGACGTCGTCACAAAAGCCAAGAAATAGCTCCGCATCTTGATTCATCGAACTGGACACACAAAAAGATTAGCGTCCCAGAAACGGGCACATAGGAGGAAGCAGCGCCTTTAAATATACATCACTGATACAATCCGCCGAGATGTGTAGTAAAAGATATGCTGGCAGGGTATCCCAGTATAGAGGATCTCGAGTTTCGGCGCCAGGGAACGTCGTGATTGTTTGAAAGGAAAGATGATCCAACCTGGGACTAATTCCCCTTTGTTGTGTCTCCCGCATTACCCCCTGATTGATGAGCCGTCAAAGTTCATAAGCGCTAACTTCAAGCACCTTCCTAGACTACATTTCAAATATAGCGACTGCATTGCGAAGCAAATATCACTAACGGAAGGCCGGTGCGTCCTAGGTGAAGCAGACTTGAATGAATGAGCGCACGCTAGCCGTGAATATCCCCTCTGAGAACGTTCCTTTTATCATTAGGCCGATCCTCGGCGAGTGGTTGAACAATGACTGTCCGGAAGCTGCTGTTGCTTCGCTGACTAGAGGCTCATTACGCCAGACGCGTTCTTTAGTAGACCGCAGTGCCATGTATGGTGGAGTCAAACGTGGAACATTGCGGTCATACGTGCCGACTATTGTAGAATCCGAAGCAACATTAAAAACAGCGTGCGGAATGGGGTAAAGCAGGTATGTGCATAACTGGCTTTCCTTGACATCAGCATATTACATGGCACAGGGTCGAGAACGAAGTATTGCAAGTCATTCGAGAGGTTTATACTGTGCATTGCATGAAATTACTGGCTAAACTGGTCTCCGTAACAGCACATGATGGATGCCCCATTGTCGGATAGATAAAAGTGGTAACGCCCCTAGGTCGATTGCATGTATTCTTCCCAGATGTTGCTTGTATTGATGACTATAGTAAAACCCCAAGGTTTCTGATTGTTTCTGTGTATCAGCGTATGGGCGAGCTACTGCACAATAGTCGGTGAGGTCTCTTTCAAGAACCATCAAGATATCGCCGAGGAATAGAGAGGCACCTCTTGTAATTCAGAATCCATCATCATCGGATTTAAATTCAGTAGAACTATTAAGTGGGAAGTTCGGCTTAGGAGATTCGCCGGACAGCAACAGTAACATGAACAAGCAAAAAATTGAAAAGTTGACAAGGTTTGATCCATTGTGTACTTGTTTCATTGCGTCGCCGAGTTTTTTGCACTGGAATTGAGATGTGAGTGATGGTCACAAGATGAGAGAGTGTGTTATCGAGGGAAATTGTTCAACCCAAAACTATTCTCACGCCTTTTCAAGTTTTATTTTTATTTTTCCCATGAGGCCCTTTCCGACACACTGTCCACATCTGGACTTCTAAACAGCCCTGCTCAAGCGCCCGCGGTTGCTCCAAGGAAGATACGCTTTAGGTGATGCCATGCCGCTCGGCGACTCTGGTGAATACTTTGCTTGATACGAAAATGCTGCGCAATATCTCAGGCAGTGCCACGTTCTATACCCAATCGATGGCTTGCGTACCACGATACCAGAGACCTGTTCTAACTTCTCGGCACTACTAGCTCTCGGATATTTCGTCTCGCGGAATTTGCACGGGCATACATGTCCGTTCACAGTTTGTGTATTCTCCGTAACGATACTCCGGGAACCTGGCTAGATGGTTGTATCCCTTCGGGACTTTAATCCTGAGTGTTCTATACTCGAACCTGCTAAGGAATGGATGTTCTGCGGCTCTTTACTTCGTAGAAGTCAAAACTCGGCTCGGAATCACTTCAGTTTGACAGAGTCGGGAATGACAAGGGAGTGAATGCGTAGGTATTCTTGATTCTGATGAGAGATTATATTCTCCATGCGAGACACATGGGTCGCAACTCTGCTGGCAAGACTACTATTGGTCTCTTGCAATTCATCTGTGTCGTTCGTGGGGCTTGGGAACAGCGTTTCCGCGATCAGCAATTACGCTGTCGGACTGAAAAGGCTGTTTAATAATCCTGCATGGAAACTTTGTTACATACATGTGTTATAGCAACGACAAATCGGCCATACAAGGCACTGAGTAAATGCGCGTCCGCTATTTCGGCGGCCATATTGGAATGAGAACTGGTTTGTACTTGCTTTGGGGTAGACTTCCTTAGGTTTGATACAGCGCTTTCGCATTTCTTGCTATCACATGGCGCTGGATTCGAAAGTACGCGCCAGCTGTTCAGGCTTCCGAACTCCATTCAGTCTTTATCGCGGTCTTTTGCACGCGGGGCAGTGCGTTCATTTTCCGAGCGACACGCACTTGCCGGTAAGCTCCGCTTTGTTCAGTTGACATACTAACGCAGTATCTTTCTCCCTGAGCAAGTACCACCATCAAGGTGGACAAACTCAGGGACTCATTTAGTAGTTTCTCTGTCGATCGTGGTCAACGAAACGCGTCATAATACAAGACTAATGAATATCTTTGTGAAGGCGGAACAAGCGGTAAGCCCGAGGTCGCCTTGCGCCCGCCTGCATTCCTAAATTATCTTGTGTAATGCTGTTGTGACTAAAGTATTTCTTCTTTGGGATGACTCTAGCATTATGCGGTTCTTCTTGTTCAACGATCTATGCAGAAATGGTACAGGATCTATTACATAACGAACCGCTATTACCCTCACTCGGAGTTACTTTTTGTTAATTTATCCAACACGGGGTGTCAGTTTTAGAACGGAGTTCTCCGAGCAAAACGCGTGTGTGTCGTTCTTGGACTTCCGAATTCCTTTTCGCGATATCCTGATAACCTCGCCTCGTCTAGATGGCGTACAGACTTACTCCCAGGCAGCTGTATCAAACTGGGGTCATTAGAGGCTTTTTTCGGAATGCTCCAGACACCCCTAGGCTAAGGAACTGGGGTAGAAAGCATGGAAGGCTGCGCCGCTAGCACTGCGGTAGCTGTGCTTTTCAGTTATGGCACATTGCCTGGGGGGGTTGTATGACTCTTTGTGGGTTCTTCACATGTTGCTTTTATGAGAAAGAGCGTGTAACACCCCCGTTCCGCGAAAAATGCTTGGAACTTTGTCCGAACAGAGTTATTCATGGACATTCTATCTCGACCACTGTCGTAACGACGCTTCGCTGTCTCTGACTCGTGTACCCAACCATAGCGCTGGAACAAACTGCTTGAAACGTAACTTGTCTCTTCTGGTCATGGCGATATCGTATTATCGATAGATAGGAAGCAAGCAAAAGGGGCTCGAAGTCATTACCAATATGAACATCCTATGCTCTCGCACGACCTCATTCACTTACATCAAACACATCGGGCCTAGTTTCTTCGCTTGGACATGTATTTCGTCTCTGGGCTTGCTGCGTTCCATTACTCTCGGTTCGTTACAGCTCTAGTACTCCGGAAATATGCGTGACGTACGGAGATGAACGTGGACTCATTCGCCACTTGAGTACCCGCCCCTCACGCCCCCGCGACATCGCATTCTGTACACATACGAATATCTCGTTCAAGAGGCGGAGATCTTACAATTTCGAAGAGACTGTGCATCCCACCTTCCGCTTTGTCGTAGTTGATCCGAATGAAGCGATTCGGTCTCGCATGGATTCTCCTTTATAATATCTCGGTCGGAAATCCCCTTCTGTCTAAGGCAGTTTAAGGACTCTCGAGAGTGTGAAGCGCATCACTATCTTAAGGTACGCAGATTCGCAACGTGTACATTCTCAGCCCATTCCTTATTTACCGTAATTTCATTGCTGAGCACTTCTCCTTTGAAAAGATGGATTTACGATATACATATGACTCCATAGTGGTCGCGCGATGCGTTCTAATCGCGGTAGATATGATATCGGCGGAGATGGTGGTGAGCCCAGAAGTATTCAATGTCCTCAAGTAATCTACATACATGACAAAGAGTGTCATGAGCGCTGTTCACAACACTTTTCCTCATTGCTACTGCAGCGAGGGAATGGCTAAGTCGCTAAACTGACTTGGGACGCGTTTCAGCTGCCAGCCTCACCCACGACTTCCACGACACTCAGCGCAGGCTATTGCCACTTCCCAACAATCACTCTCGCAACGTTTCTCACGTCAGCCTCTGTCCCAGACGAATGATCAATGAAACCCAATGTGCGACATCTACTCTCCACCGCATTGTATGCGCACCATTTCATATTCTCCGAGCCGTCCTCCGGACTTGCTTTAACATTTAACCACAGAGTGCTAGAGCCGGATCTTCGACACGACGCGGAGGGAGTGAATTATGTTATCCATACTTCCGAACGTTCTGTGAAGTGATGATACTCATTTAGTCGCTCTGTGACTATTCCAATTGAGTCTGTCCATTCACATATTTCAAACAGGGAAACATGCTTTACTTTATTCATACTGCCTACTATTGGGACCATCTTCTGCATGATAAAAGGGGAAGAAATATATGCTACTATTTAGAATATTTTAGTGATGAAATAAGGTGGGATTGAGGGGACATTGCGCTTTCGTCGAATTGATAATGAATTGATAATGGTGATTAAGCGTCGAAAAAATGTGGAATGCATTGACCTGGAAATGAGACAAAAAAATTGCTAATTGACCAATTGATGGATACGTTACGAAATGCAATGCGGAGAGGTTAAGGAAAGGGGCAAAAGAGAAATTGAAATTCGGGAAAAAGGGAAGTTTATGTACGCGTCGAAAGGAAGCATACCAAATGCATGCATGACTGAGTCAACTTGACAGGAAAAAGCAGTACGAAGGCTAGACCATGGGAAGGAGGAAGAAAAGAAACGTAAGTACAAACGATGAAGTAAGCGACTCGGCTCAGGCAAGGAAATGGGACAATGGAGCCGTGCGGATCGTAAGCGGTACATATGCATCACCACTCAAACAATTCGAGAGTGCATGATGAAAGAATGTATATATGTAATCTTGAATGGGAAGTAAGGTAGAATTCGTTGCCAAAAACCGCGAGAGGGCGGAGCCAAAGCTGTACACGCATTAGGCATTAATAAGGAGCAGTGAGGAATGAATATGCTCATTTAATTGAGCGTCGTATACTGAAAGATGGCGAAGGTGTCTCATGTATAGAGGGTCCAATAATGTAACGCAGAAACAAAAACAAAGAACAAAAGGTGAGCATCATAGTCGTCGTCCACGTGTTGCGTAGCCATACCCGTACAGAGCATCTGGGCTTGCAGTTACACTCTGAGACTGCTGTACAACTCTAGGAATAACAGAGTCATTTATTGCAGAGCTTGTGTCGTGAGCACTTCTAGTTGCATCAGAATGCGCGTACGCGTAAAAGTGCATAACTCCCGGAGGGCCCGCGTTCGCAAAAGCTGCACGCTCTGGCAGTGTCTGTGAGTGAGAGGAGTATGCAGGAACTGCAATGTGACTTGACGAAGCAGGTTCGCGCTGATCAGATTGGGCCGCATACACGTACGGAGATAGCATTTGAGCCCGGTGTATCGCAGAAGCAACGGGCCGACTTTGCTCGGGATGCTGGTAATGGAATGTCTGGGAATTAATCGGTGGTATAGAGCGTGGATGAAGGTGCACGTGACGTTGGGAAGGAGCATATACGCCATCAATCATTTCGCTGGCCGGTGCGCTCCATGAACTCTGGGCAACTGGCGCAGGGGTCAGGGTAGAAGGAGGTGTGCATATCAACGCTGGACCAAGATTGGCAGCCGCATTGCTATCCTGTGGTACAGTAACAGGATGAAGCGCCGTCAAGTGTTGTTGACCATGCTTAGCATCTTCCCAAGGTTGCGAATGAACGTGCGTGTACTCTTGCACTGGTGCTGGTGAAGGTGCATATGCATCTAATGAAGCAAAGCTTGGCAACGGACTTGCACATGCACTCTGCGTCTGTGATATCAGAGGCCGTGGCGCAGGAGGCATTGAAAGGGCGAGTGCAAGTGGCGGAAGATGTTGCAAATGTTGACCTTGTTGGTGCCTTTGCATCGGTTCGAGCTGTGGATGGGGCGAATGGGCGACGGCGGTAGATTGATGAGTAGAGAGTTGAGGCTGACTGTATTCGTTTGACGAGGATGTTGTAGGAGGAACTACGACTTGAGGAATAGTAAATGCGCCATGTTGTGGATACGCAGTGTACGAAGGTTGCGCCTGGCTCTGACCCTGGGCCACGGTATGATGATACCTTGAAGTGTCGCTCTGATATCCATACCAGTCATTCGCCCGACTGTCGACATATCGGAGGCGTGCCTTACGCTCCGCGCCGGGTGGGAGATATGACGACTCCCCAGCTGCAGACTGTTCTTCAACCAAGGAGTTCCCGTCAGCGGTTGCATTATTAGAGCCTGCAACTTGCGACGTAGTGTAAGCAGCGTAAGGTGACCGTAAAGGGGAACTCGCAAGCGCGTAGAAGTACAAATGCGGTGGAAGAGCGCGGCGAGCGGCATCTGAGACGCGGTACGGAGCTGCTAAGGTCTGCTCTGCCCTCTCGCGAATTCCTTCCTCGGCTATTACCTGATCGGTCGATTCGTTTCTCGCACGTTGTTCGACAGGCGTCGCAAGGCTCATATTCTCCAATCTACGCAAACTATCTGCGTACGTGTATGATGGTTGAGCACTCACGCTCCCTGCCCTCTCCCAAACCTTCTGTGTTGCATTAGAGGACGAAGCGGATGCAAGCGCTGCAGGGATATCGAGTGCTAGGCCAGTAGAACGCTTCCCTCCACGTGATGCACCCGCGAAAGTTGCACTGATAGGTGAAAAGGCGTCTGCAGCAGTACGCTTGGAGGAGACTGGTCGATTCGGCGACGTGCTTGATGAGTGCGTTTGAGAATCTGACTGGGGTACAGTCTGGAGATACGCAGTCGATGACGAAGGAACTGTAAACGTGAAGGGATATGCGGGCGCGTAAGCATAGCCTCTCAACTGACGCGGGCTAGTACTTCGTGCCCTTTGCTGTGGAGGCTGTTGATGCTGTTGTACTTCAATCCGTATAGGTTCCTTCGCGTTAGAAATTCCAGCACAAGGTGCGATTGGGCGTGCTCGCCGCCCTTCACGCCACCTATTATATTCTCGTTCCTTTGCAAGGACGAGACCCCGAAGTAGGTTGAGCCACGAGCCGTATGTTGCTTCGTCCACAAAAAGGCAGAAACCAACACCAAGCAGAAACTCACGCTCCATCTTGTTAAGTTCATCAAGCGGGATAGCAGATACATCCGACCATGTCTTGTTCGTATACGTGTTACTGAATAGCGCGGGTTAGTCACATGCAAGACTACTAAATAAAAATAATTCAAATAAAATACTCACTCATCCACAAACTTATTTGCCAACATCAAGGCACATACCGCGACGCGGAATTCACTGCCCGGCTTCCCCAATGTGAAGTCATTTCTCTCCTTCAATCTATAGATATAGTGCAGCGAAAGCACTATCACGCTCTGGCTCACTTGAGTTGTTGCAAGCAGCTTCGCCATGAATTGCACGAACTCGGGACTTGCGCAAAACTGCAGCGCGGCGGTTGACGCGTTACTTAGCGGTCGCGACGCGAAAGGAGGCGAATGGGCAGACCCTCCATCCCTACGCCGTCGCTGAGAAAGTTCACGTTCTCGTCGAGAATGAGAGGCGGCCGCACCTCGTGGACCAAGCGAAGAAGAGAACCACAAATAACAGACCATCTCGCAGGCCTTCTCTGCAATGGAGTGAGCAGAACGATGCGAGGCATCGGTTACCCAGTCGGCTGCGGAAGTATTTTGTGCATATGCACCATCCGCATCCAGCGTCGGAGAGCTTGTGTGTTGCGGACTATATCGGTCGTTGACGTCGGCTCGCCTTTCCAATCCCTCCCGATGTTGCTGCCGCTGCCAGTCCCATTCCCAATCCTGGTGTACCTGCTCGGCGTCTTCGTCAGCCTGATCATCCATAGTATCGTACTGATCATCATATTGCTCGTCTTCGTCAACCGGAGACGGAGAAAGAGAAGTAGGTGGAGACGGATTCACAGTCATTGGAGAATGAATACGCGAAGGACCTGGCTTTGAATCGCGCCAGATTGAAGGTGGGGAAGCGTGCATTTCATCGTCTGGAGGAGTCACTAGCGATTTTATCAAAAGAATTAGCAAATGACCACAAAAGTAGGACAATGCAAGACACACAGGGCGAGGAACTAGGCCAGTGGCGATCGAGGTGCGCAATAGGTGGGAGAGTCAAATGTTGCAGGTGGCCCGCTTCAACTCCGGTGGTAATTGGTGCTGCACGCTGCTCGCGATCGGGATCCACAGCATAATATGGCCTGCTAGCTGCTGCAAGCCGGCGCGGCGGGACGGATGAAGGCGGGGTCGGGAGGTTTGTCTGTGCACGCCACGCGTTCCACGCCGAGTGCGCATCGTCATGCAGGGGGTCGTTGGACATGGCGAGCTGCAATGGGCTCTGCACAGAGAGCATCGCCAGGGGAAGAGGGAAAGTCGGAGAAAAGGAAAGAAAATACGTTATAATATTGGAAGGACCATTCGAGCTTTGAGACAAGGAGAGTTATGAACACATTCAAGAATTCATTCTCGGATTATGTCAGGACGCGCAGAAATAATATCCGGGAAATGTAGAAACTATTTGTCGGCGAAAATAGCCCTAGGGTTTGGCACGTCCGGCCTGTCACGCTCTCCCACGCTGTTGTATCATTCAGTCCCTGGGCCATTGCCTTTCCGTTGCCTTTCCCTAGGTTTACGCTCGAACGGGAAGGCGCAGAGATGCACGCGTAAGCACACCCGCCCATATCGAGCTGACCACGATCGTCGCCTGCCCGTTCCTGGGCCCTGTCTAACCTGACGCCTGCCGCATTCGGGCTGCAACCCTTGTTCAAATGTGGTCAACAAGGGTCGGCCGTGTGTAAGGTTCGGATGCTTGTCATCCAGGCTCTCTCTTTTATTTTTTTCTGCAATCTGTGCTGCATCTGCCAAATGCATCTCCTGCCTTCCGTCTTCCGTCTGTGTCCTTTCGCCTCTTCTCGGCCACTCGGACGTGTTCCGCGCCCATGTGAAGGCGGCTAAAAAAGCAAATGCATCTGTGAAGCGATGAAAAGAATACATGCGAAGGAAACAACATCGTCGTCTCCCGTCACCGCGCCTCCTGCCCCGCTTCTGAGTCCTCTTTAGCCCTTCCCCCCTTTTTCGCGCACATCTCCATCTAAAATCTGTGTTCTGCCATTTGATTCATCTCTCTGACTCTGTCGTAGCTGACGCCGCGCTATCTCACCTCTGCCCTTCCCTCTTTCGGATATGCTCAAAAAAACTTTACCCTACCTGTGATCATCTCTCGCCTTCGCCTTCGCGTCATATGCGTGTCTCGATTCATCCTATCCCCATCCCTTCCCCTCAATCAGCATCACGATGTGTCGTGCCCTACCTTCCTTGGCTTTCTCTTCGCCACTTCCACCGAGTCTCAATTTCCCGCACCCCCGGTCTCTGTACATATCAAAAAGGAGTAGACTCCAAATCAAAGAGTTTAGATCCCTGTTCGGCGTGTGTGCATGTGTGCTATCCCCATCTATCTTCATTCCCTCAGAATTCATTCTCCATCTCTGTCATCGTGCATAACGCAAGTGAAAAAGGAAGTTAAGCCCATCCATTCTATCGCGTTCCTCGCTGTTCTACTCCAGCCGATGGACAAAATAACTTTGCAATTGATGTCTTCCATGTCCACTCCGCAACCGCGTATCTCAATCGCGAAAGAAAACCTACCCACACTAAAGTAAACTCAAGGCTTTCACCTCATCAAGTGCACAAGCGTTTACAGCATCCCATCCATCAATAGCACCGAAATCGAGTGTACATCGCTACCACCTTTTTTTCCCCGGCAACCCTTGACTGCACATGTCATTTGTTGTCTGGATCTCAGACCCTGCATTCGTCTTCATTTCGCAACTCCTGTCCTGTCCTTTGTGCTCCTTTTCTACCGGCTCCGTATCTCGGGTCAATACATCGGTCTCCATTAGCACACGTACTGAGAAAGAGTGAGTAAAAAAGACCGCTCTCGTCATCACATATGCGGCTGCGGGCCAACCGGCTTATTTTCTCCTCGCTCCTAAACCGCTTTTTACATTCCTCGCGTCCGAGACATGGATGCCAACATTTTGTGAACAAGACAGCCGAGAATTTTATGTGACTTGCCTTTCTGCTGCGGCGCCCCATCCGACACGCACCGAGTCCTTTCCAAAGGCAGTAACCCATAGGCCGGCTATTTAAGACGAAAACTAAAACCAGATCCGACACGCGCATTTCCCGAAACCAATTAAACTGGTGCGACGCGACATGTAACACCGCGTCTCGCTTTTGTCCCAAATTGTCCAAACGGTCACACTCCATCAGAAATTACGTTCCGATGCGCAAAATCAGGCAGACCAAACCCCTTCCTGATCTACTCCGTCGCACTGTCGAGTTTGTGCCTGACAACAACCGCATCCCTCCACCAAGGAATTAAAATAATGGAAGCCCTCTGGATCTGGCAAATCTTTTCAAAGTGAGTTTAGGAATTTCTCCATCGATCGCGGGCGGCTATCACAATGCCCGGAGGCCGGTCATGGCTATGACGGACTGAATTAAGATCCTTTTCGACGTCCTGCTGGTGAGTCCGAGGTCGTAGCTCGCCACATCTTACAACCGCCGCTATGCACTGCTGCTATGTTTCGCGTTGATGTGCACGATCACAAGGAGCATACGGTGTCGGCTTTGCCGGGATGCAACTATTTCCGCACGAAGTTTGTGGCTGCGGAAGCGTCCACTTCAATTCGGCGGCGCTGTCCACAGCAAGCCTATTAATATTTGCAGATCCTCGATATCCTTAACCTGGAGGTTCTGGACAAGGCGGGCATACAAGCCAGCCGTTCTCGTTGGCAAGCAACTTGCTGGGAGAGGTCTTAAATTTAGAATATGGAGTGCAATTCACCCGTGATTGGAAAATCGGCCACAGTTTCGAGCGCTCCGTCGATATGCAAAATCGCCAGACGTGCAACACATTGCTCGTCGCTTGCGCAGAGCGCGTAGATGCGACATCGGAAATGGAGTTTATCCTTCGCATGGATATAGAGCGGATTTGTATGTTCATATCTCCTCATGTTCATGTACATTCACAGCCTGTTTATGAGAACAGTCCTGGACTTCCGATTTCTGCTCAGGAAGATGCGCTGACATGCTCAACCTGTGTCCGATGCAAATTAGGTCAAGGGTTGGTTGCATTGAAGACATGTGAGCTATGCACAACATTTCGTTAATTACTTGCCGAGTGTCTTCCAGAATGGCAGCATTGTTTACTCATGCAGAATCTTCCCGTTTCCCGACCACACGTGTAGGGGAACTTGTACGAAGTCACCGGTTCGTTCAGTTCGGAGGCTCCCGAGGGCACTGTCCATCTCAGACACAGGTTGAGCAGCAGTCGCAGTAAAGGTGGCCCCGTCTTCATTTCTTTCAGACATCTGTGCTTCGAGCAGCGAGGGCAAACTGTCTCCTGGCGGTTCTTCGCGCAGCCCCTCTGTCTTCCACGCGCTGATTTCGGGATCCGTACCATTGGACACTGGTTAGCTCCGCAAGTAATTGGTAAAACGGCTTTGGTTCTGATCAACCCCGTCCTCATCGTCATCTGTCTGGTCATCTTGTATTCCGAGGGTTTGGTTTTCTTGAGCAACTCGTCTACCAAGTTAGAAACTCTGATGTATGAGGATGCCCCGCATCTCCCCTATTTTGAGACCATATCGGGTGCTGTCAACGATTAACATCTTATTAGGACTATGCATTACTCTCAGTGCTGTGGTGCTTCTTAAATGCTTGATTAACCGCTATGCTGCACGTCTGTGATCATCTTTTCTATTACATGCGCGTGGTTAGCCTCTTGGAGAAGTTTAATAACATTTCATAAGCTCAGAGTAACGCGGATACGTACAACGCCACCGTCAAGTCTGCCAACACCACAGACGAAGCAGAAAAGAAAGACCGCACACACACTTGTTGTAAAACTCAAGTTCCGTCCTCAGACTACAATGGAATTAGCACTCGGGATTCTGTTCTTCATATACATTATTTACAGAGCAAGCATTAATGTTCTCATAATGCAGCTTCCCCTCTGGTCATAAATGACTTCTGTCTCGTTTTGGATAAGATGCGCATTTTGTGTGTCCCCGCGACGATCATCCAAATAAATTGAGTTCGTGGCTCTTTCAGACCGTATTTGTACAGTTTTGTGATCATCTGTATCGATAGCAATCCAAATAACAATGGTGGCAATATAATATAGAGTTGTGGGATAAAAGTACATAACATGTGGTTGCAGCTGTACTGTTGTGCTGTCGTTACCTTTTCCGATAACCGCGATCCGAAAGGAAAGGTGAAGTAACATTACACTGTTGGAAGAAGATTCCTGCAGAAAGGCCTCGCCGTTCCTGCCACCTTCCTCCCCATGTGTCGCGGGGACAAAGACCTACACAAGCTAAGGGTCAGTGCGCTTTACAAAGTACAATAACCACGCCGCTCTCCAGGGTGCCTTTCATAAACACTAATTATTACATGCGTACTTGGTTCCTGTCCTTTTTTTTTGACTTGTCGTAACGAGGTGCACTAGAAACGTGCAAATGGAGCTGTAAGTCATATCAAGCAGGTGTGCTGTGCTAATGTAAATTACCGCACACTAATAGAGAAAGCGTAATAAGGTCGGAGAAATTTCTAGTGCGTCTCTTCTAACACAATATCATAGAGACCTAGTGATCTGATACGTCCGGGTCTGTGATTCTTCCTAAGCACTGTCTAGAATGTGCTAGCTAAAACACTTTCTATGGTAATGGTGCCGCTTGACAATGATGATTTTTTGGCTGAAGTGCCGCGTGCAACAACGAAGCCATCGGACCGAAAGTTCTGGAATGAAAGTCTTGTTTTTGAAGACGAAATCATTGGTATGAACCTTGGGGTTGCTACCAACTTCATAACAATATAAATCCGATAACGATCGGAGAGCACAGCCGACTAGTTTCAATTCCCCCTAATTTCGAGATGGATAAAACGTTCTTCATAGAGAGAAACAAAATGAGAAATGAGAGCACGCCGCAAGCTTTTGATATTGAGAAATGTTAAGAGGATCCTGGATCCGTAAGGATTGGAGCAGTAAGTAATACATTATGCCGAGCAGAAATCGAAGGAGAAACACATTTAGCACGTTGGAGAGAGTATACTTAGACTAGGATGGTCCGGAGATCGCAGCATGTCAGTTCAAAGTCAGGTCAGGCGAGTGAAATAAGGCAGTGTGAGTCGCATAGAGTCGCGAGATCCACAAGGTAGTGTGGTGCCTCACTTCGCGGCCGGCGGTAGTCCGCCGGAGGCTTCGGCGAGAGCTAGAATGTAGATTTGAAGCACTACAACGGAGAAAGCAAGGTGGTGGAAAGAGAAAAAGACGGTCGGTTGCAGACGTGTACGTGGAAGCTAGAACGGCCCTGGTCTTGCCTCGGCATACGCCATGATTGGCGGGATTATTTTGACCGGATCAATGACAGGCGTCTAGCTCAGTTTTCTTTTCGTACATCTCTTTTGATAATCAGATATCCTTTTCAGGCATCCAAGTAGGACTGCCTCTTTTGGAGGTGTAAATCTCTCTCATGCGCAGCTCCTCTTTTAGCAGGTCTGTTGTCACGTCACAATAACCCTAACCTGCCTTAAGCATCGTCTTGACAAAGTAGGAAGCCGACCACAGTTCTATTCGCGGACAGCCTTTTGAGGTCTCGGCTACGATGACTGAGTCAACTCTTTTCTTGCAACTCTCAGTTTGTTGGGGCGTTAGCCACGGATCCGCCCGCCAAATTATGAGTCCACTGAATGGCCAGGAGACATCATGGATGAAAGCACAGAATTGCTTCGGGCGGCCGGTCATTCTAGACGAGCGAAATCAAATGTTGCAACCTCCGCGGTGAAGTAATCGGAACTGCACTAGGACAGAGTCTAGATGACGGGCATCTGCATGTAATGAAGATATATGCATTGCGCAAGCGGTCACTGTCAGCCCTAGTTATGCATCCTCTTTCCATTCCACGCCTATTTCTTGCGGAATGGGCGTCAAGCCTCTGACCAGATCACATGCAATGCTAACGAAAAGAATTGTCAACTATCTCTGTTGCGCGGGGCTAAGTCGCGAGAAGAGAAACGACTCCGCATCAAATACCTTGCTGCATCACACAGCGCTGGAATGAAACTGTACGATACAAGCATATTGGTTACGTGTCTACCTAGGGAGATAGGCCCTAATAAAATGAAACAAAAATGAAACGATACCTCCATGGGCTGTCCACGTGGGGAATTCAAGGGGTGAAGGCAGCATCTCCGACTCGTTCTTTTACGGTGTAGTTTCTTCATTAGTTGCGTTCCTGTAGCCGGTCCGAGCCTAAGTGAGTAACGCACTTATTAAGTACGTGTGCATTTGATTTGTATTTGATCATGATGAGCAGAAGATACGTAGACGTGGCATCAATAACATATAATAGTAGCCCTGGCACTAGTACAATCGGTCCTTATGTTGTCTTCTGCTAGAACATCAACATCAAGGTGGCTTATCCTTGGAGTCGGCACACATTTTTACCGATAAATGGGTAGTTGTCAAAGGTAACAACACCTTGTTTCTCCCGCCTTTCTATTCTTTCCTTCCATTCTTCGTGCTTTATGTGCTGAGCCGAGTGAACTCAAAAAACACCGCAGCAAATACTTATTTGTAGCCACAAGAAGTCCCTGATCAGAGTTTCAAGGTCATCCAAATAAGCATTGATTGGGAGAAAAATAAATAAATGAAAGAGAAGAATTAATAACAAAGCAATTTGCCCCTTTGTTGATCAACCAGTGAGGAAGCATCGCCATGATCCAGATCCTGAGTATATCAGAGCAGTTCCCGCTTTGCCCAGCTCATATAGTGCAAGATCAATACTTGTTTCCAACAGCGATCCGATGTACCCGGCCAAAGATGTTGAAAGACAGAATGGAAAAGGATCTCCTTTGTTTACAGAGTAGGCATGTGTGTTGTCAGTTGTAGTGAAATAACAATGATGCAAAGGGTAATAGCGTATGATACACTCCTCCCGTAGCATATTTGTCGGATGGCTTGAGTTCAAAGGATGATATGAATATCATCCCGCATGAAGCCGATCAAAATGAGTTAGTGAACAAAAGTGGATATGTGGCTCAAATACATCTCCCATCTATCCACCATCACCTTCCATGCGTTGCAATCTTGGAGGTCTGTAATAGTATCGTAGTGTAACCGATCGCACCTGAGAAGCCAGATGAGATGAGTAAGTTTATATTTTGTGTGAATGACCTCTTATTCTAGGCACAGCAGTACCAAAAGCGTGCTTTTGTTTGTAGTTGTTATGATCGCTGCTATACATTGTCACCCTGTTACACAGCCAGTGAAAGACAGTCTGAATTTGAAGAACGGTGATTACGTGAATCTGTCTGCGGCGGCATCTTACAGTGGCTCGTCAGGTATCAAATCGGATGATGTTGCCCTTCGGCGTAACTGGGTTTCCCGGACCACAGCCTCGGCGATTCGGGTCCCGAGGAAGGCTTGTGTGAAGAAATATCCGGAAAGGATGCCTGTCACTGTATAAGAGAAGTGCAGATTTTCCCAGTTTCAGTTTTGGCTTCGAAACTAAATTCGGGATTGGTAAATAAAGGGGGGTAGCTCAGTCGAGCCGATCATGCGCCCATAGGAGCTCCGACCGTGATAAGATTGAGTTGAATATTGGACACGCCTTCAGAACCAGAGGAACTCTCACACAGTCGAGAATAACCAATGAGCGCAGTTACACGCGGCGAAGACTACATATGCTCCGGATGCAACGTAAAATTTTCAGAACGTGTCACGCCTGATCCACTTTGAAGGCGAAAGAGCGGTACGAAGAATCTGGAAGAATTAGGGCTTACAAATTCCACTTAATAAAGTTATGTTTCTGTCGAAGCGTAGCACCCGGCTTCCTATCATAGCTGTATACAGACGCATGAAGGAAATCAGCATGGATTGATGGACAAAAAGAGGACACAGCGGAGGTGACCATCACGCAGTGAACATCGCAGCAGTCCGATCAACTCCACCCCCAAAAATTGCTTTTGATTTCGTCCAAAGCGCGCAAGTAGCGAACAATCACGTACCTCCCACAAAACCTGATGTGAGCCCTGCTACGATGCCTTCTCTCCGTGCGTGCTGCCACATAGATGAAGTTGATAAATAGCGTGATTCATCCGAACGCCCAGTCGAAGGGGGCAATGATAGAAACGTACTCTAGCGCAGCGCGCAAGAACGTCTTTGTCCAGCTTCACAGGCTCCGTACTAGAAGCATCATCGGCTGTGTGCGTGGAGTCCATTCAGAGCAAGGACCCAAGTATGGGGCGAGGACAAGGACAAGATTGAAATCAAGGCTATGCAAGAACAGACGGAAGCTCCCAGTTGTTGTTCTGGACATGTCGGAGATTGAGTCATTTCCATATTTGGGAGATCGACGTGCTGGGTAGTCTCGACGCGACGTGAACGACTTTCGTGATTGACCCATGTCGACGCGTCGCGATGGCCTCTCACAAGCGAAAAGCTGCTTCAGGCCCGTCGCTGCACGCCGGGACATTTGATGCGATTATAGGTATGTCCGGAGACGGACTGCGGTGAGAACCTGCGCAGGTTTTGATAGGAGGTTCTCACAGGAACCATCGCGAGCGTGAAGCCAAAGCTCGCTGACCTCAGTCGAAAAGACGTCAGAGTAGCGCTTCTAGGAGACCTACAGCGTCTCGCTGTTCTCGGAGAAACCCTCTCAGACCAACGGCAGAGGTCCAAGATTGCTGCCGATGTTGCCGATAAGCTGGATCGCGAAGGTGTCTCCGCAATCTCATGATGCGGCTGTTTCTTGTCGTTGACCAGCTGCCATCTGTGTTATACTTTGCAGGCGTCCATCTCTGGAACGTCTCAAGACTTGTTCGTCAAGAAACAGGGACTGATGAGGATCGAACTTTGCTTGCTGCGCGTAAGTCACACCAGCGTCACATTGACTAGGGAGCTTCGCTTCGCGCAATAGTTACTTCCACGCCGCATGCTCTGCTGAGAATCAATACTATTCTTGCGATCGCTTACGCACAAAGTAGTCAGGTTGGCAGGATTCCGCCTGATTGAGGCTGGCATTGAGCAGAAGCCAAGCGTCGAAAGTACGTTGCTCGGCTTGTATTTGTATCACACTGGCATTGGTGTGGGATGTATGCTCATTAACTTGCTGTCTACGTGCTTCTAGCTCTCAGCAACGTTCTACAATTGGCAAGTAAAACTGGAATGGCCTTGTCCGGTGCGTATTGAGCATACAGATCACGTCTACTCCTTGTGATTTCATAAGACAATCCTAATTGCAATGTCTACTTTTGGTGGTGATGTCGGCTTCTGTACACAAAATCAGAAAGCGGAAGGAACGACGTTGCTGGGAGTGTTCTCGGAAGCGCAGCAAAGGCAAGCTTTTCGTGTGCCGGTCCGCTATTTTGAATACCCGGTGTGAACTATAGGCATCTTTCAGTTCGAAGAGCAACTGCAGAATGCAGAAGATGTCGACAACGGTGCTCACGATCAGACGAGGGCACGGGCCGTCATACTTTACTATTGCAGTCGCATGCTCGCCGTGCGTTGTATTTGTCTTGAGCTCGCCTACTATGATTCTCAATTAATGATCAATTTGGGACATCCCGCATATCGAAATCGTCCCATCTAGGCATGGCGAGATGGAAATGATGCTATTGCACAATTCATGCTTGAGAAAATCACTGGTGCGGCATTAGCAATGGCGTTCCTGTTTATAAGATACTCAGCTGTAATTGTTCCTTTTACAGAGAGTGACGAAAAGCGACTTAGTCTAGTCGCTATTACTGACGTAAGGCTCTTCAATCACCGTGTCACAATTAAATTATACTGCTTGCACTGATGTGCATCGCAGCGCGAGCTTCTAGCCTCCAAAATTATGGAGATAGGCAAGTCAATTCTACGAGCGTCTGCTCGTGTGCAGGGAGAGAGTTCTGCGGGTCTTGTAGATGCTAAGAGAGCGCTGGATGCTATCAAGTGGCTCCAAAAAGCATTCACACTTGTAGAGAAAATGGAAGACTCGGAGAGCGCCGGGGTATCAGAAGTAAAGGTAGGACTATCGCTCAGATACACGAGGCTTCATTTTAATCGCATATCTTGTTTCTATCCCAGAGGAGCATACTGCGTAGTTTAGGTGACCCTTCTGCGACGCTTTTGTCCATTGATAGAAATGAAACCAGGACGCAGTTCGGGCATACCATCTTTCTTCTTCAATTGAGGCTGAGAACCTCTTACGCGCCGAGACAACGTTACAAGAGCTCATTACTTCCGTAGATAGCAATACGAATAAGGTATTCCTCGGCTACCGTCATGTCTCTCGAGTGTCCGCTTATATAGGCTCTGAATAGACTAACCCCGAACTTCATCAGCTGCGGTGGATGCGGTTAGCAGTTCTCAGGAAGCGACAGGCGCCGGAGAGTGCGATACTGGAAGGTGTGTCCGGGTTCCAAGTATATCGGTGCCATCGTGGCGTTATGAATTCATGAGGAAACCGTTTGAACAGCATTTGTGTCGATAGTAGATCACGCCGAATTTACGGAATCGGTGACTGCGGAGTCAGTCTCGAATTTCTGAGTGCACCACGTATGCGGTTCTTCTGACTTCTGGACTTGCCCATCTGCAGGATCCTGCAGGAATTACGGACAATGACACAACAACAGTGAGTTGCTCCTCAAATCCGGCTGCTGCTGTTACTGCTTCTGCTGTTCCACTAAAACTCGTGTTCCCAGCAAGCTAGTCTCCGATGTCCTTTTGCGATGCATTCTTCAGATATTAGACGCACCTCCTGAGAATGTGATATTTATCGATCGTTTCCTACTTGCCTTGATATCCCACTGTGCCAGGGATCAAGATGTTTCCAGAGCCATCAAGGACGTAGAAACGGCCTGTTCATGTGAGAACAGATCTCTTTCATCCGCATCTGCTGACTTTGAATTCGGCCTATTCTTGCAAGTTCTCAGCCAGTCTGAGTTTGAACTTCCTAAGACGCCTACAATGGCGTGTCTGACTGTAAGGAAGGTCATCCTTATCCGGGTACTTTACTTATTTGGACACGGCGCTTGCATAGATCCTTTGGAAAGTTGGTGATCGCCACTTCCAGATGAAGAAATGGTCTGAAGCGGCAGAATGGTTTCTGGTCGGGACACACAAGGCATTCGCGAGCGTAGCTCAGATGAGCGGCCCAAAGAGTTTGCGAAAAGCTGCACTATGTTATATTGAACAGCGAGAATACGCTAGAGCTTCTCAGGTTATTCGGCGCTGCCCGGACGACCAGTCAAGTACGTTCTATCTCCGATTCCTTGCCGCAGCATACCAAGGTACAGGAATTTTGTTCTGCATTGAAGATCTCGCCTCATCTATATTGCTTCAGGACTGGAAGACGATGGTGCGTATGTACTTCGCAGTAATCCAAACGGAGAACATCTTGAGGAAAATTTTACTTCCTTTACTCTCCGAGCGCAGCTGTTGCGGCTATCCAGAATATGGCCAGTGCCCCGGACTTTGATAAGAAGATGTTGCTTCTTGCAACACAATTGTCGCATGAATCCGACCTGAAAATTGTCCTACTAACTTGCCTGGAAGCGCTGTTAAAGACACTGCAGAGCCGCGGACCGATAGACTCGGACGTTGAAGCGATTTGTCTGGCGCGATGCATCATCCGCTTGGTTATGCGGCTAATGAAGGAAACTCCTGTCGAAACTGAACGGTAAGGACGTTTCAATGTCGATCTACTGTCAAGAAGATTGAGGATAGCACAGCGTGGCTCTGGCCTCAAGCTTGGTCCGACACTTTAAGACAGGTGCAAACAATTCTCAACCGTCTAGGGTCTTCCCATACACTGATATAGTGATCGTGGCAACTTAGCTTCTGCTTTAGTACGTACCGCTGTCACCGGAAAGAATGCTCCCCTTATTGCAAAGGATGCGTCTTGGCTCTGGCGGACGGCGTATAATTCCGCGCAAGGATTCACTGAATGGCGGGATGCTGAAATCCAAATCGGTGATCTGTTCGAATTGTCATATGAGGTAATGTTCGTTGAAGCTCCATCTTCTGGTTCATGTCTGAAATACGGTTTGAAGCTTGCTCACGCATACTCGCAAATAGCGGTTGCTAATACGGAAACAGACGTTTATGTGCATATGGCATTTTCAGCGTTCTCAAGTGTAGCCGCTCGGAGTGAGTATGCACACAAATTTTATATCTGTAGGTTGTTCACTGAGCCTAATTAGTGTACACCCTTCATTCAATGCAAGATAATGGAGATAAGGTGTGTATGTGTATCTTATTACCATTTTTGGAGATACTGAGACCGATTTTGGGGCTCAAGCCGCGCCAGCAAACGACCGTCTTGCAGGACATACAGAGAGCGAAGGACGCTATAGCATCCGTCAAGGAACGATACAGGAGCAGCACTCAGCTGGATTCTGAGAACCTCGAAGAGCTCCTTCATTCCATCCACGTCTTCGAAGCCGAACTCTTTTACCAGCGACGAGAATGGGATAAACTCCTGGGAGTCATAAATGTCCGTCCGTGGCGTCTTTAATATATTCAAACTTCACGTGCTCATTGTAAATGATGTAGGAAATTGGAATTGGTTCTACAACCCTTACGAGCTACGAAGCAATTGCAGACATGTTGGTAAGTGCTACGATCTTCTGTGAAAAACACAGGTAATGCTACGAACTTTGCGAAGTGGTCGGAAAGCGATTGCCCGGTGCATGGTAAGGACCGCTTCTATGAAGTTCTCCCTAGGTCCTGACTTCCCGTTCTCATAGTTTTGTATGCTGCTCTGGAGGTGCGTGAGCTTCGTGTCAAGGGAGTTTCTTTTGATGATCCTCCCAGGCATTGCTCCATTCATGCCTTGATCGCGGGAAGCTGTCCATAGAGAAGTTCTCCCGGTGGCTGAGGGCCATCTGCAGCATTCTGTTGTCCAGAAATTTTTATGCAGATAGGACAAAGGCCATCGGCTACGTCGAGCAAGCCCTGACCGTACTCGAAGATCAGAATAATAGTGCAGAGTCAGGAGAGGTCAGTCACATTGCAAGGCTGTCGGGCCGGAAGCCATTTGACTTTGAGGCCTGTATGAAATAGGATGTTTATCCGATGGACGAGCGACACTGGCTCCTTAGTACTTCATACAACACGGGCATAGAGTGCCTAGCGTGCGTATACAACTCTGGAAACGCACATCGGATCTCCATGCTGGCTGCACACATCTCTCCTCTAACTTTACTCTCATGTCTGACAGTGCATCCAACCTTGATGAGGCCAAGCGCTGGTTCGAGGTTGCCACCGTGGTATGCCGGTCTGTACCTGATGGAGTGCGACATGCAGAACGGGTGCGTGGATTGTTTGTTTTTCCCGAGATATGTTCCTGGGGAAGTTCCGAAGACGTGCCTACTCATTTCAATGCAATTCTGCAATTCACGTCAAATCAGATTTCGGAAACATATCGTCGACTGTTGGATCAATATGCTCCACAAACCATATAATCAGTGCCGACGATCTCAAGTAACGGCAGCTTTTTCGTCTCGTCTCGTGGCTTGTATCTCTTGTCCAGCTGGTCTTTTTGTGCTCCAGGTTCTTATCATAATTGGCTGTGCTCGTTGTCTTCTCGTCTCCACGCGCTAGCGTCTTCACCTCAGTTTACGCAAGGATGACTGAACATTGTTACTGTTCTCGTATCACCCCACTGATGTCACCTATGAGTTGTACTCTCTCGAGCCTTCTGATACATTCTCCTCGTTCCGGATGCTTTATGGGCTTTATGGACCTTTTCAAACGTACACATCGGTGAAATAAATGGCAATATTAATCTACTGCATGTATGCTGCTCACGCTAATATTTGACAAACTGTGGAATCTGATACAATAACGCACGGCCACGGTTGTTCCCAATTGCAATGTATTGGCTAGTGGGGGAGAAGTCTATGGCGGTTACGTGACCCAATGGCGTGCTCGAGGTCGGCCAATTGGAAAACGCAGTGAGCGAAGGTAGGTGGACCTGCGCGTTCATATATTGGTTTGGGTTCAAGACGAATGAGCACATTGGATTGGACGAAAGGACCAGCGAATAAGCAACCGCAGGACAGATGATGAATTCATAAGTTTGCAAATGAAACACGTAGTTCAGCTCATCGTATGCCCAATCGGAGAGTAGAAAACTAAAACAAGAACGCACCAATCGCATTTGATCCTTCTTGACGCTAGACGCCATAGCGAGGAGTTGAGAGTCGTGGTTAAAGCGGAGTGTCGAAATGGATGTCGTGAGGTTCTGGAGTGTCTTCTGGGGTTTGGGTGTCGAAGATGATGGTGATGGTGAATTTGCTATTGGAATTGAGGCATCCTCGCCGTAAACGTTGACCAAGCCTGATTTTGACCTGCGTTGAGACAAGATGAGTAAGTTATGCTTTACGCTTCACATCTTGCATCGGTGGAAAAGCTATGCAACTCCGGCAGAAGGCGAAGTGCAAGAAGTAAAAGGGGGTAAGTTGGGGGAGGTGGATGGAAGGGGAGGAAGAGAGGGGAAATCGGAATGTTAACGAAACTGAACTTACCCGATGCTCAGATAACGGCCGCTGGTATCTCCGCTCATGACTGTCGTACCATACCCACCTTCCTCCTTCCATCGCCTTACGCATCTTCTCTCGCCAATGTCCCATACATACACCTCCGCATCGGCACCGAGTGTTAGTAGCTCCGGATGTCCGCTAATACTATTATGCCCTGGATGGCGATTCCACCATAATGCCTGGACGCCAGAGTTCATCTTGACGTTACCTATGACCTGTGCGCCACCCGCACGCCAGTCTACCAGATGGATGTAGCCGCGCCGCCCGGCAACTGCAAGGATCTGACCCGATGGATCGAATGCGACGCGTTCCATACCCAAGTCCACTGCTTTTGCAGACCCGTGTGCGGGATTGGAACCCCAGAGTCCACGTGGAGATCGTGCTATTGCGCCTGACTGAAGGTCAATTGTGTAGTAGAATGGTCGCGGACCGGTGAGGAGGATGGAGGAGCCGGCGGGGTGGAACTCCGCATGAGTGATCGGTAGTTCAGGGATGTGGACTGTTTGGAGGTGAGGGTTTGTATGTCCGTCAACCTAGATAAATGCACAGTTCAATACACAATTTAAACTCAGATGAGAACAATTTGGGTGCTATACAAGTGTTGAGGAAGATTTACAGTGAAAAGTCGGACCCGTCTATCCGTGCTCGCCGTCATGAGCACCGGAACTCGCGGAAACGGATGGAATGAAAGCGCTTTGATTTCGCCCTCTGCCTTCGCACTTTGGTTTACATCTCGCAATCTCTCTACACCAATCATCCCCTTCTCTAACCTCGTCTCACGCTCCGTCGACAGAACACCGTCTGTCCGAGTTAACAGATCCTCAATTTCAACATCACTCGCACTCCCCCGTCTCCGTTTTGTCCTATGTTCTTCGCGTACCCTCTTCCGAGCCTTCGCGGCCCACTCAGGTGCAGGGTTAATGCGTTCGAACTCGCGCCGGAGACGTGCTTCGTATTGTGTTCCACCGACAATATCATCGGACGGCGCATCGCGGAGTTTTCGGAGACGTTTTGTTGTCGCGAGTGAGACGCTCAGAGTTGCATCGTCCGGATCCATCCACGCAGCCTTCTTCTTGGATGATTGTGTGAGTTGGGAGAAAAGTTGGGACTTTGGTGGAGATGCAGTATCTTCATTGGCTTGGGGTTCTTCGTTTTCTTTTTCTGAGTTGCTTGAATGCGAATTAATATCGTCCTCGTCCATGCCAAAGTCTGGTACTCCATCCTGAGCATCTGGATGTACATCATCTATAAAGAAAAGCTGCGAGTCACAATATAAGAAGCATTTTCTCGACAGCCCAAATATCAACTCACGTCCGCATCCTGAAGGTGTTCCAAAGCGTTTCCTGTCCCATCTTGAAGGCCTTCATTATCTTCCTCTTCATCAGAGACTAAAATAACATTTCCTTCACGCCCTTTGCCTTTTCCTATGGGTTTGAAATCCGTGCCGAAGAGGAGACTTTCAAGTCTTCGTTCTTCGTCGTCCTTCTCGGCATCGCCATCCAAGTGTCGTACAGTGCCTAGAGGTTGAACACTTTGTTCTGTACGGCGCTTTTTTCTTTCATTTTTGACCATTTGAATAGCCCTGATTGTGCTGGGATGTGTCGAGGACGGGGTATGACTGACGGACTATTGGCATTTCTCGTTCTCAAATTTACATGAATGCAGATCGACGTTTCCTAGTTAGTCTGATATCACACGTGACCCAGACGCGTCTATGCGTCTCGACTCGACCAACTCGACGTGTGCGAATGTTTTGCTTGTAAATTCAACCCACCCGGAACAACGGGAATCCTGTCGTATTCTTCTAACAGTATCAATCAAATTGCAAGATATAATGCGGTACACACCCTCTCAGTAAGCTCTTTGTCTGAGCAGCTTGAACAACGCACAACCTTGTTTGATATCAGCTTTCAGAACGACGAAATGAGCCATTGTCCTTTTACTAATAAAAGATGGACTGTTCTTTCACCATCTGCAACCTTGTTGCAACACGGCAAAGGGATCACTAATAAATATCATCCATTTCTCTACTGACGGTACACTACCACTATCCAACTTCTGCACGCTGCTAACCATCGCTCAATAACTCTTTCTTTGACCGGTGCGCTGAGGCGCTCTAATAGGTCAGCATGCATATAAACCAGCTACCAGTAGAGATTCTCCGCATAATATTCCTAAATGCTCTGCCGGCCAGGGACGAAATGTTGAAGGGGGAAATACGTCCTATTTATTCCATCTCGACACCACTCTACATCTCGCACGTATGTCGACATTGGAGTAGAGTATCTCTTGCGTATGGCGATCTGTGGTCGCACCTCTTCATCAAATACTCCAGTCACGAGGAGAACAATTGGAGCGCGAAGGCGCCAGAGATCTTCACTGAGTGGCTCGAGAGGACACGCGGAGGGTTACTTAACTTTACGATCCATTGCTATCTAAAGGACGGAGAGGGGAGCGAACATCGCGCTTTTCAGTCCATAATTACAAAGCTGCTTTCGAAGCAGAAACAATGGCGGGACGTTGATTTTTCGTGGCGTTGTATCAAGGTCTATTCAGACTTTCAGGGAATTCATGCGTCTAAGATGTCCAAACTTGTGTCTCTATCGCTGAGCCATGAAATAATCAAACAAGATGAGACAACGGTAATCTCGCACATTAATGTTTCGTCGTCTCCGAAGCTTGCGTTTCTAACGCTCTGGGGCAGTTGCAATCTGTTCTTCGATCCTGTTCATGCATTGGACCTGCCTTTCTTGAGGTGGCTTTCTTACTGTGGCAAGCAGGAAGGTGATCACAATGGAAGACTTATATTCACAAGCTTCATTCAAAACGTTCTCCCTCCCTCAACTGTCTTGGAAGTGACTGGCTTCGTTGCACATGAGGACACTCTCGTGCCAGCTCTGAGACTGTTGACTGCACTGGAGGAACTCCGTATCAGCTTTTATTGGGGGTTGACATCAGAGTTATTTAGAGTGCTTACCCCAGATCACCACAATGGACAAGAGTCAAATGTCATCATATGCCCTTCTCTTAGGAAGCTCTACCTTATCAACGTCAACGACCTTTATGTTCCTGATGTTCCCGAAGTCCAATTCCAATTCCAAAGCATGGCCGAAACGGAGACGGAAGGCGAAACCGAGTACGAGGAATTGACGGAAATCATGGATGAAAATGGAAGCGAAAGCGAATATGTCGAACCCTGGGATGAAGTTCAGAATGAAGAAATGGCAGAACAACAGCGAGCAGCTCGTGCTGAATTCTTCGGTGCCTTATGTACTATGGCGGAACGGCGACACAACCTTCTGAATACCCAGGTCACATATGGTTCTACCATGATGATGAATCAGGATGGCTGCACTTGATGACTGAACTCATAGATTTCTTCCATTGTGATAAAATCATCAAGGAGTGGTACAAAGGATTAATTTGTATTGAAAGCTCACTGACAGGTGACAAGCCTCCTAATCCTACAGACTTGTGCAGGATTGCAACTTCACTCCCTCATTGAAGCTGTAAGAGCCAACTAGATAAATTGTACTGTTGAGTACTTCTTACATGCTACAGAACTTATTAGATAAATAAATGTTAGAACATATAAGAAGCTGAGAGATGATTGATTGTGTATTTACTTTGATTGTACATAACCATTCAGGCCTAGTAACAAAGGCAGACCTTCCACCTGGTTTTGATTTTCTACAGATCAAAGCAATGTTTAATTTCCTCTTTTAAATCTAGTCAACCAATAATAAGGTGTACTATATACACTGTGACAGGTCTATACATATATAAATCCATGATTTCTTGCTTGTCTGTTCCTTAGTACTGATTGTTTATTACCTCAATTTGTAATTATTTGATAAAGATGTAAAAAGGACTTGGTCTATATGAGTATTATTGAGTAAGTTGTGTAACAGTACAAAGCTTCTACTCACATAAGCTGAGCTCTCAATTCAAGGCATACAAAGTTGTAGCCTTATAATTACTTACTCTTTTTTTGTACTTTCATATTCTCTAATTATCTTATCTGTTGTTTTTTACAAATATTATACTATATACATATACTAACTATTAATACAATACAGTACTAAAAAGAGGTATCTATTATAAACAAAAAAGGGAGTTATTCACAGTTTGCTCAAAATTGTTCTTTAGGTTTGCTTTATTTGACTACATTAAATCATGACTCTTTAATTTTTTCTCTTTTTCTCCTTTCTTTACCTTTATATTGTAAGAAAGTAGTAATACTCACATTTATAATTTATATAGTTAATACCTTTCTTTAGACTGTATATATAGACTTTATTCTAATTTGAACAATATTACAATTGCCTTCTAGTAGCTTTCAAAAGGACAGAATGTACTACTTTCTTTTAGACAGAGAATACTCTACCCTTTTAGTAACTGTAAACTTATTAGTATTAGACTAAAAGGTAAAGTTTATAAAAACTAGTAATTACTCTATTAAGAGAGAACTACAATTATTCTAACTATACTTACTCTTAGTATTAGTTATTAACTTAATAATTGTCTTTATAACTAATATACTAAAGTGTAATAACAAGCTAATTTAAGTATACATAAGTTAAAACACAATATTCTGAAAAAAGATATTTTTATATTCTCTACTAGTAAAGGATAAAATACTAAGAGAGGAGGAAAACTCTAATTATTCTATTTTAATACTATTCTACATTTTGTATATATACTAACATTAGTACAAAGTGTCTCTTACATTTAGAGGCTTATAGTTACATCTCTTTATTAAATAATTTTACTATACTTGTAAAAGTAAGGAAGATAACTAGAATAAGTATATACTAGAAATCTTTACTAAGTAGCTTAAAAGGACTTGTAAATATTTATTAAACTTTACTATTTATTATTATGTAAAAGGTAGAGACAAAAGAAAACATTGTACTTTTGAATACATTATTATAACTTTGCTTTTTGTACAGTACTATTAGTAGAATATTAATTTTAATAAAATTGTGTTAGAGTTTCTTCTAACTTTTAAGAAATAAATATGTTTAATATATCTAATCTAGTATTACTATTATTAAATACTAGTATATTTATGTTTAGTAAAGAGCTAGTATATTTATGTCTGATAGAGAGATAAGAATAATTGTTAATGTTTTATTATTTAAAAAGCTTGTGTTTTTAAATACAAGTAATTATATTCTTATTTATAATAAAGGTAAGGAATTATCAAACTTAACAGCTTTACTTACAGAAGAATTATTAACTTTCTGTAGTATGTTAAACTTATGTCTCTTAAAATGTTTCTCTTACTATAATAATAAACACAAAAGAGGAAGACTAATCTTTTTAGAGTTTATTTAAAATTACTTTTTACTTTTAATAGTTCTAAACCTTTATAGACTTATTATATACAAGAATACACTTGTACTAGTTTTAAAACTACTAACTATACTTAAAAAGCTTTATATTTATCTTTAGAATTTAATACTAAAATTCTTTTACATACTTATACTTAATAAAAGTAGTAACTAAAAATCAAATTCTATTATATACTCTTCTCTTAAAAAACTCTATCTCCTTTATATTAATAAGTCTAATAATAATAGAAAAATTAAGATCTAGAACTTAGACAAGATAGAGATAAATAATAGAACAAGTATAAGAAAGACATGAATACTAAAAACAAAATAAACAACAAATATAAAGATACTAGACTTAGTACTAAAATTTAACAAAGTAAAGTATTTAAACACAAAACATTATATTATCTTACTTTTGTTAATAACTTTTATACTATAGTAAAACAGTAGTATGTATACTTAAATATTTTAAACTATATATATATTTATAGTAATAAAAGAATAGAGTAGAAATTACTTTCTAACTTAATATAATAATTATAAATATGACAAAAAAGTTATAAAGAAAGAGTTTATACTAAACATTTGTGTTAAAAGCTTACTAACAGGTAACAAGCTATTTTATCCTTAATACTTATAATGTTACTCTCTCTAAGCTTGTAAAGGCTAATCTGACAAATTGTAATGTTAAATATCTTTACTTGTTATAGTACTCATTTAATATATAAATAAATACTAGAATATATAAGAAGTTAAGAGAAGAGTAACTGTGTACAGTATACTTTAACTATACTAGTATTATAAGCAAAAGTTGTTACTTAGATTCTAATTTGAGAGATTAAGTAATATCTCTCCTTTTACAATATATTATAGACAGTATTATAAGTTTATACAAATATTAATCTATAATGTAAACCTTAAAAGAATAAATTCATTCTCTTTATATTTTTTACCTGGTCAAAGTACATAAGGTACAAACTAGGTAATCATACAAGGTAGTACAACTTTAAGTATTAGTTATAAGCCTTATAGTGTATCTGACTGTCAGTACTTTTCTGATTGTCTTAAGGTAGGTAGTATAAAGGACTGAACATACTGAACTGTATTAACATTGTTAGTATTATTTTATTATTTTCTTAAATCTTTTTAGTCTGAGAAAGCTAAAGTAGAGTTAGTTTATTACTACAGTTGTGAGCTAGGCCTCTAAGAGAAAGGAAGTATACATAATATACTATAGCAGACTAGTTCTATTCTAGTGAAGATTTCACTCACTGTGTTTAAGACATTGTAGGGCAGCATTTATCCATAGTAAGGATAGTAGTTGTGCAATTGTTTATACATAGCACACTATATCAAAACTTAAAGATAGCTACTCTTGGCAGCACAGGAAAGAAATCATGACAAAGCTTACAAGCAGTGTTTTCTTCAAAATCAAAAGTAAGACATCCAGCTAGGAACTTAGTTCTCAGCCTTGAGAGGCCTAGGGAGGAATAAATCGCGGGAATCCGACACCCACAAGAAAAATCATCACCTGTTCAGACTGATGTGTGTTAGTATTAGCGTATCACCTCGGCTACTGAACAGGCGCATATATGCATGTGGTGCGAGGTATTTTGGCTTTGATTTTGAATTAAAGACTTTCCTTGTCGTCAATGTTCGTTCCTCACTTGACTATTTGCAGATGCGGGGAACAATTTGAGTTGAGATTAATTAATATTAGCTTTCGGATGTGCGAGGTGAGTCGACTTGCTTGCCCTTTAACCTTGTTTATTAGTATTGACGGTGAGTTCGATGCTGCCTGTCCCGTGAAATTCATGACAGGACGTCTTGAGTATGTTCGTTCCCCGAGATCCGCGGCATTGAAGAGACGGTGGCGTAAAAGTTTCTGCGATTAATTATTCCTAGAATATTTCATCCAGAGTCAGAGGCACTGGACGAAAGATGAATCTTGGTTTCTGGCGAAAAGGTCGGAACATCGAGATCTTGTGTTTTTGATATGTGGTAATTATTATGGCCGCTGAAATAGATCCTCCATGACGATGCAGAGGCTAGCACAAGTGAGCACCAAGTCCTAGGACCACGCTAGCTCACTGAGCGATAAGAAGAAGAAAAGGAGGAGGATTCTGTTTGAATTACAAGTCAAAGTCAAAGGTGTTGATCTGACGTTCTGGCAAGAAAGGGAGGTACGATGAAAATCCCGCGAAGAGTTCTACGTGTGTTCCGCAGAGAAATCTGTGTGCCCGACAGTTCGGAGTCCGGACATGGGGATGAAGGGTTAATGATCCACGAGAAGAAAGGAAAGCTTGTCGGCTAACTGGCCTTCGACCTCGAGGCTTCTCGCGGGTCCCGGTGTCGAGATTAAGTGCTGTCATAATCCCCGATCCTTTGTATGGATTCATATGAATGAGATGGTGAAGTGTTGTTGTGCTTGTTCAGCCCTCTTTTATAACGCGATTATTATTTTCCACTACCGCCTATGTATGTGTTTCATGTTGATGTGCAACGTGCGCGAATGTCGGTTGGTTCTTGACAAGCGGGAGTTTCGGGAGTAATTTAATGAGCGAGAAATTTTGAGAGAAGAGGTCGTTGAGAGAGAGAGCTGTCAAGGAACGTTGGACGGGGAGCAGGCATGTCTACGTATACATACATGTACAGTTGGATGAGAGAATGACGTTGTTATGTTGTGATTGGAAATACTTACGTGCAGGCGGGGGCGCGGCATTGACCGGTTGAGTACAGGGGCGGCTGCCTGCTTGACAATATTCATCATTTCAACGTCTAAGCGCACTCATATCTCCTCCTCGCACATCTCGTTCTAATTTATTCCTTTCTCTTGCCCTCTGCCACTATACACGTCTTGCTGGCCGCACAGTCGGCGGTGTACACACGGAACTGTGGACGAAGGTGAGACAAAGATGGCATCGTATGAAATTACACGCTGGAGCTTCTTGCTGATGATCATGACTGCAAACAACAGAGCTCAGCTCTATTCCGCACCCCTTTCAAACTCTCACACACCTAACCTTACCTCCCTCGTCGTTCTGGAGACACTCGCGCTGTCTTTCTCCACCGTCGTCGAACACCCCCGAGCGTCCTGTAAATAGCGGAAATGGGTGCGTGTATCTCCTCAGCAGGCGGCGTGTCCGAGGAGGAAAAGGCGAAGCATCGTGAGGCGGAGCGGCAGCTCAGAGAGCAAAAAGTAAAGCTTGACAATCAAGTCAAGGTGAGTACGAGAAGCACACACTTATCTTCCAATGCTATCCTCGTCTATCTCTATCTCGGGCCTACCCACCTCCCAATCCAGTGCAAGTCGAGCCAAGAACGCTTCTGCTGACTCCATCGTGTTTGCGTTGTTAGGTACTTCTGTTAGGATCTGGAGACTCCGGAAAGTCGACCGTCCTCAAAGTGCGTGTCTTCATCTTGATCGACTTCGCGTCTTCCGTGGGCGATGCTTGCTACTCTTGATGCCACCACGTCTATCTGCCCAACGATCTCGATGGCGTGTTCTGAGCATTCAGTCGCCCACTGAACGCAGATTCGAGTGGCATCAAGGCGTTCAAACCTTTCAGGCACATGTACACTTCTGATCGGCTCCTTCTGACTTGCGTTGTTTTCTGCCACTTTAGCAAATGCGACTTATACACGACGTACATTTCTCACCACAAGAATTCGAATTCTATCGACAACTAGCGTTCAGCAACATTGTACATGGCATGAAACAACTTCTCGAGGCACTCGAGGACATGGAATTAAAATTATCGGAAGAAATGGAAAAGAATGCTGAAATACTGGATGAACCACCAGATGTGAAAGATGGACAAGCGTTCCCGATGGAGTACTACGAACCTCTAAAAGAGTTATGGGCGGATGAAGTGGTTCAGAAGGCATGGCACCGAGGGAATGAAGCTGCGTTGCCCGACAAGTGCGTCTGTCTTGCTTCATAGTTTTCCCGGACATTAACCCTAACGTGTTCTAGCCTTTCCTATTTCTTCCTCCATCTTGAACGAGTATTTGCCAAAGACTACTATCCGACGGAACAGGATATCATCCGGTGCAAAGCTCGGACAATCGGCATTACCGAGACAATCTTTAAACTCCGGTCGCATGAGATGCTCATGGTTGATGTTGGTGGGCAAAAGAGCGAACGACGAAAATGGATACACTGTTTCCAGGATGTAACAAGTATACTCTTCCTCGTAAGTTTGAGTGGGTATGATCAATGTCTGGTGGAAGACAAGGACGCGGTAAGTTCTCGGCATCACCTTCGAATTGATACCAGTAACTTATCTACCTGTCGTCTTTCCGCGGTGCCGACGGAACTGCGATGTATCCTTTATTAGAACCAAATGCAAGACGCAATGACAATTTGGGACTCCATATGCCACTCACAATGGTTCCGACAAACTTCTATTGTGAGCGCTCTCCCGCACTCTTGATGTTCTTCTCTTACAGGATACGCTCTCACCACTGTGTGTTTTTACAGATTCTGTTCCTCAACAAAGACGATATTTTCAAAGAGAAGATCAAACACTCTGACATCAAGAACCATTTCCCTGTTCGTGAATGGCCTTATTTTAACTCCTGTCCATTAGCGTTCAGTCTGACATTAACTTTTTTTCCTTGTCCCGTGAAGGACTACGACGGCGAGCCCGGAGATTACAATGCTGGTCGTGATTACTTCAGGGCACGATTCACTAAACTTTCTCGCAAGTCGGGCCAGGCCCGTGAGCGAGAAATCTACGTCCAGTGCGTACTGTGCTGTTCTCTTTCGCTTGTCACAATTATACTACGTTGATTGGTTTGTTGGCTAACTGGTCACCCCACAAGCTTTACGAATGCTACGGATACGGCGTTATTGCGAGTAGTTATGGCAGCAGTCGAAGGTATGCGGTATTTCTCATTTCGAGTGTCAATAAGCTCGGCGTCTGATGCAAAGTTCTTCTCCCGCTGTTCCTTGCTCATGCTATTTCACATGCAGAGTGAGTCCAGTTCTCTTTCCCCTCTAGGTTCCCACCGCTTCAATAATGCATTGCTCAAATTGTGCTCTTGTCGTTTTTCGCCGCTTATCGTGCTTCGTGCCAAATAGCATTGCGCTCCGTGGCAATCTCACCAAAGCCGCTCTCATCTGATCACAAATGCGATGCGGTCATCCTCACCTTTCATCATTCTTCTTATTCTTGTTCTCCCTGCACGCAATTGTTACAGAGATACGCTGATCTATGCCCCACGGAGCAATTGGTTAATGGATGGTTCTTGGTTATATTCTTACGATCAACTTTTTCTTTCTTCCTTTGTCCATGTTGTCCTATCTATTGATTATGGAGTGCTAACGGAGTTTCTTTTTTTATCCATCTCCTCTCGCTTATCTCCATAATCGCTCATCTCTCACTCGCGCTTAAATGGAACAAAATATAAAAAATATCAAATCAAAATGTACATCTATGGCGGTCTTCCGGCTCGGAAATCGCGTTCTGTACAACCCGCCAACGTAAATCGTTAACTCAACCCTATCGTTTGAAATCAATTTCTGCAAATTATCTGTACGCTTCGCCTACTGCTACGCGCGCATCGGCTACACCTTCGCTTATAACAGCACCATCATAAGCAACAACGTATGTCCCTCTCTCCATTTCTTCCATCTGCAAATTCTACCGTCAATGTCGCTTGATTACTGATCCTGACCCTTTTTTGCTTTGTCCCTTGTATTCAATTTTTGGAACGTCTAAATTTTTTTGGGTTTGGCTTCTTGGACTTCTTCTCGTTGTTCCGTTGGGTGTGTGCACCTGTGCTTCTGGACTGGACGGATGGACGGCGATGTGTGGGCATGACATGCTTGGTGCGTGCTGGATGTGCTTCTCGACGTTCCTCGACCTGCCATCTGTGGACTCGCGCGTCCTGTGTCGCGGCTCGGCTATCTGATGCTTCTTCTTTTTCAACTTTTATTTTACTTTATCTCCTCCGTTTTGCCCTTGCGCTTTGCCGTCATTTGTTTAAATCTCGATTTTTTCCGATTAACGCTCGCGTTTGTTTGTTTTGTTTAAATTGCATCCGCCGACGGTGCGGGTTGCGATGGGATCGTGACAAGTAGATCCGCAAAATCCTTTTGTGAGCGGAGACATATCAACAATCGAGGGTGGAGCTTTGGATGGATGGATCATGGATGGATGCATTTTACGAGATGCGGGACCTGACTGCGGGATGCGCGTCCAATCGAATTGAATGTAGCTCCTTGACGGTGCCTTTTTTCTTCATCTCCATCTGTTTGCTTACTTGCTGTTTGGCTTGTGGCGGGACTTCTACACTTCTTTTCGTGCCTCGGAAAGGCTCTGGACCCTAGTATAACCTCCACTCCGCACTCATACGGTGAGACGGCGTGCGTGAGCAAGTTAATTGTTCTTCTTTCTCAGCGCGATCTGGGACCTGTTGTGCCATTTGTGGAACTACTTTCCCTTTCCTCCCCTCCTCGTTCTTTTATAATTTCTCCCATCCCCCCTATTGTCTGCGTTGTTCCGTTGCTATTTTGGTGCCGAGGTGCACTCGCGGGAGTATAACCTATAATTCCCGTGACGGGATCAAGGTGAACTCTGTCTCCGAGTCGGCGCTACTTTTCTTTTTGTATGCGGGCGGCATTAGCGTTTCCTTCACGACAATGTTCGTGTATTCTTCCTTTTTACTCTCCTCCGCTCCGTACCCGTACCCGTGCCTGCGCGTCGTATCCATTACTATTTCCTACATGTGTACATCCGCTCCACCACCCCTTCTTTCTAATTATTCTCCCGTCTTTCTCTTTCCGATATCGAAAATGTGATGTGGGTGACGTCGTTTTATTTGTATCCTCGACACTGCTATCAATATCTTCTTTCTGATCCCTTTCTGTCTTCTAAGCTTTCTTGTCTTCCTACTTAGCAGTAACTCTTGTGTCACGACAAACATCTGCTATCTCTCTATCACTCCCATCCCCTATCAACTCGTATTACCACCATTACCCAACACCTATTAGTTTCAGTTTCTTCTGAACCCTTTCTACGTATATTACTATTCCTCCGTAGTGTATTATCTCTGCTTGTTGTGTTAGTTACATACATACATGATGATCTATCTCTGACTTTATTTCTGTCTCAGAGGTGAGTTGTGAGTGCTATAATAAGGTCCTAGATCTAAATGATGTCTTCACACACAGATCTACTTATGAGTCAATATGTTCTAAGAAGATTTGTACAACAGTACCATTAATGTACTACTTACTCACTTTATTACAGTATTTATTACCTTTTTGAGTATACTATACTCTAAGTTCATCTGCCAGTTCTCTAGTTTCTAGTCTTTTTTATTCTCTTGAGCTTCTTAACAAAAGAAAGGTACAATATGTTCTAACAGAATACAGGGACATAGAGAAGTGTTAAAGAACTCAATTTCTAATAGAGTTGACTGGTATGTATGTACTTGTTAATTGATCTCTTAGTTCCTTAATGTCTTGCTAGCTTGTTTGATCCTACCATTTGATTTGATTTGGATTTTTAGCTTGTTAAGATTAATTTGTGTGTTGGAGATTTTGTAGAGTAGATTGGATGAGAGTTTTGACTACTCTCTAAATAAGCTAGTTCAGACATCTTATCTTATTACATTACTCTTTTTAATTAGACACAAAATACAGTACACTACTATTTACTATAAAAGAATAGAAGAGAATAAGGATAGTATACTAGTATTAGTTTAGTATAGTTAATTAAACAAAACAAACCTGAACAATAAACTTTAAAAAAGAAATTCAACAATGTAGTATTAGTATAAATAATATTATATATACTATGTATACTTATTATACTGTGTATTATATAACTTATTAGAGTAATCTTTTACAGTCTAGTACAAAACATTACTAAATGTATTATATTTTACTTAATTTTAAATAGACTGTAACTTTAGTTAGTAGTCTTAAATACTAAGATTTAGTCAATTTATATATATATTAGTTGTTTCTTAACTTTAATTATGTCTAGTATTTATTAATATATTTAATAAATTCTACAGTATACAAGAAATCTTTAATCATGTAAATCTGTCTGTTTAACTCTTATAGATTACTTATAAACAGAGTAAAGTATAGTTCTTATATTTAGTAAATGTTTAGAATAAGAAGACTTAATACTGAAACTTTTAATACAGATCTACTCTATAAGCTCATCCTTTATAGCTTTTCTATTATACTAATAATTGTTACATTTAGTTTGAAAGGAATTCTATCTTAAAATGTTTATTATTAAGAACTTATATGTGACTCAAGGTATTCAGAAATTTGTACTACAACTCTACTATAATATATAAGTTATGTATAAAAGTAAGATAGACTAATAGTCTGTGGTCAGATAGTCTACCAGTTTTAACTCTATTCTTATAATAGTTACTTTTGTGATTTTTATTATTAATTTCCATTTATTCTCTAGTTCTAATTCTGTTTTCTACCTTTATATTATTCTCTCTATTACTTTCACTTTCAAAATCATAAGAATTATTCACATTAAGTAAGCAGAGTTTCCTGAGAGTAGAGTATATAACAGAATTTGAGTTTTAACTATAATAAGCATTTAGAGTAAGCTCCTGAAAGAACTCTAGTGTTAAATTCATTATATAAATATAGAGTTCTTTAAGTATAGTTAACAGTCTTAGAGCTAGGATAAGAGTATTACTGTATCCAGTACTCTCAGTCACCTTTAAAATTGTTAAGAGAGGAAGAGCTGCCTTTCAAGGAAAGTAGTACAGATCACTTTCTAAAAGTATGTAGATAGCTTTTTAGAACTTTCCTTTCTACTATTAAGTATTTATTTATTTGTATTAAAGATTCACACATAAATTTAGAGAGAGTTTTATAATTGCTTCTGAAATCTTTCAGTCTAAATAATATAATAATAATAAGTGTGTATAGACTTATAGCATTTTACTAGTTTATTAGAATTTGAAAAGCTGCTGTAAGAAGTTGCTTGAGTGTTTATACTCTGCAAAATCAACCTTGTGTTGACTCAGAAGTACAGTCAAAACACATAACATGTTATTCATCCCACTACTGTAATACACATTTCTACATTATCAGAAATGTATCTAATCATCTCTAAATTGTACACAGTAGACAACAATACAACGTCCAATTAGCCTTGCAGACTTAATCAGGGAGTGAAGCTGTAAGATCCTGCAAGTCCTTCGGATGAGGAGGCTCACGACCCGTACTTTCAACACAAATATTCCTCTGGAAAGAGTCCTCCATGATTCTTTTGTTATACAAACAACTGCCGCACTCAACTGGCAGGCAATTCCACCCTGTATCTTCACCAGCATACACCCAGATATAACTCAAGGTGTTCAAATAATTGTGCCGCCATTCGACCATGGCACAAAGGGCACCTATGAAGGCAAGATGGGGTGCTGATCTGCGTTCAGATGATTCATCATAATGAACGCCATTCCAACGGCTGACGTCTCCGTGTTCGTTATTGATTTGGTCTCCGATTCCCAGTTCTTCCTCGTGCTCGGACTCATCTTCCATATTCTCCATCTCGTCCCAGCTTTCGCTTCTGTCATCACCAGGATCGTTAACGTCGATAAGGTAAATTTTCCTTAGAGAAGGGCATACAATAGAATGTGACTTTGGGCCGTTATGTTTATCTGGTATGAGCATCCGAAAGAACTTTGGTCTCAATCGACCAAGATGGATACGGAATTCCTCGAGTGTAGTCAGCAGTTTCAAAGCCGGTACAAGGATGTCATCGTGTACAAAGTATCCTGCCACGTCCAAGACCGTTAAGGGAGGGAGTGCATTCCGAATGAAGCTCAAGAAGATTTGCCTTCCATTATAGTCATCCGTGTCGAAATTGTAAGCAAAGTACTTCAAGGAAGGCAGGTCCAACGTGCGAACAGGCGATGTTTCTTCCATGCGTAATGCTCCCGAATGTGACGAGTTTTCGTCTTCATGGAAGCTAAGGTTGCTACAGATCGAAAGATCTAGGAACGCAAGCTTCCGGGACGAGGAAAGGTCGATACATGACTTTACCAACTGTCTGACAACAGCTAGATTATGGTTCAAGGACAGCGATACCAGAGCTGGCATGTGAGTGCAATATACTCCTGGGAAGTCTGAAGACACCTTGACGTAACTCCACCAAAAATCGACGTCGCGCCAGCGGTGCTGCTCCGAAAGCAGTGTCGTGATTATGTACTCAAAAGCGCTATGTTCGCCCTCCTGTCCTCTTTTCTGACCAAGAGTGCAATGGATCGTAAAATTCAGCGGACGTCCGCGTGTCCTCTCGAGCCACTCAGTAACGATTTCTAGCGCCTGTCCGCTCCAGTCATTCTCATAGCGGCTGATGTAACGTATGTAGAGATGCGACCACAAGTCCCCACATGCAAGGGATACTCCACGCCAATGTCGGCACACGTGCGAGATGTAGAGTGGTGTCGAGATGGAACGGTTCTGTTTCTTCTCCCAACGAATAGGGTTCACCTCGTCCCTCCGCATCTCATCCCTGGCAGGGAGGGAAAACAGAAATGTTTTGCAAAGAATCTCCTCCGGTAGCTCGTGTATGTGCATCTTGTCTTCTTGCAACAGGATTGTACTGCTCCAAAGGGGATCATTGAATATCAGGGAGCGTGCAGAATGCGTATGGTAAATGCTGTAACGTACAGACTATATCAGGTTTGACAGTACAGCAGTGCTTTACAGCTCTTCGAGCATCCGTGAGTCGTCCACAATAAATGGCAGATGTTAAACAACGGACTACCTTGACTGGATAAACGTGCAAGTCAACTGTCAAACTACTTGCGTGACACAAATGCTTTTGAAAATTTGTCACCTATTTTAAAATGTAATTCGCATTGCTTTATTCGAAAGACAACGTGTTATTTTTGTAAGTACTCGCCTTATGAACTTTTAATTGTAATAATTCCGTCGAAGAACTCTTTGTGACATTGTTTATGTACATGATCAGGATTCAGCAGCTGAATTTCAGTTTTTGGTCTCATTGCTAAAGAGGATTTGCTAAGAAGAGTTGATCTACCTTCCAAAGAAGGTAATAGATGTAAATCACTTCCAGTCCAGTAGGGATGAGTTTCTGCCCGTAGATTATACCAGATTTCTTTTGGACTTTCTTCTGTTTGCTGAAGGCAAAAGGAAATAATGTAAATTGTTGCAACATGTTCACTTCTAGAGTGGCACCGTCTTTGAGTTTGCATCTCTGTATCCGTGATTCACACATTAACCGTGAAGGCGATTTGTTTTCATATTCTTAAAAAAAAAGAACTTAGATTGAACAATGTCAAAACGAAGAATCAGACATGATCCCTTGCATATTAATACTGCTTAATACTGTGTCGAGGTTTGATCAAAGTATGCACACGATTGCTCATATTTTGACTTCATACGCGACTCTTCATCTCAGAAAACTATTTAATGATCTCTACAACATACGAGAAGGCCTGATAACACGACTTGTCTACATAGCCCTGCAAGTTTAGTTAGGGAGCGAGGTTGCGATCCTTCTCAAATGACTCGGATGCGGAGGCTCAATACCGGCACTCTCAACGCAAAGATACCCTCTGAACGACTCTGCTATGATTTTATCATGGCACAGGAAACTTCCATATTCGGTCAACAAGTGATGCCAACTGCCACCGTCATAGACCCATATGTGACCCAAGGTATTCAGGAACTTTTGCCGCCATTCCGCCATAACACAAAAGGCGCCTACGAACTCGGCATCGAATGGTCCATCTTGGCTTTCATTCCCATGATCAATGACTTCGTTCTCGTTTCTGTTTTCGACCACGATTTCCATTGCCTCCCCCTGCTCGGTTTCGTCTACCACCTCCATGTCTTCTCCATCTTCGGATTCATCCACTTCCACTTCTTCTACGCCATCCACCCATCGTATCCTATAATGAGGCATGTTTACATTGAGGAGGTAGAGTTTCCTGAGAGAAGGGCATATTGTAGAATTTGGGCTATGGCTGTCATGCGTACCCGGGATAAGCTTCTGAAAGAACTCCGTCTTCACATGCCATTTCTGGATACGGAGTTCTTCAAGTGCGGGTAACAGTCTCAGAGCTGGTACAAGAGTATTTGGGTGTGCAGCGGCTGAAGTGACGTCTAGGACCGTTAAGGGAGGGAGGGAATTGCGAATGAATCCCGTGAAGATCAGTTTTCCATCTTCGCGTTTACCGCCATAGTAAGAAAGCCATTTCAAGGCGGGCAGATCCAACGTACGGACGGGCGGCATTTCTTCCAATTTTTTTTCTAGTGTTTCTTCCGTGATTTCCATCTCTGAATCCGATGATTCTAGTAGGTGTTCATTGAAGCTCAGGTCGACGCCCTGAACATCCAGAAACGCAAGCTTTTTAGACCCCGAAACGTTGATGTATGGGTAGTTCAATCTTCTGTAACGCCCAATTATATGAGCGTCGAACGATAGCGATACCAGAGCGGGCATCTCGTCGCAGCTTATTACACGAAGTGAAGCGACTTCGACGCCATTCCAGTAAAAATCAACGTCCTGCCAACGGCCCTGTACTTCAAGTAGCTCCGTAATGATGTACTCGAATACTTGATGTTCATCATCCTCCGCGTCCATAAGTTCGCAATGGATCGTAAAGTTCAGTGGCTGGCCGAGTGTCCTGTCGAGCCACGTGGTGAAGATAAATCGCGCTCTCTGACTCGCTTCCCTCTTCCAACATTTACTGCAGCTGACGTAGTCGATGCAAAGATGCGTCCATAAGTCTCCGAACGCAAGAGCCACTTCGCGCCAATGTCGGCATACGTGCGAGATGTAGAGTGGTGCCCGAACAGAATGAATGGGTTTCACCTCCTCCCTCAGCATTTCATCCCTGGCAGGAAGGGAATAAAGAAATATTTTGCGGAGTATTTCCACTGGTAGATCGCGTATAGTTTTCATCTTGTCTAGTTAGTGCTGGTTAGAGCGTTTATCCGGGGACGGATTATTGAGGGGTGTTAGGGGATGAGCAGAAGTCGGAAGGCAGTGACGCGTCTTAGGTACAGAAATGCCCGAGTTTTATACAGACACCCTTCAATGCGTGGCCGACGAGGTTGACCATACTGAGAGGCAGGGCCACGCTTGTTTACTGGGGCCGTGGCACACTTCGCCTATTCGAAAGCCACGATGTGGATGAGATTGTTGTTTTTCCGAGTGGTTGAGACAAAACTTCCTCAAAGGGAAACTGGCCACAAGTATATCTCGATTTTCGCTTATACACAGTTGCTGTACGCATATTTGGTCGCAGTTACCTTGTGTTTGTCACTCGCTTGATATGATGATGGCGCCAAAGATAAAGGGGTTTGTGCCTGTTTACTTTGCCCATATGAACATTGAATGGAAATGAAAACTGGAACTGGAACGAATTAACGAACATTAAGCAGTTTAAACAAAGAAAGGCTCACAATTTTTTTTTCTAGATTAACCGCAAGACTGCGACTGACTCTACATGAGCAGTTTGCGGGAAAAGATCAAATCCACGAACGCTCTCCAACACATACTTCCCCGTTTTCTCACCCTTCTCCACCTCAGCTGCGCTCTTTCTCAACAAGATGCCTACATCCCTAGCTTGAGTATGTACGTTGCAGCTAACGTAAACAACCGTCGTGCTCCTGAAGGCTAACAATTGGTCGAGGAAATTCTCATCACAGCCTTTGCGCGGTGGGTCGATGATCACTGCGGTCGAGGAAGGCGGGAAATCTGGTACGGAGGCGAAGATGTGCGCAGCATCACCAGTGCGGAACGTCACTCGTCCAGCGGGGAGCTTGTTTAGTTTCGCATTGTGGGTTGCAGCGGCGATGGATTCTGAGGAGAGCTCGATGCCTGCGATGGTCTCGAAGTACGGCGAGAGCATTATTGAGAAGAGGCCTGCGCCGCAGTATGCGTCAACGAGATGAGTTGGTGCCGTTCGTGCAGGTGTCGTCGTATCTTCCGTATTATCGTTGTGCTTTTCGCTAGACGGGAATATAGCGGCTCGGACATATTCAACGAGAGAGACGAGGACGGAGTTGTTATTCTGGAAGAAAGAGCTGGCATTGTACTCAAAGAGCATATCGCCAACCTTCTCGCGGACCTTTCCTCGATGATCCGTAATGCATATGTGTTCTTCTGGTTCAGAGGGTTTTTCTGAACTTTCAGGAGGGATAGGAAGGGAGTCGCGCAAAAGGAGACTGACGCCCTTTTTATAGGTGTGCAGCTTCCTGTTCAACATGAGTATATGCAGCAAGGGAGAAACAGGAAACTCACTCCAGGATACCAGTCCGCAATGGACCTAATGCACTGTTGATTACGGGAGTAGCAATAGGGCATTCCTAAGAATAATATCCCTTTAATGACAAATATTAAACATTGGTTGACATCGACCAACCTCAATATCCAAAACTTCCCGCGTCCCGACCTTGTTGAATCCGATGGGAACTGTCTTTCCCTCAGGGAAAGGTTCTGGAGCGGCTTCAGCTTCGGCTTTTTGCTTTTTGCTACGAGCCCTTTTCACAGGCGCATCGAAGTGAGGTGTGATTTTCGTCCGATATCCATATTGGAGTGGCGAAGGTGCAGTTGGAAGGATGACTGGAACGGACGAAGATGGTAAACCTAACGAAGACATGAATGTCGTATCTATAAATAAACTGTTGCTTTTCTTTACCTGAGAATGTCTCGTACGCTCGAGCAACAACGTCCCGTTTCAAGTCAAGCTGAGTTTCGTAAGAAAGCATCTGATGAAATTTACTGTCAGAAACGCACATCGAGCTCAGAGGTTTAATTCCCCATAATTCGGGAAGAGACTTACTTGATATTGGCATCCACCACATTTTTCAAAATACCTGCAGCGAACTCGGTTCATGTCGCGCATAGACGTATTGGGTTGCACAACACCCAAGAAGTCAGCGAAGGAGTGCAACCTTGCATTTCGATAAATTCGGGCACGGATTTTCTCCCCAGGCAGTGCGAAGGGGACAATTACTACCCAAGGAGGTCTTGGAGAAGGTGCAATGGCCAGACCCTCGCCTTTTGAGAATAAAGTCGGCTTGTTATTCCATATTGAATGGTTGCCAACGAAATTACTTACCATTAGATGAAAGGCGGTTTATTTCGAGTTCTATCTCTTCACGAAATCCAAACGGTGACTCAAGGTCCTTTTCTTCGTTGATTGCAGCATCCACCGCATCCTGATCGAGGAGAGAAATGATTTCATGCCAGTATACGTCGTCATGCGAGCACGGTTCGATATTGACCAGTTTCTTCTTGTGTCTCTTTGCGCCTTTAGTCTGTTTCTTTTGTGATTTTGGTGTCGCTTCGTTTACAAGCCTTTCATCGTTCCCATTCAAGGATGGCGGTGAACAAAGTTGTGTTTGCGAATGAGAACGACGCTTTTTGTCAATTGTCGGCGTAGTCAAAGAGGGACTGGGATCCCTTTTCTCTCCAATCTTTGGACTAGCCATCGTGCATGAGTAGTAGGGATAGCGTAGAAAAAGAGCTCGCGAGCGTCGAGATACACGGAGGGCAAGGAACATAAATTATTGAAATTACGAGTCAGCGTTGATCATCATCAACTCGCCTGCCTGCTGGACGCGTCTACTTGGTGCTCCGTCATCCGAGCCACAACACAGCGCAGACAACGACGACCACGATCACACCTCACCATATTTATGTCTGTTTTTTCATCTCTTAGCCCTTTGCCACGACGAAGACTATCCTGAGCTGTCCACGACATGTCACGCCTCTCTTCTATCTTCTCAACTCTCGGTGGCAGTTCGATGAGCTCCCAGAGCAGGACTACCGACGGCCTCACGAGGCTACGCTTCACTCTGGAAACCCTACCTGGCTCAAAGAAGTATATCTTCACCCCGGGAACTCGCTCTGAGATCCTACAGGAACTCTACGAGACATTCTGGGGTCCCCACGGAAACTTATTCTTGCCCAACGCAATCTCGTATCTTCCCGTCCAGCTTCTCTTGAGCGAGGTTCAGACAAGGTATGGTTTCCATGGTGCTGGTGGAGATCCTCCAATAGTTCCAGGGAGATCGTGTGGGCATATATTCACAAAGGGTGAAAGCTGCTATCGCTGCAAGTGAGTGTTTCATCGGCTCAATCTGGTCTCGTACCTATTAATGCTCATGTACGTCCGATAGGGATTGTGCCCTAGATGATAGCTGTGTCATGTGTGCGCGTTGCTTCCATGCAACAAGACATGAAAACCACAACGTTTCGTTTTACATCGCCCAGCAATCTGGAGGATGCTGTGACTGTGGTGATCAGGAGGCCTGGCGATATCCCATAGGGTGTCGGTACCACCCTCCATCTGCAGAAGAGGCACTCAGAGTACCTCCTCGTTCTCTTAATGCAGGAAGCAAATCCCAAGCGCTTCTCAACCGCCCGGCTGTTACACCTGAGCTCTGGGATTCGATGTCCAGAACAGTGGCATATGCCCTAGATTTCATTCTTGACACCTTGGATTATTCACCGGATGAAACGCTGCTACCTACAACAGAGGCAACACTCACAGAGCAAGTAACGGCAGACCCTTTGAAGAAGGATCTCTACGCTATAATAGTGTGGAATGACGACAAGCATTCCTTTGACGAAGTAACTCGACACCTGACAGACACTTGCGGTTGTTCAACCGAAGAGGCTGCTAATCACACGGCCAAAATTGATGATCACGGACGTGACATCGTAGAGATGAATACCTACAGCCCTAAGCTGTTGGATATTGCTCAGGCTATAGCTAGGATCGATTTGGGCGTTACGGTTAGGCGTGCATACGATACGTTTAGGGAACAGATCGCTGGTGTCCTTATTGAATGGTTATTGGATCTAACCAAATGTCGCTTACTGTCGGACACGATGGTTATTCGAGAGGTCATCGCAGCGGAATTCTTCAGTCCAAGGCGTAAGGACCTACATTGTTTGCTGCAGCATGCGGATTGTGCCAAGGTTCTACAAGAAATCGATGACCCGTCAAGACTAGACTGGATGTTCTTGTACCATACTAGGCTGTGGAAGAAGCCTCGTCTGAGTCTGAAAGAAATCTATGTTTCTATCCTGACTCTTAGTCACGAACACAAGATGTCCGTTGGTAAGTCGATCTGCTGCGTGTGCAATGTCATTACTAAAAAATTTTCCACCACAAGCTGTTCATTACGCGAATGTATATCACTGGATTATCGACTCATATCTTTTAGTCGACCGTGAAGCAGAGACGTCAATCAAATACTTCGCCCTTCAGTTATTTACGGTTCCATCCATCGCGGCGCACATCGTGCAAGACCACCAAATAATATCGCGACTTCTTGCCATCATAACCTCCTTCTTCACTAACCAGATACGGAACAAGCGCGTCCATTATCCCCCAGATAGTCGCGCCGAAATTGACGTCGATACGTTCCCCTTCAAATCAAAGCGATTCATGCCGGTATTCAGCGATTTGCGTTACATTGCCCACAATCAGAGCGTGCAACATCTCATCGCGCGTGATCTTGCGTATATTGAGCAATTTGCGAAGACGTGTAAACTTTTCATGTGCATAAACCCGAACAAACGTGCGGTTTCGACACACGTCGAGTACGAGACGGACGCGTGGATCAGCGTTTTCAATGTCACTCTCAGCCTGTCCCGGGTCATCAAAGTGTATGGGGAAGCTTTCGCGTTGGCTTCATCTGCGCAATTAATTAAGGCGATTCACATTGTGGCGGACAACATTATGGACATTTGCAATGTGGTTGACCCTCGAATGGATGCTTCAAAGTTCAAGAAGATTAGCCATCACGCGGTGACTGTGGGCGACAAAGCAGCGATGACGATAGACTTCAATATCATGGACGGCTGGGTTAGCTTTCACCATTCATTACATTGGTTATTAGCAGAGCTATTCAAACATGTCAACTTGCTGAGTGATGAAGCATTGCAGCCGCACGGATACAAGAACCTACGAGATGTGTTCAGACGACACGTGCCTATGCACTTCATGCAGCTTCTTATTGATTACCCGCTTCGAGGCAAGTGGCTCTATTTCTTTGCTTGAATCATTGTATTGAATAGGATTGTCGTAGTTCTCGCGATGATTGCTCAGATTAGGACCGGCTTGTGGGTCCGCAATGGCTTTGTGATCCGGGGTCAGCTTCTTCACTACAGGGACTTCATGCTCCGAGAACTCTGCTACGACCAAGACCTGTTCATCTTACAGTCTGCTTTCGTACTATTAGAAGATCCCGACTTGGTGCTCATTAGTATCATTGATCGGTTCCAACTTGTGCCGTGGTTCAATGGATCCGTTAAAGACAACATCTACGAAGGTGCACCACTATTCAATATGGTTGAGGAAATTCTATACGTGATCGTCACCATCCTCAGCGAGAACGCAAGTGCCGGTCAAATGGATCTACGATCAGCTGTACGACGGGAAATTATCCACGCTCTAGCTGTTGGGCCATGTCCTTATACGGATCTTGTGAAGAGGGTAGCCGAGAGAATGGTGGACGATGTCTGCTTCGATCACGTCTTGCGGGAAGTGGCACACTTCCGGGCTCCTGAGTCAACGATGGATACCGGTATATACGAACTGAAAGATGAATGCTTCGACGAAGTCAACCCTTTCTTCTTCCACTACACGCGCAACAAGCGCGAGGAAGTCGAAAACATCTTGAAGACGAGGCTGAGGAAGAAGACTGGAGAAGCGGAACCTGTCATTGTCCCGAAGCCTAATGGAATAAACTCCGGACCATACCAGGTGCTATCGACGGTCTTTGACTCTCCAGTACTTCTACGCGTGATGTACTCCTGTATCGATAACCTTCTGCGGTATGCAGATGAATTTGAAAGGCCTGCGCCATCCTCGGAGGCAATTCTCGATCAGGCATTGCACCTTGTGATGCTAGCCATTGTGGAACGTGGTCCTCGATTTGCCCTAGTCGTTGAATCATGCAAACTCGAACCCGAGGATGACAAGGGGTTATTAGACGTGTTATGCACATTAGAGCATCATCCCGTGTATAAGGCGTATAAACCGCGTGTCGATTGGATTCTAAACCGGCTCGGAGAGTTGATTCCCTCCAAAGTTCAGGCAAAGCGTCGCGTTTTGGATAAATCGGGCGGACCGGCTGACCCGGAAGAAGCGAGAAAGCGCGCGGCGAAAGCGAGGCAGGCCGCAATTATGGAGAAGATGAAGGCACAGCAATCAAGCTTCGCTATGAACTTTGAAGAGGACTTTGAAGACAGCGAGGAAAAGCAGGACATGCATGAAGCGGACGAAAGTCATGTGTCTTTTGGCACCTGTTTAGTGTGTCAAGAGGACTTGAACAAGTCCAAAGGCTTTGGAGCTCTAGGTTTCATTCAACCAAGTCGGCTCCTTCGAAAACATCCCGATGGGCAGATTTCTCATGTTAACGAAGCGCTTACGGTACCAGAAAGCTTAGATCGTCCAGCACCATCGCGTATTGGTACACAATTTCCCCCCAAAGATGCGGAAGCAAGGGACGCTCAAAAACGAGCGAGTGGCCAGATGTTCGACGGTTTTCAGGCCCACTACACTAAATTCGGCCTTGTCGGCTCGACTTGCTCGCATATGATGCACCTGGATTGCTTCCAGGTGTACAATTCATCTATTAAACAGAGACACAGGGCACAAGGTCAACGCAACCATCCGGAAAATATCCACCGAAAGGAGTATCTGTGCCCTCTTTGTAAGAGCTTAGGGAATGTCGTTATCCCCGTGTTGCTCCCTTCCTCTCGCCCGCTTAATGCTATGCCTTTCAGCGATTGGGTGCGATCCGTAGGTATTACCATCTTGAAGTCAAGGCCCGATCCACAGTTGGATGCATTGCAGGCGAAGACAGGTACAGGAGAATTTGTCTTCTGGGCTGCTCAGGATCCTGGATATCTGCCTTATGCCAAAGCTGATCACGACGACCCCGAGTCACACAAAATGCTAGACACACTAATAGTTGTCGTTAAGAGTTTCTCACAGCAAACGAGGCATCTACGCGAAAGGCCGGAGCCTGAGCTTAGCGAACGTGGCGCGGGCCTGTACCTACCAGAAGACCTCGTTGGTTACACTATCAGCGTGACTGAGATCGCGCAACGAGGCATTGGGAATGCTGGATCACTCCTTGTTGACAGAGTTTCTGACCAGACGTATACGGCGATTCGTGGAATGGTCGCGGACCTCATGAGGCTTGCTGCACTTCATTTTAAACACCGAGCAGACGAAGGCCGTGATGCGATCAGGCAAGCCATTGTAAAGCGTCTTTTGCCCGAGTGGAGCCGTACTTCCTTAACTTCTTTACCATACCCCCTACTTCTACGAGAGCCACTGACTATCCTTGTGGAAACCGCGGCTGTGGCGCCTGAAATGTTACGACATGCACTCATACCGCTATATTACGCTTGCCTCGCCCGGTCGGTAATCGGGATGATATACGTTCTCAACAAGTGTCGTCCTACTAACGCCATTCCGCTTAATGGTCGCAAGTATGAGGCACTGTTCGGCGACCTGCGGATATTCTGCATGTCTGTTGTGCGCCAGTCACCTGTAATTGAGCACACCGCAGAGATAGTCTTCGATTCTTTCGGCGAGGGCCGTATGGAAAAGCTACTCTACACTTTCACTCTTCCATTCCTTCGTCGAGCCGCAATTTTATGTCGTGCTATGCTTCCCGGACAATTCCCGACGCCGAGTTATGATTCAGTTGACCGGGATGAGTATTCGCGACTTCTGCAGTTCCTTGGCATTCCACCACTTTCGGAACTTCCCATGCACGACACGCTCAAGACACTCCTTTTCGGCTGGTGTTCGCATTATGGCCAATCTCACGCGGCATCACAGCTCAACTGTGGTGTGTCTCTGGAGTTCTCTTCTATTTATCGCCTTGCAGAGTTGCCTCTTGTTTTGGACACGATGTTCGGAGAGGAAGAGAAACACATGGTGTGCAAGAGGTGTAAGACTGTCCCGGTTGATGCCGCGATCTGCCTTACGTGTGGCGCAATTTGCTGTATGCAGAGCCATTGCTGCAGAGAAGTCGACACAAAGGAACGCGGAGAATGCAATCTCCACACAAGGGAGTGAGTGACGTTGTAACCTAGTTGAATGAAGTTCATCAACTGATTTTTGTTTCTAGGTGTGGAGGAGCAATTGGAGTCTTCTTCCTTGTTAAGCGCTGTTCCCTCTTGTATCTCTATGCAGGCAATGGGTCATTCGTCCAGGCTCCCTACCTTGACACTCACGGTGAAATTGACATTTCGATGAGGTAAAATTAACTCTTCACATACTGTATGCGGTATGCTTACACATCAATTAGGCGAGGTCGCCGTCAATATTTGCACTACGCGCGATGGGAAGAAGTCCGAAAGACATGGCTCAACCATGGCATCCCGACACTTATCGCGCGAAAGTTAGAGAGTACGGTAGACAGCGGCGGATGGGAGACATTATAAAGCATTACCGCAGTACATCTGCATCTTTGATTATTACATGTGCTTTGTTTATACTCCGGAATGACCTAGACTTGTAGCAATATTGCCCTTCACGAATCGCTGACTGTCGAGCATCCCCTCTTTGTATTGCAATGTTTTTGTCGTTGTCCGATCATGTGCTATTATCAGAATGAACTTGTAATTTAGTTTTCTGCACAACCGCGTAAACAGTAAGCCAAGGCAGAATAATCGAGGACCAGTTCATCAACTTCGATTATATATTTCAACTGTACATAAAGGAGGGAAATAAAGGATAAAATCTATGAATTTATCTATAACCTGCGGGCAGAGAGCGACGAGTAACGAAGGAGTGACGAGTCGCTTTTAATTATTAACTATAACACTTCACCGAACGCCACTCTCTTTTTTGACCTAGTTCATTCCGAGGACCTTTGCAACGTTGGCATGGCGGGGCTCAAGACGAATCCTGAATGGCATCGGCGAACGTCCAGACAGGCCGTCGTACTCGTTAAGGTCGATGGGTTCGCCAGGCACTTCGTACATGTTGAAGGCCCAGAGCATACGTGCAATGGTCAGCCAGATTTCACGCTCCGCGACTATCATCCCAGGGCAGATACGGCGCCTAGAACGTTATGAAATTAGATTGGTAGGTAGATAGGTAGGAGGAAGAGTGGAGGAGGAGAAGTAAGCGGGGAACTTTGTGTGATGGTTGTGGATGGATAAAATTAACTTTGATTTTGAGAAAGACTTACCCTGCGCCAAACATCCAGTGATCACGTTCGTATGCATTGGGAAGGTTGGCTGACTCGGTGTTATTTGTGCTATCATTGATGTACCTCTCCGGCTATTTACCAAGATTAGAATTCGCAGATGAGCGCTCGAAGTACTGTGCGATTTGCAAATTCGACGGGTACTTACGTTGAACCTGTGCGGCTCGGGATGGCGATCTGGGTGGTAGTGCATGGAGTAGGTGTTCAAGACGAGAACTGTGTCTTTGGGTATGTACTGGCCCTTGTAAACGAAATCTTCTGAAGCGACATGTGGGGTACCCAACCAGAATGGGTTGTGCATGCGTTCAACTTCTTTGATGATTGCCTGACGATATCATTGTCAATGTATCTCTCTTTCCCGTGAATGTCGCAGATAGATTGTACTTACATGGCAGTAAGGAAGATCTTTCTCATCCTCAATGGTAGGCAGACGGTCACGTCCGATGACCCTGTCGAGTTCTTCTTGTGCTTTCTTTTGGATTTCGGGGTACGCAGGGATGAGCGCACTAAACCACTGCATGATGGAGGCTGTCGTCTCAACTCCGCCGATCATAAATGCCGACGCAAGAATAGCCATGTCAAGGTCATCGAGGCCTTCGGTTTGTCGCGACTGGACCATCGTCTTGGCAAGACAGTCGGGCACGTTTTCACCGGCTTTGAGGCGCGCTTCGATACGCTTGATCATTCCGCCGTAAGTATCGACGAGACCTTGGTTCAGTTTCTTCCCCCTCTTCCACATTGGAGTTGGGAGCCATTGCAACGGCGCGATGAAATCGACAAGGTTGGAGACGGGTCCGGTACAGTTCCTGAAATAAATTAATAAACATCAGTCCCTTGTATTGATTCTTTCTGTCCTGATTCTGGTGTACCCACATGAACTCGCGGGAAAGACGGAGGGCCTGTCCGACCAATGGGTCGTTGACAGTCTCGGTACGCGTTCCGAAAACGATTGTAAGCATGTTGTTCAACGAGCAGCGCCCTGCATGGGGCTGAGGGTTGATCGGATTGTTGCCGGCGCGGAAAAGCTCTTTGAGGAGGACTGTTGCCTCAAAGTCGAGAACATTCGAGTAATCATCGACAGCGCGCTGGTTGAGCCAAGTGCCGGCAATCTTGCGGTGCTTGCGCCTTCATTAGAGGCAATCAGAATGAGTAAATGCCATGATGTCTGTTATAAGCTAAACTTACCAGCGGTCGTTGTACGGAGTGGCGGTGATACCTCTGCCGACAAAGACCGTCTGAGACTTGATGAACATTTCCTTCCTCTAATTTAGGAACAGATACCGGTGAGTAAAAATGTCTAATTCCTAATTAAAGAACGTATTCTTACGCTCGAGAAGACTGCGCCGTTAGTGACGAGAAGGTCCTTTGCGATGCCGGGATCAGTGATGATCACGAAGTGTTGATTACCGAGCCACAGTGAGTAGAGTGGGCCGAATTTCTTGTACCAGTAATCGAGCATACGCTCTGGGTAGTGTGAAAGGAATGGGAATGAACCTGTTCACAAGATAACGACTTCAATACATGTCGAATAGCTCATTAGATTAATGGTAATTAGACTGACCGACAATCGGAAGGCCCACTGGACCATTCGGCGTCGCATAGCCAGCCTTGTTGTAAAGCCTGCGGCCGAACAGATTGAGGGCGCTCAAGCTCTTAGGCAGGACATAGAGACTGGCGAATACAAGGCATCCGGCGAGCACGATGGCATAGTTGAGCTGCACCTCTGGCACGTCGATGGTAGACGACGCAGAGAAGGGATTCAACTTTGGCCACGCGGAGACGGCGGGAGAAGGGTGAGAAGACATGCTTTCTGGTTCTTCTTCTTTGAAAGTAGAGTAGTGAGAAGAAGGGAAGAAGAGAAGGCGATAATTTATAACTTCTCAATCCTTGACCTTTTTATATCCTTTAGTTCATGCCACAAAGTCTTTGCCAAGTCCTCGTTCCGCGCTCTCGGCCCCCACTAAACAGGTACAAAGACAAAAGAGACGAGGATCAAGTCAGCCTGGAGCTCATCAAGCGAGCGTGAAAACCGGGGGGCCGAGCGAGACGAAACAAGGCATAGAAACATCTATGAAATTTTGATGCAACACAGCAGTTGACAAGGAAGGGGCTATTGGTCCCTCTTTGATGAGCAAGTCTAATTGAAAATGAAAATGGAAGCAGCTGTCAAGTGCTTGCATACCGGCATTGGAGAGACAAGGGACTCCGGATACTTGATGTTGCAGATATTACAGCGTTGAGAAAATATGACGACAGGTGAACAAAGAAATATTGCGGCAGACAGCGTGTATAGCCCATTTCTAGAAATGATCAGAGATTGTTATAAGATTTCCCATCACTAATCGCACCACGGCAGTAAAGGCATAGAAATCCTTGGTGTTAAGAGGCATACAATAGGCAGACTGGCCAATTACCGAGGCACGTTTAGAGATGAGGAGCGTACTCAGGGCCTAGTGCCTTCACACCTGTTATTGCGATCAATCATCAGTCAAATACCTCATAGCTAAATTTAACACGCAAAGATCTAGACGATTGCCTTTGGAAGAGATTGTTTTTTTAAGTTTAATGTCGACATCACTTACGACACTTGTCGAAGGTACACACGAGGTACTTTCCCTGTACAAAGTAACAAACTCTAAATGAATACGAAGGAAATGCTTCGATAGTAGATGCGTACCACGAAGACAAGAAATTGGGCCAAGAGGAAGCCATATTTCTAGCTGCGTATACCATAGACATTGTTACCGAGGACTTGACTCTGTTATGAACGAGCAAAATTGGAAAATCGTTGAAGGTGGAGTTGGAGCGATCGGCGAGTCGCGTGAGATACCGGTACTGAGATACTGCCTCGTAACTTAATGGGGTTATTTCTTTCTGTCGCTAGATGTTCTATCTAACATTCCTAATGTGGAGAGTCCCGGGTCGTACGCTTCGGAACCGTGAAAAAAAAGACAGAAAACACAGACACAAGTCGTTCATTCCTACGGAAGCGAGTTCCGAATCGTACGCTTCGGAATGGGGCAGAAAGTGAAAAAGAGACGACGAGGGTAGGAACCTGTGTTGTAGACATGCGGTAGTTCTCCGGTAAGCACGCAAGATGACGAGAAAGAAATGAGCCAGCGGAGGCACAAGTTGACAGAGAAGAAGGGAGACATGCGAGGATCACTACTGCATGTAGTGATGATGGAGTAGGCAAACAGATACAAATAGCTTAAATCCTGTTGCATTATTACTGATCGACGGTTATGCATTCTTTTCGGACGGATCAAGCCGACGAGAAGAGGCCTCGGCTTCCGCGTAGCGACTTAAACAGGCAAATTTGTATGTTTGGTATTCATATTGGCCAACTTTAGATATCCCGACCACGGACATGAGATAGGTCCCGTTTGACAGAAATAGCTTCTGGCACTACAACACTGCGACGGGTACGGAAAGGCCGCGCCAGAAGGCGTCTAGATCTCCGGCGGTTGTCCTGATCCTATTCGCACCAACCACCGAGGCGTGCGAAAGTCGTACCGTGGATTGGAAGTTACTCAGCCCAGGCTCTTCATATAGTTATCTCTTATCAAATTGGTCCCTCTCTTATATTATAGAGTGCCCGGCCTCCAAAAGCGCCCCAAGGTAGCAACACCTCCAGTGCCACCTTGAATACTAGTGCAGGTCCATAGTCCTCATGAGTCGTCTTGCCCGCTTACCACCTTGGCTTTCATATTGGCTCGGCTACCGGGCAAGCCCACCGCCAAAGCGACCGAACTATATTATCTGGCTTTGGTCCTTCATAGGCGCTTTTGGTGGCTTGTCCATCCTCCAGGTTAGTCACAACATCTCAACACTAACTTGTTCTTTAAGTCTTGTCCTCAAGTACAAAAATAACTCATTTCGTGTAAATACCATCAGGCTGTCTTTGGTCATACTCACTACTTCATTGAGCGGAACGTACCCAGCATCATTGCCAGTTATGTGAGCAGTTCATCTTCACACACAAATTGTCCTGTTTGACATCCGGCGCTGACCTCTATATCTATCAATCTAGGGTGCCTCTGCCGTTCTGTGTTATGGCGCCATAGAAGCTCCGCTCGCACAACCTCGTGCCCTTCTCGGCGGACACTTCATCTCAGCACTCATCGGCGTCTGCATCACCAAGCTTTTCCATCTCAACTCCCATTTTGAATCCCTCAGATGGCTTTCCGGCTCGCTTTCAGCGTCGCTTGCTATAGTAGTCATGCAGATGACAGCTACGACCCATCCGCCCGCAGGTGCCACCGCTCTCCTTGCGTCGGTCAATGATGATGTACTTGCCATTGGCTGGTACTATCTTCCTGTCATTCTGCTGTCAAGCACCCTCGTCCTCGTTTCCGCGCTTATGGTAAACAACATCCAGCGGAGGTACCCCGTGTACTGGTTCGAGCCCGCGCTGCCACCCGTGGCGCCAAGCCCGTCACAATTTCCGCCTGAGAAACGCATCAGCGAAACAAGCGTTACTATTCAACCGGCAGAAGATGACGAAGCTGGGATTGAAGCTCAGGAGCTTGCAGAGGACCGTGTTTAACGATTTTTCTCACCCCTCCTTCGATGGATTTCATTAGAACTGCACAGACCAGCTGACGGGTAAGCGGTTCTTCCTGATATTGCAGATTTAAATTTGAAAGATCCAACTATTCCGAGATTGCACTTTTCTAATCATGCATGTACTGAAAAAAATGCTTGGATTCTACTTGTACTTAACTACGCGTGTCCGCAAGCAAAGCCGTTTTGCAAGGTTCAGATTCCCGCTGCGTCACCGCTCAGTCCTACCTACTTTGCGTCTTCTTACGTTCTCCTTAGTTATAAGCCGCTTTGAATAATAATGAAGCGAGCGATTGGCACGCATCCCGCCTCATGTCGCAGGATGAAGCTACCTCCAAAAACGGGATCCTTCGTCTACCTACGGAGATTCTCGTAGACATATTCGTTCGTTGCCTCCCACCTGACCGTATACGCTTAAACACGCCTCCATAACTGCTGCCTCCATTCACTCTCGCCCGCGTATGTTCGCAGTGGCGAAACCTCGTTCTTTCCTCAACTCAACTCTGGAACCGTATTGTCCCTGGGAGCCATGAATCGGATTCTGCTAAGGAGTCTATTATTGTTGACTTTTGGCTTTCTTGAGCAGAACAGGAGACCGTGCCACTTGATATCTTGCTTATCCCCCAATAAAAATTCCACTACTGGTGATGCTCGATCAGGAAGCAAATGCAAAGTATGAAAGAGATACTACTGCTCTGATTCAGAAATTCCGCATGCAAGCGCACAGATGGCGCGATCTGTATATTGACGTACTAGACGGCGTAGACGCTGATGTACTTGAGTCTCTGTTCACGCTTCTTAGGGACCCAGACCCTAAGCAAACAGCGGCTACACCTCGACTTGAAAGACTGGAGCTGACTACAACGCATCTGGGGTCGACAGATGGGCCTCGTGTCTTACGAATGTCGCCGTTGCATGTCCGCGCTTGCATACTGTCACCTTAATGTGTTCGCCAATTATAACTGGTCCAGTTCGTACGTCAGAAGCGCAAGTCATGCAGAATATGCATGAGCTCAATCTCCGGTTCTGTACATCTACGTCTCACGTTCTGGACTGGGTAGACGCCTGCCCGAATCTAGTCAATCTTAGGGCGCAGTTATTCCGCAGAGGAGACGAGCAAGATGATCCAGAGATAGATGAATTTGGCGGACTAGGCGACGAAATTGTAGAAGATGATGAACCAGACGGGGAAGGCTGGGTGCTCATCAATAATCGTCGCCAGCGACCAGCTCAAAATGTTCTCCGCATAAGCACCATGCGGAACGACGTCCGAGTCCTCCCCAACTTGACCTGTCTCGAGCTTCACAGTTTCTCATCTCCAGCTTCTGTCGGCACGATTCTCGACCCATTAACTACACCTGCCCTGAAGATATTGAGAATCGGCACATCATTTGCAAGGATAGGTCTAAGCAACGTGCGATGGCTGCACATTGCTTTGCTCCTTCAGCGATCGGATGCATCTCTTGAAGAGCTTAGGACTGCTGGTACACCGATGAATGCTGATGATATGCGAGCTTGTCTCCTACTGTCTCCTCGGCTCAAGAGGCTTTCAATTGGGATGTTTGAGGAGATGGAACAGCTTCTTGGTGACCTGGCGGCTCAGACCTCAGAAGGTGAACAACCAGAGTCGAAACTTGTTGCGGGAGAAGGTACACAGCAAAGTGCGGCAGCAGCTCACGGTGGCATCCCTTTGCCCTGTCCCGGGCTTAATGCCGTCGACATCGCAGATTCAATATTCCCAATTGACGCTCTAGTTTCTGTGGTTTCGTCCCGATTTCCCGCGGGAGGACATGTACATCATGCATCTGACTCTCAGTCCGAAAAACAATCGGAATCGGAGTCATCGGATGGACCGGATTTAGGAGATCATAAACGCTTGGAGCGGATCTGTGTGGATAAAACACTGCTGATGCAGTTGAAGAACATCTGGTTCTTGCGAAGTGCATTTCGGAGGGGTTGATCATGGGCGGATTCATGGCTGAGTTTGAGCCGAATGTTTTGTTAAATCTCCGAGTTGATTAAAAGTATCTCCAGTGCATTAGTTTAGGATATTGTTAGTTTGCCTACAATAATGTAGTAGATTACCTATCAAATACTTCTGCTTCGTTGAAGCGTCGTTATCTATTCCGTACGCATTTACTCCTGCGAGTTAGAGAAGACATACTGTTACCTATGATTCAACAATATTAATGCGTTCAATTTAAGTTTGTGCATACTTAACAAATACGCGGTCGAGTATTGTTACCACTTGCCATATTTGGAACATCGGTTAGCAGTTTGTCCTCCGTTACAAACAAATAAATCACCGGAATTTTGGACCTCCCACCAGTCCTGTTCATCTCATCCGCTCACTGTGTTATTTTGTTATCCCGACTTCCTTCCAAGTGGCAATGATGCACTTACCGTGCCGCACCTGATCTCGGAACGTGACTGGATATCAATCCTGCATTGTCGGCAAGCGTGAACCAAACCAAATGGGCCAGCTGCTGCACACCAGCGTTTGAGCGCACTGGCAATGTGCATCGGCTTGTGCAGGACTGTTCTCGGACTGTCAACCAAAATTACGAACTCCCGGAACACGAAGCGTTTTCACTGCGCATCCGTTGCGACGCCGAGAACACCACAATTTCCCACCTTTATCTCTTGCTTCGAAGGCAACGTGGGTGCTGTTTCAGAAGCGCATACAGCAAGATCCTGGTCTACCTGTTCCGAATCCAACGCATTCATTTTGGCATGATGTATCCTACCCATATACCGGATTCGTTACCCCGGTATATCGACGCTGTTATCATCGGCTCCGGGATCACTGGTGCGAGTGTTGCACGCACTCTTTTCCGTGAAGAAGGCTCGGACCTCAGAGCCTTAATGCTGGAAGCAAGGGAAACTTGTTCTAGTGCCGCTGATGGTAGAGCTGTTCTTCCCGATAATGTAGAACTTGACTGGAAAGATTCAACTCTTCCGAGATTGCTCTTTTCTGACCGTGCATGTACTGAAAAATATGTTTGGATTCTACTTGTTCTTAGCGAGGGAGACCCAAAAACAAAGCTATTTTTTTTTTGGCAAAGTGCGGGTTCCCACTGCGTCACAACTCACTTCACCCTACTTTGCGTTTTCTTACGGTCCCCTTCTTAGTTATAAGCCGCTTTGCGTAATCAAGCAAGCGATTGGCACGTATCCCGCCTCATGTCGCAGGATGAAGCTACCTCCAAAAACGGGATCCTTCGTCTACCTACGGAGATTCTCGTAGACATATTCGTTCGTTGCCTCCCACCTGACCGTATACGCCTAAGTACGCCTCCACAACTGCTGCCTCCATTCACTCTCGCCCACGTATGTTCGCAGTGGCGAAACCTCGTTCTTTCCTCTCCTCAACTCTGGAACCGTATTGTCCTTGGAAGCCATGAATCGGATTCTGCTAAGGAGTCTATTGTCTTTGACTTTTGGCTCTCCCGAGCGGGTCCGGCGACCGTGCCACTTGATATCCTCCTCATCCCTCAGTCAAAAAATCCACTACTGGTGATGCTCGATCAGGAAGCAAATGCGAAGTATGAAAGAGATACTGCCGCATTGATTCAGAAGTTCTGCGCACAAGCACACCGGTGGCGCGACCTGAGCATTGATGTACTTGACGCTGATGTACTTGAGCCTCTGTTCACGCTTCTTAGCGATCCAGACTCTAAGCAAGCTGCGGCTGCACCTCGACTTGAAAGGCTAGAATTAACTACTACGCATCTGGGGTCGACAGATGGGCCTCGTGTTTTACAAAATATCGCCATTGCTTGTCCGCGCTTGCATACTGTCGCCTTAATGTGTCCGCAAGTCGCACCTGGTCCAGTCCGTACGGGTACATCAGAAGTGCAAGTCATGCAGAATATGCATGAGCTCAATCTCCGGTTCTGTACATCTACGTCTCATGTCCTCGACTGGGTGGACGCCTGTCCGAATCTAGCCAATCTCAGGGCGCAGTTATTCTGTAGGGCGGACGGGCAGGATGATCCAGAGATAGATGAATTTGACGGACTGGACGACGATGTTGTAGAAGACGATGAGCTAGACGGCGACGGATGGGTGCTCATCAATAATCGTCGCCAGCAGCCAGCTCAAGATGTTCCCCGTATAAGTACCATACGGAACGACATCCGCATCCTCCCCAACTTGACGTGTCTCGAGCTTCACAGTTTCTCGTCTCCTGTTGCTGTTGGTACAATCCTCGACTCACTAACCGCACCTGCCCTGAAGACATTGAGAATTAGCACTTCATTTGCACGGATAGGCCCAAGCAACGCGCGATGGCTGCACATTGCTTTGCTCCTTCAGCGATCGGATGCATCTCTTGAAGAGCTTAGGACTGCTGGTACACCGATGAATGCTGATGATGTGCGAGCTTGTCTCCTACTGTCTCCACGGCTCAAGAGACTTTCGATTGGGATGTTTGAGGAGATGGAACAGCTGCTCGGTGACTTGGCAGCTCAGACCTCGGAAGAAAGTAAACAACCAGAGTCAAAACATGTCGCAGGAGAGGGTACACAGCAAAGTGCTACTCATAGTGGCGGCATCCCTTTGCTCTGCCCCGAACTCAAAGTCCTCGATATCGCAGATTCAACATTCCCAATTGACGCTCTAGCTTCCGTAGTTTCGTCTCGATTCCCTGCCGGAGGTCATGGACGTACATCTGACTCATCTGACTCTGAGTCCCGGAGATCGGATTCGGAGTCATCGGACGGACCAGGTTTACGAGATTATAAACGCTTAGAGCAGATTTGTGTGGATAAAGACACTGCTGATGCAGTTGAAGAACATCCGGTTCTTGCAAAATGTATTTCGGAGGGGTTGATTATGGCTGAGTTTGAGCCGAACATTTTGTTGAACCTCCGAGTGGATTAAAAGCAGAATATTAGCTCTTGAGATCTGTAGTTTGTCATACACTAATAGTAGCGCACCTTCCGAATGCTTAGGTACTTCGTTTTCGGAACATGATTCACTCTTGTTCCCTTCTGCATCTGGTTCAAGTTCCAAGCTACTAATTTGAACAAATATCGAGTGTTGTTATGGCATGCTATATTTGGCAGATCGGTTAGCAACTTGTTTTCCGCCACTACAAATAATCACCGGAATTTTGGACCTTCCACCAATCCTGTTCATCTCCTCCACTTACTGCGTTATTTTGTCATCCGAACTTCTTTCTAAATGCTAAGGATACACTTACTGTGCTACACCTGACCCCGGAACGTGACTGGATGAGCAATCCTGCATTATCCGTCTTGCTCTTATATGGTTACGTCGTCGGCAACTGCACGATCACCGCCTACCCAAGCGTGAACCAAGCCACATGGGTCAGATGCTGCACACCGGCGTTTGAGCGTACTGGCAATGTGCTTTGGCTTATGTAGGAGTGTTCTCGGGCTGTCAACCAAAATTACGAACTCCCGGAACACGAGGCGTTTCATCCAGCCATTCGTTGCGACGCCGAGAACACCACAATTTCCCACCTTTATCTCTTGCTTCGACCTCGATATGGGTGCCGTTTGGTCAAGAGTCAAGGTCTTACGCATCGCTGTGAAGCAAGTCCTTGCGCTTTCTGCTTCTTATGAACGTCTTCAGAAGCGCATACAGCAAGATCCTGGTTTACCTGTTCCGAATCCAACGCATTCATTTTGGCATGATGTACCCTCACCTATCTCTACTCATATACCGGACTCGTTGCCTCGGTATGCCGACGTCGTTATCATCGGCTCCGGAATCACTGGTGCGAGCGTTGCGCGTACTCTTTTCCGCGAAGGCGGTTCAGATCTTAAAGTCCTAATGCTGGAAGCAAGGGAAACTTGTTCTGGTGCAACCGGCAGGTATTTTTTTATTTTCTTATCATTTATTATGCATTCAAATCATTTTGTAGGAATGGTGGACACATCAAGCCTCCTTTACACCATGACTACCTCATGCTAAAGAAGAAATTCGGCGCACAACAGGCAGCGAAGCTGGTCCGGCTGCGTCTCATGCATGTTCGTGAAATACTCGCGGTCGCCGACGAAGACGACGTCCTGGATGACTGCAACTGTCGCGAAGTCGATAGTTTAGATGTTTACTTTACACGCGAAACGTTTGATGAGGCCAAGGAGTCCCTCCAAGCTTGGAGGGAAGATATGCCGGAGGAGTCGACAGATTATGCCTGGGTCGAAGGTAAAGAAGCCATTGAAGTAAATTACGAATCCCTCATTTTCTTGATTATTCAATTTGGCTTACAATCTTCCCGGTTGTGGATCGTTTATCTTGACAGAAGTTTCACTTATCGTCTGAAGTAACAGGAGTCGTCTACAACACAGCAGGCGCCGTTCACCCTTATCGTTTCGTAACAGGCATCCTCGCCCGCCTCCTGGATAAGCACGAAGGTCGATTTACACTATCAACACATACACCATGTACCGGTATCTCCGTTCAATCTGGTTTAGCCGACACACCTCTTCCTCTTTACAGGGTAGAGACTCCACGTGGTTCCATACTCACACGACACGTGGTGCACGCGACCAACGCTTGGGCATCCCACCTTCTTCCACAGATGCGTACGAAGATCATATGCGTACGGGGAAACATGACTGCACAGCGTCCTGGTAATGCATTGACTCCTTCGACACTTGACGGACAACGGAGTTGGGTGTTCTACGATAAGCATATTGGTTATGATTACCTCACACAACTCCCAAACGGAGAGTACGAACTCATGTTTGGCGGTGGATTCGTGCAGGCAGGCGAGGATGGGCTTGGTGAGATTGGTTGTTCAGATGATTCGCAGTACAATTCTGGCGTTGCAGCGCATCTCTCCGGAGCTCTGCCTGTTCTTTTTGGTGGAAAGAATTGGGGATCTGAAGCTGCTCCGTCGTTGAATAGGACGGACGAAGGCGGTAACGAAGATGAACGTTGGTTCCCAGGTCGCATGAAGGCGATATGGAGTGGTATTATTGGAATTTCCGCTGACAGAATACCCTGGGTTGGACGCATGCCACAGAAACTCTCAGACCGCGTTTTACCCTCCCTAATACAAACAGGGGACACTAAGATGGATGCAACAGGCCATAGTGAGAAGGTCAGGAATGCAAGGACTGCGCCTCCTGGCGAGTGGATCGCAGCAGGATACAGTGGCGAGGGTATGGCACATGCTTTCTTGTGTGGTCGAGCAGTTGCCATGCAGGTTCTTGACCGCGCACATGATGCAGCTGCTTGGTTACCTGAATGTCTTGCTGTTACTGAGGCTCGTTGGGCTAAAGCCCGTGCAGAAGATTTGATTGAGGAACTCTGGGGCTGAGCTTCAGGACACATAACCATTGACCCTTTAGTTCATTGGATACAGGTAATTGAATGTTCAACCATAGTGCTTGTATTAGAATGTATCATCCCATCTTTAGACTAGGAGATTCTGAAACATTAAAACCTGACAACTGTGTTGCTGACTTGTTGTAAGATTACCTGTTACAGTATATCATCGGAACAGATCAATAATTTACAGCAAGATAAGTAGAGATGACATATTTATCGATTGGGATACAATGTAATAGCCAAAATGGGCAGCGCCGATCTTCCATGCTTGATAAAGCAAATTCTGGAGCTGAATATGTATTGTATTGTAACAGCGGTGCATCACTGCGCTGGTTTTGATTGAGCTGTGCAGCAAGCACAAGTATATATTCACATGCGCCTCCGTCTGCCATGACTCCTTCCATCATTTCCAACACTTTGGTGAAGTCTAGTCTGTGTCCTTCTCTGGTGTTCCGTCTTTGCCTGCTCGTGGTTGTATAGCAGAAAGGATAGCCGTGGGCAACCTCATTAATACAGTGACCTACATCGTTTGGAGAGCTTGCATAAGTACGAAGTAGCCATGGATGGCTCATGTTTGGATGCCCCAGAGGTGCGACATTTATATATGTTCACCAACCTGCTTCTGACTGATCAATCGCAGTTGAACGAAGACATCAGCGGTCCAGGAGTACGCATTTCCTTCTACTTACAAGCGCTCTTCCTCTGTAAGTGCAATACCCGCTTTTTTTCTCGGGAAATATCCTAATTTATCTGTTAGCACTCCTGTCTGCACGTTCAGGCTCTCTAGAACAAATCACGGGTGCCCTCTACACACTTGTAGCCACCAACATCGCATTGGTCGTAACCTCCTTCATCCTAGGTTTCAAAACCAACCCATCAATGAGTCTTCAAGACGCCATCGTCGTTTTCTACCTCCTCTCCCTCTCATGGGTTTCCGTATTCACCTCCATGCCCGCGTACAACCGTTTCGTGCGAAGTGACAAGACACTTCAACTAGTCTCTATGATCCAGTCATACCTCATCTTCACCTTCATCTTTGCAGTGCTCGTCAAAGCTCATAGTTTTGGTAGCACCCCGGGTTGTAATTCGGATGCCGTCGCTGTTATCTTCAAACAGTTTCGTGCTCTTGATGGAGGTCGAATCGCAGCATCCATCGTTCTCAGTATTATAATCGTCATCTACACTTTCCTCACCTTCACAGATTATCAGCATTCCATTGAGAGGCGGTATCGGAATTGTAGAGGGTGGGCTTGGAGAGGAAGGAATTGGGTTCTGAACCGGCGGGAGAGATTTTCGAGAGAACTTGGTGGATTATTGGGATGCATGAAACCGAGAAAGGCCAGCTCTCATGGTCCTTCGATCCACAACCGCGAGTCTATGGCACTTAGTGCCACAGGGGTACAACGCATGTCCACGAACACTTCTACATCTAGTTACCAGGCAGATGCGCACCTGGACAAAGACGCGAAAGCGCAAGATAAAAAGGACAAAAAGGAGAAACGTAAGGCAAGGAAACACAAACTCGGCAGCAAACACAATTACCTAGACCCAGACTCCCCCACCCGCTCATCAAACAACAAATCCAACACCAACGACGAAAACCACAACAACGACACCACCCACACCCATAGGAACAACAATAGTAATCCCAACAACCCCAAACAATACGACGCAGGCATCTTCGGCACACTCCTCATCCAACTCATAGTCATATTCACCTTCTGGGCTCTCTTCGTCCTCAACACCGAACTACTCGTGCGATCCAACTCCCCAGGTGGAGACGACGACGGTCGATCACTATGGCAATTCGGTCAGATATTACCGATGTTCCTCATCGTTCTCCCGTTAGTCAACCTTATTAAGGTCTTCCGCGTACATAGGCTGTCGCGGAGGTTCCATCGGAGACGCGTGCATAGGCGACGGACACGGGCGAAACGGCGTGCTGCAGCGGCAGCGGCGGCAAGAGCCTCTGGTTTTCATACAGGTTCGGGACTTGGTGCTGGAGTGGATGATGATAGGACAGAGAGTTTCGGAGGAATCGGACAGACGGGAGGCACTTACGGCCGGAGCAATAATTTCTTCGGGTCTGGAGGACGATTCGACATACCATTCTTCTTTTCACATGCGTTTCGAGGGACCGAAACCACAGCTGGTCTTGGGAATCAACCATCTGCACACATCTCTTTACAGTCGATTCACTCTACTATTGCTAACTCGATAACCGCGGGAAGGGACGAACCTGGTAGTGGTGGTGGCCAGGAGGGTCCGCGTAGACGACTTGATTCCGGTTCTTCGTCGGGATCATCGTCTTCGAGTGCATCTTCGTCCTCGGACGCGCGAAGACGAGAGTGATGTCTTGCTGCGACCGATGTCTTATACCATCTTATACCCAATCATATTTATATTATTCTTGTTCTGTACTCACGCTCGTATATGTATCACACTGTGTTGTATCTGCTTTCGAATGGAAAACTTTCAATTGCATTTGTTCTTTCCCCTTTGTAAACTTTAATACACAGTGAATGTAATGATACGTCAGTTCAGAAACAGTCGGCACACAGGAGACAGCAGGAATGACAGCGAGACAGCAGGACGAGACAGCCAGAAAATGAGGACCAGCATTGTACATTGCTCGAAGGGACGGTGCAGCAAAGAAACGATCCCCAAGCAGCCATTATTCCTTGCCAGGCGAAGCAGAAGAAGAAGCCGTTTCATCAAACGAGAGAGTCCCACGCAACACACTCGCAACCTCGCGTTGCAACCGTGCTAAGTGCTCCACAAGCTCCAGCTCCGGCAACGCAGAGTGATGCAATGCTTGCGTTAACTGTGTACGAAGCTGTTCCAAATAATGTTTCCAAGTCAGAATAATATAGACGAAGATCATTTGTCCAGGTAGAGGCAAAGGAATATGATTTACTCGAAGCATTGCTTTCCGACGAATAGCCACTTGATTTCCTTCACATTGTTGCTTATTATTCGTCTCCATCTCCGAGAGGCGCGAAGAAACTCTCCGAGCTTCCGTAAGAACATCCTCTGGCAAGTCAGCAAGTCGAGCTAGTTCCAGTCCTATTGTTGATGGTTTGGTTAACGTTAGCACATTCAGTTTCACGGCAATATATGGAATAATGGATAGTACCATAATGTTCGATATTGTCTGGGGCACCATCAACGACTCTGAAAAGCAGGCGTTAGTGAGGGATACTCAGAGAATTCATCCTTATTTTACTTGTAGCGGAACGATAATCCCATGCTTGAAGACGAGGGTCTTGATTTCTGTTTGTCTATCCATCAGTCGTGGCAATTTTTTTGGCCTGGGATGATGATGATCCGAACCTGCACTGATAAATGAAGACTGAAGCCGTTGAGTACTAGACCCATACGCAGCGAAAACACAGAACTTACTTGACAACTGACGGCTGACGAGAAAGCGTAACAGCTAATTCGCTAAAGTGTCTGTTGCGGAAATTCATTTACTATCTGCACGTTCGAAAGAGCAGTGGACTATTTACTTACGTTGCGAAGAATACGTATGCCTGCAAAAGTCATTAAAATAATTCGACAAGTCCAGTGAATAAATGACCAACGAACCTTAGATTTACACAGACGTTCGGCAATGGCATGAGCGATGCCTACACCTTCTCTCGGTGACGTGCCACGACCGAGCTCGTCGACAATTATCAATGAATCCCCAGATGCAAGGCCTTGACACGAGAAAAAGACTTCTCAGTTTCTCGGTAGGTCAAGTGATTGGAGATCAGGCTAACCGAGGATCATCGCCGATGAAGACATCTCTTCTGCAAACGTGCTAAGATTACGTTCGATATCGTCGTCATTTGAGAGTCTCGTGAGCAGACAGTCATGGATCCTGGGTTAAGAGAGTTCTATCAATGTGTATGTTTTACATAAAAATTAATAGACTTACTTGAAGCTGGCGTATTCCGCTGGAACAAAGCATCCACACATCGCCATGACGGTCAGAAGCGCAACCTGACGCAGGTACGTACTTTTCCCTTGGGATTCCGCTTCCATGTCACACTCCTACATATAGCCAGAGAATGGACTTACCAGACATACTAAATTTTAATTCGTAAGACATAAAGCGCTGTTCAAATCTTGTACTCACTTCGGTCCTTGGATTAATTGAAAAGACGATGCTTCACAGCAATATACATCATTCGCTACAAGAGCTCCCGCGGACTGCACCTTCTCAAGAGTCGGATGACGACCAGCCTTGATGGCAAGAGTGCCGGTAAATTCCGGCCTCACTGTGATGCAGATAAGTATGTGGGTGGTGTCCACCGAGGACGAAGACATACCATAATTCTGGACTGTGAAGGCCTTTACATAAATTTAAAATGAGAACAGAAGAAGGCAAGACTCACGTATTGATGCATGCACAAAGGACCACAGCATGTCAAGCAACGCAATCTAGAGCCCAGGTGTAAGCAAGAACCTCTTCTCTTCCCTCATTATAGTGATACTTGCCGCTTCAGACGACTTGTACAAAGCACCCGCGTCCACCATCACTTCAGCCACGATCTCCTTGATTGTTCTGGATAGTACTCTGTTATACCTCTGAGGGAGTTCATGCGGAACTGAAAACGCACTTGTCAGTTAGCAGAAGAGTCTCGTCCAAAGCATCCTTCATCCTTGCGTTTCTCTTTTTCTTTAAGAAACCATGAGTTCAGTTAGAATCGTACTCGCAACAGAAGTGACAACCATACCAGATCCATACTCTCAAAAAACCACTTTCCCTTTCTCGCCGTCGCATTAATAAAGCACTTCGGAAGCTCCGTCAATCCCGCCTCTTCAAGCTCGCTGTTCTTCAGTGTGAAGGCAAAACCGTGTTCTTGATGAATAAGTTGTAAGGGAAGACCGTGTTGTTCGCTCAAGTCGCGATTCAACTGGAATATGTCGGATATATTTTCTTTGTACGTCTCACGCGCCACATCGAGAAGGCAATTTTGATTCGCCTACAGCGGCAAGATGTTCAACGCAGTTGACACATCGCTATCGAAATTTCATTTGAGCTCACCTTGAGGGCGTAAACCCGCGCATTCACCGCGGTCAGTCCAGCGCCCTTGCAGAGCATTGACCTACAAATACATGATATCGATGTACAGAAGACATACCTTGTATAACATCGCATCGTCATTCAAACTCCGTGTAATCAAACTCTCTATATGCTCAATCCTTTCGTCGGACAGCATCTAGCAGTAGAAGCTCAGTGAATTCGATCACAATATGATGCCAGTAGTAGCTTGACTTACATCGCACACAATCTCCAACAAGCGGGAGCGACAACCTTTAACCGCATCACGGACAACAGGGATATTCCTAATCACACTGCGCAGCTGTAGCATCTGCGACACGCGCGAAGACGCAGCTTTCGATCCATTCGACGTACGAGCTTCCGAAGCAGCGAGCTACATGACATTCAGTAAGTCAGCGACAAATTATCGAGTATGAAACCGAAATGAGCTGGCTAGGCATTGACCGAAGAAATTAGTTTGTCCAGGTCCAGTTTGTTGACAGTACGAAGCGCGTCTTTAATTGCGGAGAATTTATCTTCTGTTTGTACAAGCTCTTCTACAGCATCCAGACGAGCTTCAATAGCATCATGCGCTAAAAAAAGTGAAGGAATTCCAATCTAGTACCAATGCTCCTCTAATAAAGAGCGGTTCATCGAGAGCATACCAGTAATCGGTGCGAGCAAGTTGACCCTCAGGAGTCTGGAGCCCATAGCAGTCCATGTATGGTTAAGAATCCTAACACAAGTCAGGAAAAGGCGCGCATATATCCACAAATTACCAGATAATCACCCAAACAACGAGTGAGGAGACTTCCTACTGAGCATATTGCCAGCCAGTTCCAAGTTCTTCGCGCTGTCATTGTCTATTAGCATAGTACCTTCTACGGGCGTATAGCGAATCCGAAGAGAATGTGCAGAATAACGAGTATTTAGTCTCATTTCCGCGTACTTGAATAGTGCGCATGCGGCTGAAAGGGCGTAATACCTGCAAAGAAAGAACTGAAGGTTTGACAACAATCCGGCTGCTGCTGTGTCTCGCTCACTTCGATGAAGCAGCTAAAAGAGTAGCAGCTCTGTCTTCGTTGTCGGCACATAGTTGATTTATAAATTGGAGGCCTAGTCCAGTGATAAAAATGTCAAAGGGAATACCAAGCAAAAGTAAGCAATATACCATATTCCTCATTCCAATACTTTCTTAAAACAGGTTCGATAGAGGCGCCCGGGAATTCTTCTTGGATACACTGAACCAGCACAGGAGGACTACTCGTCGATTGCCTTGCCCTCGCAGAAGAGAGCGTCGTAGACGAATCGACGTTAGTCAAGAAAGTATCAGGAACAAGCACAGTTGTCGGGTAGTGCAGATGCAAGTGATGCAGCGTCTTGACATATGTCTGACAATCAGTCAGCTACAGAAACATCAGGAACATTGCTCAGTCAGTCAGACAACGAAGACCCGATAGAGAACAAGTTTCGGTTGCCTGTATCAAGTCCACCTGCCCCGTCTCCTTATCCATAGCAGCAATACCAATCTCACGACCAATTCCACGACACTCAAGTACAGCAACTACAAAAGTACCGTCATGGTGCGACGACGCAGCCGTCGTTGGACGCTGCGCCGCGGTTCCGGGACGCGTCGATTGGGCGGTACGCGGCCGTGATTGAGCTGTAACAGGTCTGGAGAAGGGGATAGATGAGTTTGGACGTGTCGAAGACCAATTTGTTGTTGTTGATGTCGGGCGCATCGTCCCCGGTGCAAATACAGGCATGGTGAGCGTCGGGTGCAAGGACGCGAAACTCGTCACGTTGACGCGACGCGTCCTTATAAACCCAAAAATCACATGTATGCATTTAGTCAAGGTCTCCAATGGTTGTATCGGAACTCTGGTATACAGATGCTGAGTTATACAAGTACAAGAATACAGTAGATCTACATATGTCGTGAGAATTGTAGGATAGTAACAGTAGTATAGCAAACAAACAAAAGTGAGGATAGGCAATGACGACAGGAGCCAAAAATAGGTATACATACAAATGCAACAAAATACAGTGATATCGCAAGGAAAAAATCGTGATACATAACGTCGTTGGGAACTGTCAAGCCTCGAAAGCTTGAAAACCCTCAGAATGTCGTCCAGTCGACCTATGATAGCTTCAGTAATAGGTGATGTCTTCTTCCTGAACACTCGATCCGCTACCAGTCGGAACCTCACTGGAAGACGAAGACGACAACGACGAGCTAATCGACTCTGGGACATCCACAATGAGCTTCGGTAACGTCTTCTTCCTTAACGCTCGATCGACTGCCAGTCGGGTCGTCACCAGAAGATGACGAGGAAGACGAGGAGGAGGAATTAATCGACGGTGCGCCAGCTACAGCAGGAGACCCTACCACACTCAAATCCAAGCTTCCACGCGAACCAGTTCGATCCTCACGCCGATCCTGACCCAGCTGCGAACTCGAATGCACAGAATTCAAAGAAATCCGCGCAGAAGGTTGGTTTCCAAGTGGGTTGTTCGCAGGACCAGTAGCGTGGTGGAAGAATGGAAAAGCGGAGGGGAAGAATCCCATCCCTGGGGTGTGGTGCGTATGTCCGTGTCTATGTCCATGTCCGGTTCCATGCTGATAGTGATGAGGATGAGAATGATGGGAATGAAGGTGATGATGTCCATGCCCGTGTCCATGTCCATGTCCATGTAACACCCTCGGTTTCCTGTGCTTCCTCGTCCTATGATCCCTCTTCCCAAACTTCCACTTCCTAAAAGCCTTCACCAATTGGACAAAAGGAAGCAACACAAGAAACATAGGTAAGATCTGACCAAATCCCCACACGTCGTCCCCACCATCCCCATCTTCTCCACTATTGAAATGATTATACTTGATGACGAGTTCAGTGTTGAGAACGAATAACATCCAGAGGACTACGATTACGATTATCTCGATTACGAGGCTACCTTGAACACCTGTGACGAAGGCTTGTTGCTGTTCTTCAGAAGGAGGGTGGTTTGATTCTGAGGTTGATGAGTTCGCGTAGTGTCGTTCTTTGGCTCCTCTCCTCCTCCTACTATTCCTCTGTCGAGTGCCGGGGTTTCGTCCCCGAGTAGAACTTGCAGCGGTAGCATCAGACGATGACGCCGACGCCGAGATTGACGGTCCCAGATTAACGACACCACATTCCAAATCAGGAGGAAGGAGTTGACTCGTCCTCGCAACAATCATCCCAGGATTACTGGTATCCCTTTCATCCGTCACCTCCTCCCCCGCAACCGCATTCTTCAATTTCGCCTCCTCCCTCGCCTCTTTCTCCTTCTCTTTCTCCTTCTCCACCCTCCTCCTCTCCCTCCTCCTAAAAACCTTATAATAATCCACAACACTCAAAACCGTATAAACACACGTAACACAACACGCAAACACAATCGCAACGACCCTTCCCTTCGGCAACGCCGGAAAATGACTAAAAATCACCCCAACAGCATGGGGATTACACCTCGGAGTCGAGCCAAACGTCCTCGCTGTAATCAGCACCGCAATGATAAACGCAAAAACGATATACGAATGTAGAATCGTTAAAACTTGTAACGTCGTATCGCTCTTGACGAATCGATTATAGGAGGGGAGGGAGAGGAAAATCGCGAGCCAGGAACCGGCGAGGAGGTAGAAGACGACGATAGCGTCTTGTAAACTGATCCCGCGTTGAGCTTGGAAGCCTAGGATGAGAGATGTTATAGCCATTGAGACGTTCGTCGCTATTAACGTGTATAGTGCGCCTGAGATCTCTTCGAGTGATCCTGAGCGCGCAGCAAGGAGAGCTACACGTATATGGGACATTGAATTCTGTCAGTCAGGGTCGAGTCGAGATGACGTATGTAACAAACACTGACCTAGGAAGAGAGCTTGCAGGTAGAAGGAAATGCGTACTCCAGGACCACCGATGTCCGTGTTCATCTACAGTTTTTCCTTCATGTCAGTAAAAGAACAGGCTAACGGAAATGATTCACGTACTTCAGGTCCCCCACCAGAAAGCAAACACAAACAATTCGGGTCAATAGTCGAGTTAAACGCGCACATTAACATCAAGTCAGCATCAGACAAGCTCTCGAGGAAGGTCTCATTAAAATTGGCCGCCATCGCTATCTAAGAATCGACCAACAGACAGCAGGCCTTCAACGGAACGGAAACAAGAACGAGCGGGACCCTCTCCAAGCAGTGGAAGTGTCAAAAGGGATCATAGAGGGACGTGGAGGAAAGGGAAGGAATATATGTATTAGCCGGGGCGCTTTCTTGCACAGGTCTATCAGTCCTTGGTTTTCCTAGCATCATGATGATGGTTAACTCTCAGGGTGTATATTGATTACGTAAATGGAAAGGATTCAAATGTTGCTGCGGTATCAAATGAGGTACAATAGTGCATTACACCCATTAATTTTATTGATACATCCAAGTCATAATAAAAAAGAGAAGGTATAAGATAGGAGTCCGCGAACAAGCCTCGTCAACTGGGGGTAGCAGAATCATCCGGCGGCGTCGTCTCGTCTACCGCCTCGTCTATTTCCGGCTCAAGCTGTGCAGCCTTCTCATCGGCTGTGTAACAACGTAATTCGTCGTTCCATACATACTGGTGTGTCAGTAGGCGTGACAAAGTCTTATACGCCTCGACGTTCGCAAAAGGTACACCAGATCGTGGGTCGCGGTAGATCGCAGTGCTGCCTGTAATTGGACATTTATCGACTGGTCGCGCTAATGAATGAAATAGGATAAATGTGAGTGAGCATTGTCAGATGAGGATAAGGAAAATAACGTACAAAGCGGGCGATGCTTCCCTGTATACACCTTCACCTCCTCCCAATTCACATGTGATCCAAATACCGCTGTCATCGTCTCGCTCCAACCAGGTTTGGGTTGCCCTTCATCCACCCTATGTTCGAGGTAACTCTTGTTTACCTTTTCGGTCTTTGAGGGAGGTGAATGTGATTGAGATTGTGGTAACGTTTGTAGGTTCGTGAAAGGCGAGGTGTAGGAGTCCGGCACGGATGTTGCATCATGTTGTTGTCCGCCTGTACCTGTATTGCTTGATACGTTCTGGGTACTAGAATACCCCTGTGGCCCATTTGCACCAGTAGTAGCATGCACCGCAAACGGCGGCATAGACGGCCCCTCCACAGGTACCACCTCATCCTCCAACTTACTAACCCAACTCAACACAGGACCACTCAACTTCTGCCTAACTACCTTCGCCCGTCTCCTCTTCTCCTCTTCCTCCTCCAAATAATTCCGATGCGAAACGATATTCCCCTCCTCTGTATCAAGCGCCCTCGCCAAAAGCTCAGCCTGGGTGTACATTACTGTTACTTCTTTAGGTCGTTTGGGTAGTAGAGCTCGACGTTCTTCCGCGTCTTTGAGACGCGAATTGAGGATTTGAGAGCTCAGAATCGTGCTTTGTCTTCGACTTTTGCGTTTTGTGAGTGATTCACGGGTGGTGGCGTCAAGTGAGCGATGAGTCGAAGGTCTCTCTTTTCGTTTAGGAATTGACGGTGTTCTAGTCCCTACATCGGCTTTGTTTGACGAGCTAGCTGTAGGAGCGGGTTTTCGTGTTTCGAGAGCTCGAGTTACACGTTGACGCGCTGACTTTAATGAACATGAGCATTCTTGTGGAACAGGTGTAACGAAGGCTATATGAACGTACTTTACGAGCTTGCTTCTCCTCTGCAGCGATTTCCTTCTCCGCCACGACGTCTTCATCTTGTACATCTTCTTCGTCCGTGCTCTGGAAGTCAGAATCAAAGATTTCGTCTTCATCTATTCGTGCATTCTCATTATTACTTTTAATCGTTCGAAGGGATAGAGAGGTGCGTACCTTTAGCATCAGTGAAGTCTTTATCATCCGCCTCTAACTCAGGCTCCGGGTGCAAAGCTGCCATCTCCGCAAGCGCAGCTTCCATCCTACAATCCTCCATGTTACTTTATCAAATCAGATAAAAATCAAAGACAACTCCGCACCTGTTTCCTGCAGTGGCGCGCCTAGAGCGCCTCCGCACGAGTGAATCCTCATCAGCCATATCTACGTCCGTCATCGTGGCGTGCACAGAGAGCGTAAACAGGCTTTCATCCCAAAGGTTGTTGCTGAATTAAGGCAAGTTCGGTCACGTGGCAACCAACGCATTTTCGAGTCTGTCTGAACAACTCCTTCAGTGACCTTCACCTTCAAACCTCTGCTTTCCTCCTTGTTGAGCTGGTTACCTCTAAATATAAGGAAAGGATGCCTCGATCAAAGGCATTGCCAGGTCCCTCACGCCTCTCCCAAATCCTCAAATCCCTCAACCAATCACCCAAACCCCAACTCCCCCCCCTCAAGTCTCTCAAACTCACCCTCGCTTCCCGGAACGACCATTTCGGTGCTCGGTACGCCCTTTCCGCTTTCTCTTTCTGTTTCTAAATTTTTAACTAATTTAACTGTGTTTTTTGTGTGTTTCTACCTTTGCTGTGATTTGGTGTGGTTCGGTATGATTTGGATGGATTAGACATTTCATCAAAGAAGACCTCCCCCGAATACGTTACGCAAACCCCGACCTCGCTATCCAGATCGAGAAAATTCCACGTTCATTAGGTGATAAATGGCCAGCTGAACTGCTCCTCGAATTCAGTACGTCCCTTCCTCTCACAACTTTAACCCAACCATCGTATCCTTCCCTCGTACCCCGATTCCCGATTTACTGAGATTCTTGATTTTTGCTTGACTCGAAAAGAAAACGGCACGAAATCCACCCTAAACGTATCAGACAAATGGTCAACAGCAATCTTTGAGGACCTCATGTCCCGTGCGGGTGGTGAGCGGTGGCAAGCTTTCAAAGCTGAGCGTCGAGTTGCCGGGAAGGAGCCTGTCATTCCAACACCCAAGGTACGGTCTGCACAAGTACCACCGCCGGAAGAGATAGCAGGGAGGAAGGGCGTTGCAGCTGCTTTGCCGTAGTCATTAATAGTAGATGGGACTGTGTTGTGTATCTATCCATAACGGCTTACACGTCAACTAATTTACGAAACACGGGAAAGATTTGATTTGAAGTTGCATGCATAAATAATTGATTCTTGCTTAAAGAAGTTAAACAAGAATGAAGGAATACCCCTACGAACAAAAAGAATTCACAGTACGCTCCTACTACCCCCCACTCACCCAAGCAGCAACCCAAATCAAAACCCCCACACCAACAACAACTCCAGCAACATCATCAAGCAATATCCCAATCATACGTAAATAAACGAGTACGTTCGTGACTAATGACCTCCATTGTGGTGGTAAGATTGGGAGGGCCATCGCTAGTAGGGTTGGCGGTTGAATTGGATCCTAATTAAATAAAAGTTAAATTATTAGTGAAACGTCGAGTTGTGGTTGAAGTTGTAACTTACAGCTTTTGTAAAGAGTTGAATTGAGTGTAGGATTAGCTGGAGAGTTACGAAGGCCCAGAAAAACGGCTACAATAGACATAAACATATACCTCGTTAGAACCCCCACCACACCAAGCAAGCAAGCAAGAAGAAAGAAAACGAAAACAAAAACGAAAGGGGGACGTACAACAGGCTGCACACCAAACGGCCTCCTCGTACTCTTCCACCCCAACTCCGCCCACCTATCCCAAGTACTCAGAGTAGTACTCAAAGTCGCTCGGGAACCATGTACGGAGTCAAACTCCTTAGGCTCCATGAAGAACGCGAAAAACGCGAGTAAGGTCCACGAAGCGAGTAAGTGAAGTAAAGGGCGGAGTTTTGAGTATAACGATCGAGGTCGAGGACCGATATTCATATTCATATTCATATTCATTGTTGTCGGGTCCATCCCTGGGATATTCATATTCATTGCGCCTGGACCACCCATGTTAGGAGGCGCTTGACCAGTCATTTGAGCAAGAGCGTTCATTAACGCGGCCATCGGGTCATCTGGAGCTTCAGAGCCTGGTTCAGTTGGGGCACCAAAGGGATGTGAAGGTGCGGAGCCAGGTCCACTGCTGCTGCGATCTGGCGCAGACATGAGCGCACGCATGAATTCTTGTTGTTGCTCTGTGGTCCAAGCGGAAGGACCAGATTCATTTTGGTTGGTTGCACCAGCGTGAGGATGTGAAGATGCGGGAGGAGCTGGAGCGGGACTAGGACTCGGACGAGCAGGTGGAGTTGGCATGATCGTTTCTTCGCCTACGAAAGTCTCTGTTGTAGGTGCTTTTCGTGGTGGTACATCTATCAAGGTTTTCGTTTTATCAGAAATATATCTACTATATACGTGTAATCGGATGTACTCACCGACATGAGCGTACACAGGATTATCCTCACCCCGCGCAGAGTTCGTAAGCCTGTTCAACCTATCATTGCCTCTGCTTAGGATTGCTTTTCTACGCGCTTCTGCACGAGCCGCCGCTGAGGACATTTTTTTCCTGGAATCCTATGTGTAGGTTTCGATAATGTAAGTGGATGAAGCGAAAGTACAAAGTGCAGCGCGTTCGTATCCGAGTGCTTTCGTCACACCTTGTCCTCGCGTGTCTTGCAAATCTGTGAAATCTGATCTCCCGTGCCGCACACTGCCGCCGCCGCACCAGTTCTCTACCTTCTCTTCCTCCAACGTTCATCACCTCACGAGTCCATCAACGACAATGGCGTATAGACAAGACAAGGCCACGACGGAAAAGCACGCTCGCATCTTGCGCGAGCTCGTAAAGCAGCCAGGTAACAAGACTTGTGCGGATTGCAAAAGACAAGGTACTTCTCACAAATGCCTACTCGACGAATGTAAACTCGTAATGACATTACTATCTGACTTCAGATGCTCGCTGGGCATCATGGAACATGTACGTCATATACCTTCACTACTATCCTACGCCACTCTGATGAACTGAAATTTCCGTATTTATTTGTGCAGAGGTGTATTCATCTGTATCCGTTGTTCTGGCATCCACCGGAGCATGGGCACACATATCAGTAAGGTCAAATCGGTTGACCTTGATACTTGGAATCCAGAGCAGATGGAGGTGAGTAACTTATTTCGTTGATATGCAGCTAACAGTAATTTGATACGACAAAATTGTACAGTCCATTCAAAAGTGGGGTAACCATCGTGCAAACCTGTATTGGGAAGCACATCTTCGTCCAGGACACGTTCCTCCAGAACAGTAAGTACACACCCTAACCATTTTCTAAAGAGTTCATATCCACTAACCCATAATTCGTTCTAGTAAATTAGAATCCTTCATCCGATCAAAATACGAATCCAGACGATGGGCTCGAGACGGTCCCCCTCCCATCGACCCATCAATCCTCGAAAGTGCAGAAGAAACACTAGCGCAAGCCAGCACCATTACTCCCACCGATTCTCCTGTACCTATCCAAGGAGGTGTAGCTTCCCCACCACCAACCTCTCTACCAGTAACCTCCCGTCAACCTCAACCTCACCGTCTACTCTCAGCTTCTATCGCTGGTCGTCCTCCAGCCGCTCAACCTGTCCAAGCCACTGTTGCTGCACAACAACCGAAAGCAACAGAAACGGAAGCGACGAAACCTGCGGCGTCTGAACCGCAGAACGACCTATTCTCTCTCGACTTCCACGCTCCCACTCCACCAGCCTCACAGCAGCAAGCACCGAAGAAAGACGTCAAGAACGACATCCTCTCCCTCTTTTCCTCTTCCACACCCTCATCAGCCACTGCCCCCTCAAACGCCGCCTTTGGGCAATTCAGCACTTCCTCCGCCTCTCAATGGGGTCAACCTACCCAGGCAGTAGCAGCAGCTGCCCAGCAAACTCAACCACAACCACAATCAATATCAATGATGGGAACGACAGGTACTGCGATGTGGGGTGCTCAATCTGGCTGGGCACCCCCGGCTGCACCTGTCCAGCCTGACGTTTGGGGTGGTTTCCAAACTTCACCTACTCCTAACACCGCGACTACTGGTGTGGTGGCACCCGTAGTTACTCAGCAGAATAGCACGCAAAGCTTGTTTGAGACGCAGAATGTTTGGGGTGCGAATCCTACCGTCGGGAATGGTACGGGTAAGAATGACTTATTTGGTGGAGCATCGTCGTTCTCTGCTGCGCCTGCGACGAGTACACAGAAGAAGGACGATGTGTTTGGGGATTTGTGGGGTGATTTCAAGTAGTGGTGTTGTAGAGTATATTCTTGTTTCGTTTGGCATACGTATACATATACAGTTTGATTTCTTCATCTTAACTTTACATATAGTATGATATACTTCGTCCGTCTGATCATATCGTTTACTCGATTCGTTATCCTAGACAAGCCCAAGATCCTACAAAGCATCAGCATATATAAACATTCAATATTCATAAGTAAACAAAAAAAACATCCTCACCTTCTCAATCAACCTCCTCGCAATCGGATGAAACGCCCCCCTCCACCTCCCAAACACACTCCTCGCAACCTCCTCATCCGCACGACTCACAGCCCTGAAAACAGGTCTACAAAACTTCATCCTTCCCTTCAACACACCACTTCCGTCTTCTCCTACAATCCACTTCGCAGCTTCCTGCGCAATGATTTTCGCGTTTTCTGGTGAAGCTTCGGGGTGGAGAAGTGCGAGTTCGTAGAAACGATAGCGGATTTCTGTGTTTTGAGTTGAGCGGAGGGAGTAGAGTGTGCTGAGGTGGGTTAGGTGCGAAGGTGGGAGTGGGGGGTAGATTTGGAGACGTTCGAGGAAGACGACTATTTATTGTTACAACGATAAGTTAGTAGCCTATTTATTTGCGTTCGAGTGAATGATTAAATATTTACTTTTCTGGTTGGTATCGAAGTTCTCGAGGTCGCTAGACTTGAAGTCGAGGGTTGAGACGTCTTTATCCCTTGAAGAATCCCAACGCGCTGCTAGTTCGTATGCTTGTTGTGCGAGTGTTGTGTCGTACTCCATCTCTACTGGGAGGGTTAGGCCTTCGCCAAAGAACCATCCCTAAATGAATTCCTAAATACAACTTAGATGTACCTAAAATGAACGAACTTACGTTCCAATCAACGCGATCGAGTACTTCTACTTTACTGCTATCACGCTTACTCCAGTAGGCGTACAGGTGCTTCTTCCAGGTATCTGTATCGATACTTTTGCCCATGAAGGTATTGACATAGTCCCTTATGTATGGCAGAAAGACGTCAAGTCCACCGAGTACCCTCTCTAGAAAAAGTTTAAATTCACATCGGTTAATTTCTTCCATTGATCAGCTGCTAATGGATAGGTCAGATCTTACCTAGATGCAACAAAAGGTTCGACCCCTTCTCATACGGCACCCTACTATACGCGTCATCCGGGTCTTCACCCTTCTCAAAATCAATAACCATGCGCTGGTACCTCGGCCTCGTCGCGAATTCTTCCAAAGAACGCAATAGGGCTTTATATCCGATCAAATATGAGAATCCGCGATGAGCTGGAGAGTGTAGGACCTGTTGAAGGAGTCGCTCGATATATGTTGTCCATCCTTCGTTTAGCCAGAAATGGGATGCATGGGTGTGCCTTCAATGAAACATCTGTTCATGAGTGACTGTATGCACGTCTCTCAGAGATGTGTTAGAGTTGGACGGTACGTACGTGACGCCGTTTCCGAACCAAGAATGTGTTAGTTCGTGGACTACTACGTCGACTAGTGTTCTATCCCCAGTTAAGAGTGCTGTTAATGATTGGTTAGAGAATCGGTCAACACGATATCTATTATACTGAACCCTCACTTGGAGTGAGAAACGAGAGACAAGCATTTTCCTTTATCTAGGTCACTCTATTATATCCATGAAAATCAAGATAATGACTCACCATGCCACCATAAGGAAATGACGGCGGAAGGACAAGAAGGTCATAAACACCAAATTTGTATGGTACAACTATCTTTTCCTCCGCTGCAAGGAATCTATTCGTATCTGCACTGAATTCCCAATACGCAGCGTCAATCAACTCAGGCTCGGCCCAGATTCCACTTGTCCAGTCTTTTCCCCGTTCTCGTGGGAAGGGTCTGAAGCGAACATCACCAGAGGCAATCGCAATGAGGTAGGAAGGGATCGGTGTAGGCTGTGGAATAGTATAAGAACGCGTTAGATTACTCCTCGTCTTCCGTGATATTTGTGTCGAAAGTGCAGACTTGGTTGTAGGAATAGGTCACGACATCCTTCCCTATTACTTTGCCATCGTGAGGAGGGCCCTGCGGAGGTGGAGACACGCGGATAGCTGACATCAGAACCGGCAGCACCGAAGTAACTTTCGCGCTGTATGTCTATCATATTGTAAGAGTCGTATTTATGAATACTGCGTATTATGACTCTTACAATCTTGAGAGACGGAGTATCTAGACGAAAGAGCAAACGTTAAAGCAAAGACTATGGACTAAATTTGAACAGAAGACCTTGCAAGGGAGCCATGGTCCGAGCATATATAGGCTGACACTGGCTGAACAAATATGGGAACTTCTTCCCTTGAGTCTGACTATATGCATCTGAAATAAGATCGTTATTTTGTAGGCGAACGTGTGGATTACTACTCTTTATCCAGGAACTGGAGAGCTACCGCATCAGCAGCGGTCTTATACGTTATCTTGACCTCAACATTTGCGCCTTTGTGAATTGGCTCAGAGAATGGGATATGGAGAGCTGAGCCCATAACTAGATGCCTTTCGTCCAGCTTGAACTGTATTATAAGCAGGCATCAGTAAATATCTCCTTGGTCGAGGACGAGGGATGAACAAGGCTTACCAGAACTTCATTTCCTGCTACCTCAGTTGATATGATATCCAGTCCTCCAGAATCAAAACTACATAAGCGAGAACAAAGTGTTGTCAAAATATATAAGAAAGTCCCTATGTGAGCGAATAATGACTAACACTACTTCTTTTACTTCTTCATCTATGATGGTCAGCCTATGCGTTGCAGAACCAGAGATAATCTTCTGATTGAAATCTAGTGTCCAATCCAGGGCAACATGTTGAGTAGCAATAGAAAGATAATTTGATTGAGTTGCGGGATCAGCCATGATGATGGTTCAAAGAAGACAAGTAGTCGTGAGAAGAGTGATCGACATTCCAAAATACCTTGATAAATGGAATAAATTTCCTGTTAGAGAAGTAGGTTGTTCCTGTTTGGTTTGCATACTCTTGGCTGGTCGAAGAAGGCTTGACATTGTCGCCCCAGTTAGAAATTTCTCAGTATCAAAATTCATACTACAAATGAACAAGAGAGACGAGGACAGAGAAAGAATTGGGAAAGCAGAGCCCTGTTGAATCTTAAACGACTTCTTACATTCTTTGAGTGCACTGGCAGGTGCACGTTTTGATACGTGTTGAGGGGGCTCGGGGTATTTGACGACTTCGCTGGTAAGGGGCTCGTATGGAGGTCGGACACAATTGCTGTGTGAAAATACCTACAGACTATTTGGCAAGATACTGATTCCATACAACTAATCATTTTAACCAATCATTCTACTAAATCATATGTAGTTCTACTTTCTAATACATTATTTAATCTACAGACTTCGCTGCATCACCTTCATAGTCAACGTGTGCCTCACTTCCTCGCACTCCTTTCCAAAGTACCTTGGCGTGCTGAAGCACCAAACTATGTATCCATACACCTGTTGCTCCATCCCGTATATGTACTTGTGAATGGCATCATCAACCTCCGGACCGAACGAGCGAATATTCTGCTTGCACGAATCAACGATTTCTATGAGCTTCTTGTAGTGGTCTGTAACGAAATCCACAGCTTCTTGTGGCGAAATAGCCTTCTCGTGCTTGATAGTCGTGATAGCATTGACTTGCTCGATTCCGTCGGCAATCTCCATGGGGTACGAGTATATGTCCTATTATAATAATGAAATTAGCTTGTGAAATGCCATAAGTGTTATACTGCACATTAGCCAAGCATATCATGTCGTTCATGGAACAATGTAAAAGCTGGAAGTTTGGGTCTTCAAAAACGTCTGCAGGGACTCGGAGTGTAACTCCAAGCACTGCCTCAATGAGGTCAAAGGTAGTCTGGGCACCTCCGTTGTCGCGTCGCAGGTGAGTATATTCCTCGAAGGACGGTATCTTGTTAGTTGCACGCCAGCCTGCCTCACGCGTGCAGGCATCGATATATGCACTGCAATGGGTCACAAACCTCTCGCGGACTTCTGGAGAAGCAATTCGAGAAAGGCGTGCCATGAAACTATGCAGGAGAAGTTTAGAGATTGATAATATATATCTATGCATGCCTGACGTACTCTTTAGTGAACAATGCTATTGGGGAGTTGTCATTGCCAGACACTCCATTGAGCGCATTGACGAATATATCGCTAGTTGCCTTGGCTCCATCTTGATCCTGAAGGTCTGTAAATTCGTCCAGGGCAAAGAGAATCATTACAAAGTCGGTAACAATACGCAGTGCCTCAGCATCGGCATAGGGATATGTATATGCGCCAAAGAGTTCAATATTAATGGTGTTCAGTCGATCGCGTCTATGGTCGGAAAAGACACCATATTTGAGCATCCATTCTGTCGATTCTTTCTTTTCAGAGGAGTAATGAGGGTTGCCTTTATCCCAAGGAAAGGGAGTCAGCAATAGCAGGTCTGGGATAGCAAGCTGAGTGAATTGGTCCATGTCTGAGGGATTGACAGGTTCTGAGACTTTCTGTGAGCAGAGTCTCTGGCTTTTATACAATTCTTACATGTTGGACTGGAAATCATGATCATCCTTTCAACGTCTACTGGAGCGAATCACTTACCAAGTTTGTTCCGTCCTTTTCCTAAAGAAAATTGTATCCTTGTTATGATGTCTTATAACTTCCCCCCAAATCAAAAGTCTCTTGTAAACGTATCATTCTGTACCATGAGTCCATGAGTAAAATTTCGTACCAGTCTAGACCAGAATATAAAATTTACGGATATGGTTTGCAATGTACAGTACAAGCTTTTCGTTGTATCTTGTGATATTGTCCACTGCTTCTTGCAAGATAAGTCTCATATGCATGTCCTGGAGTGTACGGCCATGGCACTACATCCTTTGCCTCCTGAAATGTATTCTTACTGCATGGATGAGTATCCCATATAAATCAAAAAGTTCAATAACAGCATGAAATATTGAATTTCAATACTTACTTTCAGCTAGAGAAACAAATCTACTGCAGCAAGCCACATATCCCGAGAATCCAGGGTTAATGGAGCAGTAATATGAGCGCTCTTCAACAAGATTGAGATAATACCGTAATCCCTTGTCTCTGTAACAATTACAAGAATAGTAATATCATTGGTGGAGAGCGCCTCATTCTTGCTCGTTGCTCAGGAGCAGCACCTTGAAATGGCAGGCTTAACATACAAGATACAGTGTCTTGCAATGCAGTCAGTGTACTTCTTTTCAGCAGCATTCCAGAGGCACTTTTTGTGAGAACTGGTCAGTTAGAGTAGTCACAGACTAGGGTGTAAGCACGTGCTTTGTCTTGTACTGACCGAACAAATTTATAATATATAATATATTACTCAGCATGATAGTGGGTCCCTGATGAATCGAGCAGTTGCTATTCGATGTGTGTGCTGGAATCAGCGCTCAGCGGTTGAATTGCATTTGACTTTAGGTGATTTTGTCCAGTGTGAGAATATTCAATCATTACAGTATAGAAATTGTGGGCAATAAATGAGCCCATTGGAGTGGGCGCTCTGCTTTATATTCACAGTTGGTTATCCTATATATTCAACGCTCTCTTGTCTCAGGACTGAATCAGGTTCATCAGAGAAAGGTACAGACAATTGTATTCAAGTCCATTCATAAGACCCTAACGAAACAACATGAATTAAACAGCGTTTGTCCACTCGTCCATGTATGTATTCCCTATTCAACTCATATTTCGAATTATACCATTGTATCACAGTAGATATATTCAAAAACAAAGCTTTATAGGAAAAGTCTTCCATGTGTTAGATTGTGCATCTAGTACCTGTAATCTATGGTTTCACTAAAGATATCTTACCCGAATGCACTGAAAATTTATGCAATTCCAATCAATACCGGATCTGACTTCCGAAACAAAATAATACTTACCAGAGTAATAGGGCGCGTTGAAGGTACTGTCAATGTTGTCTGACTGGATGAATCACTATGATAACCCAGTAAAATCTGATCTAGCAAGTAGCTAAATAGATCCGTCACGTTAGAAGCAGACCTTGCACTGTAGAATCGGTGGGCTGGATGACCGAAAGCCTCGGCTCTTGTAGTGTTGAGCATGGATATGTCTTTATTGATTTGGGAACTGATCTCAAGTAGCAACGTTGTAGAAAGCGCATTCTCATTTATCTTGATATCCATACACACTATAAATCCCTTCTTTCACTTACAGAACGTCTGCGTGAGTGTCTTGTGTACTTGGCATTTTGTAAGGGACAATTCCAATATCCTACAAAGTGTCCGTGTGAATAAGCACTTCTCTTCGCTAGGAGAAGAGTGTAGGACCATTTGTTCTTACCTTCTCAATCAACCTGCGCGCAATAGGATGGAACGCAGACCTGTATTTCATAAACGTACTCTTCGCAACCTCAGGATCGGCACGATTCACGGCACGGAAAACCGGTCTGCAGAACTTCATCCGACCTTTGATGATACCCGTTCCGTGCTCTCCGACAACCCATTTAGCAGCCTCCTGAGCAATAGCCTTTGACTCTTCCGGTGCGACCCCAGGATAGAGCAGAGCTAACTCGTAGAACCGATCGCGGATTTCAATGTTTGAGGTCGTGCGGACGCCGTATAATGAGCCGAGGTGAGTAATGTGCGAACTTGGAAAAGCCGGGTAGTTTTGGAGGCGCTCAAGGAAGACAACTATCGTAACAATAAGTTAGGGGTTCCGTATGCACAGTGCAGATATATACTTTTCTGGTTGGTGTCGAAACCCTCGAGATCGCTAGACTTGAAGTCAAGGTTTGACACGTCCTTATCTCTAGAGGAATCCCAACGAGCGGCCAATGCATAAGCTTGCTCTGCAAGCGTAGTATCATACTCCATTTCAACTGGTAGAGTGAGACCTTCTCCATAAAACCACGCCTGCATGCATGATATGTGTCAGTAGCTTTGCGTGAAATGGCTTAATGCTCACATTCCAGTCAACGCTATCAAGTGCCTTGACTTTCTCTGCACCACCATGCTTGCTCCAGTAGCTATACAGATGATCTTTCCATATAGCAGCGTTTATGCTCTGACCCATGAACGTATTGACGTAGTCTCGGACATATGGAAGGAAGACGTCCAAACCTCCGAGAACTCGTTCTGCAGTTTAATAAATAGTCAATCAACTAGTAAGGACTTAAAGTATCCAAAACCCTACCCAAATGTAAAAGCAAGTTGGCACCCTTCTCGTACGGGATGCTACTATATGCATCATCCGGATCTTCTCCGACCTCGTAATCTACGATCAGTCTCTGATATCTTGGCCGGTCCTCATATTGCTTGAGTGCATCTTCCAGGGCTTTGTATCCAATAATGAAGGAAAATCCGCGATGTGCAGGCGAATGAAGGACCTGTTGAAGTACGCGCTCGATGTACGTAGTCCACCCTTCATTAAGCCAGAAATTTGATGCGTCCTGATGACTTTAAACTAGTCTGAAAAGTGCAAAAATATCCGGCGAGGTAGAGTACGTACGTGACGCCGTTTCCGAACCAAGAATGTGTCAGCTCATGAACTACTACATCTACAAGCGTCCTATCTCCAGTCAGGAGGGCTGTCATAATTGGTTATGGAAAATTACCATCATAATATCTAAGAACACTCACTAGGAGTGAGGAACGAGAGACAAGCATTTTCCTGCATCTGATTTAGAGTACTTATTTTCATGAAAATTGAGGGTGTGACTGACCATGCCACCGTAAGGGAAGGATGGAGGAAGGACAAGAAGGTCATAAACACCGAACTTGTACGGGACGACTATCTTTTCTTCCGCTGCGAGGAACCTATTCGTATCTGCGCTAAATTCCCAATATGCAGCGTCGATTAACTCAGGTTCAGCCCAGATTCCACTTGTCCAGTCCTTCCCCTTCTCTCTCGGGAACGGTCTGAAACGAACATCGCCAGAGGCAATCGCGATGAGGTAGGAAGGAATTGGTGTAGGCTGAATAAAGGAAAGAATGCGTTGGTTCACTCCCAAAATTCTATGATATTTTATGTGGAAAGAACGGACTTGGTTGTAAGAATAGGTCACGACGTCCTTCCCTATAACCTTGCCGTCATGAGGAGGTCCTTGTGGCGATGGAGACACGCGGATAGCGGACATCAGGACCGGAAGTACTGAAGATATTTTCGCGCTGTATGTCTGTTAAACTGTAAGAATCATATTTATGTAGACCATAGATCACGATCCTTACGATCTTAAGAGAAGGAGTATCTAGACGAAGAGCGAACGTCAATCTAGATACTGTTATCGAAAACCGAACAAACGACCTTGCAAAGGAGCCATAGTCCGAGCATGTATGGGTTGACACTGGCTGAACAGATACGGAAACTTCTTCCCTTGAGTCTGCCTATATTCGAGGAGATAAAGATGTAAATTGTAGTTAAGGTATTAAATGTATGGATTTGTTACTCTTTATCGAGGAACTGCAGAGCTACTGCATCAGTAGCGGTCTTATATGTTATCTTGACCTCGACATTTTCGCCTTTGTGAAGTGGCTCTGAGAACGGGATGTGGAGGGCTGAGCCCATAACTGGATGTCTTTCGTCCAGCTTGAACTATATATGCGTAGGTGTTAATAGATTTATCTCTTTTAACAAGAATGAGGGGTGAACAAAGCTTACGGTAACCTGGTTTCCTGCTACCTCGGCTGATGTGATATCCAATCCTCCGGAGTCAAATCTACAGAAAGATAAAATCAACTCATTATCAGAAACATATGAGAAATTCTCCGAAATAAACGACTAACACTACTTCTTTCACGGCCTCATCTATGACGATAAGCTTATGCGTCGCAGAACCAGAAATAATCTTTTGGTTAAAATCTAACGTCCAATCCAAGGCAACATGCTTTGTAGCGATCGAAAGATAATTTGATTGAGTCGTAGGGTCAGGCATGATCACCGATGATGGTTCAAAGAAGACAGTCAAACTAGTCGCGGAAGTTGTGCTGCTCTGCTAAAAGTGATCGACGCTCGCATATTTTCATTCATACACAAAATATTCAGAATAATCTTCCTTCACTATGTGTCTACATTCATCAAGCGACACTTGACTCAGGGAGATGAATGCTGCAATCCAGTGTGGTTTATTTGCTGCCAACAGATAATACAATGTGCTCCATGTCCCAACTAAGTGACTAAGGAATAATTTATGCCAAGTTGAGAAGAAGGATACTAAGTGAAAGATGCTAAGGCTACATATACTCAATTCCGTATAATATACAATCCATGCCTGAGATGCAATTGCCCCCAATTTCCGTTTACGAGCAACTTGTGTCATCGAAGCTTCCTCTGCTCAATCTGTGCGTTAGGTAAGGCCTTGCACACTAGGCGCATGAAGCTCAACACGCACCTTGGGTGATGCAAAATGCTCTGCTTCGTTCCGGCGTTTTTTGAGAGAGTACTCGTCTGCAAAAGTCTGGTCCTATACATATAACAAAGGTAAGAACACAACCAGGATCGATGGATAGAAATAATAACACTTACCGGTGTAGCAGGTCCCATCGAAGGTACAGTCAAATTTGTCTGACTGGATGATAATCCAGTCAAATTCGAGCTAGCAGAATAGCCAAACGGGTCTGTGAAGTTTTGAGGCGGTGTCTGCACTTTAGTAGACTCGGTGGTGGGCTGTATAAACGAAAGCCTCGGCTCCTGTGGCGTCGGGTACGATACAGCATGATGATCGATCCTAGGTCTCAAAGGTGTGGGAGCCATCCGTAGGGATGTTGCAGGAATGTGGCGTTGCATCGAGGTACTGCGCACAAGGCGTTGGTTTTGTAGCGACGGATCGGTCCCGCGGGGAATGTTGAATGACTGCATTTGATCAAGCCCCATTAATGGGTAATTACTCGCCATAGCGTCTGGTCTGAGGTTCTGCGAGCGGTCCATGAGAGGCATAGGCATCTCGATGACGGTCTGATGTTGCGGTGCGTCATCCTGGCGGTAGATAGAGGAGGAGCCCGCAACAGCACGCAAATTCTTTTCTACTCTTCGTGAACTTTGTCGGACTGAAGCGACTGGAGACAAATGCTGCTCCCATTCCGACTCGAATTTACGTGCGCTGCGAGAAGGCGACAAGCCGCTTGGGTCAATAATCGCTTCTTGTGGCCTTGTCTGACTAAGTCGAAACACAGCAGCCTGTTCTGCTTCCCATTTGCTGATCGCCCGCTCCCGCTCCGCGAACATGGACCAACGACATGCTTCTGCATAGTTCTGCTTTTTCTGTGCATCTGCCATGTTCTTCAGGCACAATCTGCAAAGCGTCATTCATTCTCCGTTTCAGCATGTCATTTCGGGATAGTAACATGGAAGACTGACTGCTCAGCAGATGGATAATCCGTAGCAGGTCTACGAGGCGTCCTTGGAGGACTTATAGGTCCCGCCGTTAGTTGTACAGGATGTCGCGCCTGGATTGAACGCCAATGCAAGCCCTTAGCCTGTTCGATGTTGACCTTCAGACCAAGACTCTTGGCCCGGCGTTTGGCAACTGGGGCTTCATGCTTGCCCAAATTCATCTCCTTCGTCTTGTCCACCAACTCGTCGAACACCGCACGAACTCGTGTAGGTGAACGGGAGTAGTCTGTCTCGAATGGGAATGGATACTTGACTTGTGGCTGGTATACTATTGGAGAGAAGGGAGGAAACTCTTGCTGGACTGCCTCGCCTGGCGTTGAGTTCATCATGTCGTAAAGTATGAAGGGTGGCGTCGGTAGAAAAGAACACCAGGTTCAAGTCAATCCAGGATGGCAAGCAAATGACGGACGAAGGACAGAAAATATTCGAGTCTAGAGTAGTCTACCAGGCAGGGTATCGCGAGACCGAGAAAAAGGAACAGGGGAAGCAGAGCGCGTGCAAAGCGAGTGCCTCAAGAGCTCGGAAAAGGACGTCAGAGACTTTTATCTACCGGAAGGCCTCTGAAGCGAAAGGAGCTTGGTATACGCCGTCGATGTGGCACGCAGAGGGAACGAATTGATTATTGGATATAAGCATTATTATTCGGGGCAATAGCTTTGCGGCGTCGTATTACACAGGCAGATATAAGTAGGCAGAATGATGCATGCGTGACCTAGAGGTTTGCGTCGGACTCTGCGACCATTTTCACGCCGTTGCATGTGGATTTTTATGACTTTTCCAGAGGTCCACACCGAGAAATATACGTTGGAGTGAAGATATTGGAGCAACATAAAAGCATGGAAACTGTAATCGCCATCGACTCTGCTTGGAGAAGGGATGGAGTAGCACGGCAGTGATCCTGAATGATTATTACACTGTTACAGTGGCGAATGCCCATAATAGGAAAGATCGGCGCCTACTACCATTCCGTGACGTCCAAATTTTGTGCCACTCGCCACTTCCGCCGTATCAAGTGCTTCGAGTCCTGTATCCCGAGACGTCATCGTAAGGGTTTCTGAATACACCTTAGTCCCTAATGGCCAAATCCGCACACAAAATTGGTTAGCCGAACTTGTTCCTTGTTACGGTCGTCTCTGCTCACTTCAATGTGTTTGATACGTTTCCAATATTTCAGGTTCTTTGCTGTTCTGCCCGGATTGTGGGACTTTGCTAGACTTTCCAACTGCCGACGCCGAATTCATTCCTTGTGAACAATGCGGCTTCCAAGAGAAAGCCTCAGGTGCGTATCTAACATGTTCCGCAAAATGCACTTCGTTTAATGCAACTCCCCTAATCAATTTGACTAGCTTATGAGAACATTGTGATCACGACACGCTCGCACCTAGATGCGTTTCCATCTGTCCTCAGGCAAAAGCGAAAGACTCAGACAAAGATTCATGAAAGCGGCGAGACGCGCATGATTGTATGCAACATTTTCATTCTCAAACCTCGCTTCTATTAATTACCATTCAGGTCAATGAACAATGTCCGAACTGCGGCCATGATGAGGCATACTCGGAAGAAAAACAGGTAAGCAAGCTCAGGAAACCCGTGGCAATACACTAAACCCTTTTGACAATAGATGCGAAGTGCCGACGAGGGCTCGACTATCCTGTACACTGTTCGTATTGATTTCCATCCTCGGCCATAACATTTAACCAGTATTTTGCGAACCTAGTGCGTTTCTTGCAGACATGGATGGCGGTTGAACAACTGAATGAATGATTTATGACGTTTGTGAGGATCGGATTCATTCTTTCCATACTTCGGCAACTCGGTTTGAATAGCCGTTTTCTGCCAAGACCCTCAACAATGCAACAATGCGTAGTATTACGGCACGGGATATACGCATGCTCATACATAAACGCCGACTGAACAGAAGAGTGCGACTATGCCGAAGCCGGCAAGAATACTCGCGGTAGACGCGACTGCAATCTCGCGCAGGGGCATGCTTGATTTTGGGAGTCTAATTGGCGCGTAGAGAATCAGCTGAGGCACATTGCATGTACTTGGACGTCATGACGCACGTTGAAAAATAGAACGCTAGAATAAACGTGGCTGCCAGGAGGAAGAAGGCGAGGTACGGCAGCAGTCCTTCCGAGATATAGGGAGAGAAAGCAGGTAGAGTCCTGTGTAAAGACTACAGGCAAAACATGAGATTTAGTTCACTTATTAGCCGGAACAGCAAGCATGCTAACACACCTGGATGTTCCTGTAAAGCTGAGTGTCCACTGTCGCCATGGTGGGATGTAGGTAGTGTAGAGCACGATGGCAGAGAGTGTAATTTACGCGCAGTCGTGCCTTCGTGGCAGAAGCGCGTCTGCACTCACGAGCGCGGGTCACGTTGCTCGTGGGAGAAAAGTGCGGAGTTGGAAATGGCAAGAGGTGACGTGCGACAGAAAACGACGTCTTGCTCCCTACGAACGCTCCTCACACGATTGTATCACGACTCACTCCCGCCTACGAATTCGTCTTAGATATTTGAACGGTCAGTCCTTGCTGTTGTGCATTTAATTCTCCTCGTTGCCCTCTGTTCTGACGTGGATCGGCCGCCGCGTGTAGATGTCAGCTGCGCAGAAAGTACAGCAACATCCGGCTTTCCAGCAGGCCACTGATAAGGCCAATTACTATGTCAGCCAGCTCGACAAGGAGGTGCGTGGTGACGGAAATAATAGCCCTGGGAGCAATACTCAAGTTGCTGGTGACAGTTGTCGAAATATCCAGTGTTGCAGAACTTTGAGCAGCGAACTCAGGTGCCGAAAACCTACGCCGTCATTGGTTGCGTGGCGCTCCTGAGTCTCCTGTTGCTCATTAACGCGTTCGCCGCGCCCGTGTCAAACCTCGTTGGCTGGCTTCTTCCTGCTTATCTCTCCTTCAAGGCAATCGAGAGTCCTTCGGCGCAAGATGACGTGCAATGGTTGACGTACTGGGTTGTCTTCGGGTTCTTTAACTTCCTTGAGAGCTTTGCACTTCGTCTTGTGTTGTATTACTTCCCATGGTACTTTGCCTTTAAGACCATCTTCGTTCTCTGGTTGCAGCTCCCTGCTTTCCGCGTAAGTCTTATCAGCAGTCTTACCTTCCGGCGATGTCGTCATCTGCTAACCCCTTTTTATTTTCTCTCTATTTTCTTACGTAATCAACAGGGTGCACAAACCACGTACCACGCTGTGTTGAAGCCGGTGCTCACCAATGTGTCCTCAAAGTCTTCGGCGTTGTATCAGCATCAGCAACCGACGACCGCGTCCGCAGACGGCATTCGTGACCGTGTTAATACTGCCACAGTCGACTAAAGCATGGCGTATTGTTCCGAGCGAGCCGACACCTTTGATTTCAGAGTTGAGGCACAAATGTAGACGTTTCAATTCACGCATAATGCCTTCTTTCTTCCTCTTCTTTGCGTTTCTTTCGAGTCCGAGACCTACAATTTTATTCAATTATCGAGTTCTAATGCAAAACGATAGGCTAGCGTCGGAGTTTACGAATCTAGTTTCTGCTTTTATTCCCGAACGTATGCCATTGTTTTTATTGGAGCTGTACAGTTCTTCTATTTGAAACGAAGCCATGCGTTACGACTAGCTAAAGATGCGTCGGGTGCGACGTGTCAGATGCGTGAACGATCGGGAGCACGTACCGAGATTGTTGATAGTTCGATGTGATCGGCGCATGGACATAGAAGTCCAAGGCGCGGTGCAAAGTGTGAAATTTGACGACTCCGAGCCGATTCGGGACGCCTTGCTGGCAATGGTCGGCTACCACGGGCTACGCGTAAACTCAATCAAATCCACCCCTGTGTAAAGCACCGTTAAGCATTCATATATGGAAGGAAGGAGATGATGCGGGCGGCGGTTGCATGTGGTGTTTTCTATCAGGTGCTACTTATCGGTCCCTTACACAGCGCGTCCTGAGAAATTCCGTCCCGTCTTCTTCATTCTTGAATTGCTCCGGAATCTATCCCCACCGCACCTCGGCCAGGACACGTACGGCATATAAAATGAAACGCGTCCCGCTACATGTCTTCTCTTGACGGTCAACATATCCCCGCCTCCTCCTCTCTTCAAATAGCTCGGTTCTCGTCCGCGCCGTCGTCCTCCTCTCCTTCAGTTCTTCCTCTGCTCTCCTCTGCCTGTCATGGCTAGTAACGACATTGAGAAAACGAGCTTCAGCGAGGATGGCGAGCGCAATAACGCCGTCGTACCCCAATACACTGGCCTCAAAGGGGTCTACTATAAGCCGATTACTCAAGTAATCATGCTCGGCTTTGTCTGCTTCATGGGCCCTGGTCTCTTCAATGCTCTCAATGGTCTTGGTGGAGGAGGTCAACTCGACCAAACTACGGGTGCCAATGCCAACGCCGCACTCTACGCAACATTCGCAGCAATGGCCTTCTTTTCAGGGTCAGAGTCACATTCACAGATGTATCTAACTTTTCCTCCTAATGTTGATGGGGATTCGGATAATATACAGATCTGTCAACAACAAACTAGGCTCGCGTCTGACGCTCCTGTTGGGTACTTTTGGATACTCGCTTTACATCGGCTCATTTTTGTGCGTCTCCAGATGTACTCCACCATTCTAGTCAGATGTGTTAAAAATAGGCTATACAGGGCATTTAATATTCACCGAAATCTCGGAGGTTTCGTAATCGCCGCCGGTGCGATTCTTGGAATATGTGCAGGGCTCCTCTGGACAGCTCAAGGCTCATTGATGTTGGCATACCCGACAGGTCGGTGTTGTTGATCTGTTTCGCAGCCAGGAAAATTGGAAATGTTTACACTGTGTTTTGTCCTGTAGAGGATCAAAAAGGCTGGTTCATCGCTGTCTTTTGGGGAATCTTCAACTTGGGTGGCGTTGTTGGATCAGCGGTCGCCTTTGGTCAGAATTTCCATGCTACGGTGCGCTTTTCTCTTGACAGATCCACCCAAGCTGGCGCTGATTTTATCATTATTTTTATAGTCTGGAGGAGGTGAGATTCCTATTCACGGATAACATCTTGACGCGCATATGCTGATACAGAATGAATTTCATCGATAGTTGGAAATGGAACATACGTGAGCTACGATTGGTCTAATGGAATAATACTTCGTTTTCTAATTATACTCTGTTAGATTGGGTTCATCGTCTTGACCGGAATTGGTGTCTTGATTCCTCTATGTATGGCTAATCCGCACAAGATGATTCGAAGAGATGGTACGAAGGTCACTCCTCCGAGGCATCCGTCATGGAAGACAGAGCTCTATGGTCTTTACCTTGCTCTCCGAACGGACCCCGCAATCATCCTCCTGTTCCCAATGTTCTTCGCTTCCAATTGGTTCTACACATGGCGTACGTAGCTACCATTGCCTATTGCCTATTGCCTAGGCCTTTGAGTCGCAAAATCTAACTGGGTGACTTCTTTTTTTAGAGTTTAATGACTATAATGGCACACTCTTCAACATTCGCACGCGTTCCTTGAACAGCTTCGTATACTGGACTTCGCAGATCTTTGGTTCTCTAGCGATCGGTCTTATCCTTGATAACAAGCGCCTCACTCGTCGTGCTCGTGCATTCACCGGATGGACTATCCTCTTCGGTATGGTCTTCGTCGTCCACATTTGGGCTTACTTCTACCAGAGGTGCGTAGCTCCTGTCACGTTTCCATGAAATATCAATTACTAATTTTTTTATCAAAAATTACTTGCTCTATGCAGGAAGTACACCAGAGAAACTATACCCCCTCTCATCGACTTCAGCGACAGCTCCTACCCACAACACGTCTGGCTCTACATCTTCTGCGGTCTTCTCGATTCAATGTGGCAGACAGCAGCGTACTGGATGATGGGAGCCATTTCGAACGACCCTGGTAAACTAGCCTACCTCACTGGTTTCTATAAATCTCTCCAGTCGGCTGGTGCGGCGGGAATATGGCGCGCGGATGGTGTTGGGTTACCGTGCGTTTGAATCGTTTTTGTCTGGAAATACTTTCTTGCTGACGTTATTGGTTAGGTTCATGAACATCTTCGCCTCAACTTGGGCTTTACTCGTCGCTGGTCTTCTCTGCGCACTTCCGATGCTCGCCGTGCGTGTCAAGAACACTACTGGCATTGAGGACGAGGTTGTGTATGTACCTCTTCTTCTCTTCTCTTCGTCCTTATCGTTCTCCCTACCTAATACTCATGATTTTATTTTCTACTTCTACTAGCGCTCGTATGGACGACAGCGGACGCGTACAACCAGTGGAGAAAGTCGTAGGACATTAACCGCCTATTTCGCTTGTATAGTACCACTTTTTGATTATCATCCGTTGTTGGGATTATATGTCGTCGGGGCTTTCTTCCGCCGTGTTGTTCGTTACCCTCTATTTCCATCTGACTTTCTTTCTTCCTTTCGAGATGCTACACGATTTCGTCATGTTTTGAGACGTTGCTGTTGATCGTTCATCGTTGATCTATCAATATATATGTAATGACCTGTTCGTATGACGGAATACGGTATACCTGCATATCCTGTTATATCTAGGTACATACAAATTTGAATATCACACACAAGGACTCCTACCGCAACTTTTTATTTTAAACTTTGAGAGTGTGTGAAATTTCCAATGCTCACGGGTGTTGTTTAGAAGACCGTATAATAGCCACTAGCCGATTGCAAGGCCAGTTTTCGGTGTTCTTTGATTGTATGTCCAGGTACAGTCTGTCGTGTGAAACCATATGCATGTGCCGCCACCGAAGTCGAAGTCAGGCTTCTTTTTTTAAACCAATGCTATTGTAAGTTGGTTCGCTTGAACTTCAGGGACATTTGGGACATTTCCTCCGCGGACATTGGTTTATGAGTTGTTACCATAATCTGTGTTCTTTCCTCAGTCCCACGAAGGCCCTGCCTGAAGACGACAATGTACCAGGCTTGGATAACCTATTCCCGGTGAATTATACCATTATTATTATGTATTTTAAGTTTATTGAAGCAACTTGTACCCTTATGTAACCTGCATTACTACAATATATGCACGCTACGAGTGTCTATAAATTGTAATATTACTACATTCGGTGATTACTCCTACGTTTACTTAGTATGGCAAGCCGTTTGCCACAGTTGGTAACCTTCCCTTTGCTTGACAGATTCTATCCTCTTGAGATTAACCTTTATGTGGTAAACCTTCAGGGTCGTACGTTTCACGTCCTAAACGAACTCCTGCGCACTCGTGCAGGCCTGGAATCAATCTCGTCTAGCTAGCCTTATTCAATGTAATTCAGTCGGACCTCATGCCCTTCTCTTAGTTAACCTACCTCTCCCTCCTCGCTTCTGAAGCAACTTTGGCCTTGATTCCGCCACCTTTGTTCTGCATTGATACTTCCTCCTCTCTCCCTGCATGAGTGATCCCGACCTTGAAAATAGGAATCACGAGGATGACAGCAAGCCTGAAAATTCCCTTGTGCCACAATACACTGGCCTTAAGAGACTCTACTATAGTCCGGTCACCCAAGTCGTTCTTCTTGGTTTTGTCGGCTTCTTGGAACCTGGTCTCTTCAATGCCGTCACAGGTCTTGGTGGAGGTGGCCAAATTGATGCAACCATAAGTGCTAATGCTAACTCCGCAGTCTACGCGACATTTGCGGCCATGGCATTCTTTTCGGGGTCAGACACTTATGTACATGTAACAATTTTTGTCGCCATGCTGATAGCGTTCCGAATGATATATAGAACTGTGAACAACAAACTCGGACCGCGCCTCACGCTCCTGCTGGGTACACTGGGATACTCGCTTTTCATCGGCTCATATTTGTCTGTCTCCTTGCAAGACACATTCTGTTGGATGTGCTGAAAATAGCTATTTAGATCACTGAACATCCACCCGCATGCCGGAACCTTCGTCATTGCTTCCGGAGCCATCCTCGGAATATGCGGTGGGCTCCTCTGGACGGCTCAAGGATCACTCATGTTGGCATATCCAACAGGTTCGTGAACTCGTATTGCGTTTGTTAAAGACATTTTGAGAACTGACACCGTCTGCTGTCATCAACAGAAAATCAGAAGGGCAAGTTCATCGCTATTTACTGGGGAATCTTCACTTCAGGTGGCGTTGTTGGATCGGCGGTTTCATTCGGACAGAATTTCCATGCTACAGTGCGTCTCCTTTGTCATATGCATACAGGCACAAGCTTATCTTCACTTGTCCGTAGTCTGGAGGTGGTGAGCAATAGTTCGTTTTAAGAAGATCAAGACACGTATATATTAATAGAGACAACTATGTCTAGTTGGGAATGGAACCTACGTAAGCCAAGCAGGCTTTATTAATACAACATCCCTTCTAAATAAACACTACAGATTGCATTTATTGTCCTGAGTGCACTTGGTGCTTTGATTCCTCCCTTGATGGCTAATCCGAACAAGATGATCCGGTCCGACGGGTCAAAAGTCACCGCCCCTAGGCATCCATCATGGAAGACAGAAATATACGGTCTTTACACCACACTTCGTACAGATCCTGCAATTATCCTCTTATTCCCGATGTTCTTCGCGTCCAACTGGTTCTATACATGGCGTATGCTCCCTGACGTACGTCCTCCACACATAACTCGCTAATTTACTTTCCAGAGTTCAACGATTATAACGGCACACTTTTTAACATCCGTACGCGCTCTCTGAACAACATGTTATATTGGACGCCGGAAATATTCGGTTCGCTAATGATGGGGCTCATACTTGATAATAAATGGTTCAGTCGCCGTGCTCGAGCGTTCATCGGATGGACTATTCTCTTCGTTACGGTGTTCATTGTTCATGTCTGGGCTTATTTTTATCAAAAGTTCGTCACTATCTCCTACTGATAATTATTCGTAATTTATACCTTGTGGATTATTGAACTTCTATATTTTGCATTCAGAGATTACACCAGAGAGTCTATCCCTCCTCTGATTGACTTCAAGGACAGGACTTATCCGCAACACGTCTGGCTTTACATATTCTGCGGTTTGCTTGATTCTATGTGGCAAGCAACAGTCTACTGGATTATTGGAGCCGTCTCGAACGATCTGGGTAAACTTGCATATCTTAATGGCTTCTGTTAGTTCTTCTGTTAACTAATGAAGTTCGTATCAACGACTTACTAACCTACACAACTTTATTTTCTTCACAGATAGAGCATTCCAAGCAGCTGGTGCAGCCATTGTGTGGCGCATAGACGGTCTTAAAGTGCCGTATGTCTGAAAAAGTGCTTGCTCTAGATGCTTTATCATTGACGCTCGAGCCAGATTTATGAGTATCTTCCTCTCAACGTGGATCTTGCTTGTTGCTGGTCTCCTGTGTGCTCTTCCGATGTTGATTGTGCGTGTTAAGAATCATACAGAGTTTGAGGATGAAGTTGCGGGGACGAGAACGAAACTTTCCGATGAAAAGAAACAGGAATTGTAAATAACAATATATGTATATTAGACTAAATTGTGGCCTAAGCCGAAGTCTCGTTCATTGTATTGGAAAAGAATAGGAGGACCGGATGGAAACACACAAATAATAACAATAATATTTACATGACATTTTATATTGATCACAGTCGTGTCTCGTGAACGAAAAGAGTCGAGGTGTCCAATACAGTAAAACTTACCTTTTAAGGAAGATATGGAGCACGTGATGAATGCGGAATAATTTACTGCCGAATCTCGGTGCCGCATACGATTGACAGATTGGAACTTGTCGTCCGGGCATCCCAAACCAAACTCACAATTTGCGTGCCATGTCTTCTGCTGATGTAGCGCGCGAAATACGCTCAAGCCTTCCGTCTACGGATGATATTGTCGTTAACTATATCTCTGGTTACCTTGTTGATGATGCTGGAGCAGACGAGGATGTCCTTCAGATAACTCGCAACATGCTCGAGTCCTTCGCGGATGCGGAAGGAAAGCCGTCTGCGCTTGACGAGCTTCTCACAAAACTCGGAAAGCTTCTTTCCGCAAGGCTTTCTGTACGGAATGCCGTCGCAGGAGGAGGACCAAGGAAGTTGGAGAAGGCGATGGAGATGGGAAGAACGGGTGCGATCTCGAATACAATCGCTTTCTCGGAAGGTGTAGATCTGGAGTCTATCAATAAATCTAAGTAAGTTCTTTCAATATATGTGTTGGGATAAGAACTTAATAGGACAAAGAGCGACTCGAGTGGATGTGAAGAAACTTGAAAAGCAGGAGGCGAAACTCAGAGTGCGTGCTACCCCAACTCGTTAAATGTATCAGAGAAGGCTAACTCGAACATGTACTCGAACATGTTAATGTATGCAGGCTAAACTTGAGAAACGTGCACACCGAGACTTATACGAAGGATCAAAATTACTGGATCAACACCGCAAGCAGGTATGCATACTCACAGAACTTAAGCTTGGTTACGCATTAATACCTTTTTACCTCAATAATCAGCAAACGTATGAGGAGATGTTCCTAAAGGTCAACTCGCTTGAGGCACTCGCTGCGGGGAGGAACAAGAGCAAAGACATTCACCTCCCATCTATCGACGTGACATTTGGTTCGAAGCGTATCCTGTATGTACTTCCGTCTCGGTTCTTGCTCGATGGTCATTATAACCCTATGATTCAGAACCAACGCAAGCTTGACTCTTGCATACGGGCGGAGATATGGACTCATTGGTCGTAACGGTTAGTAGATCCTGTGTACTATACTGAAGATATCTGACCCGACGTTCGAAGGTGTCGGAAAGTCGACATTATTAAGGCACATTGCCTTACGTGATGTACCGGTTCCTCCCCATATTACCATACTTTTCGTTGAACAAGAGGTATTTTCATCCCATTTTACGAAAGACGGACTGTGACATTAATTTTGTAGATCGCAGGTGACGAGACGAGTGCAATTGACTCTGTTCTAAAAGCAGATGTCTGGCGCGATTCGCTTCTAAAGGAAGAGACATCGCTAAATGAGAGACTTGCAGAATTGGAAAAAGTCGGAGACGATAAGCGGTTCGAAGATGCTAGAGAGGAAGCTGCGGCGCGTCTTGCAGAAGTACATCAAAGTCTTGCAGACATGGAGGCAGAAAGTGGACCTGCAAGAGCTGCTTCCCTTCTGGCTGGTAGGTATTCTTCATGTCACGTATTCATGATTTTAACGTTTAATTCAGGTCTTGGATTTAGCGAAGCAGACCAACAGCGGCCGACTAAATCTTTCAGTGGTGGCTGGCGGTAAGGGCTTTGTCCGGTCCGCAGCTCGTTATTTTAACTCGTAATTCGCAACTTGCAGTATGCGTTTGGCTTTAGCTCGAGCTCTATTTGTCAAGGTACATCAGACGTGTTTTCTCCGTTAAACACTACCAGCTAATTCATAATCCTAGCCGCATCTGCTTTTGTTGGACGAACCTTCTAATCACAGTACGTCGTAGCATCGTACTTTGGGCCGCCGTTAATGCTCACTCAACCATCTTGATCAGTCGACCTGAACGCACTTGCTTGGCTTGAGGATTATTTGCAGACGTGGCCTGGGACATTGCTTGTTGTGTACGTCCCATCGCGTCGAATTGTCCATAAGGGCAAACAACTTACAAAAATATCTTCGTTACAGTTCTCATGACCGAGCATTCTTGTTGGTCACCCTATCACTTATGTCTCGACTCAGCATTGAAATAGTTTAATTTGCATAGGGATGCGGTTGCCACAGACATTGTTCATCAACATTCGGGACGTTTAGACTACTATAAAGGGTGAGCTGGTAGTGACTAAACTTCGTGTCATCCTTATGACTTACTCGTTGTTAGGAACTTTACACAATTCTACTCAACCAAAACCGAGCGTGACAAAAAATTACAACGCGAATATGAAACTCAGATGGAGTACCGGAAACATCTTCAAGCGTTCATAGATCGGTGGAGATACAATGCTAACCGCGGTATGCCTGCATTCAATGCTTCAAGGAGAAAAGATAGCATAACTTAAATTATTACTCTCTTTAGCCGCACAAGCGCAATCAAAAATCAAGATTTTGGAGAAACTGCCAGAGTTGCAACCTCCGCAGACCGCGGAAACGGAGACATTCAAGTTCGTCGCCATTAGCCGCAATTTCCGCTTCTTTGCATTAACAGTCAATGCAGATTCCCAGACTGTGAAAAAATATCACCACCGTTATTACAACTGTCCGGAGTTTCATTTGGATACACACCTGATAGCCCTATCCTAAAAAACATCGATATTGATGTTGGCCTTGACTCAAGGATAGCTGTGGTTGGTGCGAACGGTGCGGGAAAGTTAGTATTCGTCGATTGTCTATTGTCCTATGCAGGATACTAATCATTGTACAGGTCGACATTGTAAGCCCTTGTGATGGGGAGTCGATTAGGAGTCAAGGCTTACTTTCGCTTTTTTTCTCAGGATAAAGCTTCTTACCGGTGAACTACATCCGCAAGGCGGACAAATGAACCGCAATGGTCGGTTGCGCGTGTAAGTTCTACGTTGATCTTACAATGGACACAAGGCGAATTGACCATTGTTAGTGGGTACTTCGCGCAGCATCATGTCGATACATTAACTCCAAGTATGACCCCCGTTTCCTTCTTGGCATCAAAGTTCCCTGGGAAGAGCGAACAGGAGTATCGTAGTCATCTGGGCAATTTCCAGATTAGCGGAATGACAGGGTATTGAAACCATTTGCACTCCTTCTATTTCATCGCTTGCTTAATGGATTTATCTAGACTGCAACTGATTGGAACGCTAAGTGGAGGTCAGAAGAGCCGTGTCGCATTTGCAGCTCTATCATTACTTAGACCACATGTTCTGCTTCTTGATGAGGTATCCAATCACTATTTACTCCTCTTCCGTCCTCACATCTCTTGACTGACAACTGCTTGCAGCCAACTAACCACTTGGATATCGAGGGTCTGGATGCGCTCATGGCGGCGCTCAGCTCATGGAACGGTGGTGTCATTATTATTTCACATGACGAACGGTTCATCACTTCTGTCGCGAAAGAGGTGAGAGGCCGCGCCGTATGTCTTTATCCGTGTTAAACTTACATCTGGTTGTCTTCCACGTAGCTCTGGGTCTGTGGCGGTGGCTCGGTGACGAAGTTCATGGGCGACGTGCAAGCATACAAGGTGAATATCTCGACCTCTTTGTCGCGTAAAATTCTTAACTTACTGACGGACACTTGAAGAACTTGATTGTAAGCGGTCTGAAAGCGACGCCGTAACTCTGAGCCCTCCACTGTATTTTACTGCATTTCTCGTGGTTTTGTCAGTGATCCAATGGGCGATCTGTACGCGTTTGGACTTTGAATCCACGCCTTTAATAGAAATCGAGTTGTAGAAACGGTGTACATAGAGCATGATAATATTGTTAACTCCACCATTCACCTCAAGTGTATACACAATATTTCACCTGAGTGAATCTGAGTGGTTCAGCCCATGAGTGGTCCACCTTCGTGACTTTCACCACTCAGGTGGTATTAATTTTGTAGCCGGCAAAGTCCGAACGCGTGATGGTTCGCGTCTGTCACGCTTGAGTTCGAACCGACACGCTTCTGCAAGCACTAGTTGACCACGACTACCACCGCGACTACGCAATGAGTTCGTCAGAGGCAGAGAACTTTGACATCGACAACATATCAGACTCAGACTACGATTCAGACAACTATGCCCCGGTAAAGAAGAAAGCTGTACGTCTGCGTTTTAATCCACACTAGAATGATAGAATGAAACTGACACGGTTATCCAGGCTAAAGCCACTAAACCAGCAGCCAAAGCTCCCAAGCAAACGAAAGCAGCAGGCAAAGCTCCAGCTAAACCGAAGGCAACGAAGAAGAAACCTCTGAAGGATATTGACGAGAATGCCGACGAATCGTTCATGGATGTCGACGATCGTGCTAATGGGTCAGGGGACGAGAGCAGGCCGGGTCCGTCGACTCTCGACGACCCTGCTTTTACTCGCGCACCAATGGACGGTAAAACCGCTTCAGAGCACTACAAGAAGGTATGTACTCAGTCATCTCGAGGAATAGGTTTTAACGACACCATTAGCTCACCCCAAGAGAACACGTTATTGCACGGCCAGACTCTTACATTGGGAGCGTCGAAACTATAACGCAGTCCATGTGGGTGTATGACTCGGATGCAAAAAGAATGGTATTCAGGGAAGTGAGCTATGTTCCCGGATTCTTGAAGATTGTAGACGAGATCATCGTGAATGCTGCCGACAACAAGGTGTGCTTTGTTCGTTGTTCTATTTGCTAAGCTGCTAATCAGGGTTGTTCTAGATCAACGACCCGAATATGGATACGATCAAAGTTAACATCAATGCGAAAGAAGGTACCATCTCCGTTTACAACAACGGGAGGGGTATTCCAATAGAAATGCACGAAAAGGAGAAAATTATGATACCTGAAATGATATTTGGTCATCTTCTGACGTCTGGCAACTATGACGATACCATCAAGAAACTCACGGGAGGCAGAAATGGCTATGGAGCGAAGCTGGCAAACATCTACTCGACGGAGTTCACCCTGGAGACGGCGGACAAGAATACTGCGCAGAAGTACAAGCAAACATGGACGAAGAACATGTCGGTCTGTGGAAAGGCGAAAATCACGAAGAATAGCAAGGGCGAAGAATTTACTCGTGTATCGTTCACGCCAGACTTTGAAAGGTTCAAAATGCGAGGAATGGACGCCGATGCCTTGGCACTTCTGAAGAAGCGCGTTTACGATTTGGCTGGAACCGTCAAAGACATTAAGGTCTACTTGAATGACGAACGCCTTAAGATCAAGAATTTCAAGCAGTATGTCGAAATGTATCTCAGCTCTGCTGCCGCAGAAGCCGCCGGTGCTTCAGGAGGTGCAGCACAAGCCAAGCCAAGCGTCATTTACGAGCAACTTGGTCCGAGGTGGGAGATTGCCTTTGCGGTATCCGATGGCTCGTTTCAGCAAGTGTCATTCGCGAACTCGATTGCGACAACAAAGGGGGGAACGCATGTCGAATACATCGCGAATCAGATCACAAAGCACCTCATCTCGACAATCCAGAGGAAGAACAAGGGTGCGACAGTCAAGCCAGCACAAATCAAGAACCATATGTGGATTTTCGTCAACGCACTCATTGAAAATCCCTCTTTTGACTCGCAGACGAAGGAGACTTTGACGAAAACGGCCGGTGGGTTTGGTACAAAACCAACGATATCAGAAGATTTTATGAAGAAAGGTATGCTATATCGTCCATTTGTACCGAATTCTATCTCATATCCTGTTTGTAGTTATGAAAACTAGCCTTGTCGAAAACGTTCTGAATTGGGCGAAGTTTAAAGCTGACCAGCAAATTAAGAAGACTGACGGAGCAAAGCGTAGCCGGTAATTATTTCACGTCTGTTCAAGCGTACGCGATCCTCACCAGCTCGTCCCCTCTAGACTCCTTGGCATAACGAAGCTTGCTGACGCGAACAATGCTGGAACTCGTGAAGCTTCGAAATGTACTCTTATACTGACAGAAGGAGACTCTGCCAAGGCACTTGCTGTGGCCGGTCTCGGTGTTGTTGGCCGAAACAACTTTGGTGTTTTCCCTTTGCGCGGAAAAATGCTTAACGTGCGCGAAGCGAAACATGATCAAATCATGAAGAACGAGGAGATCCAGAATGTCAAGAAGATTCTCGGTTTGCAGCACAATAAGGAATATAAAGATATTGCTAGTCTGCGTTATGGGCGTCTAATGATCATGACGGATCAGGTTTGTAGCTCCCATGTCTGAGAGGTAAAACTTGTTTGGCTCAATCGGTCGATTGACATTCATAGGATCACGATGGTTCCCATATCAAAGGCTTATTGATTAACTTCCTCGACCACTTCTACCCATCTTTGCTGAAGGTACCCGAGTTCCTCGTGGAATTCGTCACACCAATCGTTAGGGTAAGCCAGATTGTTGTAATAAACCATGTTCTATGCTAACTATAGAGAACAGGTGACAAAGGGCAAACAACGAATCGATTTCTTCACTCTACCTGAGTTTGAGAAATGGCAAGCAGAGACCCCTGACTCGCATAAATGGAGCTCTAAGTACTACAAGGCGAGTCATAGGAACTTCCTGCAAGAACGCTTGCTGAGCGATTATACAGGGTCTCGGTACGAGCAAAGATTCAGATGCTCGCGACTACTTCAGCAATATGGGAAAGCACATGATCCCGTTTGCCACGACCCAAGAAGGTGATCGAGAATTAATTGAACTCGCTTTCAGTAAAAAGAAAGCAGACGAGCGTAAGGAGTGGCTGAGACAGTTCAGGGTTTGTGTGCTTTTCCCCATAATTTACCGGAAGCTCACGAAATCTTGTAGCCTGGAACGTATCTTGACCACAATGTGGATGAAATCCCATACTCTGATTTCATCAACAAGGAGCTCATTCTGTTCTCAATGGCGGACAACATCCGTTCTATCCCATCGGTTGCGGACGGATTAAAACCGGGTCAGAGGAAGGTTATCTGGGGTTGCTTCAAGCGCAAGTTGAAGAAAGAAATCAAGGTTTGTCTTTGTGTTAGATCCCTCGTACACAGGCTTAATTATACTGCGATCAGGTTGCGCAATTAGTCGGTTACATCTCAGAACATGCGGCATACCATCACGGCGAACAGAGTTTGACCATGACTATTGTCAATTTAGCACAAGATTTTGTCGGGAGTAACAACATGAATCTTCTCTTGCCGAATGGTCAGTACGGTACGCGTGATCAGGGCGGAAAAGACCATGCATCGGCTCGTTACATCTACACGGAGCCTGCACCTATTTCACGGCTGGTCTTCCATCAAAGTGATGATGCGCTTCTAAACGAACAAAAGGAAGATGGACAAGTCATTGAGCCTGAATTTTACGTGCCTATCCTCCCACTCGTTCTCGTGAATGGTGCAGAAGGTATTGGTACAGGTAGAGAAAGCTTCTCTGCCAGCCTTTTGCTAATGCTAACAAGCGACGATTAGGTTGGAGCACGACTGTACCGTCGTATAATCCTGTGGACATCGTTGATAATCTCAAACGATTAATGAAAGGCGAGGAGTTGGTTCCAATGAATCCATGGTGGCGTGGCTTCAATGGGACAATAAAGAAGACTGGTGACAACAAGTTTGAGGTTACCGGAGTGGTGAAGAAGCTGAACGACACAACGGTTGAAATCACCGAGCTGCCAATTCACAAGTGGACGCAGGCATTTAAAGCCGAACTTGAGAGCATGTGTGGCGAAAAGGGTGATGGCGCTGTCAAGGCGAGTCTATTTACCATTGAGAACCAAACTTTTATTAATCATTCTCTACAGGATTATAAGGAACACCACGACAACCGTAACGTGCACTTCGTCGTGAATATGAATGCCAAGGAACTTGAGAAAGCCGAGGCGCAAGGCTTGGAAGAATACTTCAAGCTCACGTCCAAGATTAGCACAAGCAACATGATTTGTTTTGACTTCGAGGGAAAGATCAAGAAGTACAATACACCTGAAGAAATCCTTGAGGACTTCTTCCCCGTAAGGCTAGGCCTCTATCAAAAGCGAAAGGTAAAGATGCACGATTTAGTATGTTGTCGCGGTGCTAATGGTGTCGTGTACATAGGACTATCTCGCGAATGAGCTTCAGCTCGAACACGAGAAGCTGTCAAATCAGGCACGATTCGTCCAAATGATTGTCAAGAAGGAGCTCGTTGTCTCGGGTCGTAAGAAAGTAGACATTGTCGCCGACCTTCGCAAGAAGAATTTCAGGCCGTTCCCGAAGGTAGCAAAGGCGAAGGCGGCTGGCGAAACCGAGGATGCACTAGAGGATACTGAAGCTGAGGAACAAGAAACTGGTACAACAACAGATTTCGATTACTTGCTCGGCATGCCGATCTACAATCTAACTCATGAGAAGATTGAGAAACTCCTAGAGCAGGCTAGACAGAAGGAGACTGAGCTCATGACGTTGCTCGAACTCACTCCGAGTCAGATTTGGAACACAGATCTCGACAATTTCCTTGCTCTGTGGGAGGTGAGTCTTTTCTGATATGGTCTTTTATTGTCATCTCGTGCTGATGTTTGGCGATGTGAACATAGAAAACATGCAAGGAATGGGATGAATCCGCGATTAAAGATTCCTCTGGAAAGACCGTCAAGAGGAAGCAGGCAACATTGAAGACGCGCAAGTCCCTAACAGGTCCCTTCGGAAAGAGGAGGAAAGATGATGACGATGACTCGGAAGACGAGTTTATGCCTTCGAAGGCAGCTGCAAAAGCTGTTGCAAAGAAACCTGATCCCATTGAGCGCAAGGTCTCCCGTACTAAGGCAATCATCAAGAATGAATCAGATGATGACGACGACCTATTTGTTGCTCCTGGTCCCTCGAAGCCAACTGCGAGAAAAGCAGCAGAGACAATGCGCAAAGTCTCCCGGTCGAAGCCTGTGACGAAGGTCGTGTCGGACGATAGCGATGACGACGACGACAAACTGACTGTCACTAAGGCATCGACAAAGGACGAATCTGATTACGAGCTACCGAAGCCGCCATCAAAGAGGAAAGCCCTCGCAAAGGCCGACGACTTAGAAGACGAACTTGCGCTGACAACCGAGAAGGGTAAAGGAAAGGCGAAAGTCGCACCAAAGCGAAAGAGGTATGTAGAATAGTCGTCTCTGTAAAACTCACCTTTTCACATGCCGGCTTTTCAGTCTCACGGCCGACGAAGGTAGCGATGATGATGATCTTGCTTCTTCCAAGCCACCTAAGAAGAAGGCGCAAGTCTCGCTCCGAGCGTTCCTCGGTAAAGATGATGGAGAGTCGAAAGCCAAGCCTCCTACCCCGAGTAAGGTTGCTGGGATGAAGCCAAAGCCAAAGGCTGCACCTGCGAAAAAGCCTGTAATCAGCGACGAGGACTCTGACACGGAGGTTATACCTGCTGCCAAATCGAAACCGAAGCCACAACCGAAAGCTGCACCGGCGAAGAAAGCGGCAGGTAAAGCAGCAAAGAAAGCCGTAAGCGACGATGACGACGACGTTGAAATGGACACTGAGCCAGCCGTCGCGAAACGTACCGAAGCACCTAGACGAGCTGCAAGGGCCGCGCCAAAGAAATACATAGATATATCGGACGATGACGGTGACGACGGAGGACAGGATGAGACGTTTGAGATATCCGACTGACCGCTGCTGATACCCTGCATATAATGTAGCTCTCCTGTTTTCCTTCTTCTATGCTGTACCATTTGTTATTTTATTACCCTAGGCGGACTAAGTAGAGTTTCCGAGATGCTATAAATAAAGTTTCAGCTTTCCCAAATTCCTCCATAAGCTTGATCGATCGTGGGAACCGAAGGCCGCAAGCAGTCACAAACGACGACGAAGACACTTTTTGACTCTTGTTCATATCCTCGACGCTCTACGCGTTGCCTGTGCTCAGCCGACGCATTGTCGTGTTCGGAGTCGTTTTCGAACGTTTTCGACGCGTAGCGGTCGTGTTCGCAGCTTGTGGGACCAGCACGTCCTCTCACTAGTGCTCGGTAACCTGCGTCCTCCTGATACTTACTCGCAAGCACCGTCCTCCGACGCAACTTGCTGTCCTCTGTCTGAAAGTGGCTAGAAATCATAGTTCACCGAGGCCTTGTATAGGGACGGCGGTCTCATCATGTCTACTCAACATAGACAGCAGCCATCTCGGCTGTTCATACCACCCATGCTGAACACCCGCCTAGCAAATGGTGTAGATACCCGAACAATGTTTTCACCCGCTCTCCAAACCGCGCACCAGCCGGGATTTCCTCCTCTACCTTCGGCGCACCCATTTAATCCTGGATTTCCTCTGCAAACCCCGATACAAGGGTCTTTTTTCCATCCCGCGTCGAATGCACCACCGCGACAGATGGGTCACGGCCATCGTGCGACTGGAAGTATGGCTCAGATTCCATCTGTTGGCATGCACCCGCCTGTACCGATGACTCCGTTTGGGTCCCAGTTTCCACCTCAACTGCTGCATGGCGGTGGTCCCAACCCTTCGGCGCAACCATTTGTGCCGAAGAGCAGGCGAACACCGTCCATGATCGGTGGGCCACCGAAAGCCGCACTGGGAGGGCCAAACAGGAAAGTTAGCCCCCTCCCGCCTTCTTCGCAGGTCGCGACTATCTTGGAAAAGGTGAAGGCAAAGAAGATTCCGGTGAAGATTCCTCTGGAATCAGGAAGTGATGGAGTAGGCACGGACGCGTCTAAGCCATCATTGTGGTCGAGACGACCCATTGCATCGTCTGAACTCCCGATTCCAGCGGATATAGAACCTCCGGAAATATCTTCCGCGCCGTTGTATCCGGATGAAGAACATACCAGGCAGCTACCACCCACAATTGATGTGTTTCTACCAAGCAAGGTATGTTCGGTTCCCAGGGTTTTTCTTATAGACATTATTGCTAAGACTGATTCATGCCTACTATAGTCTGCCTGGGCTGAATTGAAGCAGCGGGAAATCGATGAAAAGTTGGAGAAACTTGGGATAGAGCGGAGGTCTTTTGAATATGAACATTCGGAAAATGCATATGGTCCGCGTGGTCGTGCTAGTTCGGTAAGAGACATTAATATTGAGGAGTTCTATTCGCTGACCGACTGCTCAGATATCGTCTCCTGCTGATCCTAACCTGCTCATGCTGAAACTTAACAAACTGCAGCAGCAACAAAGTGGTTCAAACTCTTTAGCAACTTCTCCTCAACCTCATTCGTCTAGCATATCTCCTAATCCTATGTTCGGCCAGCGGTTACAGGCGCATGGACACAGCATGTCACTTGCACCTGGCGTTGTCTACCCTCAACCAGCATTAAATGGATTCGGCGCCAAGCAAAATTTGGATAAGCAAAGCACTACCTCTGACGAGGATAGCGTCGCCAAAGCCTCGTCGCCGCTTAGTATTTACGCACCGCAAGGCAGGGTCCCTGCCCAGCTCCAAGTTCCATCGGCCCCTGCTCGTACCGAGAGCCGGCCGGACTTTATTCGCGGATTTGGGCTAGATATTCCTGAAGAAGAGGAAGAGGAGGAGGAAGAACTTCAGAGAACGGAAACAGAGCCTACCGCAGAGACTACTATGGCTGAATCGCCTAAAGTCCTCGAGGATGACGCGCCTCCTTCGGTTCCAATGCAGCTGAACAACGTGGAAAACAACGTGGTCGCTCCAAAAGAGGGCACCCACACGCGACACACGTCGAGAATATCTGTCGCACTTTCTCTGGGCTCAGTGTCCAAGAACATGGATGTAACGATGGTGGATCACAGTAGGCATTCAAGCATAGCTATGCCAGGAGAGAACCACGGTGCAGAGCACAATCAGGAGGTCTTACCTGATCCGCTCAATGAATGGACGGGATCGGAATCAGTCTCTGACGACCAGGAGGTCAGTAAAGAAACCAAGCAAGTTTTACATTAGATTGTCTCTGATATTAAGCTATCCTTCTTCTGCAGAGCATTGGTGAATGGTCCAACCCGTCCGATGAGGAAAGAGCGCGTCAGGAACGCCTTCAGCGTCGATATCTGCGTCGCATGCAACGTGAGGCTCAGGAAATGCCACGCCGGTTACCGGAGTTCCCGAAGCCTCCTGAGGATAAGTATAATATCGACGATGAAGATATTATTTCGAACCCCAGTGATGAGGGACGTCATATGACTTTCATTGGCCAAAGTGCAGGAGCTCAACAATTTGGACAATCCATCGCAGATCAGAACGCGCGTGCAAGCCGTCCACTCCCTCCCGTGCCTCACTCCCGCGATCCTTCAAATCAGTATTCTTATTACGGTTCGCTTCCGTCGCATTCGCGAGGCGCATCGGAACACTTTGCAAGCGGACAGTTCAGTATTCCAATGAGCCAGACAGGGCCGAATCAGCATGCGAAGACACCCAGCCTATCGTCATCAAGGAAGGAACTTAATCCTTTCGCAAAGCCATTTATGTTTGGTGGTAGCACTGGTTTCATACCGTCTGCTGCCCCTCAGTCTGTTCCGGCGTCTGTGTCTGTTCGAAGCGAGGCCGCAACCTCGCCAGCTCAAGTCAGCGCCCCAACACATTCTCGGGCTCCATCCTTTGTTGCGTCGCGTGCGCTTAACGCGGCTGCAAAAGAATTCAAGCCTGCTTCGTTCACCTTCCGTGCACCGGAGGGTGTTCCTGCATTATCCTTCCCAGAACCAGTACCCGAGACCTCTCGACCTCTTCCTGAACCTCCTACCATCAGCAGAGCAGTCCAAGGACGAGAAAAGAGGCAGAGGACGGATATTTCTAACGTGTCATATGACAGTGAAGACTCGGATATCGAACAGGGGCACGATTCTATGGCTAGCTTCCGCTTCCCTGCTGCTCCTGAGCCTACCATGGTGCATGCTCGATCAGAACCAACATCGCCCTCAGCGGTAGTGAACCGTAACACAGGAGCTCTCAATGCATCTGCAAAGCCTTTCACTTTCTCCGGCTTCTCTACCTTGCCCCCGACCTTACCGCCTCTGCTCGGTCAAGAACAAAGGTCACTTACGGACGCCTTTAGTGCGGATTTCTCGGTTAATGCGACACGCGGGTCTGCGCTTGGCGAGGATGACCGGACGCCAGAGATGACATTACCGAGTTTACAGAAACAGAAGAGAGCACCCATTCCACTTGATTTCAAGCACCCGGTGTCGACAAATATGGTACCTGCTGGATTGTTCAAGAACTTAGGCACTGGAGATGTAGAGAATGGACGCGCAGTTCGTGGTCCGAGCGGCTCTCTTGAGATATCCGACTCTCGTAGTGATATCTCTTTGGATGATCTGGCCGTGCCTGCAATCTCTCGCAACGCGACCAGACGCGTGGCTAAACCCGAGGACTTGGACGTAAGTGAGGACGAGTTCGATGGTGCATCGAATGATGAGGCTTCGCATGATGGTCGAACCTCGGAGGAGACGCAACCAAACAGTCCAGCATCTCGAAGCTCCATGATGCCTGCCGATGTTGCGAGTTATAGTCAGGGCCTCCGTCTCGAGGACAGGCTTGAAACTCTTCTTGACCACAAGCTTGAAGTGCTTCGCAATGACGTTGTTGCTCAGCTAAGAGGAGGTGGGATCATTAGCAGCTCTACAGACGAACTGGTCAGAGAAGCAATGGCCATGTTCCGTACACAGCTTCGTGAGTCGGCGGCGAAAGGTCTGAATGACAGTTCAATGGATGCAGGCGGAGAGTTGGATTTCGAGATGATAAGAGAAATCGTTGAACAGGGTCACGAAGATTCACGGAGACTCATTCAAGAGGACCTTGCCACCATCATCAGGAACTTTAAGGACTCGGAAGGTTCTGTAGCACCTGAATCGATTGTCGACCTTATCCGCAATGTGCAGGATCTGAGAACGAACGTGCTTATATCGAATGCTGAAGTCGCCAAGCGACTGGGTGCTATTGAAGCTGTAGCTCCTCATTCGGGCGCTCCGTTAGATAGGGAGGGTCTCATTCTTGATATAATCTCCGCTTTGACGCCCCATCTTACTGCAATCCGCTCGGAACCAGTCGATTATGAAGGCTTAACGTCTCAACTCTCCCAGGCGGTGAAGCCTCATATCTCTCAACTGATTGACCTCGCCTCAGATAAGCGTGAAACAGCTGGATTAATTGCGGACAAACTTATGCCACTGATCCAGACAATTGGTTCGACACCAGTGGAAATCGATACGTCGAGCTTAGTCACTGAGGTCACCGCAACTGTCAGCAGGATCATTGCTCCTATCGACACCCACTCTATCAAAGAACAAGTTGCAGACCTGGTTGTCGAACGATTGGATTCACGCCTTGCAACTCGTGACAATGACGTTACTGTTAACTTCAATAACCTGAAGAATAGAATCACGGAGGCGATTACCCCGCTACTTGGCCAATTTGAATCTCTTGCGGATGGCGTTAAAGCTATCGGGACTGAACAAAGTTTATTGTCGAAGGCGATTCAGGAGTCCGCATCAAAGCAGGGCGATAGCTTACTTGTAGCTTTGTCAGAAAAGTTGGGTAGTGTTGCAGAGGCTTTGGCTGCTATTCAGTCGCTAGTGTCACAGGAGCGTGAAATATCGGACTCACGATCTCAACAATTGGACCGCATTGAGTCGTCCATCGGAACGATTGGGACTTCCCCGGGAAGCCTATCCAAAGAGGACAGAGAAGAAATACTTTCTGGTAGCCGCGAGGTGCTCGCTCGTCTCAGCCCCATTTCCGAATCTATTATTTCTGCATTGTCGTCCTATGAGACTAAGCACGGCGATCTTCTCTCGCGCCTTCAGTCCATGGATGAAGCATCGCAGGACGTACGTAAATTAACAACACAGAACGCAGAGCTCCAATCCCAGGTCAACAAGGCAAGGTCTCAGCACGGCCTATTGCGAGTCCAACACGACAACTTAGCCAGCAAAGTTACCTCATTGGAAGCAGAGCGCGATCAGCTTCGTGCAAAGATTGATGAAATGCATGCGGCTGCCTTGTCTCGTGCATCTGATTATTCGGCGTTGGAGGCACGGAATCACGAGCAAGAGCGTGCTATGCATGCGGCATTGGATAGACTGAAAGTATCTGATGTCAATGCTCAGACTTATCAGGAACGCATAAGCGAGCTTGAAAAGGCTAATCGGGAGCTTACACAAGAGGGTCAGCAGTTGAAGTTATCGGTACGTGTTGTGTCCTTTTTAGTCTATATGGTGTGAGCTGACAGGTGTAATACAGACTGCTCGCCTTGAAATGCAAGCTGAATTCGCTGCGCGAGACAAAGAGTCAACACTCCAGGCCCTCAAGATGATGCAAGAAGACCGAGATCGCCTTGCAGGGCAACAATCTCATTGGGAGGAACTTCACCGTTCAGCAGCACAAATTGAGACATTGGCCAACCTCGTCCATAAGTCAGAGTCGGAGGAGATCGCAGAACTGAAACGTATCAGAGATCAGAGTAAGGTTCTTGAAGGCGAACACGCGTCGCTCAAGAAACGTTTCAAGGACCAGGAGAGCAAGATCGCTAATATCGAACGTGCTTCCGCGATTGCACGAGAGAATCTCGCTCAAGCTCAACAGCGCTCAAGGGACTGGGAGACGAAGGCAAGAGAGTTTGAGGGTGAAGTCGAGCGTCTAACTACTGCACTTGACCAAGGAGAGCAGACTAAGAACCAGCTGGAGACTGATTATTCAATGGCGAAGCTGCAGCTAGAAGAGAAGGAAGCTGAGAGTCGCATTACTAAGGTAAGTTACATTGCGCTGCATGCTTGCATGACCAACGCTTATTGTTATGTAGGACCGTGAGAGGAAACTCGAAGAGCAAATTGCCTCTCTGAAGACTAAGATTAGTAGCCTTACGTCAGAGCTCGAGGAGGAACGTAGGGCTGCACGCCCGGGTCCGAATCAAAGACCTTCGTCGAGTGCAAGTCATAACTACGAGCCTTCAGAGCCACCAACCCCACGTATAAACGGGAAGTCCTTGCCGAATCCAGCAAGATCCATCGCTGGGTCGCCCCCACCAAGGACGTCAACGTGGGACTCAATACATGCGCCGATGAATATGGCGCACACGACATATGTTAAGCCTCCGATGATGTATAGCAAGAGAACGTCGTTGCACAACTCCCGAGCACCTTCGCCGACGCCTAGTACTGTGTCTGCCGTGACGCAGGGAGCGGACGGCTGGTATTCATAGGGATTTTTGTCGTTTTAATTAATTCACCGCGCTTCTTTTCCTTCCGTTCTTCTCTCTCTCCTTACTACTTGATATCGACAAAGTCGGAGAAGGAATCTATGTTTCTTGTTGTTCCTTTCCTAATATCTTTCTTTCCCCGTCTGCGCATTATGGATTTCCGGCTGCATGTTTCTTCTCATCAACGTTCCCCATCATTACAAACTTTACTGATATCCTCATCTGTTGATATCCTGACTGTTCATCATTTTCTTCGTTTCACTGATTTTTCAGGAGATTCCGGATACTGACCTGCGTATCATCCCCAGACGATGCGCAAAGCCATACTGTCGTTTTAATTCTTTTACAGTCGTCTTTTAGTTCGCTTTCGTTGATAGCATTCCCCTCATCTCTGTTAACATACCCCGATGCAAGTGTATATTGACTTTGCAAGTAGCGCCGTTATCTTTCTCAAATAATAATTTCAGTGGAATAAATTCACAATCCCTTTTAAAATATAAATGCAAATGCAAACTTGCCATGTCAAAGAGGGTGAGATTGAGTTGAGGGCTAACCAGGCTAAGAAAAGCGTGATGATGCATACTGACGTACGTCTGCACACTGCATTCCACCGACCCATCGCACCGGTCCTCTCGCCGGCTCGCGCTCACTGACTGCTCCTTGTTCTCCGACAACATCGTACTTTCTCAAAACAACTTCAACGTCCGAGCACGGCGCACTCAACTCTCTCCCTTTCGTCTTGCGGCGGTCATCTTAGTTAACTTAGCCACAGCGCCTCCAGTCACATCTCTCTGATATATATCAATAATCACGCACTCGGCACCGCATTTAGCTGCGTAACGAACGCCTCACCTCAGTCGCCCCTCCTCCGGAACTACTTAACTTGCTTGCTTGTTGCACCATCTAACCTCACGACAGACGGCATGATGGGCATCTTTGGTCAGGCCAGCAGTGCGCTGCGTGGTCGACCTCGTGGCGCCTCAGTGGAGGACAAAGCAATTGAAGATAGCGAGCCAGATGATACCTCGGTTTTGTAAGCCTCTCTCTCCCTCTTACTCTTTCCATCTTCCCGCTCCTTGTGGCATATAGAGTGCTCTTGGAATTATGTTACCGACTCTTGTGTGCAATGATGTTAACGTTGAGAGTAGAGACGAGCAAGAAGGGTCCATCATTTCAAGCCTCATCTCGCAGCTACGGTACGTGTCTACACACTCTTCCACTCGTCAAGTGTGGTTCTAATAATTCTTGAACTTGGAACAGAATTGGCATGGACCTCCACCGTGTAACCTTCCCGACATTCGTGTTAGAGCCTCGCAGCATGTTAGAACGAATCGCAGACTTCATGTCTCATCCCGAGCTCATCTTTGGGTACGAATAATCCCGTATTTATTCCTTCTTTTCAATTTGAATGCTCAGTGTTTAATAGAGCAGAAGAGCTCGATGATCCTGAAGAACGTTTCCTGGTTGTTCTCCGATACTATCTGAGTGGTTGGCATATTAAACCCAAGGGCGTGAAGAAACCGTTAGTCCTCCGGCTTTCTTTCTACCGGTCCTATTACTCAAAGCATATTTGATCATCATCAGGTATAATCCCGTACTGGGAGAATTCTTCCGCTGTCGTTACGACTACCCGAATAGTACTCAAGGGTTCTACATTTCCGAGCAAGGTACGTCGTATGTGTCTAGTGGGTTTCATGTGTTCCGCTAATAACGCACTTTGCATCTTTGCACTTTACGTGTATAGTTTCGCATCATCCACCCATCTCTGCTTACTTCTACATTTCACCCGCTAATAAGATTCGCATAATTGGGGAGATCAAGCCAAAATCGAAATTCCTGGGTAACAGCGTATCGACGATAATGGAGGGTGAGAATCGTATGATGCTGTTAGGTCGACCTGAAGATGGAGGTACGTTCTATCGCCGTTATTACGTCTATCAGAGGATTGGGGATTAATTGAATTGTGCTGCTTTTCTGATGCTTTGATGCACGTTGGTGTGGTGGTGGTGTTGTTACATTGAACAGAGTACGTAGTCACCATGCCCAATATGTATGCCCGTGGGATTCTATTTGGGAAAATGGTGTTTGAGCTAGGGGATACTTGTGTAGCGAAGAACGAGAAGACAGGCATGTCTTGTGATCTAGACTTTAAGACTAAGGTCTGTGATTTACATTCAATGCACTATGTTGTCCTTTTTGCAATTATTGACATTTATATTGATGTTTATTTAAATCGTGAAGGGTTTCTTCTCTGGGACATACAACACAATCTCAGGACGAGTCCGCCACAACGGCCAAGAAATCGGCGAAGTCTCGGGTAGATGGTCACACGCAATGGAGTTTAAATCCAGCAAAACAGGACAAAAACGGATCTTGTTCGATGCAGACAGCGAAGTCGGTAAACGAGTAGCAGAGAAAATCGTCCCGCCCGAATCAGAGCAAGAACCAACGGAATCTCGTCGACAATGGGTGAAGTTAACTGAAGCGATTTTAGCGAAGAATATGGATGCTGCTACGGATGCGAAGTGTGCTGTTGAGGATGCGCAGAGGGAGGATAGGAGGGTTAGGGATGAGAAGGGGGAGAAGTTTGTACCGAGGTTCTTTGAGTTGAAGGATGGGCGCTGGGAGCCTAAAATTCAGTGAGTACTTTTCTTTGCCATTACCTTGAGTTGCATGTATGCGCGTAAGGAAGTATAATGACTGATTTTGATTGAATTAGACTTCCCTCTGACCTGGAAGAAGCAACGAAAGCAGTCATAGAATGGATCTGGCCTTCGTCTAAGAGCGAGCCCGAGCCCGAAGCCCAATTACAGTCCTCCGAATCCTCTTCCTCTTCCTGATAAATAAACGACGACTTATCATATTCTTCCCATATTCCATATCCCATCTCGTGTTCATGTCTTCTCTGACTCACTTACACTACTACTTTACGCTTTACGCGCCTGCAACCCACTATACACTTATTTACCTAGTTACACTCATATACACAGAGATCCTCTCCTTTCTTTTTTTTCCCTTTGATTTTCGTTTTCTGCTTTTTCGTTGTATTGTAAGTTACAGTCATGATATAGCTAACGTCTTTGAATGAATTTGTTAAATTTCACCTTTTCTGTCCTGATTGGCTCTCTTTTTGGTATATTTTGTTATTTAAGTTTGGGGATTAATGAAGGGTTACTGCATATATGATTTGTACCGTACGTCCTATCTGTTCACAGCCTTCTCGGTACCGAGAGCGTGTACAACTATAAACACTAAATTTGGAAACTTGCCCACGCCTGAGGTATATTTCACCCAGCTCCGCCAAGGATGTGAGAGCAATAAAATGCACTCCCAGGTGCAGGCATCGTGGAAGTACGTGAGAGGCTCTATTTCGCTGTTTCGTGTGTTAAGGCGCCCAGGGACACATCGATAGCCATCTCTTCTCCCACGATGGACGCGCGCATATATGCATCCTTCAGTGACGCTGATGCACCCGCTGCTAATCTCGTCGTCCTAACTCACTTGCACTTACCACATTCAATATCCCCGCTATACGCTACACATTACAAGCACGATGTCCTCCCAACAACAACAACAACCTCAAACCCTAAATATCACACTCGCCTCCCGCGCCTCCCAACTCGCACAAATCCAAACCCACATCGTCCGTGACAAACTCAACTTTGCCTTCCCTTCTACACCTTCGCACAAGTATGAATTCGTGGAACGATTCATGAGGACTGCAGGGGATAAGAATCAGGATAAGGCGTTGTATGTTTTGGGAGGGGTTGGTGGGGCTGCGGGTGGGAAGAGTCTTTGGACTGAGGAACTTGAGGATGCGCTTTTGCGTGAACCTGAGCCTCCTACGAAGGAAGGAGGGGAAGTGAAGGAGGGGAAGGAAGGAGGGGGTGAAGATGCGACGATTGGCCGAGTTGACATGCTCGTGCATAGTCTCAAGGACGTACCTACTACACTCCCACCTGGCTGTGAACTAGGCGCGATATTGGAACGTGAAGACCCTGCCGACTCGCTCGTTGTTAAACAAGGACTGAGTTACAAGAGTTTGGATGATTTGCCTGAGGGAAGTGTAGTGGGTACGAGTAGTGTGAGGAGAGTTGCACAGTTGAGGAGGAAGTATCCGAAGTTGCAGTTTGCAGACGTCGTGAGTTATTCTACGTACTATCTACTTCGATGTATGTTCAACTATGTATTTCATGGTTGGTTATGTAGCGAGGAAACTTGTACGTCCACCTCCCCCACTTCCTCTCGCTCATCACTAACTTCCAACAGAAACACCCGTCTATCCAAACTCGACTCCCCCACCGGCCCCTACACAGCTCTCATCCTCGCAAAAGCCGGTCTAGTCCGCCTCGGAATGGGCTCACGCATAACAGCCGACCTCACACCACCAACTCTCTACCACGCCGTCGGCCAAGCAGCTCTCGGCGTAGAAATCCGCGCAGCCGACCCACTCATCAAATCCCTCTGCCTCGCTCTAAACCACCAACCATCAGAATGGAGGTGTAAAGCTGAACGAGCGATGTTACGCGTTCTCGAAGGCGGGTGTAGTGTCCCTGTTGGCGTTTCTACCACTTTGATTCCGGTGGGGAAGGATGAAGACCCGAAGCCGAGAGCGAGACTGACGATTACGGGTACTGTGACGAGTTTAGATGGGTTGAAGCATGTTGAGGAGACGTTGGAGGATGAGGTTGGGAGTAGCGAGGATGCAGAGCGGCTTGGCGAGAAATTGGCGAAGCGGCTCGTTGAGACGGGTGCGAAAGAGATCTTAGAGGAGATTCAGAAGGATAAAGAGAAGAGGGTGGCTGCTGAGGCGAACAAGCAGTAAAACAGAAAAATATTTGAATAGATAGACGACAGTGTATTCATTTAAAGTGATTATCTTGGGTAAAAATATAAGTACAACCACCTTTTGGCTATCTCCTTCCCTCTGCGTACCCAACGAATTCAGAAGGATGAATGCCAAATACGCGTACAAAATTATGTATGTTCCCCAGACTTCAGTCGCCAAGTGGCACATCGTCAAACGCACACCACCAGCACACTAGAGGTATCCTAGGGAAATTAATCTCCATCCCCACGAGCGCCTGCAAATATCCCATCGAGAAAAATAAAAGGGAAAGCAAGTGACTCTAAGGCAGGGACGGTAAAGACATTGTAAAGAAGCAAGAAAAAGATCTGGGAAGAGATTTTATATCGAGTAAGGATGGTATTTGGTACTATTTGGTCGTCATGATTTTCAAATTTCAATACAATACCGAAGACTACTGACTGAGTATCTGAGTATCTGAGTTTTTTTTTCTTTTTTTATTATTATTATTATATCTTTCAAAAATCAAGACAACAATAAACCTTCTGTACTCGACTTGCATCAATGGGTGCAAACAGCAAATTTGTCGACTTATCTAGGCTTCAGTTTGCTTCCACTTGGTCAAACAAATCACCTTGTTTGTTTTATGGTGGGTTGCTTTGCTAGTGATTGAAATATTAATGTTATAAGTGTATTGAGTTTTGGGGAGGCTTTGTTGGCAGAAGTGCATTGAACTGCTTCCCAGAGGGAGCACAATATTCCATCACACAGTACACTAAAAACCTGTGAAACATAGTTGTGGCAGGTGCAGTGCACCGTATCATTATTTATCTGTCTCAGAGACAGGTCGTCTTTCTAGTATACTATCTACTAATCCAAAATCTAGTGCCTCTTTCGCTACAAGAGACAAGAAGAGACGTGTTCTTCAATAAATACTGCATAACTTATAAGGGAGAAGGAAACCGCATTGGTGACTTACCAGTCATAAAGTAATCCCGCTCCAGTGCTTTCTCTAATAATTTATTTCATTCAAACGCATTAGTATATGTTACCTTGGTATTAGGAGGAAAGGAAAGCAACGAACCAAATCGTGAAAGTCCGTCCTTAACGTCTTCTCCTTCCTTCGCACAATGCCGTTGGTAAATCTGCGTCAAGACTTCTCGGACACGTAGAATCTCGCGTGCGTGGATCGCTATGTCGGATGCTTGGCCGGATGCTCCACCAGATGGCTCTGAAAATCATCAACTAAGTATGAAAGACGCGGGTTCTACTGAGTGGGAACTTACGGTGGATCATGATACTGGCGTGTGGTAGAGAATGTCTTTTACCCTTCTCCCCTTCTCTACGTTAGATAATATCTATCACAGGCACTGGAGAATCGTAGAATTACCTGCGGCGAGGAGCAATGAACCCATCGAGCAAGCCTGTCCAACACAATAGGTGTGTATCGGCGACGAGACATACTATTTGCGCCACAGAGAACGTGAATTCAGAAATAATTCAGCAAGGCAGAGAATTGAGTCAAATCAGACCTGCATCTGGATCATTGAATTAGCAGAGAACATAACGACAAGCTACTGTAGAGTGAATACAACGTACTGTATCATAAATAGCGAGTCCCGCAGTTACACTCCCACCTGGTGAGTTGATATACATGTGAATTGGTTTTGTTGCGTCCTCTGCTTCGAGGAAGAGTAGTTGGGCAACTGCTACGGCGGACATGCTATCCCGTATCTTTTAACCAGGGTGACTGGTAAGCTATCGATATTTTGCAATGAAATTGTAGGAGCGACGAACAGGACCGTGAAGCATGACCACTCGTTCTCGCAGTAGGCGAGAAAATATATCGAAGGAGCGTTCACCTCGACCCTGCAAACCTCAATAAATTAGCCCCGCATATACATTGAAACAGTAAGTCATGATTATACGTACAGACTGCTCAATAACCATCGGCACCAAGTCATATGAAGTTGGTTCTGTCCATCCTGAGCTTGAGTCTAGTGAAGGTGTCCGTGCACTTGCAGATAGACCAATAAAACTCCTTGATTGTAATCTGAAGCTCCTTGCAGTTCGTGGCACTTGTCGTGCATACAATGAACGAAGACTTGACAGCATTCTAGAGGGAGTGAACAAGCTGCAAATTGCGAGGAAGTCAAGGGCCAAAATGCAGCATGAGGTCGGTACGGAAATCGCGTCTCACGTGATCCCGTTGACGTTAGACGACCACGACCAAGCTCTACACGTCTTCCAACGGCAAGTTGTTTCTATTGGCACCAGCAGACGTTGCACGGCACGAAGTTGTCTACAAAAGAAGCGTAAAGATGTCGGCGGTGTATGCTCGAGCACGAAGCAAGGAAGCACCCATGGTCGGCATCGAGTTCACCAACCGCTCAAAAACCATCCCTGCATGGCGCGTCGACATGCAAGATAAAGAGAACATGGACAACAACAACAACGCCTCTCTCAAGCGTACGCCTACCCGTCTCAGTTTTGCTTTTTTTGTGAAGCAGGAGACTGACGTTACTTCGAACGCGGCTTAGGTTCGCATGACACTGCAATCCCACCTCCTGCCCCTTTCGATCCCAAGAAAGGCGTCCAGGACATTCCGCAACCCGTGTTTGGAGAGAATCTGAGGTATCTTTTCCGACCACCGCATCTTACTCAACCGTCAAATCCATGGGCTGGTCCTTCTTCGATGGAGATACCTGAAGTGGATATGAAAGACGTCGAACTTTCCCCACCTAGGCCACCGCCTCACTCAAGCTTCGGACAGGCAGGCGAATCATCAAGGGTGCGTATGGAAGAAATGAATGAAGGTGCAGAAAATGCCGAAGCGAGACAAGGAAATGAGAGTCCTGAGCGCCGACTCATCTCAAACGCTGCAGTACGGCGTATCGCGCGTAAACGAAAGGATGGTCGTGCTCGTAGCCGCTCTAACCGTATACGAAAAGGGTCAAGAGCAACAGATGCGGACGAAGAGGATGATAGTGTAGATGAGGAGGATGAGGATGGGTCACCCCGGAAAGGACGTGCACTGACGCGAAATACGTCGAATCATTATACCCTCAACTTACCTGGTCCACCGCCTGTGAAAACTGACACACCATACATCCTACTCGGGTATGTCATTATTGCTTCTTCGTTGAGTTCCGCACGTCTAACGAGGGATATTAGCTACCTACAGTTCATGTTCAACCTCTCACTAATCCTCGTCTTCTTATACCTCCTCGTACAATTCATATTCACAGTCCAACATGACGTAGAACAAAGAATAGGGGAATACTCGATGGGTTCGTACTTACATATAAAAAATTCCCTCTTCTCTTATCCTTCCCCCATAAAACACTGCTGATGTGCTCGCTTGTAGACATCCTACAAGAAATCACCACCTGCGCACAACTATACAAACAAAACCTCTGCGATACGTCACCTATCCCGGCAATGTTACACCAATGCGCAACATGGGAAACGTGTATGAACCGGGACCCGAAGGTCGTTGGTCGTGCACGTGTAGGTGCAGAGATGCTTGCGGAAGTGGTGAATGGGTTCGTTGAGCCGATAAGTTGGAAGACTTTGGTGCGTAACCCTCTTCTCTTCTCCTATTTTAATTTGAATTGTACATGAGACTCGGACTGATATATTTTGCATTTGATGATGAATCAAGCTCTTCACTCTGTTGTCCCTGGCGTTTATGACAATCTTCGTCAACGGCCTCGTAATGCTCTACCGTGCACGTCTTCACCCAGATCGTCAACACCAACATCAACAACAACCGCAACAGCACCATCAACCGTCCCCTCACGCCGCCTTGCCATTCCCAAATTTCGCACCTTATCAGACACCTTACGGCGGGTATTTACAACCCGGACAAGCATCTCAGCAACAGCACGGTATATCATGGCACCCAGAGAGTGACGTCGAAGGTATACCGAGACAGCGACGACGACTTGAGAATGGGGAATCTCCTACACTTGGGACGTCGTGATCAACAAACAAGCTTGTAGTTGCTTTAATTCGTCCTTTTTTTATTTTGGTTCTTTTAGCTCATTAATATTTGGGTGTTTACACCGCACTGTGTACATTGTTTTGTTTTCTTATTTTGTATGTGGAACTCATATTAATTTAATTTTAGTTTCTCCCCTTGAAACTATGAACAATGCCTCTGAGATTTCGTGCTTATGGACCTGCTTGAGTAGCTTGAAGGTTGTACTTCTTTCGACTGCTGCTGAATACGTACACAAAGAATTGCGACTGTACAATTGAACAGTGCACTATACAACTTTTTCTATTATTGGAAGTATTTCTCTAACAAAGTAAGAGCACAAAACATAACAAAGGCAGAAACAAATCCAATTGTAATCCCAATAGCCAATACTGTATTATTACCCTTTAACGTTTCATGAAGAGCCATTGTGTCCCACTCTGGCTTCTCGTTCTTTGTGACTCGTTTCTTGAACGCTGCTTCCTCCGCACCAGGTACCTTCCCATCCAATAGAACACCCAAGAACGGAGCAGAGTTGAGTGCAGGGAGACCATCGATACTGGTAAGGTTTTCAGCTCGCCACCATTTTTTCATTCGATTATCGTTATCGACTTTCTTCGTGTTGCCAGTAGTGTCATTTGAAGACTCCGTGGCAGATGAAAGCTCTGTATCGTTCTTCTCAAGCTGAGAGCTCCACGTATATAACGTTCCGCGATGACCTTCGAATTTGTAGTATGGGACGGCGAAGCCGCATGACTAGAAAAGGATCAACAACGTCGATATACATTATTATTACTTAGGCGAAATAAAAATTGAGACTATAATAAGTACTAGTACTCACAGTGCTAACTCGATGAACATCCACCACAATCACCGCCCTAGATCCCGGTTTCCTCTTTTCCGACGGAATACGAAGGTTATACTCCAGACTCCCGAGTTCATGGACAGTGCCTTTACGCAGGTGAATCAAAGATACAGTCAGATTCAGCACGTAGACCAGTCCAATAATAAAAGAAAGAACCCAAGAGCTTACCTTTGCCGTACAACCGTACGATCTCCGGCGGGCCCTCGAAAGCATTAAACATGATAGTTATCCGTCCATTTTCGCATAAGTGAGCAATTGTCTCGCAGCCTATTTTCCCAAGTTTCAAGTAGTCAAGATGCATATAGTCACGGAAAACACTCAATTATATACTCACCAGAGCCTGATAAGTCTTCATACCACACTTTACACGAATACAAAATAAAGTTACTCATTAATTCCAGAGAAAACTAAGTACAAATGGGCCTGCCACTCGCCTCTATTCGAACTCTCAATAAAGAAAGTCCCTCTCAAACCCTTTGGAGAAACATTCACATGCCCCTCCCTTGTGAGCGGGGCAGTAGCAACCCAGAACATCTCCTGTTTCTCGATCCATCTAGACTTGTTTTCAGGAATATGGTCGTATGTCTTCCCCATCTTTTCCCTTTTCTTTTTCTTCCCTTTTTTGTTTGTACCGGAGAATACTTGAAGACGAAGGTGATGGTTAAGTTCAAGATACGGGCAATCGCTTCACCAGATAAGTAATAATAGTGTCACGTGCAATAATTTAACAAATGTTGAATCTGATACTAATGGTCATATTTTCCAGAAGCATAAATGAAATTTATCTCAGTACTATACTATAATACGAATTTTGTCACCATTGTCGGTACGCATAAGTCAAGAACATGGAGGGGTAAAACAAATTGGTTTGCAAAAAAAAAACAGCGCGAGAGCAATGCTACAGAATTGACAAGTTACGAATGCATGCGTTAGAAACAAAGTAAAGAGGAGAAAACGAAACGAAGAAGGGCATAAGAATTCGTAAAGAGAGCTGTTTTGCAATGCGATATGATGATGAAAAACAGTTCATTCTTTTGGACTACTCAATCACGAGCGTGGGCTCGTGCTCTTCGCCTCCGGCGACATCCGCATCACCATCGCATTACCCTGCGACTGGGTATTCGTCGGACTCGAGTGCGCGCTCGAATTACGACGTACATGCGCTGAATCCGGGCCTCCAGGCCCTGTTGGGTTCATCACATCGGAAATCTTATTGCGCGATAGTGGAGGCGCGGCTGGTGGAGAAGTCGAACCCGAACCAGATCGTGAGTGAGAATTAGGTCGTTTGCGTCCGCCATGACCAACATCAACTTGCATACGGTCCTGCTCCAAGGAAGGCGATGGCGCGCCTGCACTAGACGGAGAGTTCGGAACGGGTGTGAGCGTCGCGATCGGCGGCAGAGTCACTGGGTTGTTAGTGGAAATTGGTGGCGGACCATTAGAAGACGAGACAATAGCACTTGGTGGAGGTGGGAGGGGCATGGTGGATGGAATACCAGTCGTATTCGTAGACGACGAAGGGCTGCGATCATGACGACGTGCATCCCGATCACCTGGCTGCACTCTATCCTCTGGCGAACGCGGTGCTTGCGTACGGAACGGAATGGGTGAAGGACGCGAATTTGACAGTGGTGGTGAATTCATACGTCCAATCGTAGGACGATTCAGTATCTCGACCCGCGTGCGTTTCGAATCGCCATTGTCGCTCGTGTTGATCGGACTCAATGGTCGCTTCAACGAACCACCGTTTCCATTCTGGGAGCCCATTACTGGTCCGGGCAGCTGAGGCGAATGACCGGCTGAGCCAACCGAATTCTTAGAGTTCGGAGGCGGACTTACATGGCGTATACGACCCCCAACACTGACAGTCGGAGAGACAGGTCCAGCAGCAGAACCCCCTGATGCAGCAAGGCTCATCAGCGACTCTGCAACACCTTCATCATAGTCCTCGTCGACTTCTCGACGCGGAAGTCCACCAGACGGAAGGGCATTACCGATTGGTGACGGCCTACTCGATCTTCCACTTGAACCCGAGGCGCTTGCTGAGGATCTCGGCTCCGGAGATGGAGGCGACTTGATGGGACCTGCACTCGATGGAGCAACTCTGAACGAACTGGGCTGAACAGACGGTGCACGAGAACCGGCATTACTTTCGGACCCATCTTTTCTCGTTCGTCTACCTCCGCTACGCTGCTTCCTCTTGTCATTCGAAGCGGCCGATGACCCAGCAGAGCCAGGTGCTGGCGTAGGTGGTCCATTAATACTCATGGCATCCGCATCCTTCTTACGTCCGCGTCGCCTGTCCACACTGTCCGAACCGGCCGTTGCTGGATACGGGACTGGATAATCACCTGAGCCTGCAGAGCCTGCAGACATAGGCGGCGGTGGAAGTACATTCCTTCCACCACCCACGGACATCGCAGATGCACTCCTGACAGAGTCAGGCGAGTGTGCGTGACCACGAGACTCCATCCGCTCTCGTTCAAACTCCCTTTCACGTTCAAGCCGGTCCCGGTCTCGCTCATGACGGTCAAGCCTCTCCATGCGGGAACCGTGAGCACTCTCGTCAAACCGTGGGTCATATCGCCGACTTGGCGTACCAGATGGCGGGATTTGCGAGTGTGCATGCGTCATAGATGGCGAAGTGGCGTGCGGGTGTGGACTTCGCCCCGGATCGTCTGCGTAGCGGTTACTCGATTGCCAGCGTGGTATACCAGGTCCCTGAGCACCAGGTCCTACAACAGGTGAGCGTTCGCTTACAGACACTTGACGCGACATCGGGCTGCCCGGTCTGTGCATCGACGGTGATTCCAATGTAGTCCGACGCGATGGCGGGTGACCATGATCGTACGAATGAGCGGACATAGGCGACGTTGGCCCGCGAGACTGCGAGTAACCTTGTACATTCGGCGGTACACCAGCTCTTTCCGAGTCCCTACCCGTTCGCGAGCGTTCTCTCTCCATACGACGGTCTCTCTCCCATGCATCCGAAGGAGGCGGAGGCGGTGGTGTGGCCACTGTTGGATCGTAATGTCCTTGGTACGATCGTGGAGAATGCTGCGAAAGCTGCCCGGGCCTTCCTGGCGCGCTGCCGCCATTCGTCTGTGGCGGAGGGGCAGGAGGATATCCGTGATATCCTACTTCACGAGGTTCCGGTGGCCCTCGAATTTGGCGTTGAGGTGGTGGTGAGACCGAGCGGGACACTGCCCGGCGGGATGGACGACTGTAGTACGCTGGATCACGTTGGTGCTCTGGAGCGACCTGCGGGCCATTTTGCGGATGGTGTAATAACAGGCTCTGCGGAGTTCCACCAGGTCCCCTTGAACGGCTGGATTCGCGTGGAGGGAAGCCATCGCGGGGCGTTGCACGATCAACCTCCATAGGAGCAAGAGGGGTATGGCTAGCAGGACGGCGTGAGTCGTCGAGAACTACAGGTGGCGGCGGTCCCCCTCGGAACGGAGGAGGTGCATGAGTTGCGTGCGGTGATGGAAGGGACATGCCATTTTCATTCCCGTGTTCACGGGATTCGGTGCGAGTGAAAATCGGGCGTGGTGTAGGGCCAGAAGACATGAGCAATGGCGGGCCGCCGGACATCGTCACGGGTGGGCCCACAGCGCTTGCATAAGCAGTCGGGTGTACGTCTTGTGGAAGTGGTGCAGACGTTTGAACTGTTTGACCAGTCTGCTGTGCCGTCCGCAAAAGCTGGAGACGTTGTGAAATGATGACATTACCAGGGTCAAGTTCACTCGCTCGCGCATATGCGTCAATAGCATCACTAATCTGGTTATTGCAACTCTCGTAAAGAGAACCGAGGTCGAACCAGACTTCCGAAATGTACGGGTTAATGCGAATTGCCCGTGAGTAGGCATCGAGTGCGTCACGGTACTGATTGATCTGGAAGTAGAGCACACCGATGGAACACCAGAATGTCGGGTTCCGACCGTCACGGTAAACGGCCTGCTGGTAGGCTTCGTATGCTTTATTGTACTTCTGGCCAGCCATGTAAGCTCGACCGAGGAGGTACCAACTCTGAGCATCAGATGGATCGGCCTCCAAAGACTTGGTGAGATACGTAATCGCGAGGTCCTGGCTTTGGAAGGCTGATCCTTCCTGATGGTAAAGCCAACCGAGTTGCTGGAGAACTTTGGCATGCGCCGGGTTCTCCTGGACGACGCGCTCATACGCATCCTTCGCACGCATGTAATCCTTCTGCTGCTCGTAGACATGTCCGATTTGGAACCAGATGTCGGCATGTGCTAGTGGACTCGGCGGGTTGCGAAGGATTCGATCAAAGCAATCAAGCGAGTCGGTGTACTTGCCCTGCTGCTTGTAGATGATGCCAAGACGAAATAGAATCTCATTCGCCTTATCAAAGTCTAAGGCAAAAAAAACTGTGTTGATACGATACGAACAACGGCATCAATCTCAAAGATAGGTAATCACCTTTGTCCATGTGCAGAACGGAAGCAAAGGCCTCCTCGGCGTGATCAAGGGAGCCATAGCGATCATAGAGTATGCCTATTCCATACCACAGCTTTGGATCCTCCTTTGGGTTGGGAAGGAGATACAAAGCCTGTTGGTAGGCAGAGTACGCCTTCTGGAGGTCATCCTGCATTAGGTAGCAATGGCCTAGAAAGGGAAGGAAGAATCACATGACATGAGCAATGGAAAAGAAGAAGCGTTGTCAGGCACGGGAGATAAGGATGACGTGTACGAACCAAGAGCGCTCCAGACCTCGCCATTCTCCTGCTGAAACTGGAGCACGCGCTGGAAATACTCAATAGCCTAAAGGGGAAAGGGACGATCGGAGCAGATCGGGACGGGAGATAAATTGAGTTTCGACGTGAGTGATCGGCAGGCGGCCGTCGGCAAACAGAACGTCACGACGGACCTTGCTATAGTTTTCCCTTATCCGCGCGATCCCCGCAACCTGTGTCAGACCAGGGAGCGAGTTAGGGTTGTGCTGCAGCGCTCGCTCGTACGCCGACAGGGCCCGATCCAAGTCGCCCATCTGCTCAGCCACTGAACCTGTTGTCATCGACAACACAGCAGTGCAGTTGTTGTGGTATAGTGATGGTAAACGAATTCACATTCAGATATGGTGGAGAAGTCCATTTTTGAATTCATTCCAAAAAAGGCAATGGGAATCCAATTCATTCAGATTCTTCTTCGCTGGTGACAAGGGAGCAAGCGGAAGAACGCACCTATCAGAAGCCACGTTTCCTCGTTTGCCTTTGAGAGCTTCTGAAGTGTTGGGTGTACTGCCGCCGCACTCGGTACAGGCGGCGCTCCGTTCGCATGGGGAACACCTGGCGGACCGGCCGGCGCAGCGACTGGCGAGAGTCCTATAGCACCGATTGCGTGAGGATGGGGAGCATGTCCATTGCTTAGCGGCGGTGCTCCCGCGACGGTTCCGTTCATGTGGGCAGCATGTGGTGGAGGCGGCCCGCCAGCACTGGGCGGACCTTGCACTGACGGACCGGGCGGCGGAGGCGGCGGAGCATGCGGGTCGTGCAGCCGGACGTCACGCTCGCGGACGGGGTGGCGCAACGACATGGAAGGCAGTCGTGCGTCGCAGATGACAGGGAGGATGGATAGCAGACGGTGGTGGAGAGGAAGAGAGGAGATGAATCAGGGGACCAGTGAGAGAGGGGAATGAGAAAACGGAAGGTGGGAAGGTAAGACGATGAAAGGCGAGGAAGGGAGAAAAGCGTTGACGGAAGAGCGAGGCGGGGTATAAAAGAGAAGAAGGAGATCGGGGCGAATTGGTGGAGGATTCTCGTGTTTGCGATGGGATGGGAGGAGTGGAAGTGTCGAAGAAGGCTGAACGAAAGAAGGAAGCGCGACTAATTCATTATGCGCATGGTCAGGGCAGGCTACCCGAGTCCGGATAGCATAAGGGCTACGGCTGCGCTTCTGCAACACTTCGACCCACTTCTTGCGCGATCGAGATCTGTGCGGCTACTAACTTTGGGCCTGCATCCTGCAGGGTCACGGACCGTCATTCTCGGCCTTTCAGTGTCACCCATCGCACCCAATCAACTGCCATATCCGGCCGGGTCCTCGCCTCATCTCCCCGCATTCCTCGCCACGTGATCCGCGAATCCATCCATCCGTCATCATCTGCGTGTTCATAACGGGGCTGCATCTGCTGCTGCATCTTATTTACACATCTTCGATGGCGCTTCTCCTTTATCTTGCATCGCATCGCACTGTGACTGTGCACCTGTCGCTGCTGCTGTCAGGTGTCCGCCCTGCTGCTCGCTGAGTCTATTCTCTCCGCAAGCAATCGCCGGCCGATATGGCTTGAGATGATGATAGAACAAGTCCCGCCCTTCTCGCGTCTCCCTCGCGAACCGCAAACACCAATCATCCGGTGCCCCGCGGACGCACTACTCTGGCACTGTACTGGTTCTGTGTGTCTTCTTTCGGCATCGGATGCTCGGAGCCAAGCACATTCACACTCGGCATTCCCTCGTCACACAAGTGCACAATGCACCCGGCGTGGAAAAAAGGGGGAACAGGCCATCCGTCCGCGAAAATGCAATTGAGAGTGCGAAAAATAGGCTAATTGACCGGCATCTGTATACGTTTGTGTGTATCTCTGTATGCGATCAAGGAAATGAAACGAAACCGTCCATATGACCCGGGACCCTGTGCAGATCGCCTGCCCGCTAAGACGTAAAGCCAATTTCAGTTCGATTTCATATTTGGTTTTGTTCTCGCTCCCTCATATCAGCACACCACCGTCTACTACGCCTCTCCGTCCTCCCACGCCCTTGTTTTCTGTCGACGATCAGCCCCTCCATCGCCCATACCCACGCCGCCCACGCTGTGGTTCTCTTCTTTCCATTTCTCTCTTATTTTCTTCCGCGCGTCACCTATCTCGATCAGATGCTCCTACGAGCACGGACTAGCGCCTTAGGGCCTATCGTCACCGCCACAAATACAACCTACAGTGCCACAGGCCCAAAGTTTAGGGCACCATAGCGATGGCATCCCCCATTCGGTTCCCGCCATTCTAGTCGCGCAATGAGCAGAATCGATCCCACTGCACTGCCATGTGTCTCCTAGCCGCACATGATGAGGACAAATATGACGGTACTTCCGAGCATGTCCGTGTAGCGTCGTCGTCACTGTCGTCGGCTGTCGGATGCTGGCAGGTGCAATGAATAGCAATTGCGCTACGAAAACTACTTACCCCTTCATTCTGTTTTTAGCGTTCTTTTGATCCCGCTCCATGAACGGCGAATCCCGAGCTCGTGCTTCGACACTTCGTGCCAGGACTTCGGCGAATGCCCTGTCCTAGACACGCCTCGTTCGTGCCGTGCTAAACTCAGATGCTGTTGCTGTACGGTGTCAAAGACAGCCTATATCCGCATCTGAGCGTTCATCTGGATCCTCGTTGGTATCTAGACCATCCATCTATCTTGGTTCCTTCGCAATTGATCTGTCCTACATCAAACACAGTGAACATGCCAATAAGTACTACTAAGTGCTATGACATATGACCCCGGTGATTGTCGCCCTTCTTCGGTCATCTGCGTTCATCGGTTTCAACGTAACGATGAGCGTGCGCCACCAAGATTCAGTAGCACCTGATGAACGAAAAAGTTTGTATTGCAGTACATATGCAAAGTGCGATCCGGATCCGATCGCACGAAGCTCTTGTCCTGTCTCCTTGACTTTCGAAGCAACACAGTTTTTGTATAGAGAAGCCGCCGCCAACTGCGACGCGAGCTCACATCCGTGGCGCTACTATGTAGCAAACAAACTTGCTAAGTCAACACCTTGATTGCCAGGATATCTATCCAAGCCAGCAAGATGGTAGGACCCTTATTCGAGGCGAGTCAAATGAAGTGGCATCGCTGTTAGTTTGGTCCATAACGCCGCCGTCAAATCATGATCGCCACATATACTGGCACGAACGCAATTTTAATAGCCCTATAAAGCAAATCATCAAGATATGCTGCTGGTGCTGCTGCACTGAAGTTTGCGTGGCGTCGTCCCGGAATCCGATGCTGCCTGTACAATGAAGGAGCTCTGCAGATCATCATCGACGAGTGTGATAGGTGTGATACATAATGAAATCTGCACGGCCTCTTTCTTTCTCTCCTTTCTCCGCTTTCATCTCCTTACCTTTTCCGCCTTGCTTATCACCGAACCAGCCAATATTATGGTTACCTTCTTTTTTTCGTCCTGATTTTGTTGTCAAGTCGTGCGTCAATTAGGATATACGGCTTCTCAACACGAACAATCTCCGGCACCACTGTTATATTAGCTTAGCATAAGTATCTAGTATTTCCGTGCCTTCGAATCAAGTTCTATCACACAGGCAATTTTCTTTCTCGACTTCTTCATTATTCAAACATAAACTAATTCAATCCTTCCATTCGTTCGTTCATACTATTCGCCGATTCGGCGGCGGCTGCATAAATTGATCTTGCACATACGGAGGTCGTCGGCGAACACATACAGCCATCCACTTGATTCGAGGAGGAATGTAATGAAATGAAATGAAATCTGCCATCAGGCTTAAACTTGTCTAAAGAGAGATTAGACGCCCTCCCCTTGAAATGCACAAAGCTCCCGATACATGCAAATGATATATCATATCTAGTTGATTCAATGTAACACATATATGCAACACGAGGATAAGGGTAGCAGCGGGGAAGCCTTAATTGGTAGGTGGCGCACAAAGAAAGAATGTACTAGGTAGGACAGGAGACAGGGGACAGGGAAGAAAAATGAGAAAGGAAGTAAAGCGAAACACGTGGCAGGCGCTGTGGAACTTTGGGGACAAAGACCGCGGGCACAGGCAAATCATATTCCTGTGTAAAGTGAAGTAAAAGAACAGAAAGAAAAAGGAGGAAGAGAAGTTTTGATCCAGGTCCTTTCAACGTCGGACTGTGGTTCCGAGCACAAGACAGTGTCCAAAAGAGCTCAATGGCCCATCCAGGCCAAGCAAACAAGACAGGACAAGAACCGAGACCCAATCGGGGATCTGCCCTTTTCAATGAATTACCCTCACCAATTAAACAAACAAGGCTAAGACAAACAAAGCTAACCTAAGAAAAGATCATCTCAACCCATCAGCACCATCAGCTACCATCATCGAACCCTGTGGTGTCTCTTGTCAATCGGTCCTTTTTCCCGTGTGAAAAACGGCTTATGTGGCTGTGTAGGGTATTATGTGGCTGTACACAACACGCTCAACCGCCGCCGATTGCGAGTCCTGGACCCTTTAGCCTAGTGTGTTGATTATATCATACACTTTAACTTTTCTCTTCCATGCCAGTAATTTGGTAATTTGAAATTCCTTTTATAAATCTGTGTTTGCAAAGGGCGATCTCCCACCGCGCTCTCAAATTTTTATCCTCTTCTCGCTCCGGTCCGATGCCGAGTTTCTTGCTGTGCAACTGTTTATGTGCGATCGAGTGTCTGTGCCTCCACTTCACACTCTTCTCGTTTTGGCGTGAATTTCCATTTGCCTCTTCTCATTTTCTTGATTTTGTTGATCTTGTGAGCATTTGTGGTCTTATCATGAATGTTTTCTTTGTTTGTCTGTTTCCCAGTGGATTTTGGATTTTGTTTTGAGAACAGTACAAGATAAATGATATTCCCCAGTCATATGTTTGATATGTTGTGTGTCATTGAGAAGTACGTTGGGGTCTATACGTAATTCCATTGTTAGAAGAACACTAATACACCTGCCTCATGTGCTCGTGTGTACTGATTAATGACCCATAAATCTCCTTGATTAAACAAGTGCTACAAGACGACAGGAAGTCAACAGAGTTCGGGTGGCGTTAAATTCCAATCCAATCATATATGGCAATGATTCTATTTCTCTGAGGCTGAGATACAGACTAATGTGGTTTCACTCTTGATTAGACAACCGGGTGACCACATTTGCTACTCTTAGAGTATATTACATGTGAAATTATACTTGCACAAAGGTACGGAGGGAGAAAGTTCGGTGAAACTGGATGCGGAATCAAGATAACTCGGAGTGGGAGTGTTATGCCATACTGAGTCTTTTTGGTTTGTTATCCGTAGATGAATACTATCATCGATAGCATGCATGTGAATACATCGTGTACACGGAGATAATATCACTATCATACCTTGGCAGCTTCTCTTGGGATTAATTCACAGGCAACGCAACCCAGATATAAGAAGCATTTGTGGGTGTGAGAGAAGAGCACAAGCATCAAACTTACAAATTAAGATTGTGTGTACATGCCCTGGCCTCGGTCGCATTTTGCGTGACCGCATACACACGCAGAGAGCAGTATTTCTATATGGATTCGGGAATTCGAAGCATTCCGACCTCGGTGGAAATCATTATCACGTACACGGCATTGACAGCGTGCCGTGCTACTATGATTCCGTCTCGCTCTGCGGGAAGGCGAAAGGGGCGGTGCGAAGCGCTAAGTTGGGAACGCATCCATGGCACGCCCCGCATTGCTACTGATTGTGATTGTGATCGCGATCGTGATGGTGCCCCGGACTAACGACGAGCCAGTTTCAGAACAGGGTCAACCGGGCCAAGTGAGGAGATGAAGGAACACTCCAGTCAGATGGTGGCTGTGAACGCGATAGCACAAAACATAGAAGAAGAGATGAATGATGTAAATGAATGAAATGGACACAGTACACTAGTGGAATGAAAGAATCAGGATATGAATTCAATGTAGATATCATTTGACAAGACTCACACCGGAAACCTGCGATGAACAGATTCTGAGGCAAACGGCGAGACGGCGCTGACCCATGTGCGGATGAACTTTGCACTGCGAACGCATGCGAGGAAAAGCTCTGCACGCCGAAGTAGGAAAGAAACGTGGACGTGTCTCCATCGCGGTTTAATCACGCCAGGAACGTGGGTACAGCGACGGCCGGACGCGCTCGGAGGTTCACTGTCTCGACTAGGAAGGAGACAGAATCGTCTCGGAACTCAGCGAGGGAGGGAGCCTACGATGGCATCGCTAGGACGGCCAGATTCGTTCGAAACGGCTAATAATCTTAGCGCCGTATAGCAAGAGAAGGGCCGAGACAGGAGAAGAATGGAACTTGTGCTCAACGTCAGATCTTCATGCCACTAATTCTAACCTGAATGCAAAGGACCAGGGCGACTGCCGAATATGCATTTCGATAGTCCCGAAACAGCCTGTATTTGTCCGGACAGAGTCAGACGTGTCAATGGAAAGCGGACTGGTCGACAGAGCCCGTGCACGGCGGACAGGGACAACGTGTTCGCGGAGTTTTTGTGCCAGTGTGGTTAGGCATACAGGGGCAACGCGCGAAAATCACGGGCAAGTCATTTGCTGCCACATCGGACAGGCAGGACGCCCGAATCCGAGTTTATGGAATGAGGGAGCAGATCAGACAGGCTAGACACACCCACATTTACATGCCCACAGCACAGGCTAGGATCCGCAGCGCAGGCACGCGTGCAATTGACACACATGGGAACCCCAACTGGACGACGTCGGAATCGTTTCTTTGGAGATTCACACTAATTGAGTTGGCAGGATTAGAGCAGACATGCACCAGAAGCCGTCAAAAAGAACATCGATGCAACGAAGAACCTGCGCCAACGTTCGGTACACTTTTTGTAATTGATGGCCCGCATCCGTGTCTGCCTAAAAGATGAGCGCTCCGCAGAACTAGTGAAAAAGAAGAATCAGTCAGGAAGGCAGACGGCGTTTGATCGCATGTTCAACCGGTGGCGACTGAATAGCCAAGGGAAGGGCCATCGCTGTCATGAGGTAATATGGGGAAGAACAGGAAGAACTAACGTTAGATAAGGTTGCTGAGAGAAAATGGAAACCGAGCAAGGAATGGAAAGGTACCCAGATGGGATCGCCGAATTAAGCACGTCACCATATCAGATAAGGACCCGCCCGATCTTCTTTAGTTGAATAGTTCCTTCTCCTCTCCTGGAGACATACTCCGTTGCTGACTCATCCGCTTTAGCTAGCCGGAGAACAACTGTATTCCCGCGTTCATTCGGTAAATTCACAGCCACAGCGGTCCCCAGCGTGACTCTCTTTCACGCTTCGATCCCCGAATGACGTGCCACTTGTTGCCATCTGTTTGTGCATCATTCAATAGAAGCAGTTGGTCAGCGGCAAAGCGACATGACCGTCAGTTGCCCATTCCTTCCGTGAGCTTCGTTTGGTGCGCTGCTGGGAAAGTTTCTCCGTTCCTTCCTCGACGCCTGTGGTCAAGGTGCTTCTTTCGTTTCAACCTTCTTATCCATGTACGTGGCACCGCGGAAGGGAAGACCATTCTCCCGTTCCTTTTTTCGCACACGGTCACTAGTACTGCCTCTTATGTGTCCGATCTAGTTTGGGGGAGATAGTCCGATTTAGAACACAGAGAAGAAGCTGAATGCTATATGACCAAACGGGCCTGCCGAGTCCTTACTTTCTCCTTCTCTTCGATCTATTTTTCTCTCTATTGCCTGAGGTCCGGTCCGTCCGGAGGAAAGCTACCATGGACGAGAGAAAGTGCACGGCCGCTATTGGCGGCACCATGACGGCTAAGTCACTAATATTCTCATTGGCTTCCGAGTTCAAAATCCATGTGTTCTTCGACTGTACTAGCGCGCTGGAGCCTTTTTACTGTAACGTGTGTCCTTCCATTCCGAATAGAATCCTATGCTCTTCATCACGCGGAAGGGGAAAACATATGTATTGCGTGTATCCAAATCATATTCTAGTTTTTCCGGATCAAATTGATGAGTTCCCTACAGATATGAGTAGGAAACATGCTGCTACTTTCTCATTTCATCGTCATTAAGTGCTTTCTTCCGCGTTAATTCCGTCCGGCTCTGCAGTACATTCCGTGTACGTACAATTTTCGCTATCCGCAGCAGTAGCCTCAAAGAAATTAGACATTGTCGGTTTCATTGCATTGTACTCGTGGCGGAGCCGATCGGGTAGTGCATCCATGACGCGAAGTGCTATTGCCCTGCAGAGATGCACAATTGCACAGAAGCGCATCAGTTCCCGCAATCAATACATTTCAAATATATTTTGTCGCGCCGAAATGAATAGGTGAGACAGACTCGCAGAGACAATCCCCTCGGACTTGGAGTCTAATTCTTTCCGTCCCCTGAGAACGAGAGCGAGAACGAGGCACCTCCGCTTCCGTCTAAATAAGACAAGATCATCAATCTCTGGTAGGCAAGAGTATGATTTCACAGACCCGGCGTGGCGTGTTGGATTGAGTCGGCATGTCTGGTCTCCACGCTGGGCGGTGGCGGCGGTGACTTGCGGCTAAAACTCAAAGCCAATCAAGGAAATGTTTCTGGTGATATTTTACACGTTGCAAGAGGCCTCGTGGAATATGTCAAAATTGCATGTACGTTACCTGGCAGCAGGGAAGACATAGCCCGAGAAAAGCGGGAGTGATTCTCTCTGCCCGTAAGTACATAAATATATGTATTGTTCCTTGGGCGAGAAGTTGCTGACCTCTCCGCGGAGAGCTTGGGCGAAGTGCGGAGGCAACCGAAGTTGGGGCTTGAATAAATTCAATAACACCTCACACGAGTCTCGACTCAACCACCCTTACCCGGCCTGTCTTGAACGGCGCCCTTTGCTGCGCATGAAAAGAAGACATGAAATACATAGATTTCGTATTACACAGATAATTAGTATCACTAGCGACAGAGAACCTCCGTATAAGATCTGAATGAAGTCCATTTATCGCAGATCGACCAGCAGAGTGGATTTTATTTTTGCTCACAATTGTGACCGATTATTGAAACGCCAAATCTTGCAGTAAAACAGCTGTATTTGCAGTGTTGATACAGGTCTTAGTATTGTCATATTGGCGAAGCACAACTACTTTACTACATTGCTCCGCCCCAGTCCTGCAGGCTTATGATATATCGACGGACATGACGAGAGTTCAGTAAACGCATGGTCACGGAACCAGAATGTTCTTTGACACAGCTTCTTATGTAAGCATGTGCTTGACTTGCGTCCAGACGTCAAACCTTGCAATCCGACCTCAAGTTGCACAATGACTCGTACGTATGATTACCGCTTTCGTCTATTCAGTAAGCTTTTGGGATTAATTGGATTCTAGGCGGAAATCAACGCGAAAAGGATCGAGAACGCGCTGCGAAGAAAGCAGCTGCAAACGCCAAAAAGCCGAAGGAAAGTGCCACGAATCTCCAGGCTCGTAAGGAAGCGTACGCCCGCAGCGTTTCTCCATTCAACTATTTTGACGTTCATATATCTTAAATGACATGCTTGTAGTGATGCCGATGCTTTGAGAAGGAAGCAGGCTGTATGTCAAATTTCACAGTTTAACGGCTTGTGGCTAGATGTTGACCGTCCGAACTGTTAGGCTGCGGAGCAGAAACGTCAGCAAGCTGCTGCTGCAGGAGGTGGCGACGGGAAATAACCATTGTTCTGATCAGAGAGGTTCTGCCAGCATGCAGCATTTCTCTGGTCGACGGGGTTAATGAGTGAAGTCTAGCGGATGTACAACATATCATATCATGCAATCGTTTCACTTGGCGCAATCGTAAACATGTCATTGGTCGTGGTTTGATTGAGGGGATCGGGCTGACCCTCAGTAATCTTAATAGGAAATAACTGATCATCGTTTTGGAGTTAAGAGGGGTAGATTCATAAGGTGGTGTTTCAATCATATCGTCACTCAGTTCACTTCTTGTCAGCTGTTCATTATCTTTCTATTCGCTTTTACGTCTGGCCGATGACCGCCGTCGATTATCATTGTTTCTTAGCTCGCTTTGTTCGGCCGCGCTGGCAGAACTCCTGACGTCTGCGAACCCTCCGTTTACGTCGCCGGAGGTCAACCAACTGATATTGGGAAGTGTGCAAACGGGACTATCGAATGGGGCTAGACAAGTGTCTTCTCGTGCATGACCGGCTTAACTTTGCATTCTGATAAAGAATTAATATCTTGGTCCTTGCCTTCATCCTAGAACTTAATACCTGCAGCTTCCTCGTGTGCTGGCGGGATTTCATTCTGGAACATCTTCCTGTGCCTCGCTTTGGAATACCGTCAATTATACCATGTTCTGGGCTCTTTGCTGTCGTATTCCCACCCTGACAGCAGCCATGCACTATTTTCTTGTAAAGTTCAAGTGACAGACTCTTTATCGACGACGGACACACTTCTTCATGAACTACGAAGCACTGGAAAGGCTCCGAGGGCACGCAATCCCTTCACACGACTTCCTCGTTCCTCCGTCTCGTGCAGGAATTTACTCGGAAGGTACCGCGAATCTCCGTAATAGATGCGTCATTGGAAGCGAGCCCAGTAAGGGCAAGTTACTCGTATGAACGTGTTTTCTTACGCCCTTTCGGCGTATCGATCACGTTCCTTTTAAAAGGCCGCCAAAGCTCCTCTCTCAAAGCCAATCCGGATTAAGATTTGCAAGACCTCTGACATAGGAGTTTCCTACTCGCCGTTAGCAGATTGTATGATCTAGTCCCATGATCTGCTTTTCACAGAGATGTCTAGTGTGTATCGACAAACGAGATATGAGTTGTATCATGTATGATCTCAGGGGTGCAAGCCTTGTGTGCTATTTTTTGACTAATCTGCTTCGTTTGTTGAAATTTTAGGGTTCGTTTCTGGCTTCATGGCGTACCGTGTATCGTGTACTGTGTTCACTCATCAAGGTTGAAGATATCGCACGGAGATGCGTTCCTTCGTCACACCTCTTCGTTCGGGAAAAGTAGAAAGTGGAAGGAAGATGAAAGATGCTGGACCGGCTGAACTACCCACCCACCGCTCTAACTTTCTCCAGGGATCATTGGTTCAGACTTCTTAAGTTCTATCTATCCAGCGCTGTGGAACCTCTGAGCTAAGGGAACGGAAGCGAATTTTGATTCCTACAGGCTATGAATGGCTACTGTTCATCAGCCGAGTGCCGTTATTAGGTGTAAGAAGAAGTGGGAAGTCAGCCCTGATGTGTGTGTATATCTTTCTGTATCCGCGTGCTTTACTTACGGCTAGCGTGAAGGAAGGCAGACTGGTAAAAAGGCCTCCCTCCCTTCGCGTGAGCTACTAATTCAGGGTTGCTGTTCGGTCTACTGTCTTCTGGTAGGCTACCCGGATCGAGATGCCCAGATGGTCCGAGGTGTAGGATCTTCTGTCCCCGGCCTTCCTCGTGTTCTGAATCTTTCCTCGTGCACATTTGGATCATCCCCCATTATCTTGGCCTGGGCTGTATGCCTTCTTCTGTGACCTGGAGCCTTCTGCACATGACTATGTAGTCAGGTCTACACGGCCTGAGCATGTTTCTTGATTTCCTGCTGAATAACCTATAACTTCGAGCTCTCCGAGGATGCCCTGAAGAAGAAGAATGATTCCTTGCTCGTGAGCATTCCCGCGGATACCCTTGAAGTGTTCTCGTCTTTCGTGTTTATCCTTAGGGTGTGATTTGGTTCATATTGCAATGTTCTGATTTGCAGTTGATGTCCCCATACATAGGTAAGCAAGAGAATCAGTTAATCAATCACAGGAAGACAGAGTAGGAAGTGGAAGTGAAAGTGGAAGTAGAAGTGTTTGTTCAGAATCAGTATGTGAGATTGCAAATGGTGAGATACATATAGATCATGCATGTAAAAGAAAGTAGTGCTTTGTGGCGTACCTAGACCTACAGAACACAGAACACATACTAGTGAGAGTTCATATGAGAGTCAGAAGAACTATATGAAGTCATTAATTTCTGTATGAAATGAACAGCATTTAATGTTGGCTTTAGATTGTTGATCATGCAGGATCAATGATATTGTAGTATCTATAGTAATACTAGTCTTGGAGTGTTATTTGATTACTCTTCTTTCTAATAGATGGGAGGATTGGATTCTGATTACAAGCCACAGTTAGACACAGTTGCAAGTGTGGTTCAAAGTTGCTTGTGCATCCAGACACTGTTACCATACTGAGTCATATGCACAATAGTTACAAATAAACCATCTTGTCTACTTCTTCACTTCACTTCCACTCTGCTCTTCCCTTCAATGTCAAGCATCTCTGCTCTAGAGTCACTTGTATACCTGACTGAACAAAAAAGGGTAATTGCAAGCGCTCGTGGAAATGGAGAGTGATCTTCGTTTACGAAGATGAAGGGTCCTGGATACGTCTGTCTGTCTACCTTGGCTTGGCTTGGCTTTTTCTCTTTGAATTTGAATTTGAGACAGTGTTGTGGATTGGATTGGATTGGATTGGATGTATCTAGGGTACAGTTTCACTGCATGCTGTTGCCTTTCTTTTAGTTGTGTGGAATGGAATGATAACTTGGCGTTGTGCTGGGAGTGGATAGATACCTGGTTTGGAATGAGGATCGGGTTTGTGTACAAGTCTTGGTTGTCTCTTCCTGTTAGTGAGAGTCTTGGTGCCTGTTACTAGGTAGCTACTTCTATTGATCTGCCATATTCGACTGAGGTAAGGATGATGGATGAGTGTTGTTCGGGCTCGACGGAGTTGCGTACGCATTATTATAATTGTAAGTAATTCTTATTTGTAAACAGTTATATTCGCACTACAAATATCTCGTCTTCGTATTACGGGAACTTCAGTCCACTCGTAATAATCGTCAAGGTGTGACTTATTTATACCTGTGCTTTCTGGTCAGGAATAGATGGAGGTTACGGAACGAGCAGTAAGAGGAAAGTCATGATGGTTCCTGCCTGTGTGTTTATTTGATGTGGGATTAGCGACAGTTGCGCGGCGTTTGGCGATAGCGTTTGGATGATGCGCCGTCAATCAAAGCGGAGACTGACTGGCTGGTTATGCGCAGTTTGACGGTGCCGAGACGTGGGAATGATATCAAGACGGGACAGGATACTGAAGAGGAGTTGGGCTAGATGAGGATACAAGCTTGGCTTGTAGATAGACTCGAATGTGCAGAGACACTCGTACAGTTGTAGAAGAGTGCTTCTGCGATAACTGAGATGACTGCGGAGTATTTGCTTCCGATGCAGATAGGAAATAAAATATTTATGGAGTAATATAGGATGGCAACGTGCTGTTTTGAGCGTGGGAGAATGGAGATGGTGATTGGCCGGCGCGGATGGGCGGCAACCATTGGACTGGCAGCCGTCACTCTTCCACCCCTCGTCGTCGTCAACGGGCCACACGCTGGTTCATCGTCTACTTCGACGACGGCTTCACCAGCCTCCACTCTCTCTTTCTCTCTCCTCTCCTCTTTTTCTTTCCCTTTCATCCCGCACAGCAGGCGGCGACCCGCTGGCCGGGACTACCTGCTCCCTCCGATTATAGTATTTCAATCTTGGTCACTTGGGGGTTTATTTGCTTGGCGGGTGAGAGTCATCAATCAGTCTTACTACACCGCTCTCCTCGCTCACAAGACCGTCGTCTTACCCTGGTCCGCAGCAGCCACAGGAGTCTCTCTTTCCCTTTCCTTCCTTCTTTCCTTCCTTCGCCACCTTTCCTTTCTCTTTAGATGTCTATCGTCTATGCGCTGGTCGTTCTTCTCAATGCCTTCCTCGTGTTCGGTAAGTGACGCATCTCTATCCCATCATCAAAATGATTGTGTGAATGAAATACTGATGTGTGGGTGTTTCAGCATCGAGCGTCCCTCCAAGACCTCTGACACGAATCGCCCATCCGACGACGCTCGCCCTCGAGATCCTTCCTCGCCATAACACGCTCAAGCCACGTTCATCCGACTCACCTTTTCTAACCAGTACAACGCTTTATCATTCTGATTCCTTCCGCCTCACCCTATCCGCATTTGGCGAGACATTTCACCTCCACTTACGTCCGAACGATGATCTTATTCACCCCGCGGCACGGATAAACTACTTCAACAAGGATGGTGTTCTAGAACGCACTGTACCACTTGTGCGCGAGAGTGTACGTGCGTATTGGGGAGAAGTTGTGGCAGCTTCGCGCTCGCAACAGCGGTTGCGTGAGGATGCAGCACGGATGCTCCCACGACCTGACCTGGGCTGGGCACGGATTCTGGTGCACAGCCAGGGAGATGCGGATCGTGGCATTCCTCCTGTTTTTGAGGGAGCATTCTCTGTCGATGGCGTCACGCATAATATTCAAACGCGTGAAAATTATTTGCGTAAACGGCATGAATTCGATCCGGCGTTGGTAGATGGAGCCGATTCGGATGCGCAACTTGTAATATGGAGGGATTCGGACGTACTGCGGGACGAGGGGGAGGAGCAGTCTCTTGGTTGCTTACATGATGATCCATGGCGGAGCCCCTTAACGCACATACCGTGGGACGACGATTGGACGAACGTCTCACTTGCGAGGAGAGATGATGTACAGGGTAGCGGATCGTCCAATAACTTCGAAAGCAACATTGGTCAATCGACCGGTTGTCCATCGACACAAAAGATCCTCTATATGGGTGTTGCGGCGGACTGTAGTTATGTTGCCGCACATGGATCAGGTCAAAATGCATCTGCGCAGATCATCAATAACTGGAACACCGCGAGCTCGTTGTATAAATCGACTTTCAATGTCAGTTTGGGTATCTTACATATTAACGTGCAGGACCCGGAGTGTCCATCTTCGGCGCCTGCTGATACGCCCTGGAATGTCGGCTGCGATGCCTCGAACGTAACACTGAACGACCGGTTATCTCTCTTTTCGGGGTGGCGCGGTCAACAGGGGAACGATGGTGCCGGGCTTTGGCATCTGATGAGTGGATGTCCTACGGGTTCTGAGGTCGGTGTTGCGTGGCTTGGGACGCTTTGCCAGCAGAGCACAACAGGTGACCCGGGTTCATTTGTTAGCGGGACTGCCGTTTCGACAAACGGACGAACAGAATGGGAAGTCGTCTCGCACGAAATCGGCCATAACTTCGGTGCGATCCACGATTGTCAAAGTACTTGCGAGTCGGGCGGTGTAATCTGTTGTCCGCTTTCCTCAAGCACTTGCAATGCAAACGACCAGTACATCATGAGTCCGGTTACTTCGTCCTCGCAGAAGATGTTCTCCCAATGTAGTCTGGGCAACATCTGTTCTGTCATGCAGTCAACGTCTTCGAACTCTATCAACGCAACTTGTTTACAAGACCCGAGCTCGGCAATAAAGACTCTTTCGCTGAACATGTGCGGGAACGGTATCGTTGAAGAGGGTGAGGATTGTGATCCAGGACAAAACGTAACTTCATCGTGCTGTGACTCTACGACGTGCAAGTTTAAGAACGGCGCGCAGTGCGATCCTGCGAGTAGTCCGTGCTGTACGGGCACATGTACGTTCTCGCCTTCGAGTCAGGTATGTCGGCCTGCGGTAGATGCGAGTTGTGATATTGCGGAGATGTGTACGGGTACGTCGGCGGATTGTCCTGTGGATGTGTTCCAGCCGAATGGACAGAGTTGTGGGGGTAATGGACTTGCTTGTGCGAATGGGCAGTGTACGAGTCTTAGTCGTACGTACCTTCTCTTTCACTCTCGATTTCCCCATTTAGGCGTTGAAATTCTGACGACTATGATTCGGATTGCGAAATGATTGAACAGAACAATGCCAGACTATCGGCGCTTCGATGAATTTGACGACTGCTTGTCAGAAACAGGATAATTCGTGTCGGGTTTCGTGCGAGGATCCGAATAATCCGTCTCAGTGTATACAACTTCAGTCTCAGGTCATAGATGGGTCACCATGCGGTAAGTCAGCTTTGATTTCTTATTTTGGACAAGTGAAACTAAAGCTGCGTTGTAGGCTACGGTGGTACTTGTCAGTCAGGTGCATGTCAAGCTGGAAGCGCGTTGGATACTGTGAAGGTAGTGTATTAAATATTCTATACTCGGGGTTAGTGATTGAGTTATTATTGTATTTTCAGGCATGGTATGTGCAGAACTTGCAGATATCTATCCCCGTGACGGTCGTAGCAGCCATCGTGGTTCTCCTTATGCTTTGGGCGCTCTTCATTTGTGCGTATTGAATTCTTTTCCTCCCAGAACTTCTACTGAGTAAATGACCAACTTAACTTGGATTATTGTATACAGGCTGCAGACGAGCCTTCGCAAAGAAAGCACCCAAGTCAATGGAGCCAGCACTCTCTGGTCGACGAGGTGCACGTCTAAACAGCTGGGAAGCTCCTCCGCCTGGAGTCCAAGCCCGGTCAGGCGCATCAGGCGCATTCCCGCCTGTACTTCCTACTATGCCGTTTGCTTCGAGACCTCCTGCGCAGCAGCAAATGGCCAATGTAGTTCCTAGTGGTGTTAGTAATGGGAATCATCGACGAGCGTCGGCGAGTGTGTCGATACCTACGTCTCTCCGACCTGGTGGAGAGACGACGACGATGGGTAACCTTCCACCCTCCGCATATAACAACAATAGAAGGCAAAGTCAGAGTCAGAGTTGGGACGCAGGGAGGCCTTCTTCAAGGCGAAGTAGCGGCGGGAGTGGAGGAGGGAATGGAGGTGGGAGTAGTAGACCTGGATCAGGATCGGGACAAGGGCCGAGAGCGAGGGAGCCTGCGTTCCCTAGTTTGAGCGCTGTACAGGCTAGGACGAGGACTAGTGATAGGACTGATAGGTCGAATTGGGTGGATCCTGCGAAGTGGAATGGGTCGTTTGCTGGTGCTCCTTAGTGCCCTAGTATATCAATGGGGCATGCATTGATTGATGGTCACTGTTGTGATTTTTTCGAGTTTCTGTAAGGGAGGGAAGGAATTCTGTCTTTAGAAGGTTGGTTAAGTCGTCTATTTCGGACGTATGTGCATTTGGGATCTTCTGTTTTTGCTTTTTTATTTGTTTTGCTTTATGAATCTTTTTGGTAGTTTGGTTTGGTTTTCGAGAATGGTGTATATTAGCTTACCAATTTGGCATTTTTTTATGCACCTACCGACCTAACAAGTTACGTAGCAATTGCATACTCTGCTCTACCCTATATTACTACAGTGTGATCTACCCTTTTTTTGCATTATACTGTTCATGCCGACCGCTAGTAAACTACTATACGACATTTCTTGCGTTTTTTTCAAGATACAGAGAGATGAAGTTAGAGGTGATTCCTTCGAGTTTTATTGTACTCAAGTACTGGTGTTCTTGTATGCATCGAAGGTCACCCATAACAATAACAAACAAAAAGTGGAGGGAGAGAGACACATTGGTAGATTTGTTAGAGCTATTATATTTTTCTATAAATTATCTAGTTTTTATTTATTTATTTGACTGAAAGGGAGTTCAACTCTTGAAAGTTGAAAGAAGAATGGATAACTGAAGATGCGTGAGATTGAGTTTCCGTTTCCGCGACGCGTTGTTCTCCGTTTTCTCATTCATTCCAAGTCCAGGAACATCCGAATCGTTGCTCTTATACTCGTCTCTCCCTCCTTTCAAAAGCTGTATCTATTGACAATACTTTATTCGGACGGAAAGAAAGCTTGCACTCTCTTTAAAAACTGAATTTTTATTGGATCCGGAGGTGATTGGTTTTGGTGATTGGCGAGCTTGCTTTCGACGACCAACAACCGACAACCGTGGCATTATTGGCATCGTTACTTATTTCGGCTCTCGTTTTCTTCAAGAGATTGCCATCCTCGAGTCGGCTGTGTTTTTCCTGACAGTCAGGGCGTACTGTTACTTATTGCCACTACTACGTGAGCTGCCTACGTTTCTACGTCCTACGTGCACATAGCTACCCAAAGCAGACAAGTGAGGAGGAGGAACTTCAACTGTTTTCGAGAGTGGAACGATGAGTACGAATGCAATGGTGGCTGGTTCTAGTGGCTCGGCGAGTCCTTCGCCAGGAGGGACTGGGAGGAGGAGCGGGTCGGCTGATAGAGATAGGAAGCGAGGGAGTTATGGAGAAGGGAGACGTGGACGGTCGCATTCGAGGAATACCTCGTTGGGCGTGGAGGGAAATGGAAACGCGGTACCTGGTGTTAGTGCCGTTGTACCCCCACCGAAGGAGAGGTTACCGCCTAGTCCGCCGCTTACCCCCGTTGCGTCCAAGTCGAGTCTTCGGAAAACTGCTGCTGCTGGTGTTGGAGGAGGAGCAGGAAGAGGGGGAGGGGAAGAAGGGATAACGAAAGGCAATGTCGAGTCAGACGCCACGCACGCGATCCCGTCTACATCTACACCTACACCTACGCCAAGGTCGGGAAAGTTTAAAGAAGCACCGCCAGCTGTCGGACGCACGGGGGATACAAACGCCACATCTGCGGATGGAAGTGGACTAAGGGATGACGAAAAACATCATATTATTGATGGTGGTGGTGAGGATTTTAGTATTGCCAACGGGAATGGTCATGCAAGAATGCAAGTGGCGGACGTGGATGTTGATGTGGACACGGAGCCTGACGGGACGCTGTCAACGTGGTCGTTTCGTCCAGACGGGGATACTACTACTAATAGGAGGAGTAGGGAAGTACGGGACGAAGCGACGACAAATGGCGACATTGGCGGACATGAACATGAACACGGACATGGACACCGGCATGGGCGCGATCCTGAACAACATACTTTAGCTCAACCCTCCGGTGTAGATGCTGCAATCCCGCAGTCGCCCGCACGCGATCACAATATCCCGCCGCAAGAGCCATCTACTGACGCGTCTCAGGAGGACATAGATCCATTGAGTGGGAGTGACGAGAGTCGACCGCAATCTCAGCAGCCCGATTTATTTCCTACTGCCGCCGCTACTGGTGCGGCACCGTCATCTGGCATGTCATCTAGTCATGAGGCGTCGTTGAACGGGCCATTACCACCACATTTACACCCTCTAGGACTAGGGAACGCGCCCAGTCCCCAACCATGGGAAGTCATCGAGCCGCCACCGGATAATAATCTTCAAATGGAGGAAATAATGCGCCGAACGCGGAAGGAGAGTAATAGAAGTGTGCCTGGCTATGTCGGGAATGTTGTCGTGAAAGAGTGCGTTAGTTTATTTTTCCTGCTTTCTGTTAGTGACGCTAGAATCCTGTGTATGTTGATGGTGGATTTGTTTTTGTCTAGTGGTAAGAAATATCGTATACCCCGGTCTTCATATTACTTTGGTCCACCGCCGGATACTTCCGCGTTTGGGACGGACCCGATAGGACATATCGGTGTACATCATCCGCGAGAGGTCGTGCGTGTTGAACGCGATTACTCGGGTGGAGAGCTCATACAATTCAGTCCTGCATATCCATTGGAATTCGAGGGTCGGGTGAGCATTACGTTTCTCAGTCTTTTCTTTTTCGTAATGCCGTGCAAAACAATGTGCCTTTCATAATTCCGTTCTCCATGGGCCTGAGCTAATACGAGCTTTATCGCATGCATACGTACAGATAACGCCGACACAGTTCCTAGAGACGATAAACATGATCAACGAAATGCTCATTGAAGCGCACAGCCTCCGATGGTCCTTCCTCGACAATACACTCGCAGTATTGACGCTATACATTTCGCGGTTCTTTGTTTCGTCGCATTATGACCGGGTACGTTTAAAACACGTTCTCATTCCCTGGCCACAGAAATGAAGACTTATCGGACCTTTGTCTTTTTTTTTCGCCTTATTCTTTTTGGGTTGACATGAAACGAAATGAAACGGACGGGATGTGAAACGGGATTGGGATTGGGATTGGAAATACGAATTACGACAAATACGAACTACGAAAATATGGAAATGTGAAATGTGTATAGAAAATGGGAAGGTTAAAGGAGATGATCGAGGAACAGAATAAGCGGGTTTATAACCCAGTGGGGTTGAACATCCTTTGGCCGAAGGATGTTGCGTTTATGTTTGTAAGTCCCCTTCACCTAATCGTCGTAGACGAAATACGAGAACCTCTAACGGATCGGATGGGATTTTTAGCTCGAGATTGAATATTATTAATTGATACCTAGCTTGTCTGCGTATCGTCACATTCCTTTCCTTTGCCTTTGAGAGTTTTTTTTTCTCCTCTTTATGAAATGGATTTATTTCTCTTTATTATCTTTTCTGGTTTTTATCTGATTGTTTGCGGAGCCTTGTGCTCCTTTTCCTTTATCCGACTTGTAGAACGTTCGTCGCACGACGGGAATTCATTTTCTGGCCTGTGCAACTTCTTTGTCTCCTCTATTTTTTATTATTTTATTTTCGATTTCGAAATGCGACCTCCTTGCGACTGGTTTCGCTTTCCACATTTCTCCAGTGTTATTAATAAGACACTGTTGGATGTCAGTCAATTTTTAAGATTGTATGTACTATGCATAAGTTATGTAGCGATACTTTATCTTCTCGTTTTCCTGTGTTCTTCTCCGACTCGCTGCCGTCCTCACACTCTTTTCTTTCTCTTTTCCCTCTTTCTCTTTATTTTTCCTATCGTGAGAGCAGTGCAAGGAACGCAAGAGGTGCATCCAGTACGTGGGAAATCCGATCTACTTTTTCTTCGATTATAGTTTCGTTGGAACTCCATGTTTCGGTTTCTCTTTGTTTCACTGTTTCTTGGTTTACTATCTTTCTCTGATCTTCCCCTTGCATGTAACTATTTTTACATTACAAATTTCAAAGAAATTATGACATACCAATCGACCAGCTGAGAACTGAAGTATAATGTCAATGCAAGATAAGACCAACTCAATTGTTTATGGTTCAGGATAAATTCAAGAGGAGAGTTTTGTTATTTCAAATGAGTGGCGCCTATGCGCATGCACAGAATATAATATTGAATAACAGAAGCAAATGGATACGAATACAGTGAATTTTCGAGACGAGAGACGATAAACCCCAACCCCAACCCCAAAAGTCCTCTCGAGAGCCGTAAGGCGCGTATATCGTACCTTAAGAAAGAAGGAAAGAACAAAAGGCATTCACCTTGAGAGTGACATGTCCTCTTGAAAAGTACCATCAGACCGGGAAAACATAATACGGAATACAGTAGAGTAGAGAAGTACAAGTACACCTTCCAGAGTCGATCATCCGTTCACCGATCCACCAACTCAATCCACCTCAGCAAAAGAAATAAAATCGACTTAAGTCTTATCTCGTTGCTGTCCGGTGGAAGTTCCTGGGCCAGAAGAACTGCCACCGGCATTGGATTCAGAATACTCGACGAGTGTCGGGGATACCGGTTGAGCCGGGGTTGGAGCTTCAAAGCTGTACGGCGGCGCAGGTGTCTCGGATGACCTCGGTACTTGTGCATGTTGTTGTTGTTGTTCTGCACGAGATGACACAAGAGATTGCTTGTTAGTAACCCGTGAACGTGGTGACGAAGGTGGCGGCGGGAGGATGAACGGTGCATTTACAGCTCCTTCGCCGCCTGAGGCTGTGGAAGGTGAAAACGGGTCGAGATCTTGTGGACTTCCTGGTACAGGGGCAGGTTGAGGTTGAGGCATGTGAATTTGGTTGGCGGTAGATGGAGAAACCGAGGTACGTTGAGGTATGGACTTGTGGTCACGAGTCGAGGGAGGGGAAGCACCTGCAGGCAGTGTGAATGGCTCGATCATGTGTGTGCGGCCGCTGGGATCCATACTGGCAGCTCCGGTTCCATATGACGAACTAGCACGATTTGCAGTTACGTTCGCGCCGAGTGCATTCGGGTTGTACGAAATTCGAGACGCTGTACTTGGCTCAAGCGTATGTCCATGACCAGAACTCGATCCTCCAGATGACATTGCTAAGAAGTTACTGCCAGAGTGAGGTGAGTTGGGTACGTCGAATGCAGTGTTGCGGTAATCATGTGCTTCTGGAAGGAGTGGTCGAGCAGTATATGCAGTCGACGGAGTTGACGGCGAATACTTCTGTGGTCCATAGTGTGGCAAAGCATGAGTTGCGTATTGTGCTCCACCCTCGTCAGATCCTTCATCCTTATTGTGATTAGCCACGAATCCGGTCTTCTCTCCTATCTTCGAAGGTGAGGCATCGCCGTCCTTCTTAGAAGTTTTTGCGCGGCGCCGTCGTCCCAGCATGTATGCTCCCCCAACAAGAATCGCAACTCCAACAACGCCACCAATTGTACCACCCACAATTGCACCAACATCCGTCTTAGATGATTGAGCAGCCCGCGGGACTATGCCAACGGAGTTTGGAACGCCAGATCCAGGACGACCAACTACGAAGATCCTAATGATTCAGATTATCAGTCACAAATATAGAATCAAAGTGCTTGATTCGACTCACAAGTAAAGTGATGAGATGAAATTACTGCCTAGCATAAAGTTAGTAACAGATGAATCAGGCCAAGCTTTGATAGTGCCGATGCAACTTCCATCACTTTGCTGTTCAATTAGCTGCGATTCGTCGAGTGGGAAAGATTGTCCAGAGAACGTGAATGCAACAGATAGTTTTGTGTTGCAAGGTAACGACCATGCCTGGGCCCCGTCAACGAGAGAGCTCGTCTGCACCGCAGAAGGGACGGCAGCATCTTCAGAACAGAAGAGCCAGAGTCAGTCTTGGGCATTGCAAATCTTCGGAATCATGAGTTCTGGACGTACATAGAAGATTTGCCTGGGAAGCGGGGAAGAAGATATCAGCGAAGAAAGGCTCGATCAAAGCCGTCGTCTTCGACGCGTTCGCTATGGAAGATCCAGCAACCGACGCCGCCCAACCGTCAAGTTGAATCGACCAGTCGCTTTCGGGAAGTTGAAATGCGGCGTTAGACGACGTCCCACCCGTATTCTGATTAGCGGGGACATTTGCTGGACCGGACGAGACACCCGCAGTGCTCCAAGCAATGTTGCCCTGATACGCCTTTGAATCCGGTTGGAGCCAATGCAACACGCCGCCATTGCCTTGGTCGTTGTCTGACGTGAACTTCGGCGAACGAAGGTCCATTCCGAAAGTGAAATTATTCTGTGAAGGATTACGGGAAAGCCATCCGCCGAATACAGTGTCAGAGAAATTCCCAGATTGCCCATTGGCATTCGTTCCTAAGCCGATCAGCCCTGAAGTCACGTCCGTAAAGAAAGACGAGGATTGATTCGCCACGATAACTGCAGCATGCGAATTGAGCCAAGAAATTGGATGTCAGTGCGGACCACACAAAGTTGAGGACATTGTGCTGACTTGTCTGATTGGGATATGACCATCCTGTGCCATTTGCTTCGTGGAGGAAGCAATCTTCCTTTATGAAAGGTCCGCCTACCGAAGCACTACCAAGACTGACGTTGGCAGAACCCGGAAATGGCTTCTGGCTGGTCGAGGCAGAAGCATTATAGCTTTAATCCTTTTTAGTCAGTTAAAGTTTGTCTGCAAGAAGGACGCAGAACCTACGCGGGTACGTTGTTGCAGCTATCGCATCCAATACCGGCGACTGCACTCAATCCAGTATTCAATCCCATAGCAAACCTGAAAGACTGTTGCAAAGACGAGGACGACTGTTGAAGAAACAGGTAAACGACTCATCGACCTGAAGGAAATTAAACGATGTATACCATGTTTACGCCAACCACATATCGTTTGTCTTTGTTAACAGTGAGTGGGATGTTCACTGTGGCAATTACCGCATCCCTCTTTGAAAGGGAAAGCGCATTGGCTCCATGGGTAGCCAGCAATATGGATATTAGGAGGAGGAGGACAGCTGCACGAGCCGCAACAAACGTAAGACCTTGAACATTGGCCATGAGCTCTTGACAGCTTGCAGGCAGGAAGGATGACTGGTGAGGACAAGAACGGGGTAAATCATACGTACGTACATAACCCGATGACCCCAAGCTTTTCAATGCATTTCAAAACTATTCAATAATTAAAGCGTGTTGATAAGGAAAGTTCAACCCTTATCAGGAAGGTGATCTTGTCCCATGAGGGGTTTGGCGTCAAACGGCGAATGACGGGCTTCAGCACTGCACTCCTTGTATGGTACATAAAGCTGTCCATCAAGTGGATGCGCCGATCAGTTGAATGCTCCAAGTAAATTCTATAATTCGAATCAGGTACATACATTCGTTCACGAGCGTCAAATGTGCGACAACAGTCTGGTTAACTGACTGACTTTACGGTGGGTTTTAGGAGACGCATATGCACGGCTCCTACCGCGCTTGGTCATCAAGATCCAAGCGCGAAGTGCATGAGTTACTGTGAACCCAGTGCACACATATGGAGAATCCAGGTGCCACCATTAGATATCCGGTGCAAGTGCCACTCACATCGAACGAAACGTTAACCTTCTCCTCCCAATTCTGGGCGCAACCCCTGACTTATTGCAAACACAAACATTTCAATTTTAGTAGTCATAGTTTGTGGCTCAAGTGAGTACACACCCTGTGTATATGCAGATCACTATCTACATAGAGAGAGGAAAGCCACCGAGTTCGAATTCAAAAAAGGTAAGTGCTGTCAACGTTGTGTCGAGACCAACTCCTCTTCTTTATCCTGTTCCTGTTCCTGTGCTTCGTCGACATACTCTGTGTCTATATTATTTGCCGTAGAGGTTGTCCCGCGTTCGTGCCCCCTTTGCACCTGTTGGACGATTAGCCAGTGACACATGATAAAGCGAGCAAGATACCCACATGATAGACGGCCGTCCAATATCCGCACCAATACATAGCACCCAGAGCGCGGGAGAACGCCTCGTCTGGGTTCAATGCGACACTTTGATTGTGGAGGTTCGCTGAAGTTGAAGTGTCACCAGATCCATGTGCAGTCGGAAATGTAGAAGCAGGTAACATCATAGAATAGTGAGACGTAATGTTTCTTAGATTGGCCTGCGTTACCTCCGGCACTGCCGGCGGGCTTGTCGGACCCGGAAAAGCCAGCGAAGCGTCGTGAGTAGGGACAAACGTTTCAAAGTTCAATGGTACAGATTCATCCGCTTCATCCGTTGCTCCTGAAGCTTCAAGTGGTAGAGTTGTATCCTGCTGTACCTTCTTCTTGCGTGTGCTTGATGTCGCCCTTGATTTCTCCGGAGGTATATTGTACCATCTACGAATAGTAGGTCAATTAGAAGCTTTCAGCGTATTCAGTTAAGAAGAGGCTCACAGCGGAGACTTGTGAACCCGGTCCTTTTTCCAGCGCTTTGATTTTCCATGTATAGCCTATCCAAAGTTAGCATTAGAATTAAGTTAGGGCAAAGGACTGGACTGACCTCGTATTCTTCATTCGCGGCGTTCCAGGCAGCAATAAGCGCCGAATCGTCCCAAATCTCTTCATGAGTAAGTTCCCTGCTCTCATCCTCCTCCTCATCGTCATCAAAATCCTGTGTTTCTTTTGCGTCAAATACATTGTCAGCGCCATTCTTATCGTCCAAAAGGCCGTCATTTTGAATATCTTCGATACCACGGGCGTCGCCACGAGCGTCGTCGTCGTATGAAATTCCATCGTCCTGCGCGCCAGGTTCATCCCAATGCGCAGCGGCATACGATGTATTATGAACGGAGGTGGTGCTAGATGTTACTGCAGGCGTGATAGTATCACCATTGCCTACTCCAGAGCGTCTCTTGTTTCTGTTTCGTTTTTTCACTTGTGGTTTGGGCGGCATCGACTGCACTTGAATAGAAAGCTGATTTCCTGTAGTCTCTGAGCCTGTCTGGTTGTTTACGTATGAATTTTCCAAGCCACCTCCTATATCACGAACGTTTTCGTTACCCCCGTCGTCGTGTTTTCTCTTTTTTGTGGGTGGAGAAGCAGTTGCAGCGCCGTCATGCACATTCACTCCAGAAGTGGAATCGGCAGTAAGGGCTATCGGCGCTGCCTCAGAAGATACGCCCGGTGGCACGTCTAAGTCATCATAGGACACGACCTGGCGGGCCATCCGCCGATTTAGATAGGGCTAGATGGATGAAGCGATTAGAGAACTAGAGTATTTGTTCAATGTTGAGCTGCTCATTAACAGCGCGTCGCGCTGAGTTACGTATTACGTAAGATCCTTAGAGAAGTTAAATTTAGTTCATTTACACTTTTGCTCACTATTCCAGATGTACAATAAAACATTGAAATAAATTGGTAAGAGCACAGCCAAGCAAATGATAGTAGATCGCTAATGGTACATAACTACAACCATAGAAGACACAATGTTGATTTGTCGTAAGAAAACGTGGACCCGAAGACGAAGATGCTTTCGCTTCCAACTGGCGTTATGCATCATTATCCTCCTCACAACTTAGCCAGAGAAAGGAACCAATCTGAACTCTTCTTAGATTTCACTTTGTTGACTTCTGCCATCGTAATTGACCGGCACTCATGTGCATGATTATACCCGAGTCTAGATAGTAGAATTATCAACCGCGGTCGGAAGAATGGAATAAAGGATGATGATACCTATCTCTTCCATCTTTTCCGCCTTCTTTGTAGAACTCAGGTCTACGCAGAACGCTCACAACACATGCACCACCAAGGCCGATGTTATGTATGAGACCTAACTTGCCACGCTTGTCGGAAATGTCGAACAGACCTGGAGCTTGCATCGGTCCCGCCCCTGACGAACCGAAGAATGCGATTAGTGCCAAAATGTAGCTGTGGCGACTGTAAGCTTACAGTTTCTGAGTTGAGCTAGATTAATCTTTATTTAGCTGTCTGCGCTACGAGTGAAATGCGGGAGCACTAACCAGTGATGTAGAAATGCATTCCTAGTCCTGTAGCACCTAATGGGTGACCCTTGGCCTCAAGACCCCCGCTGGGATTGATGACATACTTTCCCCCATACTGTATAATTAGTAGAGGATGAATATCCGCCAATTCTCGGAAGATTCATGTTTGTAACTGGCTTACTGTATTATCTCCTCTGTCGACCATTTTGTGTGCTTCATCGACAGCACAAAGACCCAGTGCAGGGTAAGTAATGAGCTGTAAGTCCGGAAATCAGTCATCCTGGATACAGTGTAGTTATGAACGGGCCTTACTTCATTAGCAGCGAAGCAGTCATGGAGTTCTACAACACCAACTTGGTCGCGGCCCTGGCCTTGTTTGAATCCAGCTTGCGCGAATGCCTTGTCCGCAGCGTCTTTAGTCATTGAGGAACCTACAAGTTCCATAGCACTTTTACTGTCGAAAGTTGACGGGAAGTCTGTCGACAGTTGTTGACCTATGATTTCAATAGCTTGGTTTTCGAGCCCATGAGCATGAACAAACGCTTCCGAGGCGACAATGCAACAAGCAGCTAATTAAAAGTCCTTAGTTTTATCATGGTTAAACAGAAACTGGAGGATATTACTTGCCTCCGTCACTGGTCGGGCTGCACATGAACTTAGTCAATTCATTCGTAATCTTCGGCGCGTTCAAAATCTGTTCAACACTCCACCCATCCCTAAACTGAGAATAAGGATTTCTCGTGGAATGTTTATGATTTTTCGCAGCTTCAAATAATTTCGATGAGTCCACGCAACCACTAACCTGTGCAAAGATGAAAATTCTGCCTACCTATCTTCGCCAAGTGTTCGACACCGCCGCCATACTTTTTGAAATATTCAACGGCACCATTTGCAAACATGCGGGGCGGTCGGGGACCGTGGTTCTTTCCGAGGCTCTCCTCGGCCACCTCAGTAGCCATCTGGAACGGCTCCATGGGAGGAGTACGGTCTTTCCAGTTGGTGCTCAAAGACCCAGGAGACATCCTCTCGAAACCAAGCGCCAGAACGCAATCCGCTTGCGAACCGCGGATCAAGTTAGCTGCGTTGTAGAGCGCAGTGGAACCCGTGGAGCAGTTATTGTTCACGTTGGTTATTGGGATACCAGTCAGACCTAGGTTGTACAGCGCACGCTTGAATGCGAAAGCATGAGTAATACACCATGAATATTTCTCGTAGAACAAGGACTAACTTGACCACTCGTAGAATCACCGTAACAAAAACCGACATAAGCAGCCTCTACGGAGTCATAGGTAACGCCAACGTCCAGCAATGCCTTCGTTGCTGCTTCAAGGCCCATCTAAGAAACGAATTTACTCTCAATACTTGAATGTCATTTCTTCTACACAGGGCTCACATCTTCCGTAGTTCTCAATCCCCTCGGCTTATAAATAGTTATTACTTTAGGCAGAGACATTCGTATTCAGGGAGAAGATACCTTGATGAATGCAGTACATCCTATACCCACAATAAACACTCTAGCAGATCTGTGAGCCTGAGACGACATGGTCGAGGTTGAAGTTCAAGCCGTGGAAACACACATCTGATCAATACCGGTCCGGCTATGTTTGAAAGCCGGAGATGACCACACAATCCCGCAGGTGACCGATCATAGTCAGAGCTTATTAGGTTTAACAAACATGTACGGCATTTACATTGCACGTAGCCGGAACAAGGCAGTATATTGATCCTGACACAGGTAACGTTACAGAAATCATAGTACAATCCAGAATACCAGATGCCTACTCCTCTTCAGACTCTTCCTCCTCCTCGTCATCATCAGCTTCATCGAGCCACTGTTTAGAAGAGTCAGATGAGACCAAAGATAATATTAAGTAAAAGACTGACCTTTAGGAAGGGCTCGCTGGCCTTTCTCACTTTTTTGCTCGTGTCCTTGTCGACATACTTCTTGCTGACATGTGTGCCCCATTGTTTCACAACTTCCTCTTCAAGAGCGTCAGCTTGGTAAAACGCCATTAGGATCTTCGGAATGGACGGAACGAGGTCCGGGTGCGTAACACCGACAAAGCGCTCTATACCGCCGAGAAGAGCCTTCTGGTGCCTTTCGGAGGTGACCATCTAAAACAGGATGTTAACTCGCCGTCTCCAGGTGATCAAACTGAACTTTATTTTACCTTTGCAAACATGGGCGCAAACTTTGGAATCTCAGTCGCGATATTCTCGGTGAATAGAGCTTGCACAAGCACTTGAACGGTCTTGTGTTTCTTCTCAATTCCTAGGTCTTGAGCATGTTTGTAAACCTCGACGGCAGAAGTGGTTTCACGATTCTCTTCTGCCCATTGACCGATCTGAGTGTATGGACTGTTCGCGTCGTCATCACTGTCGTCATCCCCGAGAAGTAGACCCGATTGCATTCCGCTTTCGAGAGCCTTGACACGTGCCTTCACCGCTTCAGGTGACGTGTCTACTGCCCACTCTTCCTCTTTCAGCTTCGAGTTTTCGGCGAGTTCAGCAGCTTCGATCTTAATGCGCTTTGTCAGCTCATCATCACTGTCTGCACCCTGTTCTTCGGCAGCCTCGGCAGGGGGACTACCGCCACCGTTCTCCGTCGCTGCGCCCTCCTTGGCCTTCTTCGATTTCTTTGAAACCTTAGGAGGATTTTTAAGGATGAACGTAGTCAGCTTGTGGCGCATGTCTACATTGGTCCTCTGGCCACAGGCCTTGCAGTCGCGAGTAATCATGTCACCCTTCGTAATGATGAGGTCTGTCTCCGGGTTCTTGCATGCGGCACACAGAACGAACTTGTCAATGAAAATGTCGAGAAGTTCACGCAAGCGTGAAGCATCGTGTGCACCATTAACGATGTACCGGTCACCCTTCTCGTCGAAAGTTGTCTGAGCGCCAAGTTCACACCCGAAGAACTTCGTCGGGTAGGTAGGCGGGCGTGAGAGCGCCCGGGCAACGTCAGACATGTTCGGAACGACCGTTTTGATGCCGTTGCCTTTTCCCTCGATCTTGGTAAGCAAGACCGGCATACTGCAGCATGTGAAAAGGTGGAGAAAAAGCGGGAAATGCTCAGCAAAGTCTGGAAGCCGTTAGAACCATGCAGACACATACCGGTAGCGGTAAAACTTGTCATCGACGTCGCGACGAATGTTAACAACTTTAGCCATGCTGGGCAGATATCAGGACTAAAAGAGGGGTAATTAGTGAAGGCAGAGTAAAAACTCGGAAAGAGACATACAGCTATGATGACGGGATTACGGTGATAAAACTTCTCAAGACTACTCTGAGAACCGTGAGGGCGACAAGGCATGAATCTTCCGTCTGAGCAGCGGAAGACGGTGCGGAATGGATGCTTTGTAAACGACGAAATGGTGAACGCGTTGAGAGCGTAAAGCGCAGGTTGCGTGAGATGGTCGTGGTTGCTGGTCAAGAGTGACACACTCAGGCGGCATATAAGCCAGGTCTCCCAGGCTTAGTCAGCCAATCAGATTGCAAAGTTCGCCGAAACGCATTTTTATTCCGGCGGCGCAAAGATGTGCCACATTCAGTCAGGCAAAGTTATACTAGCTAGTAAAGTCTACTATCACAGCATAGAGTACTACTATTACAATTATACAGGCATTTCGTCGCCCTCAAACAAATAATTCACGAGCCGTCTAACGACTTCTACGTTTACACTGTTCCCAAGAAGTCGGTATTGCGACTTTCGACTCACGTTCTCCGGCCAAACAAACGCCCGTGTCTTATTCCCGCGAATGCCCGCATCTGTAGAAGACTCGAAATGAAAGAGCCGTAGTAGTTCCGATGGAGTGAAGTATCGAAGACGAAGGGGTTCGAGAATATTGAGAAGAATGCGCTCAGAATCAGGGTCACTTGTCTCGGCTTGCTTTTGCAGAGCGAGAAATCTGTCAAAGGTCTGCGTTGTCTGCCCTTCCACGTCAGACCCGGTTCGCTGGCGAAAATTGAGGACTCACATCCAAGTATTCGTTCATTTGCAATATTGAACCGGCTCTTTCGACTAATTGCGTGTAGCCTGGATTTGAGCAATCAAAACCTCAAGCCTCGGTCATCCGCGGATTGTGACCTTACCTCTTGTGAAACAACACGATCTTCGAGAGCTTGGCAAAACGATATCAAACAGTCTACCCCACCTTAGAAGGACGCGGTCCGGTACACTGCTAGTTTCATCTTCGGCAGAGTCAGCTGCTCGATCCAAGTACGCTCTGAGCTGGGTAGTTTCACAGTCTTCTGGTGTGTCCTTCCAAGGCTCTCCATGTCCAGGAATGTGTCTGAAAACAGACTGTGAAACCGTACTATCGCATGAAACGTTTGCGAATGAAGATGGAAGTTGCTTGGCAAGTAGGTAGTATCGTAATCGCGAATTTGGTATGCCAAATTGCAGAGGCGTGAGGAGCAGCTCAACGGTGGTATAGTTGCATGCATGCAGAGTCTCAAGGAGGATCTTGCGTGTTGACGAGGCCTAGAAGGGGTAAGGGAAGTAAAGCGAAATTAAATTCGTATTGCACACCTCAAAACCAGCCACATTTTCCACAAGGATCCATTTCGGGCACTGGTCAATCCTTGCTAGTTCCGGAATGACTTGCTGTACAAGATGCAAGAAAGACTTTGCCCTAGGATCCTGGGAACCCTTTGCAGAGGGGTTGAGGACAGTGTAAGGTTGGCATGAAGGAGACAGAAGCCAGAGTGGAGCATTTTCACTGGCCAAGTCCAATGCAGTTAAAGTTGAAATATCAACCTGTCTTTCGATTTCAAGAATGGGAGAAGGCGTTAAACGCAAATCGTAAATAAAATAGAACCGAGATACAGACTTTCCTGACTATACCAGGGCCATAATTTGCTTCATAAACACGACAGGACGTCTGATCCCAGTCATATGCTCGGACAACTGATGCATCTACGTTGCTGAGTTCGAGTGCCCTGTGTAGTCCACCTCCTCACTTATCAAGCACGAACGTCACGGCAAGAAACTAAGCCTAACCTATTCCGCTATAGAATTCAAGAGTTCGGACCGTCATATAATGATTTCCCGAGCAGGTTCCTTATTTCTAGGGACGTAAGAAGTTGAGGGCATCAAAAGGTGACTCGGCTATAATTTAGACTTAGAGGATATCCAAATAAGGCTATGTCCCGCTGACAAACCGTAATCCAACAGGTTTCTGCCAGTTCCAGCAGCGGCATGCATTGTCTCTTGCTGTCGCCATTGCTATCCTTCCCTCTCTTCTTTCCCTCACTCCTGCTTTTCTGTTCACTCTTCGTGATCATACGATAATCAGATTGCGAGCTGGAATAATTTTCATTGACTTAATTCCATCTTTCGTTAACGAAGCGATACCTCAGTCCTCCTTACTCTTTCTGGCGCTGTTCCTTTCCCAATGGCCGATCCACTTAATATCAACGGTCGTATTCCACCATCACCACTGCGTCCAACGAAGCGATTACGGGAAGATACAGGTATTGAAAATGAACTTGAACACCATGTTGCGGGTGACAGATTGAGGGCATCGAGTGCTGCAGGAAATGTGGAGAGTAACGAAGAAGCTCCTTGGTACGTCTCATATTATCGTCTCGATACGTGCTATCATTCATGGTCCTGGGACAGGTATTCCGCAATATCGAGTCGCTCTTATCATGTTCCCGTGCCACAAGAGCCTCAGCTGCCTACACCTCAGAGGTCGGTGCGAATTAGGTTGCTTAATGGCATTGGTTGACGTGTTTGCAGCTATGGTTCCAGTAACCTCTTCCCATTTTTTCCGGTTGCAGTAGGATCTCCCGAATCTCCTCTGGCTCATGCGTTAGTGACTTAGATACATGATTCGTTTCTTCTGCTGACACGAGTGTTTACAGCCATTCCCGAACGCTCGGAGGAGTAAATGGTGGTTCAATGACTTCTCGCATACAAGCACGGTATGTGCACAATTATTGGTTTTCTTGCATCGGGTACTTCTCAACTGTGTACACAGGCATACCCCTTGCGCTGAGGGCGAATTACGATGTCCAACAGATATGTCATCGCAGCCACAGACTATCACTCCCAGAGCCAGGTATTCACCCTTTCTGCTCAACTTCGTGGTAGTTTTCTCAACACTTCATCCTTTTTATTCAGTCCGGTCAACGTTGTCAAGCCCTTACCATCAAGGCCACTCTCACTGTAAGCCAAAGTGATAAAACTAGTGTACTGTAGTTAAGCTTTTTTCTAGTCCTCCGATAGCATCGTCGTCACATGAACCACCCATCTTGTTCGTGCTGTTTCCCTTTTTCTTTTCATGTAGTATTGGCTAACAACGAAACTTAGCATCAAGACGGAATCACCGCCTCCCGTGCTAGCTCCTCCCCATGACATTTCGCCGTCTAAAAGCATATCTCCACGACCGCCGTCACCAGAAGCGCAAACGGCTGCACTTAGTCTTTCTTCTCCATTTGTTGAGAAGGCCAGGCCGAACATGGCGCCACCCAGCGTGAGACGTTTAGACCATGCTGCTTTGCGTCCATCGTCTCCCACCTCGTTGCGCTCACAGGCCCTTCTTTTGTCTTCGCCCGCTCATATTGAGGAGAGAGAGCCGTCGTCCGCTGAACCTACTAACTGTAGTCTACCTCCAATAGAAGAGGTAGTTCGGCAGCCTGGTGGGGAACTAGATCGCATACGTAATCACATTCTATCAGTCGAAGATGCTCGTCGAGTTGAACTGGAGGGTCGTCGACCCGAATATTTAAAGCGTCTGCAACGGGACGACATCGGACTCGTAGTTCCGAAAGCGGAGCATGAACCGGTCGAGAAGGATAGTGTCGGAATTGCCATCACTCCGGCGAGAGGACGGAGGATACAACTCTTCGACTTCCAAGAGACCAGTGCAGAGAGCTTCGAGGAAAGCCTGATGACCCACGGATACGGAACGTACGGTGAACCTCGAACCCCTCATAGACCTCTTATGAGTACGGAAGGGCTCAGCAAGGAAGCGATGGATTGGTTGGCGTACAACACGCCTGTTGCATTGCCGGGTGTTCCACCACCGCATTCGGGTAGTGAGGTTGAGTTGAACGAGAAGGAACTCAAGAAGCGAAAGCGCCTTGAGGCATTCAAGGGTTCGGCCGCTCGGGCATATGCAAAGCTCTACCCGGCAGAAGTGGAAGGATTGGGACGTGTTCTATTGAACGTACCTCCTGAAGAAGCTGATGAACTAGCTGGACCACCTGCGAAAAAGCGCGCCACTGGGAAGAGGAAACGAGGTGGGGTGGCTGTTGATAAGAAGGGAAAGCTGCCAGATGGAGCTGCTCCTGTGCAAACCCAAACCACTGAACCTCGTTGGTTGGACAGAGAAATCCCTTGGTGTCTCCGAGAGAAGGAAAGAGAGGAAGAGCAGAAAGCGCGTGATGCTGATAGGTTGGCATGGATCGATAAGTACTTCGCTCATGATACAGACAGTGACGATGAGAAGGAGTCCGACAAAAATGAGGAGCGTGCACCTTCTCCAACTTGGGGTCAGGTGTCTGAGGACCTTCCAGATGCACCAAAACGTGGGAGAGGTAAGGCCGTACCATTGCAAGCCAATCCAAATCGTACACATCCTGCGATTCGGGATGACGCGAATCGCGATTCCGGGAGCGTGAAGCACAAGAGTTTATTCTTCCCAACCGATCCTGCAGATGCACGAATGGCATTGATGTCGAAACGTTCCGTTCGGCTTCTCGCTCAGCGTAAGTTGCGGCAAAATGGGCAACGATCCGCATCTCTCCGAGGTATTGGAGAAGGTCGACTTGCTTGTGCTTGCGGCCGTGATGACGATGACGACGGCCGACCGGCTGTTCAGTGCGATGAATGTTTTAATTGGCATCATCTTGAATGTATTGGTGTGCGAGATGAAGCGGAACTTGGTGAAGAAGATGACCCGTGGTTTTGCCCAGCCTGTGCCGAACAATCGGAAGCTGCACTCTCTGCTGCTGACTGGCGCAATCAACGTCAACCGACGTTTGTACCAACTGACGAAGTTCCTGTACATTCCTCGACGAGGAGTGATGTTGCATTTTACTCGTCCTCGCCCCTGCGTGAATGGGGCTCGTCGGGATCCTTACATACGCCGGTTCAGGGACATGGACGTCTTCACGGTGTCGAGTCTTTTCGCAGGTCGGTCTGGGATGACCCGCACACCGGTCCGGGTCCCTCAACGCCAGTGATGATGTTACGAGGTGTACAGGTCCGTACACCCGGAGCGAGCCAAGGCGAACGTGGGCAGCACATTAATGGCATGTTCGATTCGTTTGTTTCTCCTCGCGGTGGATATCCTAGGTTTACAGACTCGTTCACTACTCCGAAGAATACTGGATTAGGACACATTTCTCGTGGAAGCTCGAGTTTCGGATTGTCGGCGTGGCCGACACATACAAGTGGGTTGTTCGCAACACCAACTCCACGTGGACGACTTGGGAGTTCTGGTTCTGGGTATGGAGGCTTCACCTATAGCTCGGACGACCCCATGAACGCGTCGTTTGGTCAACAGACAAGAGTAACGGACGGGATGTACGCGCCTGATGATACGCCTATACGTCGTGCGCCGATAAAAGAGACGAGGACGCTTGGACTTACGGCGCATTTGTCGTCTGGGTCGTTAATGGATTCCCCACTCGCTGGACGCGGAGGACAGGAGGTTTTGTCGGTCCCGGAAGGGAATCCTGAGATCCGTCGACCTTCTGCGAAGTGAGACCGATTATTTGGCGTCTCCGTTCTCGACTTCTTCTCGCATCACGCCCTTCCCCTCTCACCTCGTCGCACCCGAATAAGTGTGATATTGTGATACTATATGATCATGATCACTTGCGGGCTTTCCTCTTTCGTGTTGTTTCCCCTTCTTTTTGATAGGGTCCCCTTTCTTCTCTTCGTATCCTTTTACTTTGCACTGATTTGATATTGTGATTGAATGGGTAATGGTGCGACAATCTGAGGTGATACTTCGTGCAACTTTAGTATAGTAATTGGTATTACACAAAGTGGTTTTTTCTTGTTCCTTCTGAATCCGAGGGGTTCTGTTCTGTTTTTCGTCGCTCTTCGCTGATTTACGTCTTGTACTGTTCCACTGTCCTTCCTTTCCTTCTTCTGTGGTCAGACCATCCACTCTCTCTCCTCCCCTTTTTAAAGGAGATAATTCGTGCGATACATCGATTTTTTTCTGTTTTAATCCCTTACGTAGTGCAGAGTGAAATTTACATAGTACAAAGGTTGTAGCAAATTATGTATTTTCAATGTGAATAGAAGTACAATGGCCAGGGATGGTGGCACGATAATACACTGTACTTGCGTGTCATGTTTCGTTTCGGTGATGCTACGTGGTGAAACTTTGATAGCATGGGGTAGTCAAAGTTTGGATGGCTTCAAGACCACCAATGTCCTTCCTGCCTGAGTTCTTTAGTATCCTCCCTCCCTCCCTCCTTTCCTCGTCCTTTTTCTTTAAAAAGAGCAATTCATGTGATACATTTATTTTTCTTTATCTTATCAGCGTCAATATGAGTAGAAGTCCAATGACCAGGACCAGAAATGTGGGATCTGATAGTACTAGCGTTTTACCGAAACCATGTATTCCGACAATAGAAATACAATGGCCAGACAGAAATGTGGGGTAAGATAGTGTTTTACAGGACATATTCCGATGTTTTAGCAACTGTAGTTAATGATGTGGGTACTAGTAAGCTTTGACAGTTTTGAGTATTTGGTTATGTGCGATCTGGTCAGAAGAAAGAAGTGCTTTTCCACGATACTAACGATTCAATGATTTGGACCGACGATAAACAAGGTGCTACCCAATAAGTAGTGATCTACATAGCTAGAAGGTTGTGGATCTTCTTTTGAGGGTCACCTTGCAGCTAGTATTTCCGCCTTAAAGCCCAACTTCCGAAATCGAAATCGAATCAGCGAGAAGTAAGTACTTCGTACGTACCATGGCGACCCCTCCAAGATTCAAGTTTGCCTGAAACAGAAACAGACATTTAATTAAGTCAATAAGGGACTTACAGTCGTGCGGATATATCGGACAAATACAAGAAGTGAGTTGTTCCGTCCGGACCTCAAACCGAATTGTTTTGATATACGGGGACATTCGGGTTGAGGATCAGGAAGAGAAGAAGAGAGGTGCAGCTTGAGCGACGATTGGATAGGAATATCCAATGTGGTCGGATGGTCAGATGACTTCATCTGATATCGAGTACCCACGAGCAAACGTGTCTGGATAGATCTGGGAGGTGAAACCTGATGGAAAATGGTGGTAACGGTTAACGGGTAACGCTCGGGCGGGCGGGGTTCAGTCAGGGACTCGTTCCTCTGAATCTCTCGGCAGTCGGTGAAATGTGCGATAGTTAATTTAATAATTATGACTCGACTTTTACATCTGCCCGCCCGTAACGCGTGTTCGGTCGTTGAATTCAATGTGACATGACATTTTGTGCAATGGTCGGTTGCTGAAATTGAACTTTGGATACCGATGGGCTCGGAAACGTACGAGGGCTTCTGACCTTCTGAATCAGAGAATGGATGCGGCCTGGAATCACAGGCTACGAGACGGCTGGGTGTCTCTGGGAGTTGCGGACCGGGTAATTCAGTTCGTATGCACCAGCGAACTTGGGTAGCCTGCAGTCAATAAGAATGAGACATGGGAAGGCAAGATGAAGGATAAGAGGGGGGAGAAGAGGAAGTGAATGAGATAGTCAGGTGCACGCTGCGATGGACAAGGATAATTATGCATTTGACATTAGTGTCGCTAGGCGCTCTGGTCGGACGTGTACGCGCGCCGTCTGTGCGGCTGCGAAATTTAAAGAGCCCCATCGAGTCATACAGAAAAGTGTTGGTCGAAGCTAGGCGAGCGCAGCACTGAGATTGATGGAGGATGGAATCAGCCGATCCCCGAGAAGGTTTGAATGCAATGATAGGATAGCCATCGTGTGTGACAGCGTCATTTTGAGTGAGTCCTGAATGGTGCGCATGTCACTGTGTGCCTGCACCACCCGAGGAATGCGGATGCTCCCAGTGATGTATGTCGGGGTTGGTCGGTACGGTCTCTTAGAGGACGAACGCTTCAGCACTGTCGGTCCGTTGTCTAATCTCTTGTGGAATTAGACTCCAGTCGGGATGGTCGGGATTGACCGAATCAGGAAGGAGGAGAGATTCGATTTCAAGGTCCGCTATGCCGCGAGTACGTACGTACGCGTGTCTCTCTCTCGCCCACCCATACCGTCCCTGGCCGATATCTTCGCCAGACAACTACAAGAACATTTCCTGGGCACCATAAATCCATCTGTCTTACCACCAGCTCCCGCTATATCCGCTCGACAGCGTCGGCCCCGCCGCCATCGTCGACCTGACCTCTCTCTGACCTCGATACTACTCCTGCCGATCCGACAACCCGAGGCTGAAACATTGCTCAGTCAGCAATAGATCTGCGTCACATACACCACGCTCCCGTCTCTCTCAGGTCCCTCTCGTCCTCCTCTCAGCTTAACATCTATCTTACTCTCCCTCACCGACGTCATGGATCCTCTGGGTGCCGCCCCGCTCTGGGACTTGTCGCTGCCGCCGTCCCTTCCCGCTCTCGCTGACGAAGAGTTTATCGCTCTCCTTCAGAAACAATTCGGTGCGAACAACGGTCTTTCTCGCATTGATGACGACAAGGAGGCACCACCACCAACTACCAACATTAACCCCCAGAATTTGACTCGTCTCCCGATCCCAAGACCAGTCGACTCCCCGCCGAGCGACGACAGTAGTCCAAGTCCCAACGAGGCAAATGTCTCGCGGTCTCGCAGAGAGTCCGGCGTCTTCGATCTCGACGACGCGGACGGTGCGGACGAGGACCCGTCGTTGAAAAGAAAGGCGGGTGAGGAGGACTTGGGCACCGAGCCATCGCTCAAGACGCAGCATACATGTACGTCCCCTCCCTTTCACACATTTGTCTTTATTTACATATAATTTACTTTCCCCAAACAGCACCTAAAAAGGGCTCGGCTTCTCGCCGCAAATCCACCGGAAACCCGACTGCAGTGAGTATATATGCGGGAGAAATTTGTGGAATGTTCGAGACATCTGACATAATTAAATATAGGATGACTCCCGTCTTCTTAAGCGGAAAGAACAAAACCGAGCTGCTCAACGTGCGTTCCGGGAGCGAAAAGAGAAGCATGTAAAAGACGTGAGTATATGCGTTTTGATCTCGACTGGCGGTTGCCTGATTGGTTGTTGCATAGTTGGAGGACAAGGTTGCCGCGTTGGAAGAGAAGAATGCTGCGGCGATTCAGGAAAATGAGTCTTTGCGCGAGGTCGTCAGTCATCTACAATCCGAAAATATGCGACTACGACAGTCGTCATTCACATTCGCCGTCCCACCATCAGCATCAACAGCAAGCAGCAGCCAGAGCAATGGGTCGGATGTCAACGGAAATAATCAATCTAATGCTCATCGCGACTCCCAGACGAATACGTTTAATATACCGCCATCGACGACTACGTCTTCCACAGCTTCAACTCATGATTCACCCGAATCATTATTCTTGACCGACAATAGTGACGGTCAATTGTCCTTCCTGGGACGAAATCTGATACCACTCAGCTCTGAACAACAACAAACCGCAACGGCAGATGCGATGAATATGGACTTCGGCTTTGGTCCCGTCCTATCTCACACGCCGTACACTACGATTGCCAGTAACCCATTGTTTATGTCATTCCGTGAACCAGATGTCTTTGATTCGCTTGTACAGCAGCAACAACAACAACAGAATCACGGTCAAAGTGCTGCTCAGTCTGGTCAGTCCTACGACTTCTCGCAGCAGTTATTCCCGGGAGGATGGCCAGACGTGGCAATGAACAACGGCGGCTCGCCAAACACTTCGATGCAAGCGTTTGATCTGACGAACTCGCTTGATGAGCTGTTCGGCACGTCGTATAACAATGGTAGCAATGGATTAGATTACACGATGAACGCGGCGAAGGCCAGCCCGTCGACGAGTCTGAGCCCCGTGTCGCATCGCAATTCGGAGCAGTCTACGCCTGGTGCGAGCTCTTCGTCATCCTCACCATCAGTGAGTGGGAGTCCTGTTGTTACAAGGGACACACCGTGCGATCCTTCAAAGAAGTGCACGAAATCCGACCTTGCGAAGGCCATTGCATTGGACAAAGGATCTATATTCGCTGCGAGACCACAGGAGTCCCATTCGGAGGACTCATCACCTTCTCCACCGAAGTCGGGAACATTGGATGATGACCAGTGCGATGAGTTCCCACCGTGTAAGGGTCTTCAACTCCCAAAGACCCAGAAGAACGAGAACAATGTTGAGGTTATGGCTGCATGGCGAAAGATTCGCCATGATCCAAAGTTCCAGGTTCGGCCCTCCCAAATTATTCGAACATCTTGATTAGATTAGCTAACACCCTTCGATCCCTCCCCCCCTCACACACAGGACATCGACATTAACCAATTATGCACAGAGTTCGCGTCAAAAGCAAGATGCGACGGGTGTCACGTTGTAATTGAGCCGAGCGGGATGCAAGAGATACTAGACTCGGTATCGCGTGCAAAGAGGGAGAAACAGCAGAGTGCATTGTTCAGTGCGAGTAATTCGGCTGGTCTATTTACGAAATAAATAGACTTTCCTGGGTTTATTCTTTTGTGCAATCACTTTTTTTTTAAACATTGCATTGCATTAGTACCCTCCCCTCCCTCCCCCCCTAACCTCACCTTCATATTTTACGTATTTCGCACGCACTTGTCCTAACCCTAACGAACTTGTTGGTATGAGTTGCAACATATATCTCACACGTACACCTCTCCTCACCCCACACAATCTGCATCAAATCTCTTGCATCGAATCCACGCCCTTGTGGGTACAATAAGTAGTTAAGAATTATATGTATATGAAATCGTTCTCTTTTTTCGCTTTTCGTTTTCGTCTTCGTCTTCGTCTCTCTGGCTTTCGTTTTCTTGTCTGTCTGATGGTCCATTTTCATCGTCTCTTCTTATATTGTTTGTTGATTGCGTAGTTAGTTGATTTAGCATGCGTCGTTTTGTGCGATGGATGAGAGTGTTGTTTTTCGTCTTATTCTGATATTGATGATGATGTATTGTAATAGTATGGAGTTTCGTGTTGGATTAATTCTTCATATGTGGGGCGGTAGATTGATTGATTGGATGAGAATCGGGATTGTCATTTGGGTGATTTCTACTACTGAAGTTCACGCATCTATCCTCAGATCAGGCATTACCGCGTCACTGCTCCACATCTCCTACATCCACCATCTCTATCTAACAAACGAAAAGAAAAAAAAGAAAAGCAAAAGAAGTACCCCTCCTCCAACCCAGCAAACCTACCTCTCAGACTCAGGAACGTACGGCACCACCAACATCTTACTAAACTCCTTCAACTTCTCGGGCCCGCGAACTTCTTCTGTGAGGAGTGGAAGGCGGATGATGTGGAAGTATTCGTCGTAGAGTTCGTGTGCTTCGTTGAGGTATTTTTGTTGCATTTTGTATCGGACGAGGCAGTGTTCGCAGTTTGAGCCTGTGTAAGTGGGTGAATGAGTGAGTTGCATGTCAGGAAGAGATATGGATAACGGGGATGAGTTGGGAACGGGAACGGAATACATTGGGTGATGTGGTACAGCAAGGACAGAGAAGAAAGAGGGATGTAGACAGACGAACGAACCTTTCTTTGGGAAGAGTAACTGGTTAATAACGATATTATGCGTATCGATCTCGTATGATTCAAGCTCTTGTACGAGTCGTTCGGTCTCGTAAAGGGACAGGAACTCGGAGATGCAGACGCATACGAAAGTGGTTTTCTCCTATTAGTTCACAAGTTGAGGGTTAATTAAAGTAAATATCAAAATTAGCATTAGCATCAATGTACGAAATTGCATGTGAACAAAGTAAAGAGATCAAGAGGAAGTGAAGTAGGTGAAGGGTGAGAAAGAAGGAACGAATACGTACTGGATCCTTGAACTGACTATTCACTTCGGAGATGACCTCGCGCATAGAGTCAAGCTTCGCGAACATGTCTTCTTGTGTACCAGGTTGACCACCCATCATCGAGGACATCTACAAAAGAAAAGTATCTTCAGCTCCGTGTACTCTTTATCACGTTCGCCTTGAAGAAAAGAAAGAAAGAAAGATACGAACCTGGTTAATCATAGGCCCAAACCGACTCCCCAAAGAACTAAGTTTTCCAAGAGCCTTCTCGAGCACAGACGGGAAGGAGAGGAAACGGAGTGTATGGCCTGTTGGTGCGGTGTCGAAGACGATTACTGAGAATTCCATTGATTTGACGTGTCTGAGTGTCGTACGTTTTTTTTAGTTTATATCAATTCATTAGTTAAGTTTGAATAGATTGATAGCATGCGGAACGAGACGTTACTGACTTCATGATCTCAGCGAACCCCATAGCTTCGTCGACACCTGGTATTGCGAATGCTAGGTCTTGCATCATGTTACCCATCATACCATTCTGGTCAGCTATCAATATAAAAAAAAAGGCGCATTGAACCTCTATTAAGCATGGCGTTCGTTGTTAAAGAGATAAGTAAGGACTAACGAACATTGCTCAATCATCTCTTGTAAAGAACTCGTAGGATCGATCTCCATAGCGTACAAGTTATCAAACCCATTGACTTTAGTCGCGTCCTTAGAGAACTTTTGACCGAATGCGTCTGAGAGGTTGTGTGCTGGGTCTGTTGACTGTATGCACCTTCGAGATGAGTTGAAAGCTATGGGATTGGAGGGATGGAGTGTGCTTACGATGAGGAGGACAGATTCTCGAACGGAGGCGAGTTGGATTGCGAGTGAACATGAGGTTGTCGTCTTGCCTAGTGCAGGCTTAGAGAGGAACAACTAGAGTCATGGGCAGTGAGGACTAACCAACGCCACCCTTTCCACCTAAATACGAGAGTTAGGGCGTGAGCATTGTGGGTACGATGAATGCATAGGAAATACAATACGCACCACAAAAGATCCATTTGAGTGTCTTCTGGTCCAAGACGTTCTGGAGAGTCGGTTCAAGTGTTTCTACTTCTGTCATGGTCATGAAGTGTATCGATCTAAGAGAGAATGCAAGGCAAGTCTTCTCCGTGTGGACGCGTACGTGGAAGCAGCGTAATGCAGGACGCGACTCTTGAATTATTAACATGCGCGTCGACCGTCATTGGCCCTGAGCATCTTTCCTCCTTCGCTCACCTTCTTCCACATTCTCGTTGAATCCAGCGCATTCTCGTATCATGTCGAAAGTTTTGTCAGATAGCAATACTGTTTCGTTCAGAGGTCAGAAATTCTGTCAAAACCAATCGAATAAGGCAAAATACTGAATTATGGTATCGTAAAAGCCTTGCAGCTCGCCAGTGAACATCGTAACGCATATGGTCTCCGTTACAATGATTTTAACAGATACAGGTTCGTCTATATCCTCAATACAGAAACTCAGCACGAACTAAATCTAATCGTCGTCTGTCAGAAAACACTGTGGAAACAGGACCCATCGACTCAGGTCCTCATTGAAAATGACGCATGGAAAGGGACGGGATTTCAAGAAACTACCGCCGATAACACTCGAAAACGTCAAGGCTGGGCAGTAAGTTACATCACACACGTCCTTCCACCTTACTTTATCATGCTCATTCTTTTCCTCCTTCAGTCTTGAGCTTCTGCTATTCGAGACAGAACGAGCATGGGCGTACTCGCAGGAGTTGTACACCTCATCCCTCCAACCCGCCAACAAAGAACACGCAGGCAAACTTCGACACAACGCAACAGGTCGTTTCCGACGTTCTCTCCATTGGTGTACACAACTCCTCTCTCACTGTCAAAGTCTATACAAAGCACAACGACTCTCAGCAGAGAACATCCTCGAGATTAACGCTTACACTCTAATTCTCAGTGGGCGCTTTTTGCGTTTTAGAGACGAATATGAGGACGCACTGGACCAGCTTTGCGTTGCGAGGGGTATTCTTGATAAGTTAGCGGAGTGTGCGGAGAGTAGTAGAGACCAAGCTCTCGCGACGTTGTTTTCTGATGAGATTGCTCCGGAGATACGTTATTGCGCTCATCAGCTCGGACAAGAGAACGCGTACGATATCGACCGTATCGTCAAAGAAATCGCACCGAAACATCAACAAACACTCGTTGAAGGCTGCAGCCAGCTTGTCGAGCGACTCCGGACGGAAGGCCGTGGTGACGCTACCGTACAAGGCAGGAAACGCCTTGAGACGCTCATGTGGGACGGAGAGCCTGTTCCGGTACGCAACCCGGAGTTGGTGGACGTTCTTCTCGAAGTACAGAAAGCAGAGGAACTGCTCAAGGCTGCGATGAACGATACGGTCGAGAAGTCAGGTGAGGACAACAACGAGCAGAAGAAGACGAAAACGAAGCAGCAGGGAAGGAGGCGACACCAAAAGTCCCGCAAGGGCGTCGCTGCCTTCGATGCGATCCTAGCAGCACTTAGCGAAGCAGAGGAAGTAGCGAGGAAGCTTGCCGAGGCGCAGAGGGTATGTTCTTCATCTATCACCCAGGCCTGCAGAATTGTATTTATTAATTTCGTGTTATTTTAGACAACTAGCGGCTCTGCAACCTCACCACCCGGAACTCGCGACATCCACTTCCTACACGCATTCATCGTCTACCAGCTTCTCGCCCATCGAGTCGAGCGAGACCTCACGCTCATCGAAGCGTTGATCTCCTCTTCTCAGTCTCAGGGACCTCGCAAGCCCGCCAAAACGACAACGACAACGAATGCAAAATCGAAATCCGATCACGCTCATGAAACTCTTGAAACTCTTGAAACTCTTGATGATAATAAGGATAAGGAGATCAAATTCGACGCACGCATAAACCCAGCAATCGTCAAACTCCTCAACACAGTCGTCCAAACTCTCGAACACATGCGTAGCCTAAATATCGTCGAAGACAACCCTGACTTGACGAATGCCGTAGAGACGAGGTTGGAGTATACGAAAGCTCGTAGATGCCTTTACTTAGCACGCTCTTACGCAGCTGTAAAACAATACACTCAAGCTCTCGTTCTCTGTCAACAATCCCAACTATACATCCGAGCAACATCCTCCTTCCTCTCTTCCTCCTTCCCTTCTCCGTCTTCATCCTCGCCATCTGCATCCGCGAGGACAGGTTCGAGAGTAGACCCATCCACATTCTACCCCCTCACCCAACTCCTCCTCACACACCTCACCCAAACCCTCTCCACCTCCTCAGATTCCTTCAAACGCGCCTGGTTCGCGTATAACGGCGGAGAACCTACCATCCCCAAATCTTCCCCTTCCTCAACTAACGCCTCTGAAAACAAGACCGCAAAGGACCAAGGAGGAAAAGGAAAGGAGACGACGAAAGAAGTGAAAGAGGTGAAAGAAGGGAAAGAGAAGAAAGAACTAAAAAAACCTCTCTTCTTCGACATCGCACTCAACTACGTCCAACTCGACATGGACCGACTTCATTCGCGCGCCGGCATGGACTCACCCAAAGAGAACAAAGAGAACAACGAGAAAGAGAACAAAAATAAAACACAGTCAAAGACGTCTACTGCCGAGAAACCGGCTCAGACGACGACGACAACACCAGTAACGACCAAAGCCAAAATGGCTGAATCGATCGACAGACCCTCAACGCCCGAGCCCCAATCCGATGCCTCGCGTAGAGGTGGATTGAGTAGTCTCCTCGGAGGCTGGTGGGGTAGGAAGTAGAATAAATAGGACGTAGGAAAAATTAGTTCAAAGAAGGAACTCTCATGTGGGAAATACTAAATAACACGTCTGTCTACCTTACCACTTTATTAACTAAAAATACAAATACATACGTGTTGAACCTGACTCACGCTTCGTACACAAAGAAACACATACTTAGTATTTCAAATAAACTAGAGACAAGTCACAGAAGTCTATTAACAAACAGACAGAGACAAACAGACGACAGGCAATCAGACAGACAGCACGAGCTAAGCTACATGTAGAGAGAGGAAAAACGAGAAAAGAGGTGATACACAAAGCACAGCAATCACACACACAAAGGCGGCGGGAGAAAGAGAGAAAAGTGGCGTTATTTATATAATAAAACGGGAGGGAGAGGTTGAGGAGGTGGAAGCACAAGAGATCAGTCGTCCTCACTAGGAGTCAAATAATCATCCTCATCGCTCAAAATCGCCTTCGAGTTCGTCCTCACAATACTCCTCCTCGACAAAACCGGCCTATCCTCCTCATCGCCCATCCCAACTGCACTCGACGACCCAGCACCACCACCGCCGCCGTTCTCCGATATCTCGGCACCAGGAAGACCCGAATTGACCGTCAGACGATTAAACACCTCGTTAAACACCTTCTCCATCTCATCAGCGTCGATGTAGACAAGAGAACCTTCAACGTTGTACGTCCGCGCGTTGTTGAACATGAGTCTCCATTCGTCGCGGTACTGTTGGACGTCCTTGTAATAGTTGGTCTGGGCGCGCTTACGAAGATGTGACATCGCAATCGGCTGAGCGATCATTTGGTAGTAATCCGGGTAGTCCTGAGCGAAGAATGAATGGAATTAGAAACTCGAACCAATCTTGAACAAAGTTGAATTAACATACCCTTCTATCCGGCAGCTCCTTGAACAACTCCCATCTTCGTCTGCCATTATCAGGGTCCTCGCAGACTTGCACAGCACGGTAACATTCATTGAACACCTTTTTCATACGCTCCCTCACCGAAGGCGGCACCTCCGCATTCTTCACCTTTCTCCGTTTCTAATTTAAAGAAAATCGTCCAACATCAGTCACAATCCTTCACCACAAGACCAGAATAAATAAAAACTCACCGCATCGCGATCATCATCATCATCCGCAATCGAAGGAGTGACCGAAACAGGTTTACCAGGTCGCTTCCTCTTTCCATTCGAGATCGACGGCTCATAGTCGGCTTCAACAACAGCAGCAACAGCAGCGTTCTTGGGTGGACGGCCCTTCTTCTTCCGCCCACGATTCTCATCTACCGCTGGTGAGTTTCTCGACGACTGTCCTTCACTGTCACGAAGAAGTTTATTTGCAGCACGTCGTTGAGCCTTTTCACGAGACCGTTCAATCAGCTCTTCGATATCCTCGTCACCTTCAAGTGCCTACAAATAATAGATAAGCATCCAGAAATATGTAATGAAAATGCAAACAAGGCTACTGACCATTGCCCAAGCATCATCCGAAAGACCATCATTGTAACTAACAACATTCCGACGTCTCTGTCCACGTCCCTCAGCCTCCTCTTCCATGGCCACAGCCTCAAAGTAGTCATCATTACGATAACACTCCGGCAGCTCTTCGAGCTGGATGAGCGGCTGCGGCGGAGGACCATGGTGACCAGACATCACCCAGTTATTCTTCTGGTCGCGAAGTCGCTGGATGTCCATGTCCTTGAAAACCTCAATCTCGTTATCGTTACGTGCGATGATCTCATTGATCTCGTCGTCGTTCATGTCGCCTGACTCTTCGTTATCCTCTTCTTGGTCGGCTTCAAGGATAGATCGCTATAGAACAACGTAAATTATTCAGACACTTGTAGAAATAATGAAAACCAGAAAATAACGCACCAAGAACTCTTCCTGTTCCTCCTGCGTCGACTTGTTATCGAACCGACCAGCTTGAATGACCTTGTCATCAATATCAAGCTTGTACCGCGCACGCGCATACATAGCCTCTTCTACACTCTTCTCCGTAATAAACCGAAGAATGCGAACGGCCTTCGTTTGACCAATACGATGAGCACGATCCTGAGCCTGAAGATCGGCGTGAGGGTTCCAATCAGAGTCAAAGCTAAGATTCACAAATCAGCAAATGCAGCGTCAGAAAGAAACGACGGAAAGCGAAACATACATAATGACAGTATCTGCAGATTGCAAGTTCAAACCAAGACCTCCAGCTCTCGTTGACAAAATGAATACTTGGATGGGCGAATCCTTCGCATTGAAAACCTGGACATGGGAAGCACGTTCCTCTGTCTTCGTCCCACCATCAAGTCGAAGATATTGCCAGCCTTGAGACTTCATAAAGTCCTCCATGATGTCCATGACCTTAGTCATCTGGAAGAAGATGAGGACCTACATCGCATCGATAGTGAGTATATGCAACCTCTTAAGAGAAAGGAGAACATACTCTGTGGCCAGTAGCGAAGAACTTAGGCAGAACCCGAACAAGAAGCTCGAACTTGCCGGCAACACGCCAAATATTATCGTCAATCATACCACTCGGACTAATCTTATCCTCCACACTATCGAACAAGAACGGGTGCTGGCAGATTTTCCGGAGCTGCATGAGCTCGTTGCTAAGACCTTTCACACCACCAGTCGATTTCCTAATCACCCAAGGTAAGCAAGAGGAGACCTCAGAGCTCGACAGGAAATAAACATACCCTTTCGCATCCTTCCCATCAGCAATCATCTTATACTTCTTCATCTGCTTGTACAGCTGCGACTGCAGCGCACTCATCCTAATCTTAATAATCTTCTCAACCTTATCCGGCAACTCAGACTCCACGTCCTTCTTCAATCGACGCAGCAAGAACGGCCGGAGCACCTTATGCAGACGCCTAATAATAAGCAGAGCCTCTTCTTCGTTCAGCTCTATCTTATCAGATGACCCAGAGTTTGCGAAGGGCGTGTTGAACCATTCATCGAACGATTTAACCGAGTTGAAGATCTTGGGAAGGGCAAAGTTGAGCAGGGCCCACAGTTCGGGCAAGTTATTCTGTAGCGGAGTACCCGTGAGAATGAGACGGTAGCGGGAGTGATAGTACATTGAGAGAGTCTGTGAGAGCTTGCTCTGCGTATTTTTCATTCTGTGACCCTCATCTAAAGTGAACATAAGTCAAATGGCGAAAAATACAGAAGACGGTAAGGCGTACCAATGATGATATGCAGCCACTTCAGTTTGCTCAAGACAGGCCTATCCTTGATAATATACTCATATGTAGTAAGGAGTACCTGGAAATTGCCCATCCTAATCTCATTCTGCAGCTGTCTTCGCTGAAGCGGGTTGCCTTTATAGGAAATCGTCTTGACAGCCGGAGCCCACTTCGCAAATTCACCTGTCCAGTTCGTCATGGTTGACAATGGAACAATGACAAGAAACGGTCCGCGCTGCTTCTTGGTTTCGATGAGGAAGGTAATCAGTGAAATCGTCTGAATCGTCTTGCCGAGACCCTTGATACAATACAAATTTAGTAATTAAATTCCTTAGTTTGACTGCAGGACAAACCAACCATTTCATCGGCAAGGATACCATTCAACCTGTTGTTATACAAACTGACCATCCATTGGAGACCTTTTAGCTGATACTCTTTCAACGTGCCACCGACAAGAATATTCGGTTGCTTCGAGATTTTTTCTTTGATTCTATGCGCCACAGCATAATAGTCAATTTTCGTCTTCTCGTCAGGATCGACCACCTTCTGCGCCCCGAACATCGTTTCGTCCGCAGGACCCTCTTCCTGCTGTCCCGTGATAATTGCCGGTCCGTGTACATCATCATTCTGCTGTGCGACCACAGCCTGAGCAAGGGAGTCAAGGTAAGCATCCGTTTGGCGAAGCAAATGTGTAATACGAGTATCCTTGGCAGTATCGATAAGTTTCATGTACGCCTCTTCATCGTCGTTCTTCAAAGCCTTAAGACGCTCCTTCGAGATTCGCTCAATACGCTTGGCTTCCTCCTTCTCCGTGAAAGCATGCATGGATTGGACAGCACGGCCAAGCTTCAACGCGCGGTCCTGATGAGCCCGATTGACGGCAATCATCTCTTGCCCATGCTTGCAGATAACTCCAAGCTGCTCCAAGTGCTTGCTCTTCACCCTTCGCTCACGATCAGCTCGCTGCTTCCGTTCGAGCTGTTCGGTCGTCCGGGCATCGCGTAATGTTGGACGGCGCGGTCGACGGAAGTCCTTACGGTCCAGGGGAAGTAAAGTACCATGATTAAGACGCTCAACGACCTGAGAACGCAGGGTTCGTTGCTTCTCGCGTACACGAAGCGCCTTGAGTTCGATTAAAGCCTTCAATTTTCCATGTGCGTGTCGCGAAAGCTGCATCAGCTTGTTCGTAGAAGAAATGGACTCCAAGGTAGCTTGCTGTTGAGCGTCCTCGTTTTCCTTGTTCTCCTTGCCTTCTACAGCATTAGAGAACGAAATGGAATCCAATCCACCATCACCCATCGTAACCGGCATATCGGACAGCTCCCGTATACGTTGTTCAATCCGAGCATCGACGTACCGATTCCGCTCTGCAATGACCTGGTGAGGGTCGAGTCCAGCTGGCATAACCGAGGGAACGAGGAGGCGTTGAAGCCGAGTTGCCCATAATTGTTGCTGAGCAGGCGACAGATTATCTGGGCGCTTAAGGTGGGAGAACGGATGGACATAGGCGTTGTAAGGATAAATCGGTGATTTTGTGTCCTCTTCAAGGAAGGGGCCTAATGGACCATCTACTTCTATCTCTTGCTCTTCTGATTTTACGGCTGCCTTTTCTTCTGAGGAACCCCGCACCTCTGGGGTGGCCGAGGCATGTGCCTCACTGGGTGCACCGTTTATTTTCACGGCGGCGTCGACAATCCTAGCCGGCACATCAGGGCCCTGCACGGACTTTTCGAGAGCAGTGATGGCATTGTTTTGAGGGAGCAATGCGTTTTGAATGTGCTCTGGGATCGGGGCGCCTCGCTGGATTGATCTGAAGGCATGAATTTGTGTACGCAGTGCGGCGACCTGATCTTCCGTGAACGACACCGGCGACGCTGGTGAAGGAGGGACGGCATGTGCAGGGATGGGACCACCAGCCAGGGGATTAGGGCTGGCGACACCGTTAAGGTGGGGAGAGAAGCCGTTGACCATAGGTGGCTGAGGGTGAGCGGCCACAGCAGCCTGGTCTTATGTGGATGTCAGGTCAGACAAAACGTCGCTGTCAAAGGGGAAGAGAAGGGAGAAGGCATACTCATGTTAGACTGAGCGTTCTTGACCTGAGCAATGAAACGCATCAGTTTGTCCATCTCAGGACTTGTCTCGACGGTATAGCCATGGGCTCGAAGAGCGTCTATTCGCTGTGGATGGATAAGAATATGGGTGAGAAGCCACAACAGGGGTGATGGGACAAAAAAGTGGAATACCTGAAGAACGGCGGTGACGCGCTCTTTGGTGATAGGCAGCATCTGCCGCTGGACGGGAGCGTTTGCCACACCATTTGTATGAGGGCCGACGCCGTTTGGCGGGGCGGGATGGGAGAGTGATGGGGGTGCGGGGGACGCCATCGTCGACCGAGGGCGCTGCCGGACGGTAGACGAGCGGCGGGGAGTGGCGGGATAGGATCGGGAGTGGGCGGATAGGACGCGTAGAGAGGATAAGCAGCGAAAATGGACGGAAACGCGGGTGGATGGCGCGCGTCCTTAGCAGATGCCCGCAAACAAACACAGTCAGTCAGTGCCAGTTCAGTCACACGCAGAGCGAGTCTGTGAGAGAACCGTAGCCCCTATTGATGACTCAGCCATTCCCACACGGCCACATTAGAGTCACACCGTGACAACGCGATCACACTCGCGCTTCCGAGTGAGTCGCGCCAATTCATCTCAGACGCGTCGTGACGCCATTCATTCCAACCTTTTACTTTACCTCCCATCATGCCTGCTGAGCGCGCTGGGGTACGTCCCAGGTTATACTATATTATCATATATATTTACAATATGTTCATTCGATAGTACACTGTGACGATGTTCTGCATCGACGTCTCGCCCTCAATGGGCAGCCTGCGCTCAGTCGAGGTGTCAGACAGCCAGGACGGCACAACGCGCACAGTCGAGATGACAAATCTCGCCTGGGCAATGCAATATGTCCTACTCAAAATACAAGAGATGGTGCGCCGCTTGACAATGCGCCAACTTCAACTACTCATTAGACCCAAAGATATTTCACGGGCGCAAGACAGATCAATGCGGCGTAATTCTCTTCGGCACAGAAGGTGACTCATGCCACGTCCCAAGCTTGCATTAATCATTATTGTAACATTCAGTTCATTTACAGAAACAAACAACGTCGTTAATGACTCGAATGGGGGCTACGAGCACGTCACCGAACTCATACCCATCGGTCAGCCGAATACCGGTACACTCACAAAATTACAAAACCTTCAGCCGTCTACGGAAATAGGCGATCGTACGCACTACCTTCCATTCCTTCATTTTTCTTCCCTAATTTTAGTCTACCATAGCTATCGACGCAATTATAGTGGCTATTGAGACTCAAGACCGATACTTGGCCAAGAAGAAATCCTGGACTCGGAAATTAGTTGTGCTCACCGACGGCGAAAACCCTATTGAAGTCGAGGATTGGGACGTGACCGTCAAGAAAATAAACGATCTTCAGATAGCCACCACGATAATGTAAGACTTAACTCTGTTGGCTGAGTTACTAGCCGTAAACTTAATTTTCTTTCCTTTAGTGGTGTCGATTTCGATGACGAAGAATTCGGCGTCAAGCAAGAAGATAAATCACCCATCAAGGTCTGAATCATCTTTATAAATCTCATTGACAACACATAACTGAAATGACGACTAATTTAGCTCGAAAACGAGAGATTCTTCCACGAATTCATCTCATCCCTACACGACGACCTAGGAATGATCGGTACCGCCGCATACGCCTTACACGAATGCCAACGACCAGAAGTAAAAGAAACCAAATCAGCGCTTTTGGGTACTACACTTCGACTTGGAGATGTTGACACGCGACCGGAGGAGGCGATTGAGTTACCGATTAAGATGAGTAAATGCACGGCTGCTGTCCACCCTCCGACTTTGAAGAAATTCGCGAAGCGGGTTGTGTCCGATACGAGTGACGAGGCTCCCGCTACGCAGAGTCAAAGCCAAAGCCAAAGCCACCATCAAAGTCAAGCCCAGAGTCAGAATCAGGCAATGGATGTGAATGGTGAACAAAAGAAAGACGTCTACGTCCAGCTAAACATGCAAACCGAGTATCTCGTAAACGTAAAGAACGAAGAGGGCGACGACCAAGACCGAAAAGAAGACGAGAAAAATAAAATGCAAACCGACGAAGTTGACGAGGAGGAAGGCGTACCAGAGAAAGTCGACAAAGATCAACTTATTAAGGGATTCAAGTACGGTGCTTCGTACGCTCCTTGTCCAGACGGTCAGTTCCCGCGTCTTAGTACTCGTAAAGGTATGGATATATGCGGGTTCTTCCCTGATCACTTGGTAAGTCAACTTCCCTCCTTCCCTCCGTCATTACTACGTACATCCATACCTGCACTGACGAATTTCTCGCGTAGTTCCGTCGCGAACTAGCAATGAGCGAAGTCCAATACGTCTGGGCGGACCCATCCTCATCCCAAACCCAACTATCCCTCTCCTCAATCGTCCAAGCCATGCTCTCCCGCCACGTAGTCGCCATCGCCCGATACGTCTCCCGAGACGACATGGACCCAAAAATGGGGCTACTCATCCCACGTCAACTCGAAAAAGTCGACTGCTTTTTGTGGTTACAGATGCCTTTCGCGGATGATGTGAGGAAGTATACGTTCCCTTCACTTGAGAATTTGGTAAGCAAGAAGGGAGAGAGGATAACGAAGCACCCGTTCCTCCCGACTGAGGAACAGATGGAAAGTATGGAGAAGTTTGTGGATGGGATGGATTTGATGCATGCGGGTGATAAAGATGAAACTGGGTGTGTTTTGTCATATTCGCCTTAATTTCCTAATTTCTCTTGTCTGACATTCAGAGTTGAAGTGAACGTACCCCCTGGTTTGACCCACGCCTATCATACAACCCAGCCGTCCACCGAATCAAACAAGCGCTCTTCCACGCGGCAGTCGTATCTGACCTCCGTACGAATCCTTTACCACCACCTCACGAAGAAGTCATCAAGTACCTCGAACCTCCTCGACGCGTATTGAAACGCGCGTTACCTGCACTTGAGGAATGTAAGCAAGCGTTTAAGGTTCGACAAGGTGAGTACTCTCTCTTTCTTTTTCCTCGTCTTTGTCCATTCTCTTTTTCTGTTCATTTCGAAGCGTTTCCTTATGTTATAATTTATACGGATCATGGCTAATGATGATAACTTATACTATATTAAACAGTCCCGAAACGAGTCATGCGAACACGAAAAGACGGACACGTGCGCGCAGGAGACGACGATGACGAGCTTCTCTTACTCGACCAACCAAATCCTCGGATCAAAGTCGAGCAAACATCTCCTTCATCGCGGATCAAAAAAGAAGATGCAGCAGAGGACGATGATAAGAAGCCGGTACTTCAGAAGAAGTCCCCAGTTGGAGATGCCGATAAGATGGACGTGGATGTCGACGAAGATAAAGATAAAGATGATGCTAGCGAAAGTGGAAGTGTAACCGAACCTGAATCCGACGAAGAAATGGAGGCAGGACCGTCTACTACTACATTGAAGAGCAAGTCCCCTCACTCTCCTACCCAACTACCTTCACCCGAAGCAACCCCTTCCGTCTCAATCGGAAGTGGTAACGATAATGGTAAAGACACAGACATAATCAACCTCGACCTCGGCAAAGAACCAGGCCACCTAATCGGGCTCGCCCACCCTCTCTCAGACTTCAAGAAAACACTAGACTCTCCACCTGAAGAGAAAACGAAAATGAAACCAGAAACAGAAGTGATCGAAGAACTATATGAAGTCTTGAAAGAAATCTTAAGTCGACCATTCGCAAGACGAAGACATGGAGAAGTGATTATGTGTTTGAAGGAGATGAGAGCTGTTTGTTTGAAAGTGAGCAAAAAACTTGAATTTTTTTTTCTTCGTGTTTATGTTATTAATCCAATTTACGTTTTGAACGGTATGTAGAAAGGACATATTGATACATGGAACTCGTAAGTTAACTCCTGCCTCTCCAACGAATGAAAAAATACAGGTCTTAACCTTTATGATATACGCAGGTACCTAAAAGATCTCAAATCCTCCTGTCTCTCCCCCTCAAAAATCAACAACGAGTCATTCTGGCGCGAACTCTGCAACGTAGGCACCACGCTAAGTCTGATCGGTGAGTCTGAGGCAAGGACGAACGGAGGATGGACAAGTGACGTGAGGGATGAAGAGGTTGATAAGGTTAGTTCGTCGTTATTCATGTTAGTAGGGAAGGACTAACAGAGTGACTCTTTTATTTTTTATTATTTCCTGGATTTAACTTAGTTCTTGTCAACGTAAACTTGTATAACAGGGACCTCTTTTGTATTCTGTTCATTTATTCTTATGAAAATAATCTACATCAAAATCTCATGCATTAAGAGTATGCTTCAATCGTTATCACATATGATATACTTATTTTGTCATAATTTAAAATTGCCCTGCATAGCTTTACGACACGTGTGTCTTGCATTGCGTCTCCCGAGGTCTGCAAGAGGTTTGTATCTCACTGCATTACATATATGGATGCCACTGCAAAAGAAGCCAGCATATGCACAACCAACAAGATATTATCCTTTGGAGAATATACTTAACTGTGCTAGCACACCAGAGGTGTCTTTGTTGCCTTTGATCTTATTGAGGCAGTACTTCGAATTACACTCCTGCCAGACGTCTTCAATAACCCGGACTTCCAACAAATATATTGTTCCTTGAATGATATAGTATGTTTAGCCAATGTATAGTATTTTATTTCACAATACCATTTGCAAAATAGTATTGTCTTTCAAGGACATTTATTCATACACTATGGAATATACTTAGGGTATGTATTAAGTCAATGTTATTACAGCTAACAAGCATGAAAAGGCTGTTTTGACACAACAAGTGGTGGACTTTGTTGTAAACTACTACAAGAAGCTTGTCAAACTTGTCAATTCCTGTAAATGGAACCTTCCTTCGTTTGGTCTAGAGATAGACAACACTATCAGTGTATACATACACAGAATGGAGCAGTGGGTTTATGGATGCATAGTCTGGTGCTTCAACCAGCCAAGGTACTGACAACTTTGATAGAATTCATAGAACAATTATTAATGATGGAAAATTAGTCTTCTGTCAGATGGTTCTAGAGGCTAGGGTCAATGTCTGCTTGTAAGGCACTACAGACCTTTGAGATAAAGATGTATACAGTAGCTTTGAATGTATTTACAAATAACCTATACACTAACTATAAGGACTTAGATATTGTCTGCAACTTCCATGTGATCATCTTTACATTAAACTACTAGTTTCCCCTTAGAACCAGAATGTGCTAACCAGTACAGGTGATATGTCTGTGTCAGCAACAGTGTAGAGGGGACCTGAAGGCTCAGCAAGGGGACCCAGGCTACAACTATCCTACACAACAGAAACACAGAACACAAGTACTGGAACATAGTTAGAACTTGTAGAACAGGCAGAGAGAGAGAGTGAGACAAGAGTAGAGTATATAGAGTGAGTCTAAGAGTACAGGACTACCTGGAGTAGACAAGATCAAGACTACAGGACCAGTCTGATCTTGTACACTTATATATACTAAACTACACAAGAGTACTCAGGAAGTATGAGCTACTAAGAATGATAAGCCACAAAGAATGAAAGAAAGGGAAGGTCAAAGATAAAGGTACAAAGAATGAAGGGATGGACAAAGGGTAAGAGACTATAGAATAAACAAAGAATGAAGGGGTAGTCAAAGGAATGGAATGATAAAGTAAGGAAGGGTAGTAGTAAGAGTCAGTATGTATATAGTTTATAGACAGTGCCTCTAAGGGACAGAAGTCCTGAGTTCTAGTACAGAAGAGTGCAGAACCCTTAGAACTAAAGGTACAGGAGTAGAGAATCATAACATTACCCCCCCTCTAAAACTAATCATCCTGATTAGTAAACATAAGGCTTGGTTAGTAGCTCAAGCATAGGTTAGAACAGTAGAGCTTGGAAATCTGTAAGGCTGAGTTTGTGTAGAGCACTAGGATGAAGCTGATAGAAATCTCAGATTGTCTTAAGAGTATGAGCAAGGTTCTTAGCAGGTTCCCAAGTGTGCTCCTCAACTGGGTACCCTTTCTAGTAAACAAGGAATTTGAGTTTTCTGTACAGTAGTTTAGTATCTACTATGTACTCTACTTTGTATTCTAGTTTAGAGCTAATGAGTTCTGGTAGAGGCAGAGGGAGTCTTTGTTGTGAAGGAAAACTAGGATTATAGTACTAAGACAATAGAACCTTATTGAACACTGAGTGTATGTAATTCTATATTACTAAAAGTTGGAGTTTGTAGACAGAGATACTAACCTTCTTTTTAATGATGAAGGGTCTAAAGTGCTTGTTGTCCAACTTCTTCATTAGGTGATCCAAGGTCAGATTAGTAGCTTCTAACATAACCTTGTTACTAGGCTGGTAATCCTTGACTACAGACTTCTTCTGATCATAGTTCTACTTTATAACCTGTACTACCTTCTCTAAAAGAGCTTATGTGTCCTCTCTAGTTCTGTGTATCTGTTCTGTAAAGTCTGTTACAGATTCAGAACTGTTGTTCTGGTTCAAAACTGTCCCCTAGTATGAATGTCTCTTATAATTAAGGAAGAATAAGGATTGTCCTGTTACAGAGTGTTGTTAGTTATTGTACACAAATTCTGCTAGAGCTAACTATTCAGACTAATCCAATTACTAATGATTAATAAACATCTAAAGGTAGAGCTTGATCTTCTGATTAACTTACTCAGTTTGACTGTCAGTCTGTAAGTAATATGTAGTAGAAGGGTTCCCTTGAATTCTGAGAAGTATATACAAGTTCTACATGAATTTCAACTCAAATTGTAGTCTACAATTGTGAATGAGCTTCTGAGAGAGTTTGTACAACTAGAAGACATGATTCTGATAAATGTGTACTATACTTTTAGAAGTGAGTTCTGTTCAGGTTAGAACTGTATAGACTTGCTTAGAGAATCAGTCAACAATTATACAGATAGTATTGTAACCCTAAGACTCAGGTAGCTCACTAATCAGGTCCACCAAGACTTCTTCCTAAGAGTAATCTAGAATCTAATACAGATGTAGGAGAGTCTAAACCCTAGTCTGGTAGGCCTTAGTCTGTTAGCACATATTATAACTAGTCACATACTTTAGGATTTCTCTCTACATTCCTAACTACTAGTAGTTCTGAGTAATGAGTTCCTGTATTTTGTGTTAGCCTGAATGTTCTATAGTCAGATTGTTATAATAAGCTCAGACAATGTCCTCTTACAGTTTCTAATCCTTTAGAACATACAGTCAGTCTTTCTAGTAAACCTGTCCATCCTTATCCTCCTCCTAATCCCTAGCCTACTTCTCTAGCTACTTTACTACAACCTAGTCTTGTGTGTGTCTTAGAGCTTACTATATACAGGTGACAAAGTCAACATTCTTAGATTTGAGTCAGATCTCTTAGATTGTTTTAGACACAAAACAGGAATTGTCTAGGAGAATAAGATTTTTGTTATCATTCTCCCCCTTTTCATAACCTACTCATCTTGAGAGTAAATCAGTTTTTATTATTTACATTCTAGGTTTGTAGGTTAGTACAAAGTTATAGTTCTATAGTTCTAACATCTAACAGGCTTAGTAGTAGTTAAGCTTTTGAGACACTTAGAAGTACTAGAGATTAAAGTAATCACTCTAAATCTTAAACTTCTGTACAGTACTAAGGAGATATTAACACTACTCTTCTAGGGAACAGACAATTGTAAGGAGTTCCTTGTTATAGATAGAGTAGTTCTATTCTGTTGTAGAGAGGGATTCTGATTAGAATACTATTAGACACTACTTTCTGTTAATGAACTGAGACAGTACTACTCTATTTGTAAAGTCAGAAGAGTCAGCTTCAACTCAGAACTTGTTTACAACTGTCAGAACTACTAATACAGACTTACTAGTAATAGCCTACTTGAGAGACTCAAACACAGACTACTACTAATCATCCTATTACTAAGGAACATCTTTACTAGTAAGATTATGAAGGGGCCAGACAATAGTACTAAAGTCTTGAATAAAGTGTTAGTAGTAGTTTACAAACCTAAGGAACACTTAAACCTGTTTTAGGTTCTAAGATTGTAGTTAGTTCCAAACTGTAGTTACCTTTGCTAGATCTATACAGACCTCTCCTCTACTAATTACAAAGCTCAGATAATCTACTAACTCCTGTGTAAAAGAGTACTTTACTTCTTAGAGAAACAGTTTATTATCTTAGAGCTGTTGTAGAACTGTTCAAATTAGTTAGTAATAGTACTTGACTGTCTGAGTAAAGATCAGAATGTTGTCCAGATACACACTAACATACTCTGAGTCAATCAGATCTGTAAGAATGTAATTCATGAATGACTGAAACATTGTAAGCAAGTTAGTTAGTCTAAAGAACATTACAGTCAGTTTGTACAATCTATAATTGGTTTAGAATACAGTCTTCTACTCATCTCTGTCTTAAATCTGAATATTATTGTATCCCTATCAAACATCCAACTTAGTAAAAACCCTAAATGTATGTGTCTTATTAATGAGCTCCTGAATCAGAGGGAGTAGGTACTTGTTTTTGACAGTACTCTTATTAAGACAATAATAATTCTAGACTAGGTAAAGCTTTCTATCTTTCTTTTTGATAAAGAAGAAAGGGGAGACTATAAGAGACTTTAAGGGTTAGATCTGACTGTTCTAAAGATTTTCCTAAAGGAACTTGTTGAGTACCTTCTACTTGTCTCTGTTAAGTAGATAGACCTTATAATCCTTAGATTGGAAACCCTTAGTCAATTCAATTGTATAGTTCTAGAAACAGTGTTTAGGAAGCTAGTTAAATTCCTCTTTACTAAAGACTTTAAGGAACTCTTAGACAAAATCTAGTAGGCTAGGTCTACATACATTCTAGAGTAGAGTTGTTCTGAGAGGGTTCTAGACTGGTTCTGTCTTAGACATCCTTTAAATCAACTCTGTTCTACCTTAACTAGAATATGTATTCACATATCTATCCTAGTTGAAGAAGAACAACTGGTCACCTTTATCAGAACTGTTAGTAACATTAGAAGTGTCTGTATCTACTTAGAACAGTAGTACAAGGTAGTTATAAGACTTAGAACACTAATCAAACACAAGTGTCTACTCTAACTAGTTAATAGTAGGGTTGTAAGCCTTAAACCATTTGAATCCAATAAAGATGTCTGTCTTTCTAAGGTTAGTAACTCTAAACTCAATACTTTCCTTATAATTCTGAATAGTCATTCATAGTTAGACAAACTCAGTAATCTGACTATTCTAGTTCAGGGTTCTGTCTGTATTGTATACTAGGATTGGAAGTAGAACACATTGAGTAAGAAGGTAGTGTTTCTACACAAAAGCTTTATTAATACACAAACTAGTGTATCTACTGTTTACTAGAGTTATTGTTCAGATTTAGAGGGATCCTAAGAAGAGAGCTAAAAGGACAGAGACTTAGAGCTAGTACTCAGAATGTTCTCTAATAAACTACTACTTGTTCTGAAGGGAATGTACAGCTTGTGTAACCTTATTGTCTAAGAGAGTAAGTATATATACTAACATTTCCTTATTAACCTCTCTCTTTCAACAAGGACAGACTCATGTCCTTAACTGTAAACTCAGTTAAGACTATCCCTACTTAATACTATAGACAAACTACTAAGTAGTAAACAGGGCTAGGTAGTGTTCTGAACATTCTGAGATCTTAGAACACAAAAGTAGTAAGTTAGATTGTACAGATTTAGACTTGGACAAAGTGTAAAGAGAAGAATCAAAAGAATCAGAAGAAATAGGAGAACTATTTACTTTTGTTTTTGACCTTTTTCTTTCTAATAAATAATTTTGTTGATTTATTTTTTCTATTTTTTCTACTTTTTCTACTTTTCTTACTTTATTTACTTCTAATCCTACAGTGTCTATTAAATCAAAAGTAACCATTAAAAAATCCAAGTCATAGCTCTTCAGTACTACATTTACTGTTAAGTCTCTATAAAATTCTAGAGTATATAGTCAGGGTCTAGGAGTTCTAAGGTGACTTCCAGATTTGTAGAAAAGGCTTCTTACTACAAATCCTACTTGTTACTCATTATTACTCTAATGACCTAACAGATATACTATTGCTTCTGTAAGTAGTCCTTAATCTAGTGCCCTAACTTTCTGTAAGTAAAGTATACTTCTTACTTTTGAGCTTCTCTAATGTTTATTAGAACAGATTGATTACAAATAACAGGCAGATTGATCTGAGGGCTTAGAACTGTTAGAGCTGAATGTATGTACAGACATTCTGTACAAACTTAATGTATTCAAGCTATAGCTTGGTTGAAGGAAATGGTACACATCTTCTACTTAGTATAAGTAACTAGTTCTAGTATCATCCTAAGAATCTTATTGACCAGTTCTGAGTGAAGAGCTTTTTCAAGCATTCTAATACCTTCTTTCAGGAGTTTGATATTCTAGCCTAGAAGGTAGGATTTGTACTTGGGTTCAATAATGTTCTTATTAGTAGAATGTTTACTCTGTCACAGAGATGTAAGCTTGTTCTACACATTGTGTCTCTCATTCAGATTGATGAAGGAAGTATAGAGCTACTCTATAAATTCTGAATATGACTCACTGTTCTAAAGTTGGATCAGACTTCTAATCTAATGTCCTTCAATCTAGTTCTAGGCCTAGGTGGTTGTATTACCTTCCTTTATAAAGGAGAGGACAAATAGGACACAATTAAGATCTGAGAATAGATTGATTAAAGTAGTAGCTATGTATAGTTTGACTTAGTACTGAAAGTCCTTAAAGTACTACTTATTAAAGTCTGAAGAGTAGGCTATATACACTTTCTTTCTAAAACAGGTTGTAACTTCTAAAACAATTAGGATAGGTTCTAAAGGGGCTGAGAGCACATAGTTGACAAAGGCCTCTTAGATAGAGGTCTGTACTGTTACAGTTCTCTACTTTTGTACCTTCAGTTCTAAGGGTTCTACACTCTTCTATACTAGAACTTAGGACTTCTGTCCCTTAGGAGTACTATTTATAGACTATATATATACTGACTCTTACTACTACCCTTCCTTACTTTATTATTCCATTCCTTTGACTACTCCTTCATTCTTTGTTCATTCTATAGTCTCTTACCCTTTGTCTATCCCTTCATTCTTTGTACCTTTATTTTTAACCTTCCCTTTCTTTCATTCTTTGTGGCTCATTATTCTTAGTAACTTATACTCTCTAAGTACTCTTGTGTAGTTTAGTATATATAAGTGTACAAGATCAGACTAGTCTAGTAGTCTTGATCTTGTCTACTCTAGGTAGTCCTATACTCTTAGGCTCACTCTATATACTCTACTCTTGTCTCACTCTCTCTCCCTGTCTGTTCTACAAGTTCTGACTATGTTTTAGTACTTACATTCTGTATTTCTGTTGTGTAAGATAGTTGTAGCCTGGGTCCCCTTACTAAGCCTTTAGGTCCCCTCTATACTGTTACTAACATCAGATTAAGACTACTCATTACCACCCTATAACTCTCCTACATTTTGAGTATTAGTACTCACTATTGTGTCAATCTCTTTTCTTTGTTCTAACCCTTTTACATTTTTAAATTTTAAACTTTCTAAACCCTTTTAAACTTTTGCCACCCTTCTTCTATTCATTACCCCTTTTAGTTTAGTACTAATTCCTTTGTAGTATAAACATAAACCCTTCTACACTAACTACTACCTCTACTGTCCTACTAGATTAGTAGTTACAAGTAGAACTAGCTTAATATGTGTAGACCTCTATCTAAGAGGCCTTTACTAACCACATACTCTTAACCCCTTCAGAACCTATTCTAATTGTTCTAGAAGTTGTAACCTATTCTAGAAAGAAAGTACATGTAGCCTACCCTTTAGACTTTAATAAACAGTACTTTAAGGACTTTCAGTACTAAGTTGAACTATACATAGCTACTACTTTGACCAATCTATTCTTAGATCTTGATTGTATCCTATTTGTCCTCTCCTTCATAAAGGAAGGTAACACAACTACCTGAGTCTAGAACTGGATTAAAGGACATTAGATTAGAAGCCTAATCTGACTTTAGAATAATGAGTCATATTCAAAATTCATAAGACAACTCTGTACTTCCTTTATTAATCTAAATAAGAAGTGTAATGTGTAGAACAAGCTTGTGTCTCTGTGACAGAGCAAACATTCTACTAATACCTTTTTTTAGGAGTTTGATATCCTAGCCTAGAAGGTAGGATTCATACTTAGGTTTAATAATGTCCTTATTAGAATGCTTGAAAAAGCTCTTTACTTAGAACTAGTTAATAAGATTCTTAGGATAATGCTAGAACTAGCCACTTTTGATTTAATAGACACTATAGGATTAGAAGTAAATAAAGTAAGAAAAGTAGAAAAAGTAGAAAAAGTAGAAAAAATTAATCAACAAAATTATTTATTAGAAAGAAGAAAGTCAAAAACAAAAGTAAATAGTTCTCCTATTTCTTCTGATTCTTTTGATTCTTCTCTTTACACTTCATCTGAGTCTAAATCTGTACAATCTAACCTACTACTTCTATATTCTAAGATCTTAGAACATTCAGAACACTACTTAGCCCTATTTACTACTTAGTAGTTTGTCTATAGTATTAAGTAGAGATAGTCTTAACTGAGTTTACAACTGAGGACATAGGTCCATCCTTGTTGAAAGAGAGAGGTTAATAAGGAAATGTTAGTGTATATACTTACTCTCTCAGACAACAAGATTGTACAAGCTGTATGTTCCCTTCAGAACAAGTAGTAGTTTATCTAAGAATGTTCTAAGTACTAGCTCTAAGTCCCTGTCCTCTTAGCTCCCTTCTCAGAATCCCCCCAGATTTAAACAATAGTTCTAGTAGACAGTAGATACACTAGTTTGTATATTAATAAGGCCTTTGTATAGGAACACTATCTCTCTACTTAATATGTTCTACTTCTAATCCTAGTATACAATGTAGACAGAACCCTAAACTAGAATAGTTAGATTACTAAGTTTGTCCAACTATGAATAACTATTCAGGATTATAAGGAAAGTATTGAGTTTAGAGTCACTAACTTTAGAAAGACAGATGTCTTTATCAGATTCAAATGGCTCAAAGCTTACAACCCTACTATTAACTAGTTAGAGTAAACACTTGTGTTCAATCAGTGTTCTAAGTCTTGTAACTACCTTATACTACTGTTCTGAGTAGATACAGACACTTCTAATGTTACTAACAGTTCTGATAAAGGTGACTAGTTGTTCTTCTTCAACTAGGATAAATATATAGATACATATTCTAGTTAAGGCAGAACAGAGTCAATCTGAAGAATGTCTAAGACAGAACCAGTCTAGAACCCTCTTAGAACAACTCTACTCTAGAACACACATAAACCTAGCCTGCCAGATTTTGTCTGAGAGTTCCTCAAAGTCTTTAGTAAAGAGGAATTTGACTAGCTTCCTAAACACTGTCTCTAGGACTATACAATTGAATTGACTAAGGGTTTCTAACCTAAGGATTGTAAGGTCTACCTACTTAACAGAGATGAGTAGGAGGTGCTTAATAAGTTCCTTTAGGAAAATCTTTAGAACAGCTGGATCTGACCCTTAAAGTTCTCTATAGTCTCTTCTTTCTTCTTTGTCAAAAAGAAAGATAGGAAGCTCTACCTAGTCTAGGATTATTATTGTCTTAATAAGAGTACTGTCAAAAACAAGTACTTACTCCCTCTGATTCAGGAGCTTATTAATAAGACACATACATTCAGGGTTTTTACTAAGTTAGACATTTAATAAGGATACAATAATATTCAGATTTAAGACAGAGATGAGTGGAAGACTATGTTCTAAACTAATTATAGATTGTATAAACTGACTGTAATGTTCTTTAGACTAACTAACTTACTTACAACATTCTAGTTATTTATGAATCACATTCTTACAGATCTGATTAACTCAGAGTATGTTAGTGTGTATTTAGACAACATTCTGATCTTCACCTAGACAGTTGAGCACTATTACTAACTAATTTAAGCAGTTCTATAACAGCTCTAAAATAACAAACTGTTCCTTTAAGAAGTAAAGTACTCTTTTACACAAGAGTTAGTAGATTATCTAGGCTTTGTAATTAGTAGAGGAGAGGTCTGTATGGATCCAGCAAAAGTAACTACAGTTTGGAACTGGTTACAACTTTAGAACCTGAAACAGGTCTAAGTGTTCCTTAGGTTTGTAAACTACTACTAACACTTTATTTAAGACTTTAGTACTATTACTCAGCCCCTTTACAATCTTACTAGTAAAGATGTTCCTTAGTAATAGGATGATTAGTAGTAGTCTGTGTTTGAGTCTCTCAAGTAGGCTATTACTAGTAAGCCTGTATTAACAGCTCTAACAGTTGTAGACAAGTTCCAAGTTAAAGCCAACTCTTCTGACTTTACAAATAGAGTAGTACTATCTTAGTTCATTAACAGAAAGTAGTGTCTAATAGTGTTCTGATTAGAATCCCTCTCTGTAACAGAACAGAACTACTCTATCTATAACAAGGAACTCCTCACAATTGTCTGTTCCCTAGAGGAGTAGTATTAATATCTTCTTAGTACTGTATAGAAGTTTAAGATTTAGAGTAATCACCTTAATCTCTAGTACTTCTAAGTACCTTAGAAGCTCAACTACTACTAAGCCTACTAAATGTTAGAACTATAAGACTATAACTTTGTACTAACTTACAAACCTGGAACACAAATAACAAAAGCTGACTTACTCTCAAGACAAGTAGATTATAAAAGGGGAGAGAATAATAACAAAAATCTTGTTCTCCTAAACAATTCCTGTTTTGTATCTGAGACAATCTGAAAGATCTGACTCAAATCCAAGAATGTTAACTTTGTCACCTGTATATAGTAAGCTCTGAGACACACACAGGACTAGGTTATAGTAAAGTAGCTAGAGAAGTAGGCTAGGGATTAGAAGGAGGATAAGGATAGACAGGTTTACTAGGAAGGCTGACTGTACATTCTAAAGGATTGGAAACTGTAGAAGAACATTGTCTGAGCTCATTATAACAATCCAACTGTAGAACATCTAGGCTAACACAAAACACAAGAACTTATTACTCAGAACTACTAGTAGTTAGGAATGTAGAGAGAAATCCTAAAGTACATAACTGGTTGTAATACATACTAACAGACTAAGACTCACTAGACTAGGGTTTAGACTCTCCTACATTTGTATTAGATCCTAGATTACTCTTAGGAAGAAGTCTCAGTAGACCTGATTAGTAAGCTACCTAAGTCTTAGAGTTACAACACTATCTGTATGATTGTTGACTGATTCTCTAAACAAGTCCACACAGTTCTAACTCAAACAGAACTCACTTTTAAAGGTATAGTGTGTATTTATTAGGATTATGTCTTCTAGTTGTATAGACTCTCTCAGAAGCTTATTTATAATTGTAGACTACAATTTGAGTTGAAATTTATACAGGACTTGTATACACTTCTCAGAATTCAAGAGAACCCTTCTACTACATATTATCTACAGACTGACAGTCAAACTGAGTGAGTCAATCAGGAGATCAAGCTCTACCTCTGAATGTTTATTAATCATTAGTAATCAGATTAGTCTGAATAGTTAGCTCTAGCAGAATTTGTACACAATAACTAGTAACACTCTACAACAGGACAGTCCTTATTCTTCCTTAATCATAAGAGACATTCATACTAGAGGACAGTTCTAAACTGGAACAGTAGTTCTGAATCTGTAACAGACTTTACAGAACAGATACATAGAACCAGGGAGGATGTACAAGCTCTTTTAGAGAAGGTAGTATAAGTTATAAAGTAGAACTATAATTAGAAAAGGTCTGTAGCTAAGGATTACTAGCCTAGTAACAAGGTTATATTAGAAGCTACAAATCTGACCTTAGATTGTCTAATAAAGAAGTTGGACAACAAGCACTTTAGACCCTTCATTATTAAAAAGAAGGTTAGTACCTCTACTTACAAACTCAAACTTCTAACAATATGAAAGTGTATACACTTAGTGTTTAATAAGGTTCTGTTGTCTTAGTACTATAATCCTAGTTTTCCTTTGTAACAAAGACCCCTCTACCTCTACTAGAACTTATCAGCTCTAAACCAGAATACAAAGTAGAGTACATAGTAGATACTAAGCTACTATACAGAAAACTCAAATTCCTTGTTTACTAGAAAGGGTACCTAGTTGAGGAGCACACTTAGGAACCTACTAAGAACCTTACTCATACTCTTAAGACAATCTAAGATTTTTATTAGCTTCATCCTAGTACCCTGTACAAACTCAGCCTTACAGATTTCTAAGCCCTACTATTCTGACTTATACTTGAGCTACTAACTAAGCCCTATGTTCACCAATTAGGACAATTGGTTTTAGAGAGAGGGTAATGTTACAGTTCTCTACTCTTATACCTTCAGTTCTAAGGGTTCTACACTCTTCTGTACTAGAACTCAGGACTTCTGTCTCTTAGGAGTACTGTTTATAGACTATATATATACTAACTCTTACTACTACCCTTCCTTACTTTATTATTCTATTCCTTTAACTACCTCTTTATTCTTTGTTCATTCTATAGTCTCTTACCCTTTGTCTATCCCTTCATTCTTTGTACCTTTATCTTTAACCTTCCCTTTCTTTCATTCTTTATAGCTTATCATTCTTAGTGACTCATACTCCCTGAGTACTCTTGTGTAGTTTAGTATATATAAGTATATAAGATCAGACTAGTCTGGTAGTCTTAATCTTGTCTACTCTAAGTAGTCCTGTACTCTTAGGCTTACTCTATATACTCTACTCTTGTTTTACTCTCTCTCCCTGTCTGTTCTGTAAGTTCTGACTATGTTCTAGTGCTTGTATTCTGTATTTCTGTTGTGTAGGATAGTTGTAGCCTGGGTCCTCTTACTGAGCCTTTGGGTCCCCTCTATACTGTTACTAACATATACATATTAAGCTAGTTCTGCTTGTAACTACTGATCTGGTAGGACAGTAGGGGTAGCAGTTAGTGTAGAATGGTCTATGTTTACACTACAAAGGAATCAGTACTAAACTAAAAGGGGTAATGAATAGAAGAAAGGTGGCAAAAATTTAAAAGGGTTTAAAAAGTTTAAAATTTAAAAATGTAAAAGGGTTAGGACAAAGAAAAGAGATTGACACAATAGTGAGTACTAATGCTTAAAATGTAGGAGAGTCATAGGGTAGTAATA